AAAAAAAAAAAAAAAGGTCAAGGAAGAGACAACTGCTGTATTCGAGGCATCCACGCACGCTAGTGTAAACCACAGGGGTCGTATGAAAGGATTATGTCTGATGCTTGGGGCTTTTTATTGGCCTGAGCAAATCCATCAACGAATCCAACCAACGCTTCTACTAGCACGCGTGTTCAGTTTAACCATGAATTGGAAACCACCAAGATCAAAGTTGATCTTGGGTTGACCAAGACTGCCCCAATCAATGAACCAAGTTGGTTGTCTTCCCCAAGGGAAAACGTGTGCCGGGTCTCATATTCCCTTCGTCTTCCTGCGCATGTTGCAGATGTCCCTGGGATCCAGAACTCCGGAGTGGGGATTTCCCATTCCTCCTTGTGGTTGTTGGTCCCGAGTTTACGACTGCGATGTCAAGGGGGGCTGTTCACAAGGCACACCACCACCAACACCTACCCCTCCATTACCACCTCCCATTCCACACTATTTCCTAGCATCACTTGGGAGTCTTGGGGGTTGGCGAAACCGTGCCACCAACTCTGTTCATTCCTTGCGATGAGGCGTCTTAGTAGTTACCTCTCCGTCGACCCCTTTGAACAGTCGAGGGGCTCGAGTAGCACGACGTAACAGAAACAATAAGAACAGCCTCTCATCTTCGTACCAGATGTTCGCTGTTGATCCACCCTTTACGTCCTTTCCCCTGTCGATCAACTCCGGCCTTCTCCAATCACTGAGCTGTGCCCATCATGATCAGATCAACTCTCCTCCTACCTCTTGTTGCCCTGGCATCCATTGCGGGCGCGGTGCCGGTGAATGAGCGACGCTCGGCACGGCCGACTTGCGGAAAGCCAGGGACGGTCGTGTCTACTACCAGAGTCACGATAGCTACCTCACAGGCGGCGACAGTGTCGAGCCCGCCCATCGTCTCTTCAGTCTCGGGGCCGGTGATCGTCTCCTCATTTCTCACTTCTTCTCGTCTTGTCTCCTCAACTTTGGGGTTGCCTATCGTTTCTTCATCAGTAATAACACCATCAGGTTCTTCAGCTGCTGCTCCGTCCTCACTATCAACAGTGCAAGTATCCAGCACAGGCGTCGTGGCTCCGCCTGCCACAGGCACAGGAACCCCCTCATCAGGCTACAGAAACGTCTTGTACTTCACAAACTGGTAAGCGAGCCCTACCTCTGCAAGCATCCAGGTGTCTGTGCTAACTTGTCCAGGGGTGTCTACGGTGCAAACTACCAACCGGCAGATATTCCCGCCGACAAGGTGACACACCTGCTCTACTCATTCGCAGACATTTCCTCGGACGGCACGGTGTAAGTGATTCCATCATGAAGCTGGCAGCTTGCAAGACCAGGAAACTGACCAAAGGGAAAGAGTCTCATCCGACCCCTATTCAGATACGCAACGCCAGTACCCGGGCGATGACAACCAAGCCGGGAACGCCTACGGATGCGTCAAGCAGCTCTATGCTCTCAAGAAGCAGAACCGCAAGCTCAAGCTCATTCTTTCCATCGGCGGCTGGACCTGGTCGCCCAAGTTCCCCCCAGTGGCCGCCACGGCGGCAGGTCGTCAGCAGTTCGCTTCCTCCGCGGTTAAGCTTATGGATGACTGGGGCTTTGACGGGTAATGCTACACTCTCACAAACCACAGACTCTCAACCCCTCGGCTGACGGAAACTCCTTTGCAGTGTCGATATTGACTGGGAATACCCCGCCAACAATGAAGACGCAGCCAACTTCATTGCCCTCCTCCAAACCGTCCGCGAGACCCTCGACGCCCACGCCGCGCAGTACGCACCGGGCTATCACTTCGCCCTCACCATCGCCTGCCCCGCAGGCCCCTCGCACTACCAGCAGATGGACCTCGCCGGCATGGACCCCTACGTCGACGCCTGGCACCTCATGGCCTACGACTACGCTGGCTCCTGGGATACGACGACGGGCCACCAGGCCAACCTCTTCCCCGAACCGTCGAACCCGACGGCCACCAAATTCAACACCGAGGCCGCACTGACGTACTACCTCGCCCAGGGCATCCGTTCAGACAAGATCGTCCTCGGCCTCCCGCTCTACGGCCGCTCATTCGAGAACACGGACGGCATCGGGAAACCCTACAGCGGCGTCGGCGCGGGCTCCATCGAAGCCGGCGTGTGGCATTACAATGTCCTCCCCAAGGCCGGCGCCACAGAGATCTTTGACCAGACTGCGGGCGCGCTGTACAGTTACGATGCGAACTCGCGGGAGCTCATCAGCTACGACAATATCATGAGCGCCAACTACAAGGCCGACTACCTGCTCAGCAAGAAGCTCGGCGGGGCCGTCTTCTGGGAGGCGGCCGGGGATCGCAAGGGCGAGGGCAGCCTCGTCGGTGCATTGGCGAGCAAGATGGGCACGTTGGACCCGACGCAGAATCTGTTGAGTTACCCCAATAGCCAGTATGCCAACATTAAGGGTAACCTGGTATAGGAGGGGCCCTGCATTGATGGGAATTTGTTAGTACTTATTGAGTGTTGTTCTGGGTCTGGCTATTAGAGGCGCTTGTATATTTTGTGTTACATTTCCTGACGGGAGGTAACTTATTACGAAGTCTTGGGACATGGGCTTTCAGCGATGCATATGAGATACGACCGAATGAAGTCGCATGAGACGGCAGAATTCAAGTTTCACTGATCTCTCAAAAGTGCTTTGACTGTGATAACCAGTCGACCATTCAGGCCTTGAACTGAGTGTTCGCCGAAGTAAGGGACTACTCAAGTGGTCAGGTTGATTAAAATCGGTGTTGCGCTGACATGGGATTCACGTGGAAACCAACCCACATTCTAATCATTTACCAACAAGCTTCCTCAGGAACATCGGCGATAGCTAGGTTGCTAATGCTAGTTGGAAAACTAGCGGGCTTTTGTGATGCAGCTCAACGGGCGCAGAGAATAAGAAATCATAGCGGAAACATGCCAGCGGTCGAGCATTCGGGAGTGTTACCATCGGACCCGAACGCTCTGTTTCACAACTACCTACAGCCCTGGCTCAAAGCTCCAGTGCAAAGGTCGAGTGGACTAATTACCAACGCCAGGCGTTTTACGATGACTGCATGACGATCGCCCCCGAGGAGCTCCAGGGACTTGGCTCAGCGCTTCGGCAGGAGCCGAGGACTGTAGGAGGCTAGTGCTGACGGGAGGGGCAAATAATCGGTGATTAGAGGGTTGACTGGGTCGCTGTAAAGAGATTAGTTGGGCCCGAAGGACCACCGACTGGCTCGAGGGCCTAGGCTCGTTGCCGGTACTTCATTTGAGCCTTATAGGGTAGAAGTCTGAAAAGACTTCTGTGCTGACTTCGACCAAGTGCTGGCCGTCTCGTCCAACCAAGTGCCCAGGTCCAACGTGAAGTTCCCGAGGGTAAGGCTCGTCCCACCGTGCAAAGAGTGATAGGTGCCCCGTCACTAGATGGAGACCGGGGGGAGCGCCGATGCTGGCCGATGGATGGGCAAACAACCCAAGAACAGTCTTTGGAAACCTGCCGACCTAGATGGGATGACGATAATGATGGGCTGCCGTCATCACCGTGCAACGCAACTTCAGATGGTTTTGGGTTCTTCGGAGACGAGTCGCTGACAAATCGAGGTAGAGGGCAAATTGATAGTCTGAGTACGACTGGTTCTCGGCGATAGAGCCTCAGGCTTTGCTCCTGGTTATGGACCAAGGAGGGATTATAGCTCGGGCGCGCATATGCCGTGTCGTTGACTGAATGAGTCACACGGGGAGCGACCGAGAAGACGCGCACCAGAATATGGCACCCTTGTCGACGTACGAGGAGGGGGCAATTGGCGGAGCTACCGAGAAGATCGTCATAGGAGTTGGTTAAGTATCCTGTTCAGGCTACGGGATACGCCTCGTTGCTTGTGTAACTGGTGCAGGTGAGGATTGGCTGCTGGGAGTAAGCGTTCGACATGAGGCCGATGTTGTTTGGTTCGTCGGTGTTGTTCGCAGTACGGCACAGCAGCCAGTGTTGGACCGGGGCGACGACCCGGGGGATTTGGGGGTTGACGTCAATAGTGACCAATTCCTATTGGAGGGTTGCAATGATAGATGGGCTATTCATCAAGTGGGGTATTCTTTCTTTGACCCTAGCACCCTGGGTAGGTCCAAGCCTCCAAGCCACCCCGCTTTCGTCATCAACTCGGCCTGGCGAGGTACCTCTGCGTCAGTTCCTGCCCTTGCCTGGGAGCGATATTGCAATATTCTACCCAGATTGCTTCCATGTTTTTATGCGCGGGTGATGGAGACTTTGAAAGAGAGAGAAAAGGAGGGAGAAAGAAGGGTGACGACTTCTGAGTGCCTTTCTCTTCATAACTCGAACACATTGCAGACAGACTTGCGGAATACTTGCTTTGTCCCATTCTCTTGCGTGTAAGTGGAAAGAGAGTTATGAACCCGATGTTAGTCCGGCGTAAGACAAACCCAAAACCACAGGGCCTAGGTAAGCTGGTTAGAAGCATCACGCATGAGTTTGCGTTATTCCGCATACCTCGTTAGCTTTTGCAGAATGACCCTTGCGCGGTGCTGAATCTCTAACATGGGCAACGCCAACCAAGGTTTCCAGGCGCAAGATGGGACAGCATGGTCGTTGCTGACAGCGATCCACTCTTAATTCCGTCAAGTCCGTCGCAGGTCCAGACTGCGATTTTGAGCCGCTAGCAGTCTAAGTCATTCAGGGTTCCATCCCAGCCAAGAGATTGCTACCTAGAAACTTCCGACAACGGGGGGGGATTGAGTTTATCCTCTACTGCGGTTCCCAAAACAGCTCGGATAGAAGCATGTGGGAGGCCTAGGACGTGTGGACAGCAAGGAGGGGGTGAACACCACCCGATTTATCCATAGCCCAATCCTTTTGGGATGAGCTTGTAGTAGTTATGTGAGTGTATGCGAGTGTCGGCAACCCACCGCAATTCGAGAGTTCAGGACTTGCCAGGTCACAGGTGTGCGATGCCGCCCCCCCCCCCCCTCCGTCTGCGTTGCATCTTAGCGCCATCTTTGCAGGGTTGGCTGTGGGCAGGCATCAACACCGCGTATGTAAGCCGTCCTGATCCACCCCTACCTGTCGTTCGCTGATCATGCTGATGCGGGTGCTGTACCTAGCCTGTTCATGATTTTGTCGAATCTTTCGAGTGCGATAGTAGCAGTCTCATCTCTCCCCCTCCATTCTCTTTGCCTTCGCTCGCCCACCCCGCAAGTCGCGCAACTGCTGCAGACGTTACACGGCAATCTCTCGACTTGGACTTTTCAATTTGTGGCTTGGTCATCATTCCATTCTCTTCCTTCGCGCCGAGTCTAGCACAGGGCAAAAGTACCTACCACTGGTGAGTCGTTACTTACTTGGGCGTGTGTGATCGCGGACCACTCGAATCCTTCCCTTGCCCGACCCCGAACCACCAAAAGCTGACGCCGCCGCCAAAGAAGCGATCGCAACCTACCGACACTTTGCCTTCTTCCGCCATCGTGTCGCTGAGCTGACTTGCGCTACCGTTTTCCGACACTTGCCACAAACATCGGTGGCATATCGAGTCTACCCTGTATTGCGCCCGCATATTGCTTTGGCGCCTCGACGCCGACCGTATCTTGATACCCCTGCGCATTGCAGAACTCACCACCGACCACCATCTCCAATTCCTCCCTACCTTGTACCGTACACGGGTCGACCGTTCCGACTCACGATTGCCGTTGCCTGTTCGAATCTGTGGCAAGATTGCGCTTCTACTCTGGCGCCTTATCACACTGCTACACTGTCAGCGGCCTGAACGACGCGTCTAGCTGCCTTGCACCCCTCGCCCTCTGCCAAGTAACGAGCTTGTCAAGAAGTCACTGAACTCCAAGGCGAAACGACGGTCATTGGTCGTGGTCCAAGGCTTTCTCATTGCGACCAACGAGCTTTGAGCAGTGCACCTCTGAAGGCTGGACGGTCACCATTACATGCGCTTCATACACCTGGCCGGGCCTTGTTGAAGTACTCGGTAACTGCACCAACCTGCCGAATCCGCTCCTCCAGGTTTAGGCTGCCGACAACGGTCTGGTCGTTGTCAACGTTTCAGTGGCTAAATTTGTACACTCATCCTGAGTGTCTGACAGCCCAACTAGTCGAGCCTCTGACCTTTGTATCGCTGTATAAGGCATCTCTCCCGGCCACTGCCACCACTTGTTCCGAAGCGGAGAATATACACTCGCGTGTGTTGTGCTGGACAGGACTTTGAGTCCAAACAACGTCTTCTCATCCGTGGAAGCCATCGCCAGAGGTCGCCGACGACGCATCTACGCATTCTACGGACTCCGTTACCATAATGACTCCAACACCCCCGTCCACAACACCCTCCTCGGGATCAGGTCGGTCACCCGAGGAGCAGTTTCGGGTTGTGAGGAAGAGAAACAGAGTACCTCTCAGCTGCTATCCGTGTCGGACTAGGAAGTGAGTGCATTGTGAATGTCCTCTTTTTTGGTTCCAACTCGCTGACGTGCTTCGCAGATTGTGAGAAAATTCACATGCCATCATCCTAAAGCAAACTGACCATTTTGTAGGAAATGTGACAGAGGTCATCCGTGCAGTAATTGTGTGAAGCGCGAGGGTGGTGACGCGTCCTCATGTTCATACGCAACTCCTGCCACTCGTAAAAAGAACCAAAGTCAAGGCTCTTCGAGCCCCGATGACATGCAGAATCGTATTGACCGTTTAGAAGGCCTAGTTTTGTCTTTGATGCACGGAGGTGCTACTATTGATCCTTCTACCGCAGCAGCAGCCGCCGCTGTGACAGGCGCCGCGACAAGCAAATCGAATACTGACAGCACACCCCCTTCGGCCAAGATGGACCCCGATGACGAGACGCAAATGCGAGACGACGACGACGATAGTGATCCCGACGGTGAGTTGGCGACGTCCTTGGGCGTATTAAAAGTCGACTCAGATAAGGGCAAGTCGATGTACATTGGCCAGGAGCATTGGCACACGATTTTGGCAGATATATCGGAAGTGAAGACCTATTTTGCGAATCATAAGAAGGATTTGGAAAAGAGCTACGAGAAGGTTATGATGTCAAAACCGGCCAGCGCTAGAGAAGGACCTACGTTTCTGCTTGGAGCTGCGCCAGCAACCGAGGTCGAATTGCGAGCGGAACTGCCGCCCAAATCGGCCGTCCTCGCGCTGTGTTCAAGATACTTCAACTCGATGGACAATGCGGTCAATATCATCCACGCACCAACATTCCAGCAGCAGCTCCGAGCCCACTGGCAGGATCCTTCAAAAACACCCATCATGTGGCTTGGACTGCTCTATTCGATCTTGTGTCTGGCCATGCTGAGCTACCACAAGGTGGGAGATGAGCCGCCGGAGTGGAAGGGCCGGACGCTGGACCTGGCGTCCGAATATCGATTACGCACGGTCCAATGTTTGATCACGGCCGATTACACGAAACCGGTCGAACACACCGTAGAGACAATGCTTCTCTACGTCTTTGGGGAATATTCCTCAAGATGGGATGCGGATCTGGGGCTGTGGCTTATTGTGTCCTTGCTCACCAGAGTTGCATTCAGAATGGGGTACCACCGCGATGCGAAATGGTTCCCGACAATAACACCATTTCAAGCAGTAAGTTTGAATGTATGAGGTGCCATCTGGACAAGTGCTGAGACTTTCGCAGGAAATGAGGCGACGAACGTGGGCACTGGTCAGGATGGCTGACGTGGTGTTCTCACATCAAGTATCGCTGCCATCCATGATATACGGACATGATTGCGACACTCAATTGCCGAACAACATCTTTGACGAGGAATTCGGTCCCAACACAAAAGTTCTGCCTCCCTCGCGGCCAAAGACGGAGCCCACCCCGATTGCGTACATGATAGCCAAATCTAAGCTGTGCAACGAAATGGGCGACATCTTGCAGACCACCAACCGTGTGGGCAGGCAATTACCGTATGACGAAATTCTGCGGTTTGATGCCCGACTTCGAGAGATCAACGACGAGATCCCGCCCCATCTCAAGGTTACAGCCTTGGAAGGCTCCCACGATCCTGTTACTCTGATCATCGCGAGGTTTAACATCAACGTGCTTTACCTCAAGATCCTTTGTCTGTTGCACAAGAAGTATGTGCCACGGGCTCGGCTAAACCCCCGATATGCCTACTCGCGCAGGAGTGCAGTAGAGGCCGCTCTGGAGACGTTGAGACATCTCGTCACTCTTGACCGAGAATCACAGCCAAACGGTAGACTGCGGTCTTTGAGGTGGTTTGTGAACTCGATAGCAACGAAGGACTTCCTCCTGCCTGCTATGTTGGTTGCACTCGACCTTCACCACGATCGGGTTGCGGAAACGAGCGACGATCGCAGGGCGTCAGAGTCGGCAATGTTCTGGACCCCTGAACAGCGAATGGAGATGCTCCGCAACCTCGAGCGCACCAAGGATATCTGGCAAGGGCTTGCGGACGGGTCGATGGAGGCGTTCAAGGCGTCCAAGGTCCTTGACATCGTCCTAGAGAAAATCAAGGGCACTAATCCTGAACCAGAGATCTTCAAAAACGAAGTATTCCCGGGTTTTGAGACAAACCCAGAGACGCAGTCGGACCACAACGCCGCAATGACTTTGGGTATGCTCTCCGGTGGAATGACGCCAAATACAACAGCTGCCCTTGAGAGCAGCATTCAAAATACCGACTCTTTTAGCGGCATGGACTTTGGAGTGTCGTTACCTATGACGGGTTCGGGCATGACGCCCGTCTTCCAGGGCGAGATTGGCATGAATAATGCGGGGTCTCCGTTCTCGATGTTCACCAACTTCGAGGCCGGCGGAGATTTCCCCGCCAACTTCGACTGGGTAGGTCGCGAATTCCGCCAATGGCATGATGGCATCATTACTGACAATGATCTAGAACGCATTCGAGACGTACACGCAGAACGCAAACTGGGCAGCCGACACTGGCTTTGGGCAGATCTATCCAGGTCAGTCCTCGCCGGAAACTGACGGTTCCGGTATGCCCTTCGGCGGTGCCAACGGCGGTATGTCTGGCTAGGGACGTTGCTCGGTATGCGGAGGAGGCCAATGATGAGGGAGTTAATGTGATGACGAGATCAATGACAGAATCAGGAAGGGTTGAGCGATTGGTTCGTTCAGCCGGGCAAAAGGGAATTTAGGCATTCTCACCTCCGCGTTAGGCTTGGCATGGTAGGATAGAAAGATGTTTCCAGATCTTGTGACGTTGGAAAATACAATACCCTGCTCCCTTTCACATGTGCGTATTATCTACACGTGCCGAAGAGATGAGACTTACATCGTGGAGACTCCGCTTTGAGGTGAGTGACATTGGACGAACCGCGGATCTGGTGGTTGGCCACATGGACGGGATGGCAGGTCCAAAGCGGGCGCGGAGGTGCTGCCGTCCGGCGTGGCATTCGGCGCCCATGCCGGCGGTATGCACAGGATTCGGTCCGTCCCTGACAACCATGTGCAACGGCTGTGGAGGGTGAGGTAGATGGTGGTGGTAAGGATGGTAGTGGTAAGTGATGTCCTCCTGCAGCTGCCAGCAACAACTGTCTTTCTTTTCCCCGCGCCGTGCCTTGCGTCAAGTCTTCCTGGCCCAAAAAGTGAATCCTGTGCCTGCAGGCTGGAGGACAATGTGGGGATCTTTCTTGGCTTGCGCTACCTTATTGGTGGGGGTGCAGGAACAGGTCGCGGCATTAGGAACACGGTATCTTGAGTCGTTGGTTCCCGCTCCAGCACTGTCCACTTGGCGTTGCCGCGTCATGCCGGGTGATCTCAAATCTGCACAGAGTAGCCGTAGTAGAGCGCAAGTGCTGCTCGCTCTCGGGTTGCCTTCTGAGCCGATACGCACCGTGGAAAGCGAGGTACGAACAGTGAATGTACGATACGGCGTTAAAGAAGTAAAGTTTGTATTTGGTATCAGGATCAGCAACGGCCGCAACGCTTCGGTCTCCCCCCCCCCCCCCAACCAAGCTTTCCATCTCATTTCTCGGCCATTGTCTAACTTTTATTCTCCATATCCATTTCGAATTTCTGTTTCCGTCGCATAGAACGAGCAGAAGAACAGTGCTCGACTGGCCTTTTGGGACCTTGGCGACACCGATTCGCTACGGATACACATTCCCTTAGGTAGCGGCATCCCGGAGCGGTGAGTGATGGGATAACCCCGCTGATAGGGCCGATCGAGCCTACCCCAGTTAATACGACCCCCCCATTTCACAGCCTTCTTGAAGAAAACTCGAGAAGGAGGTGGGGGCGGGCGTCCGCTACACGGGACCTTGCCCTGTTGGCCTCCCGGGCTGGCAAACGGCAAGAAAGAGAGAAGCAGAGGAAGCAGTTCGTATTTTATTGCTCTGGTTCAAAAGTCGAGTTGGTTCCTTGTTCCTGACAGGTTTTGGTCGGGACTGGCCTCGACTTCATCTCCTCAGACTTCATCTTCATCTCTTTTAAGTCCGCCGACAATTATTGATCATCACCACCACCACCACCAACAAGAGCGACTGAGGTACGGATAGAAGAACGCCTGATTGGCTTACCTTACATTGTCCCCCGGCCCCTGAAGGAACCCGAAGGAGACAGAACTCGCCTGTTCTGGACGTATACGCACTCGGGTAAGTCACCTTACTTAATTTAATATCCGCTGTAGCTCATCTCTCATAGTCTGTTAAGCTTTCACAAGCCGGCCCAGCACCCCGGTTCCTCAACGCACCCAGCACGTTGAATCACGGCTAGACCCAAGTCTCATCTACACTACCTTGAAGCATCATCCGCTTTCTGACCGTTCGCTCTGGAGATCCCCTGCCCAGACCTGCGAGAAGGCTTGAGAGTGCAGAGGGGATGGGGCCGATCGTCTAAACTTGCAAAAGTTCAGACTGCAGTCGCCAAGAACTCTATCTAATTAGTCGTTCTTGCTGTAAGCCTGTTTTGGGAATAAGGCTGAAGGGGTAAACGAACATATTAGTTACGACTTGGACGTCTTTCACGAAGTTTCACGAGTTCTTTCGCGATTAGACTTGTCCTGTACGCTTTGGGTTGTTGTTTTGGTGCTTGTTTTTACTTTCTCTTCCTGTTCAATCGCTTTATTTCTTCTTCGAACATTGGTCACTCTACCTCGGAATCCTGAAACCCGCGGCACGATGAAGGCTCTTACGACGGGGTCGATCCTGGCGGCCGCAACCGCTCTGCACCAAGGTACCGTCTCGGCACTAAGCGCGGCGGGATGGCGGTCCCAGACGATATACCAGGTCATGACGGACCGATTCGCGCGGACGGACGGGTCGACGACGGCGCGATGCGAAATGTCCGATCAGACGTATTGTGGTGGTTCGTGGTTGGGCATTGCGCAGCAATTGGATTACATTCAGGGCCTCGGTGCGACGGCCGTCTGGATTTCACCCTTTGTGAAGAATGTCCAGGGCAAATCCGCTGACGGGTGAGTTCTTCCCTTTGCTTTGCTTTGCATTCATTAGAGCCACGGCACGTAGTGTGAGAACGACGTGCCACGAGAGGTTTATGAGCAACTCAAGAGAGACAGAGAGAGAGAGAGAGAGAGAGAGAGAGCACTCGACGTCAACGATGCCCATGAAAAGAAGAAATACCGACTAACACAACATCAGTGAATCATACCACGGCTACTGGGCGCAGGACATCTGGGAGGTTAACCCTCGCTTCGGCACCGCCGAGGACCTCATCTTCCTCGCCGACGCCGTGCACGCCCGTGGCATGTACCTCATGGCCGACGTCGTGACGAACCACATGGCCTGGCTCGGCCCCGGCAACTCGGTCGACTACTCCATCTTCCATCCCTTCTCCAACGCCTCGGCCTACCACACGCCGCCCTGCGTCATCGACTACAGCAACCAAGACTCGGTCGAGAGGTGCTGGCAGGGCACCGACGCTGCTTCGTTGCCGGATCTGCGCACCGAGGACCCGCGCGTGCGCCAAGTCTTCGACGCCTGGATCAAGCGCGTCGTCCGCCGCTTCGGCTTCGACGGTCTGCGGCTAGACAGCGCAAAGCACGTCGAGCCATCCTTCTGGCCCGCGTTCGAGGCCTCGGCCGGCGTCGCCGCCTTTGGCGAGGTCTTTCACGGCGACCCTGCCTACGTGGCCCCATACCAGGACGTCATGAGCGGTGTCATGAACTACCCTGTCTACTACTGGCTGACTCAGGCCTTCCAGTCGACGACGGGCAGCATCTGGAACCTCGCTGACGGCATCAGGACGCTCGCCGCGACGGCGCGCGACCTGACGCTGTACGGGGGCTTTCTCGAGAACCACGACCAGCCTCGCTTCCTGAACCTCACCTCGGACCGCGTGCTCCTCAAAAATGCGCTGACCTTCAGCCTGCTCATGGACGGCATTCCCATCATCTACCAGGGCCTGGAGCACGGATTCAACGGCGGCGAGACGCCGTACAATCGTGAGGCGCTGTGGCAGACGGGGTATGACACACAGTCGGAGCTGTACCGCTGGATCTCCAAGTTCGTGGCCCTGCGCTCAACGCTGGCGGCGCTGGACGGCGGCTACCTCTTCTACAACGCCCTGCCTATCCACACGGACGATCACATCATTGCCATGCGCAAAGGCTTCGACGACGGGCAGGTCATAAGCGTCTACTCCAACGTCGGCGCGAACAGCACCTACAGCGTGTCGCTGGGCCAGGAAGAGACGGGCTTCCGGCCGTGCAAGCTGATCCTCGAGGTCGTTCAGTGCCGGCCCTACGTGACGGACTCGGCGGGCGTGCTGAAGGCGACGAGCGGGAGCGGGGAACCCCTCGTGTTTGTGCCGGCGGATAGGATCATGGGGACGGGTATCTGCGCAGGCGGCATAGGCAAGCGTCGTCCTCCTCCCCCTCCCCCTCGCCGTCACAAGCCTTCTCCTCCACCTCCTCCCGCCTCTGGGACATCCACAGCAACGGCTACCCGCTTCTCTACCACGCGCCTCGCTATTGAGAGTACCGATTATAACTTAGATTCTATAGGCCGTTTTAATAACATCTCTTTGTCGCCTTGCCTGACTTCCCAGCTTTAATACATTTTCCGAAATTCGAACTAAAAGAAACAGCAGACTTGACAGACGGAAAATAAGGACGAAAAAACAAACAAACATCCGACCAAACAGCAACAAGTCTTTCTACAACTCTCATTCGACCGCTTACTTCCTAGATACCTAAGTGTGTAGTTATTTCGTGTATTACTTTTCGGATTTCCCCCCCTCACTTTTGGTGCTGGAGTTGGACTGTATCCGTATTGTAGTATGCAAGCGACTGGGTGTAAAGCCCAGAAGGATTCTTCTCTTCTCTGTTCTGAAGGCTGGTAATTCAGGATGGCCGAGGACACTCGGGGCATCCGTATACCCGTAAAACCACCTTTGGACGTACATAGTTTGTGCCGTGTCTCGACTCGAACATATCTTTACAGCAGTGAACAAAAGTGAGCTACAAACGAAGTGCCGTGTTTTCACTCACTCACTTTGCCATGCTTGGAAAATATCCCGATATAGTAAAATGTTCATGATGATTCATACCCCCTATCCGATTATGCGACCCAAATTGAATGGTATATACAAGAAGTTGAAGAATGAGACGGAATCCAGCTCCGTATCAATTTAAGAGGACATGCCAAAAGCCGCTTTAGCCTTGGTCCAGTACGCGACACGGTCCTCGGTACCCGATGTGCCGATGCATTCCATGTAGAGCGTGAATCCCCTGACAGTCCCAGTCTCGAGCTCCTCCTTGACGCTCTTGTCACACTGCGTGTCCAGGAACCAACCGGCGGAGCCCCATGTGTAGTCGTCCGGGATGACGAGATCGAGAATCTGGTTCTTCTTGTCGTCGGTCAAGTCCGCGCCGTCGGCGACGCCGCCAGCGATCTCAGCGGCCTTGTCCTTGAGCTCGGGGATGGAGAGCGCGTACATGAGGTTGTAATTGGGCATCTGGAGGTTGCGCGTGCCCTGGCCGGGTCGACCGGGGTAGTGGTTGCGGTTGTACCGGAATTCGCCCGTCTCGAACGCCATGAGGCTGAGGACGGCGGCCATCTCACCAGTTGTGCTGACGTTGTATTTCCAGAAGGCCGCTGGGAGGTAGGCGGCTATGCGGTCTACTGTTGCGCACTCGTCTGCAAAAGTTGTTACGCCGTCGCAGGAGGCTGATTTGGGGGCGACGGCGAGGATGATTTCTGTGGCGTTGAGGGCTTTCCCTGTTCCGTTATTGTCGTTGTTGTCGTCATCGCGATTTTTGAGGATTGGCGATGCGAGGGCCAGGCTTGCGAGGAGGGAGATGGGGATGAATCTGTTGAGGATCATTGTGGTAAAGTGTGTTGTGGGGGGTTGTATGTGGTGTAAGAGGAGTGGCAGATGCTGTGAAAGGCCAAAAGAGAACGTTTTTTGAGGATGCTGGTCGTGAAGCGTGATGTGGGAAACGAAAGGTTATTCTTGCTATAAGAAAAGGCAGACGAGACAAGGTAAATCACAAAGTCCCGAAGGGCGAGGAAAAAAGATGATGAGTGGTTTCCTGAGCGAGTGACATAGTCAGACAGAAAGCGAGACTGACGAAGAGAAAACTCAAGAAAGAGCGTGGTGTTTGTCTATTTTTTTTTTTGGGGAACCTTGGAGGGACTAAAGGATGAAATAGGAGCTGCGTGAACAAACCCCCCCTTACCCCTTGAACACAGCATCTTTGACAGGCTCACTAAAGCAAGGTCATGCGTGTGCGAACGGTGCCATGTAGGTTCTCCTCCATGGTCGACCGCCAGGAGGAACCAGAGCCAGTACATTCGATCCTCTCGTTCGGAGTTCCCTTGATAGCAAAGGTGATCCACCGTCATCTCTGAGCGCTTGCGCCAGTAGGTATTTGCAGTTTTCCTCCCCACATGGAACGGCCCTGCTCAAACTACCGCTGTATTCGGTAGAGGCAAGTTGGCAAGCAACGGCAGAGTAAGCTTTTTAGGGAAACTTGCGAGGGGGTTCCCTGGAAAGGAGGAAAGAAAAGGGATGGCTGCCTTTGAATGCGTCTTTAGCCAGAGATCTTCGGCGAGGCCTCTGCGAGGTGGCTGTGATGAAACGAAACAGGGGCCAAGCCTATCCGTCCGCTATGTCAAAAAGATGCAGCTGCGTGCCAATGATTGGCTGAGGGCTGCGGCTGATGATGCGGAGCCCTTGATGTTGCCCCCGAGCCCCCGGCTCGGAGGGAATTTGGAGGGGTAATTGTGGTGTGCCGTTGGTGCCGAAAGGGCGGCTGAGCGCCTGGCGGAGGCGGGCTGGTTCTGGTTGGCGTCCGTCACCTGTAAGTCGCGTGGGTATTTGGTGAGAAAGGGACCGACGAAAGCAAGTTGCCTCGGTAGCTGCACATATTTCGAAACGTACGGGCTTGACTTTCTGTTTGGCGTAACCTGCTGTCATCCTGTCTCTGGCAACCAGAGTCAGGGGCAAACCTAGAGGATCCGTTGATGAGGGCGGCTCGTGTACTCAGCACTGTTGCAGATAGACTGGCGTGGAGACGATGATCCGTCTGTGTTCATGCGCCTCGGGCAGCCAGCCTAAGGACTGGAGGCACTGGCGGCCTGGGGCGATGCATGCTGGGGACCTTGGATTATACCAGGATTCAATGTTAATTCTGGGAAGAATATGGTAAAGACACTGTGGAGTCTTTGCCCGTATTCAGACCTTTGATTGCGAGAAAATGCACATAATGGCAAGGGATCTTTGAATTTTGGACAAGGGCGCTGAGTGAGATGTCGAGCGAATGATCGACTACAACGAAGTGCCCTGTTCAAAGCCCATTTGTTGGCATTTGCAGCCACAATATGGTGCTTGGGTATTTGACTAAGCATTCACCCGTCTCCAAAGCTACAGCACTTCAACCAATGACAGTGTGTGCCTGGGGTGGGCAGGCAGTGACCACCAGAGCCAAAGTTGTCGGCCCCTGAGCCGCTGCAGCTCCGCGCGCGACAAATCAATCATCAACCTTCCCGTCGCGACCAAGTTCAGTTCGACTCGACCGCGCCGTGCCGCATCGAGTCCATCGCCAACAAATTCGTTGGATCCACCTCCATGATCTGACACCGCAACGCGCACAAACACACCCTGACAGCTATGGGCGAGAACCAGGCCAACGCCGCCAACGTGGCGCAACAACCGACTCCCACGATGCAAATGTACAGAGAGGAGCAAGCTCGCCTGCGTCAGATGCTGGATAAGAGGGCAGTGATTGCCAGGAAGCTCGCCACCATCGAGGCCGACATTGAGCAGAAAGAGACGGCGTACCTTGACAGCACACCGAACGGCAACATCATTGCTGGATTCGACAACTACATCAAGGGCTCCGGCGCGGCCGCGCAGCGGCGCAAGGCTGGTGCTACGGAGCAGAACCGCGTCTTCTCACGGAGTTCTGTGTCGTATCGTCCTGGCAGTGTACGTCTCTCGATCCGCCCCGATGGCAACTCTGACTCTGCCTTATGCTGACATGAACTTATAGGAAGCCACGACACCTGGCTCGACTCCCGCTTCGCATGCGCCGACTCCCTTGTCGACGTCCTTCAAGGACGGCGCTAGCTCGAACCACGCAACGCCAACGTCCGCGACGGCATCGAAATCCGGCAGCAAGAAGAATAAGAAGCAGACCGAGGAGGACAGTGATCACGATTCCCAAGCGCCGAACAAGAAGCGCATCAACTTTGGCGCTGGTCGCAAGTGAAAGGATTCTATCCAGGAAACAAAGCCGCAGTACAATACTTCAATCCTTTGGTGGAAGATTGGATCAGGGGCACAAAAGATGATTTACGACTTTTCCTGGGTTTCGAACAACGTCATTTCGCGCATTGCTATGCTGAGACGAGGCGTGCTGGGCGTCACGGCGGTTGCAATTCTCGCAGGCTCCCAAGCCCCGGTCTTGCGATTGCGACGTTGGGACCACAAAAGGCCATCGTCCAGCATCGCTTACTTTCAGACTTATATTTCATGAGTCGGCAACAAGTGTAGGAGCTTGGCCTCGAAGGCGATAGTTGGTGGAGTTGAGGCGTTCCGGAACCACGATACCCTGAGGGCTTTCAAAAGAATAATCTGCCTAACAAGAAGTGGTGGGCAATACAGTTGTGGCTATTTGCTCTCTATTATGCATCAAACTGTCTCGATAGCACAACAGAGTGCGAGGCGAATGAGCTAGAAGTGTGCATTTGACCGAGGCTAAGGTCCGTTGCGGGCACTTTTGCACCGAGACGTTGCAAAAGTTCGTCTCCACTAGGAACTTTTGCATGGCTGAGCCCTTGATGCTACAACGTGAGCGGAATCTGCTCATGTTTTGATTCAGTCTCGTAACTAGGCAATGAGGCCGCTTGCTGAGAGCATTTGTCTGCCCGGTGATGATGTCCTCTGAAAATGCTTGCCCAGGGTCGATCATCATTACCAGGGAGAAGACAGTCCCCAGCCTTCGTCCTCATGTAAACTCGAAAAGCGAGCTGTTCTCTGTGATTGCAGGGCTTACAGGCACTCAAGAGGGTGAACTATGAGGTGATGGGAATAATATAAGTATGACCAAAATACCCCCGCAACATTGAAAGTCGACGCATGATGGTCACACTCAAACTACCCAAGGTACCTACATAAAGATTCCCCAACAGCGGCTCTATCCGTAGGCCTGTAGGCCTCTTATGGTCTTTGCGATCCCTCGGACAATGGTCGACAAGATCCGTAGAGCGGCATGCAGATGGTTCCCTCGCCTGTGCCTAACATGATTGCATTAGCCCTCGCCTGGTGACGCATCTTTGGGAGCAGCACCAATGTCCCGTCGCTTCGGAGCCGACGGGACGAGTTGCAACGAGGGGTTGGAGGGGGCTTGAGTCTGTGCAGCGCCTGCGCAGGGACTGAGAACCTTGTCGGCCCCAGTCTCTAACAGCCGTTGCTAGCCTGTCCATAGCTACCTGACCTTAGTGCGGGGCTCTTCAACCGAGCTCGATGCCAGTGGAGGTCGGAGGGTTGGTCCCTTGTCGTCATGTCGCAATTGGCACCGCATGTTGACCGACATACATGTACAACACCATTCCCAAGTCCGCCCTATGTCTTCTGCTACTTATTCCCTTTGACTCGTAACCAAACCCTTGTACCGCCTGCAGTGTGGTCCTCCAGCTCCTCATGATGACGATTCAGGCTTCCAAGTTTACCCCAGAGGTTCTACTCTCTGCCCCTCGCAGGTCCCCGGGCATTCCTAACCCATCTGGAACGAAAGTGCTCTATACTGTGAGTTGGCTGCAAGCCTGACAAGTCTGAGCCGTCGCAGCTTTGTCTTGGGCTACGGCATGCTTAATTGAAGCTATGAGCGCAAATTGACCGACCCAATTCAGGTCTCGACCTACTCATTCGAAAGCCACAGCAAGACCACTCAAACCCGCGTTCTCGATGTCGAGAGTGGCCATTCTAGCCTCCTTTACGAGGAATCATCCTACAGCGATGTAATATGGATCTCAGACGAGGAGATCCTGATTTTGCGAAATGGCGACAAGGGGGCTACGACCCTTCTGCTGGGAGACATAACGACGCCGTCTAAGTAGGCTTTGTCTTTGCCATCAGCCATCGCAGCCAATCGTTGACACACCTTTCAGAGTTACCGAAATCAGCCACTTCGAAGGCAGCTTGTCGAGCCTCAAAGCGAAGCGGCTGTCGGACGACGAAGTCGCTATTGCCGTCGCCGTATTGACAACCCCGGAGGGTGCCATGTTCAACCCGGCAACCGAGAAGAAGCAGTTGGCGACGGGCAAGGTATACTCAACCCTGTTTGTAAGACACTGGGATGCCTGGGTGTCCGAAAATCAGAACTCCATATGGTACGGTCTCCTGAAAAAGGACGACAAGTCGTACAAGCTAGAAGGTCATGGTTTGACCAATGCCCTCGCGGGCTCTCGGCTGGTGTCCCCTGTCCCCCCTTTTGGTGGCAGCGGCGACTTTGATATTGGAAAGCATGGCATTGTCTTTGTTGCGCGCGACCCCGAGATCTCACCGGCTATTTACACAAAAACAGACCTCTACTTCCTACCTTTGAAGTCTTTTACCGAGGACAAGCCGCCGTTGCCCCAAATCGTCAAGACAAGCAAGCTTCGTGGCTACTCGGCGTCACCCGTGTTCTCCAGGGATGGCAAGAAGGTTGCTTTTACCCGGATGAAGAGCGATCAATACGAGACTGACAAGCCAAGATTGCTGGTTGTCCCCGACGTCTTCGACTTGGCGAGTGTGCAAGAGTTCTACCAAACAGACGATGGTGCCGGAGGCTGGGACGCGCGACCTGAATGGATTACCTGGAGCAAAGACGATTCAGAGCTTTATGTATCGGCAGAAGAGCATGGCCGTGCTAAGCTTTGGAAACTGCCAGCGACCCCACATGAGGCGAAAGACCTTCCCGCGGCAATCTATGAGGAAGGTTCTGTCGTAGAGGCGAAGCTGCTGGGAGATGATGGAGAGAAGCTCTTCATCAGCACATCATCCCGGGTCGAGAACTCGGCCTACTCCGTCCTGGATCCCGTCAGCCAGAAGACTGATCTTGTTTCTTCGAGCTCCAAGCACGGAAAGTCATTCGGTCTGTCCAAGTCTCAGTGTGACGAGTTCTGGTACAAGGGAGCCGAGGGATACGATGTACACGCTCTAGTAGTGAAGCCGTCGAACTTTGACGAGACCAAAACGTATCCGCTTGCTTTCCTCATTCACGGAGGACCTCAGGCCGCGTGGATGGATAGCTGGAGTACACGATGGAACCCTGCCATCTTTGCGGAACAGGGTTATATCGCAGTCATGCCTAACCCGACGGGAAGCACCGGTTACGGTCAGCAGCACACCGACAACATCCAGAACGAGTGGGGTGGTCGTCCGTACGTCGATTTGGTAAAGTGTTTCGACCACATCGAAAAGAACATTCCGTATATCGATTGTGGCAACGCTGTTGCTCTGGGTGCTTCGTATGGAGGATACATGATCAGTTAGTCAGGGGACTGGTATACAGCGTAATGATAGATGCTAATTCCTCGCAGATTGGATCCAGGGCCATGAGCTCGGAAGAAAGTTCAAGGCGTTAGTTTGCCACGACGGCGTGTTTTCAACTCTCAACCAATGGTCTACCGAAGAACTCTTCTTCCCTCTTCATGATTTCGGCGGTCCGCTTTGGGAGAACCGAGAGGGCTATGAGAAGTGGGATCCTGCCCACCATCTTGACCAGTGGTCAACGCCTCAATTGGTCATCCACAACGAGCTAGACTACAGACTCCCTATCTCCGAGGGCCTCGCCATGTTCAATGTTTTGCAGGCACGCGGTGTGCCCAGCAAGCTTTTGATGTTCCCCGACGAGAACCATGTAAGTGCTAAGGCCCAGGTGACTTTTTATCAGCGGTAACTGACTGGCGAGCAGTGGGTCCTGAAGCCGGAAAACTCTCTTGTCTGGCACAGAGAGGTGTTGGGGTGGATTAACAAGTACACGGGCCTTGACAAGTCTGAGGATTTGACTATCAGGCAGTAGTAGCAAGATCTAAGCAGGAATATGCAGCAATAAGTTGTAATTTGTGGGCCGGAGCGGTATTTCGTGAATATTTGGTGGGTGATGCAATCGACATCGCCTCATTTTATCAAAGGCCATATCCTGGAGAGTAACTATAAATGTTGAAAGATTCTTTATAAAAAAAAAAAAGCGGAGTCAAGTCTCACAGCGTGGTTTGTCTAAGTACCTTGTGCGCCTTCTCAAGCATGGGGGGTTCACAACTGCCTCGTGAGACGACACAGTACCCATACTGTCGAAAGAGCTCTCCCCAGCGGTTCCGCATCCTGCAGGAGCTAAGGAGCTCTCACCTCACCTCCTTCCTTCACCTTTACTACGGAGATTCTGTCCCCTCATGGTCCGAGCTCCATCCATTTCAGTAAGGCTGAAATTTCGCGAACTTAAACCTCTTTCCCTCGCTCTCCCAACAACGAACGACTCGCACATGGGGATTGACGTGATCGACGCCTTTCCTCTACCTTATATTCATACACGGCGACGACTTGCGATCCGAGAAACACGTGACACAGCATCATGCGAAGCTCCTTGAACCTACTTCAGAACCGAAGGTGACTGACGAAATCGCACCCACGAGCCTAGACACAGCACTCGCGATTTCCTCTCGAGCCGCTCTTTCTCTTAATTTTTGCACGGCAAACTTCAACGTTCACGATATTTTTGAAGGAAAAAGACAACTTAATTATCTAAAACCAAACGAATCACATCATACACAAACCAAAAAAAAAAATAGAAAAAAAAAATGACACCCCCGCCGGTCCTCTTTCACGCCCTCCTCCGCCCCGCAGTCCTCCAGATTCTGCGCTCGACAGGCTACCACGCCGCGCGACCCGTGGTTCTTGATGCTGTGACGGAGCTTGCGGCGCGCTACATGTTCGCCCTCTGCCAGGCGACGGCGCGTCACGCGGGCGACAACGACCCACAAGGCGATGGCCCGGGCATCGTGGACATGCGCATGGCGCTGCAGGAGCTGGGCGCCGTGCCCCCAGACGACGTGCTCGCTGAGGGAAGAGGCGCGATATTGGGCGAGATTCTGGACTCGCTGGACGACGAAGGAAGAATCGAGGCAGGTGCAGAGGTAGCGGCAGCGGCAGCGGTCGTGCCGAACGGCGAGGGAGACCTGACAACGGCTACGCCGGTAGCGGTGGCTGAGAGAGGACGTGACAGAGAGGGAATCGTCGAGGACACCAGAGGCGTGGACGAGTTCATCAAGTGGTTCTCGGGACCGCGGAACAAGGCCATTCGCGAGGCGGCGGTCGGTGATGGGGAGTTAGAGTTGGGCGACTACTTGAACGGTTCGTTGCTTCACCACCACAGTCTACAGAATGCACAGAGTGGCAAGAGGGAATGACAGCGCAAATACTGACATTGGGGACAGTCCTGAAGAAGAAGCACAGCAAAACCGGCGAAGATTCAAAGTACCACGGCACTATCATCGGCAAGGGTAACGACGTAGGCGAGGTCCAAGTCGAAGGCGGCGACCTCCCGAGCATCCACACCTGGAGGTCCAAGATGCAAGGCCCGCCGCCGGGCAGCGCGCCGTCGGCGACCTCGCCGCGCATCAAGGAGGAGTCGAGACCACCGAGCTCGGGGTTGAGCTCTGTGGGCGACAGGCTGGGCGACGACCGGGAGAGTATGGACTTGTCATAGGGGACAAACATGCGGAAACGGAAGCGCGCCAGCAGCACTGCCAGTCAAGCGAGCGTGGCCAGCACCAGCACGAGTAGGACCGAGGGTCGTGAGAGTCGCGCAGTCCGCCCGAGAGGGGGCCGGGGCCGAGGCGGGTCGACGATGGCTGGAGGCAGGGTCAAGGCCAGCAGCAGAGCCAGGGCCGCGGCTAAGAGCAAGTCGAACAACAAGAAGAAGGACAGGGAGAAGGAGAGAGATAATGGTGGTTTCACGGCATAGCGCGGCGTTTTAATAGGGTGGGTTTGTGATATTTCGGGTCTGGCACTTGAGCGAGACAAATCCAAAAAGTATTCGTCGTTTGGAGGCGGGATGGCATGGATTGGATTGCATGAATATGGGAGGGCTCTCCTCGTAAATTACGGGAGAGGTGGGCTCGGATGGGTATCTATTACAGACCCCATCCGAGCATTACTACAGACTTCTTTGGCCGAGAATGGGCTGGGAGGGAGGTCTGCTTTTTAGCAAACATTGAATAGAGGCCATCATCTAGGCCAACACTTTTTTACTTCAAATTTGCCGTATTGAAGCCTAAGTGTGTTGTAGCACCATTTATCTCCGCGATGTCGCGTTGGACGGCATCACACACATCCAATGTACTCAATAGTCAAGATCTCCAGTATGTTTATGATGTGATGCTTATGATTTCTCCGTGTCTAACCTCTCAAGGTGTATTACACTTCCACCATGATATCCAGACTCATTCGACCTGAGGGAGCCTGAGCATGCGCTCACAATTCCACATTTCTAACCTGCTCTCACACCAGTTGGTATATCCACCTCTTCTTCGTTTTGTTGCCGTTTTTGAAATGGAAATAAAAAAAAACACACAGACCCATACAGTAATGCACCATCTTTTTGCCAATTTCGTCCTGGATAAGCGGCTTGATACACCCTTTTCCGGATATGTTCGCTTGAAAAACTCCATCGCCTGCCTTTTGTCATGCCAATCGGCGAGATATGCTTGATGCCCTCCAAGAATTTGTACACTGTTTGTGATTCTCTCCCCCCCAACCTCCTCTTTCACCTGGATATATGAAAACGAAAAAGGAAATCAAAGTACATCGTGTCTAGTTGTCGCGGTGGGCCTGGGCCGTCCTCGACTCGTGCGCGGTGTGTCCCGGGTTGGGTAGGATATCGCCGTCGGCGGTGACAAGGTTGTCCTCGTAGTCGGTGCTGTTCCTCAGCAGGCCCGTCTCCTCGCCGCTGCCATCGTCGTTGTCGCTGCCGCTCGAAGACGCGCCCGAAGCGGCAACCTCCATATGACCACGCTGGACCTCCCTCTGGGCGTCCTCGCGCATCTGGGTGATCTTGATGTAGTTGTACGCGACGATGGCGCCCATGGTGGTGATGAGACCGACAAAGTTGACAGGCGTGAGGCGGTCGTTGAAGACGATAGCGGCGGCGGAGATTGTCACGACCTCCTTGAAGATACCGGCGATGGAGAGCGTCACGACCGAAGTGCGCTGCAGCAGAGCGAATTCGGAGGCTGTCATGAGGAAGGCGATACATCCGGGGAAGAGGAGGAACAACGGCGTTGTGATGGCACCCCATTCAGCGATGAGAACCTTCAGACCCTCGATGAGGGCGGAGAAGCCCTCGACGGGAATGGCTATGACAATCAGCGTCAGGAACATGACCGGCGCCAAGAAGAAGATACTAGAAAACGGGTTCGACGTTGCCGGGTTGCGCAGGAGGAGGATTTGAGTTAAGCCCCATCGGAAACCGGAGAAGAAGGCGGCAGAGATGACGAGGATGAAGCCGCTGACTTTAAATTCGACTTCCCCTGACACCATCAAAACGACACCCGCAGTCATTGTCGCAATGATGGCTACGAGGCGCCATGTGGGCTTTTCGAGTCTAAACAAGAAGGCGAAGATCAAAACGAAAGCTAGGGAAGACGATTTACACATGGCTTGAAAGAAGGTTAGGTTTTACAGAGAGCTTCGATTGGCGCATATTACTTACTGTAGAATGTGAGAGTAATGAACTTGAGCGAAGTGTTTCCGAGTCCAATATCGAGACCGGTCGCGGCACCACACGGCCCAATGCGTGTTAAATAGAACATCTTGGTCATCAACGGCCTGTCAGGCTCGGATTCATGTCGCGAGCGCCCCAAGTCTGAATTGCGCACTCCATTAGAAGGGCGCAGGGAAGGTATTAAAAATAGCACTAATGATGCTAGGGCGAATTGTACCAACATGTGGCAGGCCGTCGTGAACAAAGGGAAAGCAAAGTTGAGGCGGTTCTTGTCGAACATCCACTTGTTATACTGCGGGCCTGGGTGTCATTTTGTGATCCTGCTGGCGGAGCCGAAAGGAGGGTAGGAGGGAATCGGCTTACCAGTGAGATGCTGAGAGAAAACAAGTACCACAGCAAAATCAGAACGATGTTAATAGCTGATTTCCTGAAGACATTTTGATCTGCCTCCTTCTTCTCCTCGGCCGAGATTTCGCCCCGGACGAAGCGCTGATCTAACCGCGTGTTGTTCCTCTTCTTTTGCTTCTTTCTTTTCTTGTCCTTCTTCGTAAGACCCGTCTCCTCGTCATCATGGAGATCCTCGTCAGAGACGCTGTCGTCGTCTATGTCCTTGGATGCCGATGGTGTGGCTCTGAGATCTTCCTCCGATATCTTTGGCTCTTCCAGCAAGTTTCCCTGGCTTCTTGACGGGACTCTTTGGTGGTTGCTAGCGCCGGCATTTTGCATGAGCGAGCTACGGCGCCGGCGGTGACCGGTTCCTTTCAATGGTTCCATCTCGATCTCGTCGTCTGCGACAGGAGGAGAGAGTTCTCGAGCGGTAGTGTTGAGGGAGGAAGAAAGGCCCGGGCGCAGAGATACGTGGGTAGGATCAGAGGCGACGACGTCTCGTGACCGGGCAGCATCCGGGTTCGAGGGTGTGTTATTCGTGGTGGTCGTGTGTCCAGGCGATGGTGCGGTGGGTGGTGGGAGGAGCAGAGGTGACAGGCTCAGGAGGCGGCGGTTGGTAGCAGTGTGATCGTGGGAGGAGGAGGAGGAGGAGGAGGAGGGGCGGGCGTCGTCGTGGTCAATGGGATCGGGGGAGGATGATACGGCACTGGCAGCAGCCGAGACGGAAACAGAGGCAGATTGAGATTGAGATTGAGGTTGGCCGGGGTCGGGAGGCAGCAGCACATGCACAAGTGAAGACGATGTCGAGTCGGATGGTGAGGAGGAGGATTGGGGCATGATTTAATCTGGGATTCCACAGCGGGATTCACAAGCACAAGCTGCTGGGGCTGGGTCGCCGTTGGTAAGGTCAGATCCAATTTACCGGCCGTCGTCTCTGGGCATCTGGCAATCCGCTGGGTCGGTGGATGGGGTAGAGACGAGGAACTGGGCGCAGTTGATTTGCTGCTGTCCGGGCTGGGACGCTGGACTGGGCTTGTGTGCTTTGGTGCAGTTGGTACATTTGGAAGCACAATTGGAGCTAGGCCGGGCCTTGGTGCAAATCGGGGGACGAGAGGCCAGACAGAGGCCAGCCCGAGAGGTTCTAATCCTGGCCACGGCGGTGCGGATCATTTCTCCAGTCACAGTCACAAGTGTCGCGCGGGCGCCCAGACGCGGACGATTGGTGGTGCTAAGTATCCGTGGAAATAGGGAGGGAGGGGGAGAAGGGGACCGGGGACGGGGACTGGGACGGGTGGGAGAGGCGGATACTGCGAGTGCTGCAGGTACGTACTCATGGTCTGCCCTGCCCATGATCTGGCATTTGGATGGCTTACCGCCAATTACCGACCGCCAGCCTCCTGAAGTTCTCCTACGTCCAATCTCTGCCAGATGTCCAATGTCTCTGCTTCCTGCATCAATTATGAAATATGGGGACCGGCTTGGCACGCCTCACTGTGGAGACGTCTCGTGGATTCGCTTCCCATGGCGGTCAGGGTCGCCATCAGGGATGACCTTCCCTGTTGCTCCCTGTGACATGCCAGCTCACGAGCTCACGAGCGCCAGACAGTACAACTGTACAAACAGTCACCCGGAGAAGGGGGCGAGCCTGGTTGGAAATCCTATGCAAAGCGGCCCGGCGAGAACTACAAACAGCGTTGCTTCAGGCACCATGGTGCTTCCGGGGCTCCCAGTTCTCCATCGACATACCCAGTTATGCCGGACAACTTCGACCCTACCCATGCGGACAGTGCATCCCACATCGGGCTGGAATAGGATGATGGGCCCAGGGCCACCCACTGTTGCTAAAAGACTGAGGCAAGGAAGAATCAAGTCAACATGAGAGATTTCTCTCCAAGGTACGGATACGCAACGCAATGACTGTACAGTTACAAAGTACGGACAAGGTATGGATAGTGTTACAATACGCGTGTTTTTTAAGTCACCATGCTCCATTCGTAGCCCCCATCTTCAGCTGGACATCGTCCGTTTGCCTTTACGCTTTCCCGCGGCCCGTCACTAGTGTGCCTTTCTCTCCCCCTTCTCCTAAAGTATCTGTGATTACCTCGAGGTACGCGAAGTTAGCTGCAATGTGCAAGACTGAACTACCTTAGCCCCTTTACTGGACCCCTCTCCCCCCATCAACCTCACATAGGTAGGTCACAGACTAAGTAACAAGCAATAGCATAACGTAAGAGTGGCCCAGATCGCCAGAGTGTGAGGGTCGTCCGAAGATATCTCTGCGCCTACTCCCTCAAAAGGGCCAAATATTCCGAAGATGTGATGATTCAAATTTCACAGGCTTGAAATGGAGCCGTTTATCCTCTAAAGCTATCCGACACATAAGACCTCCGAAAATGCACCCTTCCATTCTAGCTTGGCCGCCCAGCCGTCTCTCACATCCAGAGTCACAGGATCTCGCTCATCCATTTGCTGGGGGCAACCTTACCACGGCCCCCTCCCTCTTTTTCCCCTCACCGCGGTTACACTACGCAAGGACTCCAGCTGCAGGGCATACATTATCCATCGTGGGCAGACTGTAGTACCAATTCGCACAGGTTCTCGGTTATGATGCTAGCCATGTGGTGAGGTGTCACGGTCGTTGGTAAAGCTCTACCAGGCACAGAGTTTAGTGGCCGGGACTTTTCCAACCTTCCGATGAAGTGCTCGGGTGACCAGCTGCCCAGAGCGATCCAACCCACCCTCCTCAAGTCTCACACACACCAGCCGTGACTCTTCAGACCAACTGAAACCGCAACTCTCTCTCTCTTACCAGCCAGATTCACCGTGTTCCGAACCGGATTATCGGGCTGCGCCGCGACCCGCTGCTGAGCACCCAAAAAATAAAATTAAAAATTAAAGGAGCCCGCCCGGCATCCGATTTGTTTGAATCATTTGGAAGTCATCCATCCTCTGAAAAGCGCTGATCAAGTGATCTACCTCATCCTAAACAACCGTCGCATTGTTATCGTTTCCGGGCCCGTTTCTTCTGAGACTTGCCGTACGGGTATAAAATGTAGACAGAGGACTGGATACGGCCAAAAAAAAAAAAAAAAGTGCTTATTGCCTCGGTCTGTCTCCGTTCACAGGGAGTCGATACTTTTTCCCAGCTTTCCCTCCAGGCTTATTGTTCATTTCGCGCATGGACCGACTTGTCTATACCAAAAGAGGTATCAAGCTAATAGACGGCGGGCAGGAGAGAGTCCGAGTCCGATGGCTTCAAATCGGGACTATCGACTGACAGATGCAACAGTGAATGCCGCGCCAGCCTCTGACCTCTGTCTTTCTCCCGCAGGCGCGAGAAAATCCAACAACGAGATGGCGGCACGAGCTTGGTGTTCCTGTTGGGCCGTTGAATGTCTTGTCCCACCTAGCCCCGACTTGTTGTTTTGCTTCAGAAATCACCCGGCCCCAAGATTAATAAGAAAAGAAATACAAGACGGTCAAGTGAGACACCACCCGCCTCGTTCAGCCTCCCGATTACCCGCCGCTGCCGTACGCCTTTCATTGTTTCTTTCCTTCTCTTCCTCACAAACAGCACCGATCGTTCCCCAGCGCGTCAGTGTTTCATTTGTGGGAGGAGCTCGGGGTAAGCTAGACATTCCAAGGGAGGAAATTTGTCCAGACTTTCCATGATGTCAGCCACCGTCATCCAGCACCGTCGACCGTCCCGCGTACTTAGTCAGGATGCAGTTCAAGTCCCTGCGACCGATCTCTCGACTCCGGTGAGCGGTGGGTTCTCGGGCAGATTAGTTCAAAAAAAAAAAAAATCCTCTGACAAAGAAGCAGATAGCCTTTCTATTCTCCTGCGAGAGTTTCCGGTTGGATTCTGTCAACTCGTCTAGGATCCATTAGGGGGTAGCTCTTCGCGTATGCCTAAACCCAGCTGGGGTTGCCGATCTGGCAGCTCAATCCATGATAATCCCTACAAAGTATAAGCTGAGCTCCAGGTGGATTCTCACTAGCGGCTCGATGCGTCCTGCGACATTGAGCAGCGTCATCAACTCGGGTCTTGAGTCTCTCGACATCACACGGATGGGTCCAAGCTTTAAACCCCCCAGAAGCTGTCTTCTCTAGCGAGAATATTCAACTTTGCGTCCGGAAACGCTGCAGCTAGTGCTCAGTCAGCAAGGCGACAGCCTCACAGTGGGAGCGAGCGGCAGTCGTTTTCGTTTACGCTGCGGCTTGTCGGCTGTAAGTCGCTGAGAGAGAGAAAAGACCCGCGTGCTGGGTTTTAGTCGGCGTTTATCATAATTAAGAGACGACAATGATGAAGGCGTGCGCTAACATGTGTCTCTTGGTTCCCCTCCCGCAGCCACAGTAGCCGCAGATCATGGCTTCCGCTTTTCCCGTCTCTCAGTAATCGCCGGAGTTTACCCTCCTTACTTAGACCTCAAGCTTGACTTCATAGCTTACATTGATTTGGCTTGGCGACCGTTTAGCAATGACTGTCAGCTGTCCTATGTCCTCTCTTCATATTCCTCTTCGTCATCATCTCGCTCAAAAAGGTCTCATATAAGCACCAATTATCTGCGATAACATTTCATATCTCACTTATATCTCACTCACAACAGCTTCTCCGACGTTCCGGGAATCGACGTCATGGCTCAGCAGTGTTCGACGAGACATGTCGCCGGCAGCCGCGCTGGGTACCTGCCGATTGAGGACTATGGCATGATTGGCAACATGCACACCTGCGCGCTCGTGGGTACGAACGGCTCAGTTGATTTTATGTGCTGGTACGAATCGTTCTCCCACTGTCTTGTGCTACTTACACTTCCCCCGGCCGACATTTGACTCGGCCGAGTGATGATCCCCTTGTGCTCCCTCTCATGGCTGCCTATGAAATGAACGACGGCACAAGAGGGTGAATGAGAATCACCCAGACATAATCGACTGCCTGGAAGGGTACAGTGCTCGAAGAGTCTCGCATCCGAGATACCCGGCCGATGTCCTGAGCTAGATACCCCCAGCTCATGACATACTGCCACTCACATCTCAACCATGAATCTTGACATCTGACGCACCAACCAGGCCGGATTTCGACTCGCCCAGTGTCTTCTGTCGATTACTAGATCAGGAAAAGGGCGGCTTCTTCAGTATTTGTCCTCCTCCGTCTAAGCTGTGTACCACCAAGTGAGCGCTTGCGTCCTTCTCCGTTGTGACACACACCCCTGATCAATATCAAAAGGCAACAGTACCTCCCATCCTCCAACATCTTGCAAACTAGATACATTCATGATGACGGCGTTGTCGACCTCGTGGACTTCTTCCCTCGACCCAAGACTGCCACGGTCATATCGAAGAGTACCCGCCAGGGCGCGTTCCGTGAGATAACCAAGATCCAGGAGGAGCTCAAGAAATGGCTCGTCCGTCGAGTTGAGTGTATCCGCGGCCGTCTCCAGCTTGGTGGGTAACTACTCTCAAATCTCACCCAAAGTCAGCCATCGCTAAGTGCATCATCCCCAGACGTTGAGATCTTCCCGGCCTTTCAATACGCCAGCAAGTCCCACGTCACCACAATCGTCGAGCCGACTCACACGGCAGGCAGCTCAAGCAAGGCGGTCACATTCCACAGCGAGCACTACAAGATGCAGCTCGACATCGCCGTCGACGCCGCCGAGTCTGGCGTAGCTCCCTCCATCAACTTCACAAAGGAGAAGCGCGACGGCATGCTGGGCGAAGGCGTCGTAGCTCACATTGAAATCGAGGAGGGTCAGGCCGTCTCGTTTGTCCTCCGGAACGACAAGCCGGACCACGTCACCGAGAACGTCACGACGGCCGTGCTCGACGGCCAGCAGCATGATACGCAGTCGTTCTGGTACAATTGGATCTCCAAGAGCAAGTACAAGGGCCGGTGGCGCGAGGTCGTCAACCGGAGCTTGATGTTGTTGAAGATGTTAACTTACGAGCCCACTGGCGCCATCGTGGCTGCTCCAACGTTTTCCATCCCCGAGGATATCGGCGGTGTGAGGTAAGGATTTCCGTAGTATCGTCTGGTTTTTTTGGGAGGGAGAAAGCTCACACGTTCTGCGAAGAAACTGGGACTATCGCTTCTGCTGGGTCCGCGACTCTAGCTTCACAATCTACATCCTCCTCCGTCTGGGCTTCTCCGCCGAGGCCGACGCCTACATGGACTTCATCAGCGAGCGTTTCATCAAGTCGCGCGGCCCCGGCGGCGAGCTGCCCATCATGTTCACCATCCGAGGCGAGACGGAGATCCCCGAGATGGAGCTCAATCACCTTGAGGGGTATAGGGGCAGCAAGCCCGTGAGAATAGGCAACGGGGCCGCGTTCCATCAGCAGTTTGACATTTACGGCGAGCTCATGGACGGTATTTATCTGTACAACAAGTATGGGAAGCCCATTAGCTGGGACCAGTGGTGCTCAGTGAGAGAGATGCTAGGTATGTACCGTAGATGACCCCTTTGCCAGATCATGGAGCTAACCTACTACGTAGACTTTGTCCTGACCCTAACGGATAGTAAGCTACCAAACTTGGTTCCAATGAAAAGTCGGAAATACTGACGTTGAAAGAACCCGACATGTCCATCTGGGAGGTTCGCAACAAGAAACAAAACTTTACCTATTCCAAGGTCATGCTTTGGGTCGCCTTCGACCGCGGTCTCCGGCTCGCAGATAAACGCAACCTCCCCTGTCCCAATCGCAGCAAATGGCTCGAGGCTCGTGACAATTTGATGGAAGAGATCATGGACAAGGGTACATTCCTCACCCCTTGAACTTTACCCAGCCCAACCTTTTGCAGCTTTCTGCGTCTGGTCTCTCGCCTACGCCTCCCTAAGGATCACACCGACGTACATAAAAGTCATTACATGGAAACAAAATACTGACAACTCCGGGGCGATAGGCTACAACAAGGAGATGAAGTGCTTCGTCCAGAGCTACGAGAACAATACTATGCTCGACTCCTCGATCCTCATCGCCCCTCTCGTCTTCTTCATCGCCCCTAACGACCCGCGCTTCCTGAACACCATGGACCGCATCCTCATGCCCCCCGAAAAGGGCGGCCTCACCAGTACAGGTCTCGTGTCGCGTTACGATACCGAGCTTTCAGACGACGGTACGCCACCCCTCCCCCCCTTCCCTCCTATCCCGACCTCTCTCCAACAACCCGTTTCAACCCATATCTCGAGTGATATCTAATCTATCTTGCTTTTCTAGGTGTCGGCGGAAGAGAAGGCGCCTTCAGCATGTGTACCTTTTGGCTCGTCGAGGCCATGACGCGGGCCTCCGTTTACGAGCCGAAATACCTCGTCCGCGCCGTCAACCTCTTTGAGAACATGCTCAGCTTCTCGAACCACCTCTCCATGTTCTCCGAGGAGATTGCCCGCAGCGGCGAGCAGCTCGGTAACACGCCGCAGGCCTTTAGCCATCTAGCCCTCATCAGCGCCGCCTTCAACCTGGATCGCGTAACTGGGTTTCAGCGATGATTTGGAAATGGTGACTTGGGCAACATCGCTGGCTATTAAGGTTTCAATATGAGGCACATGAGACAAGGGATTCCATGAGTACTTACAGTTTATCAACAATCACACTTTTGGCATGTTACTTCCTGAATATGGCTATGGCTGGAGAGGTGCTTCTATTTTGTGTCATACGTTGATTATGATGGGTATGGGTGACCTCCAACTCCAGAACGCCAATCTAACCGAAGAAACGATTTAGACCAAGAGAAATCATCCAAGCAGTTTGAGACCATTCTTGGTCTTCTGTCCGGGTTTGGTGACACCGTGACTATGGACAGGGCCGAGGTGGGGTTCGTATCCAGTGCCCTCGGCATGCTTCCCCCCACCGCCAGCACCGTTGCCTGAGTGCTTCTTGTTCTTGTTATTGCGGTTGTTGCGGTGATCCTTGTCCTTGACATTGGTGATCTTGATCTCTGTGTTCGCCTTGCGCACGGTGACGGGGTGGCTCTGAATGTACTTGCCGTTCATCTCCTTGGCGGCCTGGAAAAAGTCGTCGGCGTCGCTGAAGGAGACGAATCCGTAACCTTTGGACTTTGCGGTGCGCTTGTCGCGGATCACGCGCGCCTTCTGCACCGACTGCCACCTCGAAAAGGCCTTTAGAAGGGACTCATCTGTGACTTCGCCCGCGAGGTTGCCGACGAAGAGACGCAGATGGCTCGGGTCCCATTCGGCGAGAGTGTCGTCCGTCCATTTCTTGCCGCCGCCTTCGCGCGCGACGGTCTTTTTGCGCTCTGGGGGTTGGTTTGCTGCAGCTGCTGCCGCGGCCGCGGCTGCGGGGTCCACGATGGGAGGGGTCACGACATTGCCAACATTGCCACCTGTGGCCGGCATGCCGCGGGCACCGGGGACGACTGGGTCCCTACCGCTGGCGTCCTTGTTGTTGGAGCTGTATGCGCTCTGCCACTGCGCTATTTGCATCGCCATATCCGGGTCGTAATCGGAGGTAGCAGCGGCAGCGGTGACACCGCCGGTCCCGGGGATCGGGAACGGGTTGCGAATCTGCGGCGCCGCGCCATAGGTCGAAGGCGGCGCATGGTAGCTCGTTGACTGGCCGTAGCTTGGGCCAGCACCGGCTTGTGGGTATTGATTATATGAGGGTGATGCCTGGTAGGGGCCGGCGCCGCCTACCGAGGGCGAGGAGTGTTGCGGGTACGACGCGTAGGAAGAGCCATAATGGGCCGCGGGTGCGCTGGCGTAACTCGGTGCGCTCGAGTAGGAGGGAGGCGCGGAGGAGGTTGAGGCTCCGTACGCGGGTTTGAAGGCGGGCTTGAAGGCGGGCTTGAAGCCTCCGGATGCCTTGGTCGGAGGTGGCCGCGCGGGTAGGGAGGGATGAGAAGGTGGGTTACCGGTAGAAGGGCCGCTTGAGATACCTGGAGGGGGCGGGTAGGCCATAATGAATGAACTGCGGATACGATACGCTTTTTTTGTGCAAGGCGCGTGCGGCTTGCTTGAGTAGTTTTGTGGTAACGTACCTCTGAGCCTGGGAGTTTCCTGCTCAAAGAAGTCAAATCTCCTTTGCTATTTGCTAAAGCCGAAGGTGGGCGTGCTGTTGTTGGGGCTGGCGCAAATGCAGAGATGGGTTTGTTGGTGGTGTATTGGGAGAAGTTGTGACGAAGTCGTCTCAGCCTCGGCGAAGGCACGTGGCAGATGTGGCTGGTAGCCATGGCCGGCAGATCACGTGTAAGATGTAGCTTTTCACCTTGGTGAAGCTCGGACGAGGAACCTTGCGTGGCATTGCTCTTCAACCTTTCAGGTGGGTGGACACCACCAACTGCCGTTCATAGCGTCGCTCAAATTACCTCAGTCGTTGCTTCTCGAATCCCGAGGTTCGCCATGCAGCCCATGCCGCCGATTGCACGCCCAGAGAAGTTTAAGCACGGAAAACAACAATGACACTTCCGTCATAAGCCATTTTGATTATTTGGCATTGGCCATGTTGTCTCGCTTCGCCCTGCTGGGATTATTGCCGTCACATTTAACCATCCTGTTCCTGCATCAGCTACATTTTATCCGTCGGACATCTTCAGACGGACATAACGGCTAATGAGTAGTGCAGTTGTCGGTGTTTGCTGACTGACATCATGGCCTCCGTCGCCCTCCGACACGACGCTGCGTATCCCTCGGTCACTTTAGTAATGCGCGTGGATTCTAAGCGGAGCTCTAGCGGAGTTCTCAACCGATGACTCCGGTTCGTGCAACCGATCCAAGGCCCGAAGGCGGCGGTGACCCCCACTGAGGTTGCCCCCTCGCTTCCTTTGTCAGAGCCATATTTATCGATTTGTGAGCAGCGAGGACGGATTCACTGTCACCTTGCCTCCATCCACACCTTGAGGTATCTTGGGAGATGGAGGTGCGATATTTTCTGTCCCTTCTGCTGAGGGCGTGGGTCTCAACGAACCCAATAGATTGAGGCTGCTTCGGCCAAGCAGTCCAACTGGAGGAATTGGAGGGGTTCATTACGGCCAGCTTCGGTTTGGTTGGGGCCGACTTCCTCTGCACACCATTGGAAGCGCATCGTGATTTGTCGCTTATACAGAGCAAGGCCCGCTATCCGCTGTCCAGGGATAGGAAACGCGAGGCGCATGCTAAGTGTAATTACAGTGGTGGTGGCCACTGGTTGTGGTAAGGCTGCGTCTTTAACGGCATTCTCTCCGGCTGAATATGGATTGCCGAGGGCGCGCTCTTAGATGAATGGCGACAACGCGACGTCCCGAAATCTGTCTGCAGACCTCCGGCGTCTGAAAATTCTCGAAGCTCTGCTGGAACGGCCCGGAGCATGGGGGTGTCTTCGATGCTGAAGGAACGGAATTTCCTCCAATGCAGTCCGGAGTGAGAGGCAGATACTGCACGTGCCGAGCGGCTCTCGAGGAACGTTTGGAGCATTAGCAAGACAACAACCTACCAGATAAACCAACTCCTCTTTGATCCCTCCCCCCTACCACCCAAGACGTCCAGGAGCGAACGAAGCGAGCGAGGAAGCGATTACCGGAGCTCCGTTGGGAGGGCACTGTTATATGCCGCCAGCAGGCAGCGCAAGACCAGCAATGGTAATTAGGCAGAGCCCCCGCGCCCTGTTAGACCGAGCACATAATGTTCCTCCGCGGCCGTGAGTTGCGAAACGTCAGGGTCTGACGCATCGAGTTTGAATACCGGAGTCGCAAATCCCTCCCCTGGAACACGCAGAGTGTGAGACATACCCGCGGCGGCCAATGGGAACGGGTGCCTATCGCCGAATCGGACCACAACAGGACGGATCCAGAAGCGCCTTTTTTGCACGACGGGCTTCGTCAGGCTGGCGCGCTGCTTGACTAAAACACCACCGGGCGGGGAGCAGGCATAATGGTCGTTGCTGGGCCGCCCTCCGCCGCGCGGGCCGGTCAATGGTACAATGCGGCAATCGTGGTACATCAGAGTCGTTGCGGAAAGAAACCCGGTACTTTTCATTTTCTCTGCGACTCTGCGAGCATGTCTCTCTGCCATTGCTGGTGTTTGGTGTTTAGAGCCATTCTGCTTTGCCGGGCACAACCAATCGAGAAAAGCTTCTGGCTTCTTTGCTCAACAACAAAACGGCAAATGGCAGATACGGACGCGGGAAAGACGAGGTGGCAGAGGAGAACATCGTCATAACCGCCCCTCCTTAATAAGCCATCCAATTGGGGCGGGCCGGAGGAGGGTCTGGATGGAGCTCCACGTCCTGGCGGTCATGTATGAGTCCCTGTTCTTTCTGTATCCGTACGGAAGTGCTGGAACTGAAAGTGGGATGCAAGATACAAGCAGAGTACATTGTACCTCTTTGTCCATGAGTAAGCTCGTCCCGCCAACAAAAAAAGCCAACCACTCGAGTTAGTCCAGGAGAGTCCAGGAATGACCTCAGTCAAAGCAGCCCTGTTGATGGTCGAACAAGCCGTCAAGTCCCGCTTTTCTACCCAGTCTTTGAGATTCCCACCAACCCACCCCCAAAGAAAGAAGGGAAGCGAAGAAAAAAGTTGCAGCTTGGCTATAGCCGTGGACATCTCCCACACTCTCTCGTCGTCTGTGGCCTGCGGGCCTGCGGTCTGCCTGCACCCAGGCGAAGCACCGGGGCTACTTGATGGGAGTGTGCACATCAGCGCTTGTCATGGGTGGCCCCTGCACTAAGACAGAGACCCCCCCCCCCTCCCCTCCTACCCCTCCGTCGACCCTCCCCCTACAAACTTCGTCCGGGTTGACGAAAGCTCCAGCTTCTGGTCTCCTTCTTGTCACATTCCCTAGAGATAAATAACTCGACGCTCCCGCAGATCATCAAAGACTCGCGCGTCTGAACCTCTCCTCCATCAAACAAACCCCCACGTAAACCACCGACACATCATTCATCATGTCTGGACCTGTGTAAGTAACACTTCATCTGCTTCTAAACCCCTCTTCGCTCTCAAGCCAAACTACCCCACCACCCCGCTCCCGATCTCCGATGCTCACGACAATGGCCGCGGCTGCGAACTCCCGCACGTCGACGTAGGTCGTGATGCTTCGATGCCGGTGTGGTCTCGGGAGCTGCCAATGGACATTGGCCTCAAATCATCGGGTTCTCCTCTCTCGACACAACAACATGCTCATACTCGTAATGCAGCGCTCGTCTTGCCAACCTTGTGCCAGGCGTTGTGCCTGCTCCGAGGTCCCGCCCCGCTCTCCTCGCACCTGAATAAGCAACGTCCGACTAGTGAATACTGAAGCTGACCACCGTCACAGCGCTGATATGGGCCTCATCGGCCTGGCCGTCATGGGTCAAAAGTGAGTCCTCCCAACTTCCAACATGCAAGAAACAGTCACTAACACCACCAAAGCATTATCCTCAACGCCGCCGGTAAATCCGACGCTCCCAGACCATACCATATCGATGTGGCTGATACCCTTTCCAGATCACGGTTTCACCGTTGCCGCTTTCAACCGTACCGTCTCCAAGGTCGACCGATTCCTGGCCAACGAGGCCAAGGGCAAGTCCATCGTGGGCGCTCACTCTTTGGAGGAGTTCGTTTCAAAACTTAAGAGCCCCAAGCGAGTCATGCTTCTTGTCCAGGCCGGCAAGGCCGTTGATGATTACATTGACACTCTCATCCCTCTCCTTGAGAAGGGTGACATCATTATTGACGGTGGTAACTCTCACTTCCCCGACTCCAACCGCCGCACCAAGTACTGCGCATCCAAGGGCATCCGCTTCGTCGGCTCCGGTGTCTCTGGTGGTGAGGAGGGTGCCCGCTACGGTCCCTCCATGATGCCCGGTGGTAACGAGGAGGCCTGGCCCCACATCAAGGACCTCTTCCAGAGCATCTCCGCTAAGAGCGACAATGAGCCTTGCTGCGACTGGGTCGGTGACGAGGGTGCCGGTCACTACGTCAAGATGGTCCACAACGGTATCGAGTACGGTGACATGCAGCTTATCTGCGAAGTACGTAGCCCCTTCAGCCGTTTACTGCGCCGTGACTAACGTTTCATTTAGGCCTATGATATCCTGAAGCGCGGTCTCGGCCTCTCCTGCAAGGAGATTGGCGATGTCTTCGCCAAGTGGAACAAGGGCGTCTTGGACTCTTTCCTGATCGAGATTACCCGTGACATCTTGTACTTCAATGATGACGATGGAACTCCTCTGGTCGAGAAGATCCTTGACCAGGCTGGCCAGAAGGGTACCGGCAAGTGGACCGCTATCAACGCCCTTGACCTCGGTATGCCCGTCACTCTCATTGCCGAGGCTGTTCTTGCCCGCTGCTTGTCCTCTATCAAGGAGGAGCGTGTGAAGGCTTCCAGCAAGCTCCAGTACGTTGGTCGCACCAACAAGTTTGAGGGCAACAAGGAGCAGTTCATCGACGACCTCGAGCAGGCTCTGTATGCCTCCAAGATCGTCTCCTACGCTCAAGGATTCCAATTGATGAACGAGGCTGCCAAGGATTATGGCTGGAAGCTTAACAAGCCTTCCATCGCCCTCATGTGGCGTGGTGGCTGCATTATCCGCTCTGTCTTCCTTAAGGACATCACCAACGCTTTCCGTAGCAACCCTGACCTCGAGAACCTTCTCTTCGACGACTTCTTCAACAAGGCTATCCACACTGCCCAACCTGGCTGGAGAGACGTCGTCGCCAAGGCCGCCCTCCTCGGTATCCCGACCCCGGCTTTCTCTACTGCCCTGTCTTGGTTCGACGGCTACCGCACCAAGGACCTCCCTGCCAACCTCCTCCAGGCTCAGCGCGACTACTTCGGTAAGTTATTTGACAAAATTCGTTTTCACGGCGTAATAATAACGATGCTTCTGCAGGTGCCCACACATTCCTCGTCAAGCCCGAGTCAGCCAACGAGAAGTACCCCGCTGGACAGTACCACCACGTCAACTGGACTGGCCGCGGAGGCAACGTCTCTGCTTCCACATACAATGCTTAATGGTTTTCTGGATAGGTTAAATAGAGGGTTCAGTATGACAACTGGTATAATGATGCCAGGAGAATGAAATGAAATGATTACACATAATTGAAACATTATAAGATCCATCATTTCTTGCCTCGAAGTCCAGCAATGTGAGCCTAAAAACCGAACATGTACCTTGATCCAGAGGATGCATGCCTTGCTTGAAAAACGTAAAATTTTAGGTACACGGCGTGCTTTTTATTTGGGCCTCGGAGCAAGACCCCATAGGACAACATCGTCTTGACTGTGTTCCAAGTCCAGCATGTTATGCGCAAGCCATTCTGGACGCTGGCGACACAAAGGAAACCTGATGCATTCTTGGGTTCTCGTGGCACCGGGGCGGAACCGGCGACGAACACGGAACTTGCTCCACAGTGTGGTCGGAGGCCGAAAATACGGTACCTGAGAAAAGGTACCCATATGCACGGACCGTGACCCGATACCTCTTTGATTGGCCATTGACTGACCGGGGTCTCTCACAGTACCGCAGCCTCGTCGCGACAAATTTGGGGCGCGCGAACCAAGCTACAAGTCAACCAATCCATCAACCGAATACAGCATTCCCAATTGTCGCGCCATCTCAGTCAGTCTTACCCCTTCGTCAATCGCTCTCCCCACCTACGATTCCAAGTTAGGGATAATATTACTCGCTTCGCGCGACGGAAGCTGCGCATCAGCATCCGTTCCAACCTCATTGCACCGTAAATCCCACGTCGCGATCCACTATGGCGCAAGACCCAAGTGACGGGATCGATCAGGAGCTGGTAGGTTGCCGCAGCACGATTTCGGGCATCGGATATCCTCGCTGATCCTTTCACAGCTCAGCCATGCTCACCTCATCTCCGCCAATCACTACGCCGACCAGGCACGCGTCGATCTAAATCAAGTAACGAAATGGTTGATGGCGGCACCCCAAGTCGCGAAGGACAAAGCTCCCTTCTTCTGGACCTACCTCGATCGACCCCGCGACGGCCAGGTCTACCTCACATGGCAACCTCTCAAGAGGCTCGGAACGAATTTCGCCAGCGACGGAATGATCTGCGGCCCCGAGCAGTACCATAGACAGGATGTTGGAAATGGATTGGTAGGCATCTCGTTGCATTGTTGAAGCAACAGTCTGACTCAACCATTAGTCTCTCGAAATCCACTACGTGAAGTCGGGATTCATCCCTGGTGAGCAAGTCGCCATGCATGCTCGACGCAGATTCCGCCTCGTCCCCTCGCAGACCGGTGTAATGAACGCGCCTCAGCCAGATATCAGTCTCTGGATCGTCCATTATGGACCTTCTGACCCGCCCGACCGCGTTCCCGTCAACCTAATCCCCGTATCCCAAGAAACTCAGCACACCATGGCGACTCGCAACCACCTCCAGAAGTGTGGTCAGATAGCCCGAAAGGACTTTATGCTTTCCGATCGCGCTAGCTGGCCCTCAATCCAATTCCCGCGTAACGGCGGCCGGCCCCAGATGTACAACCCGCCAGCGCAGTCGCGGCGCGTGCCGCAGCAGATGGCTTATCCTCCTACAGGGCCCCAGGGCCGTCGTGGCCGCCAGCAAGCGCAGGCGCAGGCTCAAGCCCAACAGCAACAGCAAGCTTTAGCCCATGCCGAGGCTCTGCACGACGACGAAGAATTAGAGAAGGATCTCTTTGACCATCTCACCCCTAGAGACATTTCATTCGCGCGGTATCAGCAAAACCACGAGTGGATGGAGGAGATTGTGTCTTCGCCCTACGGCCTCAGCCAGATTGCACCTCCCGACCTCGGACTTGGTCTCAAGGGAGAGCTGGCATCTCTGACTGACGGTATTTTCTCGGCGCAAAGTGCAAACGCCCTTACGGAGCCACCACAGAAGCCATACATTGGACGGCTAGAACCCGGCCTGGCTGATGAGTTCAGGAAAAGAGTCCAGGAGCATCTTGACGCAACAAAGGCTGAGATGGAGAAGATGAAGGCAGAGCATGCCAAGAACCTGGCAAGCCTCAAGGCGAGCTCGATATTTGTTGATGCGGAGAAGGACGTCAAAAAGTCTGTTCAGGAGCGTGGGCCAGAGCCGTGGCGCCTGGAGGGCTATTCCACTGATGCGGACGATAACTCCGGGCCTTGGTCACAGAAGCATAACAAGAAGGTGGATGAGATTGTGGCTCAGGTTGAGGCCAACCTGGGTCGACACATTGAGGTGCTCCACAACGTACATCGCATACAAGATGGCGGCTTCCAGGAACCCGCCCCTGAACCTGTCAAAGAGCCTTCACCGATCCCGCCACCGGGGAGCTCTCCACCGGCAGCGGCAGCGGGTGCTGATGCGAATGCCTCGGGGTCACGGCGGCCGTCTCAGGCTGGCTCTAACCACAGTGGCGTGATGGTGGGCGACTCGGATATCGACATGGGAGGCACTGCAGCAGGACTCCTTGACGAGATGCATACTGGGTTCTCTGCCAACTCTACTCCGTTGAATAACTTCCCTACACCGCAAACACACATGTCCGCGTTGAATTCAAACGCAGGAACTCCAGCCAACGCAAACGCGCCGTCGCCCGCACCAGTTCCTCCCACTATCCCGGAAGAGACCGAGGCGCAGACTTCCACCGGCGTTCCTCCTGCCACAGGAGAGGATATCACGATGGGCAACACAGAGTCTTCCAAGGACACTTCTGCCACGGCGCCTGATCAAGGGACCGGCAGTGGTGAATGGGTCGTCGTGCCTAAGGGGGGAACGACGCCCGATCCCGCCTCCGCCGCTACTGCAACTGAGGGCGAGGCTGCCAAGCCAGCGGCCAAGGCCCCGTCCGCTGCCGGAACGCCAGCAGACACTCAGACCCCCGGCGGCTTCAGCTCGTTGGGTGACCTGGACTCGGCCGGCGATGCAATGGCCAGTTACGGCGCGTCCATGGGTGATGGCCTGGATATGAACATGGAGATGGAGGACTCTGCGTTCGGTGATGCGTTCCACGGTGTGTCGAGCACCAATACGCCTGGGAACCAATCTGAGGGCGGGGCTTAGGATCCCCTAGACCCGCAGCTTGATTGGGACACCGAACAATAGTGAAAGACGGTTACTTGAGGACAATGTATGTTTAATGCTGCACGGTGGCTCGGTCAACCCTGGTTGGGACCTTTCGATGGGTTTTTTGGGATTTGTGAAGAGAGAGGCGAGGGCTTGTACGGTATTACACGGATAGTTCAAGGATGGAACGAATCAGACTTGCTCAGACCTCGTGCTCTTCTATATCTGATCAAGGCTGCTAAATGTTAGCTCGATGCCAGGAGATAGTACTTGTGAGGCGGAAAGTAAATACGGCCGCGGGCAGAGTGTTACGTGAATATCAAGTAAACTGCAAGACAGACTAGGATCGCCACGCAACAGGCTGAAGAAGTCTTTTGACCCGGAAAATCTCAGTACCGTCATATTTTCAGATGGGACAGTGCCTAGGTAACCAAACACGCCTTCGAGTCCACAGGCGGCAGCGTCAAACAAGGAGAAAATGGTGATACATGACGGTTCATCCCAGAGCAGCCGCATTGCGTCGACAGGGGCGGTGGTCAGTGCGCTATGTTAGTAAGATGGCCTGATCTACTCCAGAATCCCTAACACGATCACACGTCTCCGCATCGCATCGGGCGGGAGGTTTTAGGTTTGATCAGCGCCAGATACAGCGTCTCAGCCGCAGCTTTACACCAGCCCCTGTCAACCCGACTTCACCTCCTCAACCTGGTCAACGAATGGCTTCCCCAGCGTCCATCACGATGAGATTGGACGAAAAACAAGGTGCTGCCGCTGGTTATTCCTCAACGCAGGAGTTTATCTGAAGTTGCTGGGCGTCCCCCTGCTCATCACACAAGCTTAACCCCCAACTTTAAGACGAAGCTTCAGGAGCTATGAAGATTTGAAGCAGCTTGATCTATTGGTTTGATCTCGAAGTACGGGTTTGCGCCCTACTTCTGAACAATACGCCCCTTTATAGAGCGGTTAGTGAAAGAAATGCCCAGCTGGAAAGCGGTAGAAGATGAAGCAAGCCCAGGATCGCGAAACCACACTCGACCACTCATGAGATCCTCCTCCTCCACAATGACCACCCCTCCACGAGAGTGTTTCGCATACCATCTGCCGCCGAGGTCTCTCCAAGTGGCTAGGTTGCTATTGTGGATCTTTCTCGTGCATCTGGGCAACATCGTAGTCTTGGCCAAGCCCACCACATCGAATGGGAGCAGGGCTTTGTGGCCCCCCTCCTTGTAGCGAGTGTCGGCCGTGAGACGCGCTCGACAATCCCTGCCCAGCCTTCTCCTTAAGCTCAGGATGACGCTCTGGGGAATTCTGCCATGAATCCCCTTGTTGAAGGCTTGACTTACACGCGCAAGATCCATTCATCAAACCTCTTCCACTAGGGACTGAGGATCTCCAGGCGACCCCCCTTCTTGCTCCCCTTCCGCTGCTTCTTCTCTTCCAACCTTTGTTTCTTCGTTCACTTCGCATTACCCTGGTTCGAGTTTGTCTTCAATTCTGTTTACTTTCTTGTTCACCTTTTTTTTCCTTTTTAACGCCCTTCTTTTCTTCAACCCAACCAACCCTGCAGGTCAGCTTCATTTCAAGCATTTCGTTCGTTACAAGCCCTCGACTTTGGTACCCAAGATCCAGTTGGGCGTTTACCCCCTAATTCAAACTTGCGACTTTTCGACACGTGGTGCTATCTTGGGTGGATTCGGCGCGGCTTTATACTCGACAAGAATATCTTGGAAAACAAGAGACAAGATGCGGTTTACAAAGTCCTTGGGGCTTTTGTTTGGTGCTGCTGTTTGCAACGCGCAGATTTCGAAGCCGAGGGCCGGGGATGTCTTGCAGCCAAACCAGCAGTTCGAGGTTGAGTGGCAGACCGCGGGCTTGCAACCCCCAATCAACATTGACCTGGTTCCTAGTGGCAAGACAGACTTGTCAGTCATTGCCGAGAAAATTGCTGGTAAGAAACGCTCTCTGGGCCCTCAGATGAAACAACTTGATAATTAATCATAGTCTACAGTGCAAGTCGACAACGTCGGCCGTCTGAATTGGAATCCTAGCGCCTCCATCACGGCCTTTGTGAGCTTCGCCATCGTCATTACGGATTCCGTCCAGGCCGTTGTCGTTTCCGAATCATTCCAGATCAGCCAGCTCACTCAACAACCTGTTAACCAGACGATTCTTAGAGAAGACTCGGCTCAGGTAGAGACCGTCACCGTGGCTGCAGGTCCTCCCAAGGTTGTGTACTCTGGCGCTTTGCCCCCTGATGCCGTTCCCGCCGGTATTGCTGTCGCGGCGGCTATCCCTACGGAGGGCGCTCCCTTCAAGCCTGCCGAGTCTGCTCTACTTGACAAGGATCCTGCCGATGGTGTAAAGAACGGCATCTCGAATGGCACCGTGCCTGAATTTTCCCCATCCAGACAGGAAGGCGGTGGATCCAAGAAAGCGCCCGCTCCCAGCTCTTCCGCGACCACTGACGAGAAGGCTGCCCCTTTGCCCGATGAACAAGGCGTACCTGGAAACTCCTCGAAACCGCTCACGAGCATTGGTGAGAAGAATCAAACCCCGTCGGCCCCTGAGACCACTCCCACGCCAGAATACTCGACCATTCAGTCCGCGCCCGCGTCATTCCCTACACTGTCAGCTACCAAGAACCAGACAGGTTTGCCGGGCCCTGAGGTCACACCTACTCCGATATACTCCACGATTGCGGACTCAGGCCCGGCTTTCCCGAGCCTCTCGGCCAACAAGAATCAGACAGCTCCCGCAAACGCCGAAGCTACCCCCACTCCTATTTATTCCACGTTGCCAGATACACCCTCATCTTTCCCGACCCTTCCACCCACCAACAACCAGACAACCCCGAGCGCTGGGGTGAGTTCTTGCGGCTTGTTTCTCCCAATGTAGCCCATGCTAACAACAGATTCAGCAGCCGGCCAAGAGCAAGGCACCTGCTGCCACTCTACCAGCTGAAGTCGAAGTACCAGTCCCAGCGAATCGTACCAGCATCGTGCCAGAAGCTCCAGCCACCCCTTCCCTTCCGATTGTTACTCTTCCAGCACCCAATAACACCACGGTGCCAGCCACGTCAGCAGCTCCTTTGCCCTCGGTCGCAACTGAACCTCCCGTATTCCCGAGTGCCACGAATCCCTTGCTCAACAGCACCGCCCCGACTGGTTTACCGGCCATCCCCGTCCCCGTTGCAGCCCCTTCGCCTTCGAATGTCCCGATCAACGGCACGGCTGATACGAAACCGCAGCCCTTTGACCCTGCACCGGCCATTAGTTCGAGCAGTGCTCTGCCCTACAGAGGAACCCTGCCTGCAGATGGTGGCACAACCCTGAAGCCGATCAAATCCGATGTCCCTGCGTCAACCACCGATGGTCCTACCAGCACGTTTGGCAAGGATTCAGCAACGCCCTTGCCTAGCAGCGGTGAAGGTGGTAAGAAGGGAAGCAAAAAGGGAGGTGACGGTGGAAGCGGAGGCGGAAATGGAGACAAGAGCGGAGACAAGAGCGATTCCGACAATAGCTCCGGAAAGGGTTCTGGTGATGGTTCCGACACTGAGTCCGATAGTGAATTCGGCTCCAGCAGTGGCATCGACACAGACGGCAACAGATCCGGCACTTCAGACTCGGCGGCCATCGTACCTACGCCTCAGCCTCAGCTTGGTGGCTCGTCTGGCGCGACCCGGGTCATCCAGATTGGTCCCATCATCACATTGCCGTCTTCCCTTTGGACCTCGATGATTCTCGCGACGGCGGCTGGTGTTGGTGCAGCGGCCCCGACTGGTGGTTTGTTTGCGGTTGCGGCCTCTCCTGCTGTGCTTGTGTCTTCTGCAGGTTTTAGGACGACTGAGGGCGATTATTTTGCTGCATTTTTGAGTGCTGTGACGGTGCTTGTGGTTACCGTGATGTAGTAGATGGGCATCGATGAGATGAGGGGGGCGGGGGTTAGGATTGGTGAAGCCAGGTTGGGTGCAAACCATTGTATAAGCCCATTATTCCTTCATAACTTTGAGAATCATGTCGTTAGGGGTGAAGGATATGAGATAATACGTAGTCAAGATGCGTGAATCGACTATCAAAATTCTCCACCGTGGACTGTGTAGCTTCACGACGATCCCGGGGGCGGGTGTAGAGGTCTGCGGTTTGGCTAAACTCTCTGTGACTTGAGCTGATGATCATGCCAGAAGGGTTTAATAGCAGAGAAGCCTTCTAGAACGCTTCTACCTCTTAGCTGTACTGCCAGTAAGCATGCTAAACCTGCAATATACATCACCCTGAGATGGGTTAGCGAAGCCACTGCTTGCATGAGACCGAAAGGGGGTAAGCAAGTATCAGGTCGGCAGTGAATTTCGCGCCATACCTCTCCACTCTCTCTCTCATGTTACCTCCGAAAAGCACCTGCGGAAGAGACAAAATTACACATCTCAAGGTGGTAGCGACGGCTGTGCTCTGAATGCATCGTAGACATCTGTCCTTCGAGATGGTCGCGTAGGTATGGCATGTAGTCCGATGCTTAAGCCGGCACGGTAGGCTAGACACTCCACTGTGCAAGAGGTGTTCACATGATTGCTGTGCTTGGTTTAGATAGATATTCACGGTCGGTAATGGTCACAGTGAACGCGTGGGATTCTGCATAGATTGTTTCTTATGCGGCATACGATCGTGTCCACATCACACATCACATCGAAGGAGTGGGGAAGAAAAGGTCTTTCCTTCCCATTTAGAAGGAAAGCAGTTTTGGAGGAGACCGAAGAAAATCGTCAGGCCACACCTTGAATTGATCACCGGACGATGGAATACCCTGGGGGCATCACCAAGGCAATCAACCCCTCAAGCATCTCCACCCATTGTATGGTAGATGGCAGGTGAGGCAACTTTGGTCCCCATGACCCATTTCCGCTTCATCTGAAGCCCTCAAGGTACCCAGTCTGATCGAGTGCAATAGTCTGTCTGGTGGCTTGAGGGGTAAGGAAGCGTTCATTGTTGCCATGCTTTTGAATCACATCGGTCATCTATAGTCGAACGACTATGCCACCACAGTGGTCTGCGCGTGCCCTCTTATTGACAAGGCAGTAAGACAAGTCTATGGGTGATGAGAATAAGATTTTCCCCCAAAATCAGGCTAGGCAACTTCAAGACCGTAATATGTTCTGGATAAAAAAGGAGGTTCTCGAGGGCGAAATTGCCGGCCCTGACAATCGACTCATGTTTATTGGCATGTTACCAGCCAACAGTGTCTCGCCTGAGATGGCCTGTCGACGGATTGACCCTGCCGTTCTTTAGCTGTGGAAGAGATTAGATGAGTGGTATATGTAAGACGTTGCAGCAGCAGTGGTCTTCCCTTGAAATGATAACACTGCGCTGTCCCTGCACTTTACAGCATCGGGATCTGGGACGTTGGACAAAATTGCCTGAGGTTGGACCACGAAATCTCACCGGGTCTTATGATGACTAGTGCCATTGCCTTGGCTGGATAGCTTTTGATCTGAAGATTGAACAGGGAGGGTATTTACCTGCCTGGCATTGTTATTATCAAGGCATAGCGGTGCAAGATAGTATACCTATGGAGGAATAGTTCGTCAGACAGGCACTTGCGAACTCGGAAGGATTGTCTTTTATATGGTCAAATGAGCTGAGCCGCCTCTAGCTCTACCAACTACTCTTAATCTGTAGACATGATTTCTGATACAAAGGCAATGTATTTTAGTGTGAGGTGTATGGGGCTGCAGTCTGCTTTGAATGATTCCATTGTCATTAACGATAACGTGTTTATACTAGCCTTAACTAAGGTACCTGGAAGTATCAGCTCCTTTTGAAGTCGCCTCCTCTTCTCACGTTCTCATGCCTTGAAATGCGTCAACTTTGGTGTGCCACGCCCAAATCTTAGGAACGAGGCCTGCTCCGGCCATGCGAAATCTCTGAGCTGGGATTCGTAACGTCTTGAATCAAAGACGTTTTAGATCAGTTTCCCAATACTTCTTCTGAGTCACTTTTCAGATTGAGGACACTATAGAGCCCTTCAAACTATGCCAGACGGGTGAATGACACGGTCGCACCAAAGACATTGTTCACCCAATCCAAAGACTGAATAAGCTTTGTGAGTCAGGATGGCCAGGCGAAGATATAAATCAAACGTGGATGGGTATGTAAAGACGATAAGAATCGCCACGTCTTTCGCAGCAGGAACCAGTCTGGCGTGATAATGCTGGATGTTGCTGATGACTATGCCGCTTACGAAGTGGCAGCGGCCTCTGCACTGGCCTTGATGCTGTACGGGCCAAAGAACTCGGGATCATTGGAAAGCTCCTCCTTAACCTAAGGAAGGGGTGACATTAGCATTCGCGCGTCAACCGGTTATTGAGAGTTCCAACTTACAATATCAAGACCACCGACCAGCTCGCCGTCAACCCAGAGCTGAGGGTAGGTCGGCCATTCCGCATACTCCTTCAAGCCCTGTCGTACCTCATCGTCTGCCAGGATGTTGAAGAAACCGTACTTGACCGAGTGCTCTCTCAAGATAGCGACAAGCTGCCTTGAAAAGCCACACTGGGGTGAACTGGGGGTGCCCTTCATAAAGAGCATGACCGGCGCAGCCTTGACAAGGTCTGCCAGGCGCTTAAATAATTCCTCTTTGGCCTTGGCCGGGTCGACGGGCTCGTCGACCTGCATCGCACTAGGTCCATTCTCAACGCCCTGGTTGCCGTTTACCGTGGCAGCGGTGCTGGCAGGCTTCTTTGCGTGTGTCTCGATCGCATTGCGCACCTTGACGGCGCTGCTGCCGCTGACGGTCTCGAGGACCTGGCCGTTGCGCAGAAGAACGAGGAAGGGGACTGCAGTGACATTGTATGTCTCGCTAATGTCGCTGAGCTCCTCAGCGTTTATGGAAACCCAGGATGTTTGCGGGGGGGTGGTGACGGGGTATTCGGAGGCAAGGGTCGAGAGGACGGTGGCCATCTGGGCGCATGGGGCAGCCCATGGTGCATGGAAGGAGATGATGTGGAGGGAAGAAGACGGGGTGGAGGCAATGTGCTTCTCCCAGTCGGCAAGGCTGGTGATCTCCGTGATCGTCGACATTGTAGTTGGGCGGATCGCGAACTCTTGGTATGGTCGGGTGTTGGAGGTGATGCGTCGGGGGTTCTCTGGGGTCAATCGAATGGAAGAAGCCACAAGAGGGAATCGCGTGGAGTAGTAGAGTCTTGTGGAACACACTCCAGAAGAGGGCCGGGATCGGTCAGACGTTGAATCGCGGAATGACAAGGCCAACGGCTGATAAACCACGGATCTCCGATACGTCGGGTGGAGGGGTATTGTTTGGAGGGGCAAGTCGTGATTTTTCGGGTTGGCTGCGAATATGACGGGTACAGCGATCTCCACGGATGGGAGATGGGATTGTTGCATTTAATGATGACTGTAGCGAAGAAAGTCTCGAGTTGCGTCATCTGGCGCGAGATTTACGTGGCATAATTACATATGTGAAAAATTCCACTCAGCGGAACCATGCTCAAGCTGCCCCACCAGAGCAGCCCAGAGGCGCGAAGCGGAGAGCGAAAGCGGCAAGTACCTTAGGAGCACTGTGTGTCCTGCACTGTATGCTGGCTTGACCCGCCCTCGTTCCTCTCAGTTAGGTAGCTGCCCAGCCTGCCCCGCCTCGACACTTGACCAGCACTGAACAACGCTGAGCTGCGTAACCGACTATCCGCGTATTGGATGCTGGCGGGACCGTGCTTCACCTCCAAGTTCTAGTTCCACCTGTGCTGCGCCTCTCCAACTTTCGGCTGTCCACGACTTCTGCAGTAGAGAGAGGGCTGGTTTTCTACGTCAGCTTCTTGCCCGTCAGACATAGGCGACTGACTCTCCGACGGAGATCTTTACGACCAGACATCCTCCATCCTACTATTATACCTCTCCCCCCCTTACCAATCCCCTCATTTCCTGACGAACCAACGACCGACGACCACTGCCAGTCGAGCTTACTGCCCAAACTTGCAATGGCGTCACTCAACCTGTCCATCAACGGACCCTCGATCAAGAGCAGCTACCAGGGAGTCATCAACGGCCCGCCTCCAAATTCGAGTTCGCCGACACACGCTCAATGGGCCCTGTTCTCGGTTCAGGCTCCTTTGGCAAATGCTTTCCAAGACAGCGGCAATAAGGAGAGTGTGCTGAAGGTCCAGAGCACTGGTGGTAAGTTCCCCCGCTCTTCACCCGAGCCCCGACGTCGCTCGGGGGAGACAATGCGCTGACATACGTCCTTTCCCACGCAGATGGCGAGCTTTCGGAGCTTATCGAAGACTTCAACGAGGGCCGCATTCAGTTCGCTTTTGTCAAGGTCAAGGACCCCAACTCTGGCCTTCCCAAGAACGCCTTGATTGCCTGGTGCGGAGGCGGTGTCCCCGAGAGAACCAAGGGCTACTTCACCACCCATACCGCTGCCGTTTCCAAGATCCTCCATGGCTACCATGTCCAGATCACCGCTCGTTCAGACAGTGACCTCGAGCCAGAGAGCGTGATGCGCAAGATTGCCGATGCCTCCGGTGCCAAGTACTCAGCAGGCGCCTCCACGTCTTCCGCTGCCCCACCCCCGGTCGCCTCTAAGCCCGTCTTCACACCCACCACATCATCAAGCGGCGTCAACCCCATCGTTGCCGCGCGAAACCGTAAGCCCGCGGGCGTCGACGAAGACGGCTGGGGGGATGATGCCCCTCAGGTGACTCGGTCCCAGCTGGAGAAGGTCGAATCTGCTTATAAGCCAACCAAGGTCAACATGGCAGAGCTCACGAAGCAACGGCAAGAACCTACCGGCTTCAACGGAAACGGTTCCCAAGACAAGCCTGATGTTGTGAGGGGTGCATACCAACCCGTCGGCAAGGTGGACATTGCTGCGATTCGTGCCGCAGCGAAGAAGCAGACCGACGACAGGCCCGCGCCTGTCAAGGGTGCGTACGAACCCATTGGCAAGGTGGACATTGCAGCTATTCGCGCCAAGGCGCAGAAGCCCTCAGAGGTTGCGGAACAGGAGCCCGAGGAAGACGAGCGACCTAAGTCACTGGCCGAGCGAAGTGCCGCATTCAGTCAGTCAGAGCGCTTGACAACGCTGCCGAAGCCAAAGGTTGCCAACAAATTTGGCGGAGCAGCCGCATTCACCGGCACCAAGGCCCCCGCGCCCGGTGGCCTTGGATTCGGCGCTCCTTCCACCCCTGCCCCTCCACCAGTGGGTGCCGCAAGCCGAACCTTTGCCGACCAAGGTGGCAAGACGCCAGCTCAGCTTTGGGCTGAGAAGAAGGGAAAGCAGGGAGGATCCGTTTCCAACGTTGTCTCGCCTCCGATCACTTCTCCTATTGGTGTTCAGTCGACCGGAGAGTGGAAAAGCGGCTACTCTGGCAAGTCATGGGGGCCCGTCAAGATGCCCGAGTATGGAAAGGGTTCCATTAGCCAGGAGAACACCGGCGAAGATGCCCAACGAAGTGTCGAGACGCCCGCCTCCCCCAGTGGCGGCATTGGTGCCCTCAAGGAGCGCTTCACCGGTGGAGCCCCGCCCATTCCCCGCGAACAGCAGCAGCAAGAGTACGACGAGCCATCTCCTCCTCCCCCGCCTAGCGGCTCTCGGCCTCCCCCGGCCGGTGGATTCGCCCTTCCTGGTCTGCCCTCCAGGCCAGCTCCCGAAGAAGAGGAGGAAGAGGAGGAGGAGCCCCAGTCTCCCATCAGAGTTGCGCAGCCCGTTTCTCGTGGACCCCAGGTCGAGATGGAGGCCCCCGAAGAGAGAGAACCTCCCCGCCCAATTCCGACTCAGCAAGAGCTGCCTAGAGAGGAGGATCTTCCGGAAGACAATGATGCCGGCCGTGGCGCTGCGGCGGCTGTCGCAGCGCAGCAGTTTGGCCAGGAGCAAGTAGCGGCAGGCCAAGCAGACAGCGGCGGTAAGCGTGCCGTGATCCAATACGATTACGAGAAGGCGGAAGACAACGAGCTTGAGCTCCGCGAGGGCGAGTATGTCACCAACATTGAGATGGTGGACGAGGACTGGTGGATGGGCACCAACTCCCGCGGCGAGAGCGGTTTGTTCCCCAGCAACTACGTCGAACTTGTGGAGGACGAGCCTGAACCGGCGGCGGCGGCACGGAGCGCGCCTCCTCCCGCACCGGCTCCAGCGGAGCCGGAACCGGCAGCTGCCGGTGGCGGTCGAACAGCCACCGCGCAGTTCGACTACGAGGCTGCTGAGGACAATGGTAAGAATAGCGAACCCACATGACCTCTTGCGCAGTGATGCTAATGATCTCTCTTTAGAACTCTCGTTCCCCGAGAATGCAACAATCAAGGACCTTGAGTTCCCCGACGAGGACTGGTGGTTCGGTTCCTACGGTGGCAAGCAGGGTCTCTTTCCTGCCAACTACGTCCAGCTGGACAACTGAGTATAAGTCGACGGATAGCGGTTAGAAAAAGTCTCTATGACGGCCAGCGATGAATCACGCCTAGGGCCCTCGGACCCAAAAAAATATCATTGGGTTGTGAGGTGTTTAATTGCGTTTGACAGGAATAAAAATATCGGTGTCGTGTCCTAACGTTGATTGACAAGAGCCCCATTTGTCTGTACTTGTGCGTAGAAGACAATCCATTCGTGGTTAAAGATCATCGTGTTACTGGAGTCGTGATGATTTCGTTGACGTAATTCACATTGATCACAGGGTTTAGTTGCATGTTTGGGGAGGTGTATATCCATTTTCCAAATACTACTAAGAAAAAGTCATTACAGCGCACAAATCATGCGCTCACCAACATCTTGCTAGATTAGCACATGGAGAAAACAGCGCCATAAACGCCAGTGGGGAGGGTATTCAACGAGATCGCTGAATCTATCGTGGACCCCATTTCCGTCCTCCTCCGAGCCCGAAGTTTCCCATGCCTCCCAATCAATTCGTCCCTAACCATCCCCACCTCGTTTCGTCGTCTCAAGTTTTCCCGTTGCTTTGGCGGCCGATTTAGCCGTGCCACGAAAAACAGAGCCGTCGATTTCCTTTCGTTGCCTGCTGTCGAGAAAAAATGGGTTTGTTGTTGGGAGCCAATTACAGTTTGGTGGTCTTTGCCGTGATCCCGTCGGGTTCCCCACTTCCTATGGACACCACAGACCATACTTTTGACACGCCGAAGATGTCAGATTTTCGGTTCCCAATGACTGAATACCTCTCTAAGCTTTTTTGTTTAGAGAGTGAGAGATTTTCTCAAAACATTTAGCAAACGTCAAAGCAGCACTCGCAACTGTTGATGATGATTAGCCACTGCGTGATGATGAGAGACGTCGGATTGAGTACGACATCATGGACAGTAATGAAAACGAGAGGGTAAAAGAAAAAAAAGAAGAACTCACCATTCTGCGCAGCATTCGCAGGTCTCGTCAATGACGCAGCAACAGCACAGCGCGGCGAGACAGGCCGTCAGGCAGTTACCGCCGCCCTGCCTCTTCTGCCTGGGCGCCGGAGGCTGTTGCTGGTACTGCATGGGCTGCTGGCCGCCTTGGGGGTAGTAGCCGCCCTGCTGTTGGTAGCCTCCTTGAGGGGGACCGTAGGCCTGGTCAGCGGTGTTAGTCGTCGATTCATACTTTTGGTTCACGTAGGTTGTCGTGAGAGGTCGGCGCATGCATCGCGGGTGAAGAATAGGATGCCCGGTACTCCGTACCAGGCGTGCGGAAACGGGAGGTGAAGCTTACAGCTTGGGGGTGCTGGGGATAACCGCCTTGAGGAGGGCCATAGTTTTGGTTGTAGTTGCCACCCTGCTGGTTGTAGTAGTCGTTGCTAGCCATCTTGCTTGTGTGTGTGTGTGTGTGTTTTTTTGTTGTTGTTGAAATATGGTGAAATCAAAGATGTGAAACAATGAAGCTATTCGGACAGGAAGAGGGAGAGAGAGCCGGATGAGGATGAGAAAGATGTGGAAGAGATGGGTGGAGAGTGAGTGAGCGCGTTGTGTGAGATGAAAGAAGACCAAATCAAGCAGCCGGCAGAAGAAGGCGGAAACGTGTGTTGATAAAAAGGGACCCCTCCTCCCAGGAGCAAGCCTTCAGAGTGGCCCAGTGACAGGTTCGAGGGATCCCTGCTCTGCAGCAAAAGTGACGGGCTGGGCGATGCTGCCCGGGTGGCTCCCCTCGTCCAGTGGAGGTGTAAGGTACGACGCATCAGCCCAGCCCAGTACCTATCGTTGAGTCTAAGCATTTTTAGAAGGTATCCGTAGTCCGGGTAGGTACTTGGTACCCTTACCCAGCATCCAGATTGCTTTTCCTTTGCTGTGCTGTGCCATTCGGAGAGAGCGATGAGCTGCGGGGCCGAGAATCGAAGCTTTCCTCCCCCCAATCCCAAGCCAGTGCCCCCATCACCCACCTAAGGTATAGCAGCGCACGCCGTAAGTGGCATCCAAATGGCACTGAATGAGTGAGAGCCCGATTTTACGGCACGTTTCTAGGCGGGGCGGATACCTAGGTACCTTAGTATACATCGGCCAAGGCCCGATGAGTGCGACAGATTGAGGTACCCGCGAGGAATCCTGAACAAAGCTACGGGGCCCCCGTGCCCAGTAATGGAACCAGGTTTTACTGCAGTAGAGTCATTTAGACCCGGCATAGCTGATGACTGTTCCTTGCCGACCTGACAGACGGGGGAAGCGCAGCACAGCACAGCAGGCTCAGCAGCGACACCGCCGACGCCCAGCCACAACCTTGGAAGGTGGATACCTGATTGGCCGGATGCATGTCCCCGGTGCGGTGGCGGGTTGGTGATGCGTCCTCTTTTTTTTTTTTTTTTTTTTGTGCCTTTGCAAGTCTTGACGTCTTCTTGTTCCGGCGCGTTCGTTCCCGTGATCATGTTCATCTTTTTCGTGACTGCGCAAGTGAGGGAGCATTTCGGGGGTGGGCATCAGTCATTACCCAAGGGCGGCGGTCCGTTCCATCCACAATCGCCTTGGGCTCGTCGCATAGATCTCCTAGATACATGCCGCCCCGTCGTTAGCATTGAACGCCATGATGACAGACCCCCCCCCCTCCCCCCCCCCCCCCCGGGGGGGGCGGTCCGTCCCACCCACAACCGCGTCGGGCTCCTCGCATAGATCTACTAGCTACATGCCGCCCCGTCGTTAGCAGTGAACGCCATGAAGACAGGCCCCCCCCCCTCCCCCCAGCGATATTTGAATTCCGAGGTTCGCGTACTAGCACGAATGAGGCACCTTGGTTCGGTAAAGTTTAGTGGTGATTATTTTGCTGCCAAAGTAGTTAGGACAGACAGCTGGATTTAATTTGCGCTCGACTTTTTGCTGCTGCTACCTGCTCCATTATGCATCTCCGTGGGCGCTTGTCTCGCATGGTAAGAAAGAAAGGGAGAATTAAAGGAAGAGACGCACTCGAAGTACCTAGGTAGGATAGTCATGCGCTCATGTGAGGCATTCTCTACCGAGACATTGCTACGTACGTCCGCGTCCCGGCTGACCTGCTCTCTGCACGCGGACCGGGTAAGGTAGGAAGTTTGTCTACTGCAGACCTCAATGGTGACATGAATTGGTACCATGCAAATCCCTGGTTAGACGTCTTGGTAGATTCAATACGTAAGGTAGTTGACGAACCACCCAAATCCAAAACATCAAGTGTCACTGTTTGACAATCCCTCCGCGTTGATGGGCGTCTTAACAAAAAACATCTCCACTTGTCCAAGCCATCGAGATGGACCCCAACCGTGACCCCTTCCGGTACCCGCATGAACGTGCCGAACGATCCACCAGACCCTTCTCCCACCTGCGCAGTGCGCTGGACCAACAAATGAGACCGACAGAATCGCACCCACAGGCTACTATGTAGTGTACAGCACACAGCACAACGCAGCTAAAGCCTAAGCCTCTGCGTTGCTGTATTCGCACCTTAATTATCCGTACTATTGTTCACACTTTTTACCTAGGGGAAACACATGAGACTCAGCCACCAGCTCAGCATTCAGAGGAGGAAACGATGCCGAGCATCCGCCATCGCTCTCCCCAATTGGGCCAGAAACAACCCTCTCCTGACACTCGTGAACGGTGCACACCCGTACCTACACCGTACACGTTCATAATTAACCACAGACGCACACCAATCAATCACATGAGCTGCCAGATCCAAAAGATCAATCAATGCCAAGACAACCGGTACCATCGACCCCCGCAGCAACAGAAGAACGGAATCCGTACCTTGGGCTATCAACGAACCGCCAAGCTTTGCGGCGACGGTTGTCTCGACGTCGGGGTTGGTGCTCAGACTCTCCCGTTCCCGCTCCTTGGCTTGCCTTGGAAGTTGGTACTCCCTCTCATCTGCCTGCCACCAACCATACTTAAATTGTCCCCTGGTACCTACCTACTCAGATGACGCACTCGTTCTCTTTCCCTTAGTATCGTGCGGTTGGTTGAGAGGCCCGAGACGTTTTGGGTCGGCGTTGTAGCGCCATACTAGACGGGATCCACAGATCCTCACCAGCTATGGCAGCTACCTCGGCCAAACCCCTACGTGATTTGGTACTTAGCGTAAGAGACTATTCGTAGAGCGATAAATTTGCTGGCTCAAAGAAGAAATCTGATCAGCACCAAACGGCCTCGGAGCCGAAATGGCAAACCGCCATGCTGTCTGTGACCATTTTGCCAAGTTTGCCAAGGGTGAGAGGAAGAAGAAAAAGAAGGAGAAGAAGAAGAAGAAGAAGAAGCAAACACCGGAAAACCCGCACCGGCGGAACCGGCGGAAATCAACCCCCTTCCAACGATCCGCGACATAACAACAGACACAGACAGGGCCATCGTTTGATGATCGTCAAAATCAAGCCTTGACAAGCATTTTTTGTCGCAGCTGTGGATCACCCGTCTCCTCACAAGAACAAGGAGCAAACCACCTGGTAGAGACTGGGAGAAACAACCCAAGAAAGCAAGGAACCAATACCTGACCGCTCCCCCCCCCCCCCCCCCCCCCCCCCCCCCCCCCCCCCCCCCCCCCCCCCCACCCCCCTCCACCCACCCGCACCCCTCCCCCCCCCCCCCCCCCCCCCCCCCCCGCCAACCCCATGAACAGGCAGCACAGATCGCCCTCCACTCCCCGACCCCCCCCCCCACTCACAACGCGTCTGCCCTGTCGCCTCCCAAACAGGTCCCCTCATGCCTCCTACCGCCGCCCTGGCAGACGGTCATCTCGAGTACGCCTCCGAACGGGGAGAGGGTTCGCGGCCAAGGAGTGGGGGTGTTTTGCGTGGAATCAGCCCAGTGATGGTACTGTGCCAAACACTCGGGAGACCATCGTGCCAAGATGGGTGGCTGTCGACTGCATTGCATGTGATCGGCTCACCGAGACCATCTGCATATGCGCTTGTCTGGCTGGCTGACATGCTGCTTCGCCAAGACTTTGTCTTCAAGTATCACTCATAGGTTCATGTGCACAGTGATTCATCCCGCGATAAGCTTGAAAGAATTGTCATATTGCTTGCTGTATTTTCGCTCTCGAATCGTTTCACACGTTCGTCTCTCTATAGTACTTTGTAGATGACGCACTCGCAAATGCTGACAACACACATATTATACACTATTAAACCATCGTCTTCGTACCTCGTGCTTGACCACGCTCCACTGTCATCGCTCGTACCTCGGCAGCGGTTCTGAGCCTGCTGCGTGGTGTTGGTGGCTAGACTGTCCTGTGCCTGCTTCTGTGCTGTAGCTGTACTGCTGTCCATAGTCGTCCTCATCCGCCAACACCGGCGCCGATGGCTCGGAGACGTCCACTGGTGGTGCCGATGCCGACGTACTGGGTCCCGCATCATAGTCGTCTGGAAATTCTGGTGGCGCGCTGGCTTCGATCAGCAGCCGTTGTCGCTCGAGCTCCTGTTTATCCTCTGTTCGCGCTTCGCGAGCTGTGGAGATGTCGTCCAGCGTTGGCGCTGTTGGCTCCTCGTCTACCCCATTTGCACCGTGGTGTGATTGCGGCTCGGTTTGGGGTTCGTCCTCGGCGTCGTAGATATTCGGCTCCGGTGCCGATGCTCCTGACGGGCCCGCTTCTAACATCTGGGGCGGTCGACTCGGCAAAAGTCTCTCTTCTTGACGCCGTGCCCGCTCTTTCTCCGTCATGCTACCCTCGTCCGTGACTTGTGGGGGAGGTACGTAAGCTGGGGCTCGCATCTCCTCTGGAGGAGTCGTGGAGTGTATCGCGATTGTTGGCTGCCGGCTGAGAGGACCAGGCATCTGAGGAGTAGGCTGCGGCCAGTAGCTCTCACTGTCATCCGCATGGATATCATCGATCGGCCAGGGGCTAGGAACCTCTTCCCTACTAAGTGACCCCTCTCGCATCTGGAACGTCCGCAACGTATTACTCCGCCCGCGCAACCTTGAACTATCCGTGGAACCTAGTATCACCTCAAAAACGACCGAGATGACTCCTTTTTCACGTCGTAATCGATCCGTGTCTATCACGTTTCCTCCCCACGAGGTAAGCGCGGCGTTGTTGCCATCGGGGGCTCCCGACCCAGGTGCGTACTGAGCTACCCTGGACTGGCCTCCACTTTGAAGTTGGCTCGCGAGCCTGCCGCCCAAGTCGACCAGGACCTCCACTTGATACTTGAAGCTGACCATATCCCCGGGCACACCTTTGATGGTTGGGAAAACATCTTCCGGCACCTTGAACGATGCTGTCACTGTCGTTTCCAGTGTGGCTGGATCGATAATGAGTGGGGCAACAGATTGGGATAGGTCTTTCCGGAAGACGCTCAGTGATGATGTCGAGGTCAGTGATAGACCACCCAATCCAGTCCGTGACCGTGGATAATAGTCTTCTTTCGCCAGCTTGCGTGTCTCTTCTTTCGACATGATGTCGGCGAACATGGAGGCTGGCGGTGCCGTGTCAACTCTGCCTTGCCGGTACATGGTGACAATAACACCATGCATGCTCTTTATCCGTTTGATGTGTTGCACCGAGACCTTGACGGACACTGTGTCGCCTGGCAGCGCGCCGCCCTTCAGCATCTCAATTGTTGCCGTGATCGTCTTTTCGTCGACAGCTTGCATTTTGGAATTTGCCAGCGAGCTGCTGGCCATCTGAGGCTCGGCCCTTGCTAAGCTGACGCCTGTGCTTGAGCTGACGGTGCTGTCGCCACTGACTTCGCTCTGTATGTCCGTATGCGTTGGGCTTCGGGGGTATTCGAGAGGATCATGCGGGTGATCTTCTGTTGGCGCTGGTGACTCTACCGCACGCTCCGCATCGTGTTGCTCAGCATCCGACCCTTGCTCCGTAGTTTCCACTGCGGCAGCGTTCTTCTCGTTGCCAGCGGTCCGCTTTCTTCTCGATTTCTTGGAGATTGGCTCGAGGTAAATGGTTCGAGGGCGAGGTGGCGCGAGTGACCCAATGTCTATTTGCTCAACCAACTGGATTTTTCGATCGCAGGACGATGTCGGAGATATCGAGGTCGGACGCGTCAAAGTTGCTGTTATCATATAGGAAATCGTGCCTCGTTCAAACTAGATCAGTGTGTAAGCAATAATGCCTCGTCACGTCAGTCGCGGAATTTGAACATACATCGATGCTACTGGGCAGGCCCTTTTCAGGAAACACTAAATCAAACTTGAATTCGTATTTTCCAGCTTCCAACCTCCCCTCGCCACTGAGCACCTGCTCGTCCCGAAAGAGCGATGCATAGCCGTTGCCGTGATACTGTGCCGAGGAGCGTCCGGACAAGGCGGGTTTCGCGATCAGGGGTTCGCTGACGGCTGGGCCCTTGTGCACGCGAACGTAGCCATGCAGGGCGACAGTGAGATGAGTGATGCGAATGGGCTTGACTACAGTCAGGACTACGGCGCCATAGACGTGGTCGCCAGCCGAGTACTGGCGGTGGGGGTCGTCGGGGCGGACGTGGAAGTCGGCGAGGTTACGCGAACGCGAACGGCTGGGCAGAGCAAAGCGAGAGAAGAATGAGCGAGCGGACGAGGGTGTTTCTTCGACGGAGCCGTTGGAATGCGAGTTTGCGCCCATGTATGCAACGACTTGCGGGCCGGGCCTTTGCCTGTGTCGTGTGAATCGGTCGGGGTGGTCGGTGGTCGCGGTGGTGATGGTCGCGGTTGTGATGGCAGTGGCGGTTGGTGACGAGGACGGTGGTGTCGGCGACGGTGTAGGAGTTCGTGGAGCGGAGGGGGTGGAAAGGCTCAGGGTGGAGATGGGGTAGGGGGCGCAGCAAAGGCGACGACAATTGCACCCTCGACGTCGACATGCAATGAGGGGATTCGCACAGCGACGCCAAAATGGCTTACAGCTTTCGGCGGGGGGGTAATGGACGGTTTGCAAGACGTGTGTGTCTTGACTGGGGAAAACGGTCGGTCGGGCGGGTTCAGGACAGACGTCTCGGTGTGTCGGGACGGTCAAGGGACCTGTGCTCTGGATGGGCCTTGGGAGGGGAACTGATTTGATGATGGAATAGCAGGCTGGGATCCGAGAGATGCTGGCAGCGGATTTCTTGGTTGCATATGCCAAGAGCGAAGAGGGAGCCTTGCCAAGAAAGCTTCGCTTTTTCTGGAAAGCTCGAGGGTTCACGGTCTCAGATTGCCCGTGGGTGCCGGGGGTTCAAGACAAAAACAACCTGAGGCACAAGAACTCGGGGCGACGGGGTCGGGGCCACGTAGTGTGTATTACTGTACAAATGGTGCGCCGGATGTAGATTGCGCGGACGCGGACTTTGATTTCCTAAACAACCAGACTGTCAATCGGGAGAGACGCCGTCAAACTAGTAGGTATACGGAGGGGGGGGGGGGGAGAAGTGGACGGACGGACTTTAGTGTTGGAGGCAGCCTGTGCCAGTCAGTATCAAGGTGACAGTGGAGAAAGAGGGACGGGTGTCAGAGAGTACCTTATTCGTCGAATCGTAGGTACGGATGCTCTGAAAGAGAGAGACAGAGATCCATCGGCCGACATTAACACCCGAATAAGTGACACCCCGATCCTATAAAGCGGAAGGGCGGCAAGGAAGAACGGGGTGTGGGGGTGTGGAGGCACTCGTTTTGGGAAGCAGCAGGAAAAGAACTGGCTGGATTGGACTATGGGCTTGGCTGGGTTGATCTCCATCCGGTGGATGAACAGGCCAGAGAGAGAGAGAGTCAGGATTGCGGCATCTCACAATACAGCGGTACGGAGATACGGAGAACATCCCCGGTGGTCCTGCCCTGTCCGCCCAGCAAGTCTCTTCCCAAGTCCCCCTCCCCCCTCCCCTCCCCTCCCCTCCCCTCCAGCCTCCTGCCCGTCAGCTCAGGCTGCTCAGCTCCAGCTTAGAGTGTAAAGTCACAATCTGCCCTTCCTCCAGTCCTTGCACTACCTTTCTATGCCTAGTGCAGACCTATCCGTACCCTTGGGGCTTTGGGCGTGTTGCTCGCCTCACCAATGGGAAGCTATTGCCTGACTAAGGATTCGGAAATCGAGACTTGTACACTTGGAAACACACACTCCCAACGTTCCTCACTATACCTGACGCGGCCCAAAGTCGAGGCAAGGGAATGTGGGGACAGGGTCGCATACGATATGCGGCAGAGCCGAGCAGTCAGGCACAGGAAAAGTCAGGCCGGCTCGGCTCAGCTCAGCTCTACCAAGAGCCTGCCAGCCTGCCTGCCTGTGCCTGTTCCGAGACGACAAGATGTGACAAAGACGAAAGAGACAACCACCGAGACATGCCACTCTAGTTGGGTCCGGAGTCTTCCATAGGTTGACATTCGAGACGCCCCGTGCTCTGCCGCTGCTCCTCCTGCTCTGTCTGGGTGGTGCCTTATCCGAACCCTGTCTGTCGTGCCTGAGGTGATCCAATGTGCCCTTTTGCAGCATCGCTTGCCCGTTTCTACTAAGGTGGTACCTTTGGATGCTAACAACCGACGGGGGACCCTCCTTTCGACAACAGAGAATGATAACCAATGCCTGCCTTACGCACAATCAACCATTCACTCAACCAATGGCTTTACTGTGTTCGGCGAGGCGGTGCAATTGACAGACAACACACGAATGTGAAGCATTTCGGGCTCGTCACAGTCCACTCAGGAACGAGAATTTAAAAATAGCAGACCGTAGAAATACACACTTTGATACCAATTCTCCCCCCCTGTCTGCAAAAGATTGCTGGATACGGCCACGAGAGGTCGCCGGAAACACAACCATGCGCTTCACTCTTCTGATCCGAGGCCTACCTATCCACCTGTGCGATAATAAATCTCCCTCAACGAGGAACCTATCAGGCGAGAAGAGGAAACATATGGAACCCCTAGCTTGCCTCGGTTTGAAAGTAAGGACCGTAAGGTGATTTGGGCTATCCTCCCCCCCCCCAATGTACCCTCGTCCACATTGTTATCGGAAAAGACGCAGGCCAGTACCTACAGCACAGATAAGATATTGCTGCGTGAGCGATCGCCCTCGACGATAGAGTCGTGGACCACAGAATTGCCTCTTGGCGTTACATCATTTCTTAAGTGCTGCGGATCTCACCTGATCTGGACTGCAAAGTGGAAAGGCTGGCGAAAGAAACGCCCAATGTTGATTCCCTTGCCAGGAACATAAAAGAGCGCTGGGAGCATGCACACGGCCGTCCATCTGACCCTTGGCTACAGCACCGCATCCTCGTTTCGCCTCATCGTCTCACTCACTTCACATTTGAGCGTGCGCCGGACCTGTGTGACTCGGGTGATATTCGCCTGCCTTGACAAGGACTGTTTCGTTTTAATCGTCTGGTATCATGCTATTAATGTCTAGTCTCTCTATTTCCTTACACCCCATCGATGCCCTCTGTTCGAGCATCTACCAAGTTGACCCCGGGCTCAGCCTCATGATACCAAGTTACTTATTTCCACAACCTCTCGAGTAACATCTCGATCAATATGGGGGGCGGGGTGGGATCCAATGTCCCATTGACCTTGTCCATCGGCCCGCAACAGATCCTCCAAAACGCTACGTGCGATGCCTTTCCGAACTCCGATGCCATGCACAATGCCTAATGTTCCAAGTACTCCTGCAATGCTGTAAAAATCAATCCAATGCCTCGCCGCTGAGAATGCTCGACAAAATACCCGCACCAACTCCCTCGGCAATGTTCTCCATTTCTTTTTCGCCAACGCAGCTGGCCACCCGCTTGTCCTCTCCAGTGGGAAGCGCCGCCTTGCGGCCTCTCTTGCTTGGTGTCTGTGTCATTATAAGTCCACCTGTCTTTCCATCAACAGGGTTGACCAAACCCAGTGTCTCCAAACTTCCGATGACCTCTCGAAACTCTGAGCTTGACAGCGGGTGTAGAACTGAGTCTCTGGTGCAAAGGATAGAATACGTCTCAAACAGAGTTTTGACTGTGGGTGCCATCATTTGTGACTTGGTGGGGGTAGACGGGGCAGCAGTCATCCTTAACGCTCGGTTGCGCTTTTCGAGAGCCACCAATGAGCAGAGCGCCGCCTTTTGTTGAAGGTTGAGGGCCTTCAACCTTTGGTTGGTCCCATTGCTGAAGGCTGCCTGCGTAACTTGGTTCAGATGCTTGAGGAGCACTCGGGGTGCACTCTCAGCTGTAAGTGCCTTGAGGGATGTTGCAGCGACGTGTGAGACGCTCCTCGAGGACCCGCTGGAACCAGGACCAGCCATATTCAGGTTTTCGTCGAGAGGCTTTCGGGATGGTGTCATCTGTAGAACCTTTTCTCTTGCTTCGTTCTCGTGTTGCCGTCTGGTCTCTGACTCGACAATGTCCAGTGCTCTTCGGCAGATTTCGAAAGCCTTACGCAAATCCCCGGTCTGGCTCGACACCTTGCGCGAACAGAGCTCAATGGCTGCAGGATGAAAAAAGGGAAGTATCTTGTTGCTGCTGTCGGTCGGCAACAACGTCATCAGGCGAGTGGTGATGATGCTCTTGATTTGGGCAGCTGAGTACGGGTGGAAGGGAAGAAGATCCGGCTTGAGATTTTTGGATTTCAATCGTGGCAGAAATCGGGCCGTGAGGTCGAGCGCGTTCGCAATGCCAATCAGCACCAGTCGCGAGGGCTGTTGCAAAGACCATTCGAACAACCGGTACAGACTTTCCAAACCCATCGTCAGGATGTGATCGATTTCGTCCAAGACGAGGAGGTAGACGGGTGAGCCTTTCTTCTTCGTAACAAATATCTTTTGCAACTCCTCCATCGCCACCGCTTCTGACAGATCGCTTTCATGTCCTAGAAGCTCCAACAAGGTATTGTAAAGGTCCTTCGACGACTTAATGCTCATACAGTTGACGTATGCTTGGCGCACAGCGGTTTCTCTTGCCGGCCGCTCCGTAATCCCCTTGACCATTGCGCTTTTCCCGGTTCCAGGGGGTCCGCTAACATAGAGGCATCCATTGGGAGTTGTGGAGGAGCATCGTTGGACGAATTGGGCCAGTTGCTCTCGTTCCTTCTCGCGTCCAACGAGCTCGCCAGGATCGGCACCCCGAGCAAAAAGTTGTCGGGCAGAGTGGTAGACGGTTTGTAGAGAGCCGGGTGTCAGTGGAGATTGAGGCGTCAACCTCTGAAAAAGCTTGCCAGCAGACTTGACCACCTGGCGAGGGGTTGAGGGAGAGTTAGCGAAGACATCTCGGTGTCGTGGAGTCTGGGGCGTTATTGGGATCGTCTTCGAGAAAGTCTGGGAGTGAGAGCGTCTAAGCCTCTTCGAAGCCGGCGCAACGTAGATGTCGTCAAGCTCGTTTTCGACATCTGGCAAGGCAGTTGCTTCGGGGTCCACATTCTCCTCATTCTCTGAAGCAGCCCGAGTCTGTCGCCTGGTACGCTTGGCAGGAAGTTCGACCAAGTCTAGACTGGCTGTGAGAAAGGGCCATTGGAAGGAAGCTGTGATGAGCTTACCTTGATTCTGGACGGACCTCGTCCGCTTGCCGAGTGAGGCACGGGACATTGTTGCTTGGGATTATGATTATAATCAAGAGGCAATCGTGACTGACAATTCGAAGTGGGCAACGCAGGAAAGGTTGTTCAAGGTACTGACATCCGTGAGGTAGGAGAGATTCAAGTGTGGGAAGTCGAAGCTGCAAGTGGAACTGCAGAGTCTTAATTAAGTGGTAGGCGCGTGCCAGGACGATGACCGGGGAACGACGCGATACCAGGGTCACTGAACGCGCTTTCTCGCGCTTCAATTAAACACGGTCCTCTAAGGCTATGGTCCGTGCGTTCGTGATCGGGAAGCCCCTGGCTCGTGCGTACCGGTACCTTACGTGCTTACCTACTTAACGCGATGGGACACGGTTGGTCTCACAGTGTTGGCTACAATCGCCTATGACCGCACTGTCTGCCCCTGTTTCCCCATGGCGGCCACAGACGGGGTGTGGCAATTGACGATAGGCAGGCCTACCAAGGCAGCGGAGGTGCCCGGTATTCTAGCATAAACGGCGGACAAAGCCGCCATCCCACAATACCTACCTTGGCTCATGACAATACTCTTTTCCTATGCAGTTGTGTTTCGATTCTCCCCCGCAATGGCACACGGACAAGATATCATTGTCTGTCCCCCCATTCACCTGGACATGCATAAGCTTGGACTGGCGCTTCGTCTCACCTAATCTGGCGCATTTGTTAGACAGACGGGTCACTGAGCCACTGGCATTCCCGACGTTGTTGTTTACCTCCTTCAACCCGCCTCCCTAACAACCTCGCAATTCACTCATAACGCCCTTTACCACCTATCATATTCACCGTGACACCTTCCGCAGCCATGGTCAACACAGAAGTGAGAAATTACAACTCCCAGGTGGAGCAATTGAGGGATAGGGAGTACCCCATGATCAAAGGTTCATTGGCTCATCAACTACAACAATTCTCTCTCAAATTGCTAACCGGCAATGTAGATTCAATATATCTTGACCACGCCGGAACAACACTCTATGCGAAGTGTTTGATCGAGAGATTTTCCGCAGAGCTGATGTCGAACTTATTGGGCAACCCTCACTCAGCTTCGTCATCTTCTCAGTACAGCACCTCTCGTATTGAAGATACTCGCCTCCGGCTTCTCCGGTTTTTCAACGCTGACCCCGAGGAATTTGATTTGGTTTTTGTTTCCAACACCACAGCCGCGATTAAACTTGTTTCCGACGCCTTCCGAGCCTTGCCAGAGGGCTTTTCTTACGTGTATCATGAAGCCTGCCATACAAGCATAATAGGGGTTCGTGAAGAGGCGCGCGAGAGCATATGCGTTGCAAACGACGGCGTGAGACGGTGGATAAACGGAAAATCTCCTCTGGATGATTTGTACGCATCGGACTCGCCCACACTATTTTCCTACACGGCTCAGTCTCACTTGGATGGGCGGCGTTACCCTTTAACGTGGCCATCTCTGCTACGAGAATCGCCTGCCGCATCACACGGGCAATTATATACGTTAATGGACGCAGCCTCGCTCGTGGCTACCTCCCCTCTAGATCTCAGTGCCTCTGAGACGGCGCCCGATTTCACGGTTCTGAGTCTTTACAAAATCTTTGGCTTTCCAGACCTCGGTGCCTTGATTGTTAGGAAACAGGCTGAGCCGGTTTTGAATCACAGGCGCTATTTTGGCGGCGGTACTGTCGATATGGTCGTTTGCGGAAAAGAAAGATGGCATTCTCCGAAACCTACGTTTCTGCATGAGAGGCTGGAGGATGGCACTTTACCATTCCATAACATCATTGGACTTGATGCTGCTCTAGACGTTCACGCAGAGCTTTTCGGCAATATGGCTCGCGTGGCATCGCACACAGGATTCCTGAGAGACCGGCTATATGATGGACTAGCCAGCCTCAAACACGGAAATGGATTGCCTGTCTGTACTATTTACTCAGAACGGCGCAGCGATGAGGCTGGCTCAGTTGGATGCGGGCCACTCATTTCGTTCAACATTCGCGACGCGGCCGGTGCCTGGATCAGTCTGTATGAGCTTGAAAAGCTAGCTACACTGAAGAACTTACATATTCGGACCGGCGGCGTCTGCAGTCCCGGAGGCATCGCCTCGGCACTCGGCCTGAGTCCGTGGGAGATGAGAAAGAATTTCTCGGCTGGCTTTCGCTGTGGTACTGACCAGGATGTCATTGCCGGAAAGCCGACTGGCGTCATTCGAGCAAGTTTAGGTGCGATGAGTAGTCTTTCGGACGTTGATTTTCTAGTCGGCTTTATCGACGAATTCTATCGAGAAGAAGTCGCAGTTGGCCACGACTGTCACGTGGAAAGAACGACCCCATCGATAGGGTTCCAAGTCCAGGGCATAAGCGTCTATCCCTTAAAAAGCTGTGGCGGTTTTTCGGTTCCCCTTGGTATGGCTTGGGAAATCATGCCAGAAGGTCTGGCTTGGGACAGAGAATGGTGTCTTGTCCATCAAGGATCAGGACAAGCACTGAGCCAGAAGAGGTATCCCAAGATGGCCCTCATCAAACCCACCATTGATTTCGATAGTGGCGTGCTGCGTGTCTCGTACAGAGGGATGAAACCTCGTCACCTACCCAACGAGATCTCAGTACCCCTATCTGCGGATCCCACTTGCTTCGAATCGTATTGCTGTTCTCGCGTGAGGTCTTCCCGAGTATGCGGCGACAATATTACGATACAAGTCTATGCTTCCGATCACGTCAATGGCTTCTTCAGCGATATTCTCGGCGTTCCATGCGCATTGGCAAGGTTTCCAGCGGGAGGACTGGGGCTAAGCATGCGTCACTCGAAAGCCAAGGTGCAAAAATATCAGCACTCTCCCGTCGGCGCTCCAAGGGCATGTCTTGGGGCTTCTCCAGAGCTGCCCTCTCCACCGGACTCGGACTCTGAGCAATCACTAGCAAAGATTCTACTTTCCAACGAAAGTCCAATACTGCTGATCAACACATCAAGCTTGCGCGCTCTGAACCACGAAATCCAGGCGACAGGCGGGAGGCCTGTTCCTTCCGAGGCATTCCGAGCCAACATTCTTGTCGGGCCAACTCAGGACTCTAACCATCTACCATGGGCAGAGGATGAATGGAAAAAACTCACAATTGGTGGCGAGGACTTCAATATGCTGGGATCCTGCCGCAGATGCCAGATGGTATGCGTTGACCAAGAGAGTGGCGAAAGGCACCAGGAGCCTTTTGTGACGCTGAGCAAAGTAAGAAGGTTCGACGGTAAGGTGTACTTCGGCACGCACATGAGCCATGAGTCTGTTCCAAAGTTCCCTACAGACAGGACGCAGTATCCGGTGATAAGAGTTGGTGATATGGTCAGTGTAGGAGCATGGTGTACTTCTCAGTGAAGGACGGCCCAGGGATTCCATCACTGGAGATGTATGGCCGTTGCAGAAGCAGGTCCTCAATGGTATGCAGACTTCGAAGCAGCTGCTCCTTTACGATCAGCTATTATGCCGTAATCCTGTTTTGAGCAACAAGCTTGATTGGGTAGTTGCTCCTCCAAGAAAAACGCTGTTGTCATCTGAACGGTTTGTATGGAAAGTCTTCCAGTCATATTGGGGCTTGCCTCTTTTAGTCAGAGCTTGTGAGGTGTGCCATGTAGGGTGAGCGTGAAGCAGTGCTATGAGCTACTGCGGAAAGGGCTCATGTGCACTATGCCTCACGTGTCAACCACAGCTGCTTACCTAACTAAGCCTTTGTACAGTGCACCTTCTTCTTTCCATTACAAGCATTTAGCTTAACAGCACCCATGCACCTTTCCGTTCCCATTAGCTTACCGTGTCCGTGTCGTGTCCTGCAGGCCGCAGCTCCGAGTCCAACTCGACTGCATCATTCGAGTCCCCAAGGACTTTGCTGCAGCACTTTCTTGAGGAAGCAGACTTCCTTTTTCTCTGATTCCAACTTTCACAGTAGAATCTTCTTCAAGTCATCGTAATGGACGTACATCCCCCTTCTTAGTCTCCCAGCAGCAGCTTGGGATAACAAAGCCAGTTCTTGGTTTCCTCCAGTTTACCACCGCTGACTGCCACAGCACGGCAGGTTGACTTAAGACCTACGGGTTTCCACCGGCCCCCTCCACAGATCCCTACAAATACCCACTTCTCGCCCTCTCTTCTCCCTCCCTCCTCTCCCAACCGCACCTCGACCTGTTGACCCTTCGAGCCAGAGGCAACATAACAATCTTGTCACATCATGGCAGATTGAGCGACTTCTGGCCAGCGTTTGGCTTCTGTGCCAACTCCTTTTCTTCTTCCCAACAGCATGCTATCCCTAGCAAACTCTGCGAAGCTTCCCTCCTGTCGCGAAAGCTCCTTGACAGCAGCCAACCCTGCGATGGCATGCCTCAACGAGGACGGCAAGGCTGCCGCCGTGGATGCCCAGCAGCAGCAGACATCACTGTTGCCATGACATTGACTCATCCCTCGAGGTATGTACTAGTAACCTTGTCCCGCATTTAATTGATCTTCCTCTGACGTCAAAGGTTCCAACTTCCAGACTCCTATTCGGCCGATTTTGCAAATAAATTTGTACATAGGGCAACTCCTCTTTATGGCGACTCTACAGACCCAGGAGCTGTGTCTCGTGCCTGCTGGGGACACATCGCCATTCATATGGCCTTCCGCGGGCGCTCGACTCAAAGACTAAGTTGGCACCTGGTCAGCTTCTTTTCATTATCTTGTCCTGGGCAGGACGTTAAAAGGCCTATGGCGTTGCATCAAGGCAACAAATGAGCGACATAGAGAGGCATATGCAGCCAGTATGTTCAGGTTACGTGTATGATATTCGTTATGGAGTCACATGTGGTATGTCTTGTCGTCAGTCCTCAGCGACGCATGGTCCATGACTGACTGACTCCAGCAACGATCTCTAGACTTATGACGTTCCCAAGGCTGGGCAACTAGGATGCACGACACCATCTCCTTTCTTCAGCAATTAGATCTCGACATTCACCTCCTAATTCTGATGACCCGCTACGATAATGACATGCTTATCTGGAACTTTGACATTCTCGGTTCTTCTCTTTTGCCAAATGGTGCGGATAGTAAGTCTTCTTTTCTTCGTACCTCTCCAACCTGCCTGGACTGCGCCGCTAACCTTTGCCTCAGGATAAGGGAGCGGAAAATAACGGCGCCCTGATCGTGATTTGTCCTGGGCAGGACGTTAAAAGGCCTCGGTCCTCGTGCGTTGAGGATCGACGAATGGGTTTGCAGCTTGGTATGGGAAGCGTCCCAGAGCGACAGGGAAAGGTTCATCCCTGGCAACCCGGTTACGCCTGTTGGCGACGACAATGTCCATGCACGCTCGGATCAAGAGCGTTGGACGATTGGGCAGCTTCGGCGCCCTTGCATTGGCCGATTTGGCCCTGGACTCCCTGGTTATGGGAACCGGCTTCAAGTGCATCGAAGATGCTATGAAGGAATTGACACTCGAGAACGACATCAATATTCGTCTCTCTTGACTGATTCGACTCCTGGTGGACCTATGGTCCCTGGTTTGAGTATACCGTTTTATCGCGATTGGGCCTATGGCTTAGCGAAAATTACTGGGTAATCGAGTACTTGATCGAAGTACTCACGTACTGTGTTTCAAGTTGCCCTTCAGCTGCCAAGCTGAATAGTAACGAACCGCCGCTGTAACTTGTGGGCGACTGACGAAAAAGATCGAGCAACACAACCGCTGTCGGCATTCCGACAGACGGGGGTAGGCTTGCTGTTATCTGAGTTTAACAGCATTGTTTATCTAGTGCCTACAGGCGGGGTCCTTTCTGAAGGAGATAAGCGCGATAGTAAGAGCGATATGCCGAAATCGTCACTTCAACCGCACCGATTTCTCGCGGCAGAGGCTACTTTGCTCCGGAGCCAGCGTCTCGGACTCGGCCGAGGAGGACCCACCCCACGATTCACGCCACCACCCTCTTGGGTGCCGATACGTGGGGGCAACGTTTGTATAGGGGGCCCGAAAGGGCTCATGAGTTTGGGCTGGTCGCGTCTCTCTGATATCGTCACATCGGTGGCCATAGAGAAAAGCTCGCGTCTCGATCAACAGTTTCGGGGTTCTGCGGCGGACCCATGTGGCAAGGGGAAACAATAGGTGGGGTGTTCAGGTCCAGAGAGGGATGACTTTTGATTCTCTATGGTTATTAACGTCCTGGACCTTGGGTCCACAAGCCTGACATTTGTTCCCGGCAACTTATGGCAATGGGGGGCGGCAGGTGGGGGATTACTGGGCAGAGTGGGATGACTTTTGATTCTCTATGATATAGTCCTGGCAGTCGTAATTCAAACCTGACATTTGTCCCCAATCACGATTCCCCTGGATGCACATCGTCAGCATGATGCCCGCAGACATGCTGATATATTCGAAACCTCGCGACCACATCACTGTCCACGGTGACTCATAATCTCCTCGTACTATCGTCAGCTGGGTGTTACTCCCAGACTGGTCTCTGTTAGACTCGTTTCCCCTGTCGTTTCACAGCGACTGCTTACCCAAGTACGTCGGGATGCGGTGTGAGAGACAGGTTGTCCAAACGCGTTGATTTTTGATACGCGCTGAGTGCGGTGTATATTTAATATAACGCAGAATCATTACCCTGCACAGGAACACCAACGACCCTACTGGAACTACAACGCCGACATTTACACTATTTCAAGGCCCTGGAGTCCATCGTGTGAACGGCAGATTGGTGCATGCAATAACAGTATCAATACCGCGGTATGTGAGACAGCCTCAACATCTATTCGACGTGGGGTGATGAACCTCATCATGCCATATTCTCCTTCGAATCACACCCCAAAGGGTCTGTGACCGATGAACTCCGTATCCCTCTGCACATGTATAACTCAGTCGTCTCATTTCTCGTCTCGCATGAACTTATTTTGGGGGACTGGCGGGGCCGCGAGTCCAACTAAAATCACGTTAGAAAATTGATAGCAGAAGCAAGCGAGGTGACTTACTTGTGCCACATCTGACCTATGAATCCAGGCGCCGGCTTCGAGTCGGTCATTGATTGTCTGCGGACTGCATTGCCGTCATGACGTTTCTGGTCCATAAGACCCTGAAAGAGGGTACCGGAACTCTGTAGAGCGATCGCATCAGCGGCGTTGTATACCAACGTCATACCTGGGTCCTTACACGTCTGCGGCCGGTAGGGGAGACTGGAATATCGACGTTCTTGCTTGACTCCATGATGAAGGATAGTGTGCTTGTCGACAATTGGCAATTGTTTCAATGGTGGCGCGTTGTGTAGCTTAGATATGGTTATCTGCGTTATGTGATATGGTATTGGAAAAAGTAATCCTACTCAGGAGTGGATCGGGTGGAAGAAGAGGAGGTATATAAGCAATCCAGCTTTACAGCTGTCATAGCTAAGCTCTACCTGCCAAAGGCATAGTTCAAGGTAGTTCGGCTAAGGGTAGGCATATCATGCCACCCCCTCCGAGAATGACTTCACCAATGAAACCAGCGCCCACTCCTCTGACACAAGGGATGCAGGAAAGCTTGTCGATGGGCTGATCAGAGCGATGACGATATTTACTCGTCTTTCACCATCACAGACTAAAGACTACGCTACAAGGCGACCTAACAACTAGCGTAAGGGGACTTGGGGGACTTCTACGGGGAACCCGCACGAGAAACTGACCACGTCGAGCATATTGGTATTAGATAGTGGTATCTGGCGCCCATGAGGCTCTGTTAACTCATAGTACACTTGGCTTTGACAAGTGGGGATGTTAATGATGGACGTCACATCAGAGGGTCGAAAGGCGATGCCTCCTCCTCCCTCCCTCCGTCATTCCTGCTTTGTTCTCCCATCTTCTGCTCAGCGGAAGTGCGTAGTGGTTGATAGACTTGGGCCCCTGACTGCCCTTCGCTTTCGTTACCCCGCGCGGGTACATGGTCTGATCACTCTGTTGCTGACCGCGATGCGATAGCCCAGTTGGATTAGTCTGGCATTGTGAGCCAGTCAGACATCGTCGATCTTGGGCAACAGCACGGTCTACCCTCATTGAGCATTGAGTTTCTTCCCGTCCCCGAGGGAAAAGGTATCAAGGGAGATCCCATGGCTGGAACGGATGACAACCCAGGCTGCAGTGAAACCCACAAAAACACTACGGAGAAATTCGTTTCTTCTCTACCATAGTACGCGAGGGCGAAGCTTGTTATTGTTTCTCCATGCAAACCCTCGCGAATTATGGGCTCGACATGTGATGATATGCCCGAGCTACCACGAGATTCATGTTCACTTGCACATAGCCCCAACGAAATGATTGCGGTGAACAGGCAAGCAGTCGTCCAGACAAGAGGAGAGGGGCACAAGGAGTCGCGTGGGACTGGACATCCTTGGAGCGCCCAGTCAGCCAGCAGTGATGTACATTATACGACATAGGGGACGTAATTATGTACGGATCATCGTTCGTTGGCTCACGTCCCCCTCACTCTGGGGGGTAAAGATCGGCGGGGGAAGAGGAGGGTACAAAGTGTGGGGAAGCCCCGCTGAACGGCATCTCTGTCGCCGCGCTGCCAGCGTCAGCTTCCGCGATCCTTCGTCTAGACCGATGCAGCCTGCATCAGGGTCCTGCTGTTCTTATCGGGAAGCTCAACCCTGAGAGATCGAGAACACGCGTAGCCGTTCTTATGATGCGGTGGAAACTTCGGCGACTTTGGTGGCTAAGGTCGTCGCGCCTTTTCGGCAGCAAAAAACAACGAACGACGTTGCAACCGAGTTTGGCCAGTAACGTGGGACACGGAAACTTTCACCATCCCATCCTAGGTAGAGTTGGATGAAGCAATCAAGAGAGGGTGAATCGAGAGTCGGCCGAGTCAAGAAGAGCCTCGATCACTGCGTCCTGATGGATGATGCCAGAGGACCCGCCGCGTCCCGCTGTTCTAGATTTCAGATAGAGCAGAGAGCGACCAGATAGCCGCGACGGCGTGGGGCTCGCGCGAGCATCGTCTGGTCGCCTTTGCTCGATCTTTAGAACGGCTGGACCTTCAGGTCCCTGCAGGTTTGAGGCTTGCAGGGCGGGAAGGGGGGACGGCTTGCAGAAGCGGCGGCAACGCCGTACCCCCTCCCTACCCGGCGTGTTCATCGCTGTGCTCCCCTGAAAGCAAACGTCCGCCGCCGGGTGTGTAAGTGGCTGACGTCAGAGCTTCATCACCGGAGAATGAAAGGTGAAAGGAGGCTACATACGGTCAAAGCTGAGACACAGGGAACTCAGCCCGTCGATCGCAGAGGAGGCTTCGATGATGATGTAGGTGTATGAGGGGAGGAGATGGGGAGATCGGACACCCACTAACCCGTATGATCTTCCTTGAACGACCCGATATATACATATCATGGGCAACCCGATAGTATGATAGCCTGTTCGACTAACGAAGCGTATGCATTCAATGCAACGACCAGAGACGTTCATCTCAACTTCGACCTGTCCAGACCCTTCCTTGCAATATGAATGCCCTATCACAAGCGAAACCACGTTGGGCAACAAACCATCCAGCTTTGGAGCTTGGTGGAAGGAGCTGAAACTCATAGGAAAATTTGCCTTCTGATAGGTTCCTGACGGGATCTTCTGTCTTGCTTTGGAGTCAATTCTACTTCATGGTCGCTGGCTACGATGCCTTGATTTCCACAGAGCCGCCAACAATTTAACAAATCCTCGAGGCTAATTGGTAGAACCATTCACACAAGATTGCATATCGAGGAAAGAAGCAAGATATTCATAAGGATCGACAGTTTTTGTTGTGTTGTCCTGGGGGACGAGTAGAAGAGAAGCTAGGTTGGTAAGAAATGATTAAAGAAAAGTTCAGATTAAGCGAGGCGAAATGGAGCCGCTAGGACTCGCCAGATGCCCGCAACAAAGTTCAAAGTCCCCGATTGATGTTGAATGATCACCGCTAAAAGCCCGTGTTCCAGTCCTTTCCTCTCAAAGTCTTCGAAACTTTTGGTTGTTATGCAAACCGCATGCTGGAAGTGTGGGTCTGGGTGTGAAGGATTGCGAGAAGCCCGGTCGACAAGCCGACCGGGCGTTGTCAAAGTGCCGAACTCGTCATGGGTGTGCAGTTCCGTGGCTGCAGAGTACCTGCCCGAATGAGTACCGGCCGCGACGAACTTCCGACTTAGACGCGGCCGATGCCACCAAGGCCACCGAGGAGGCCACCGAGGAGGGGTCCGAGAAGAGTAGTCAAGATGCTGAGGACACCGGAGAGACCGGAGGTGGCGGTGGAGAGGCTGCCAAGGTTGGGAAGACCGCCAGTGGAAAGGCCTAGTCCGCAGCATCAGTTAATGTTCAAGGCACGACCTAGATTGTACTTACCGGGAAGGGAAGGGAGGCCATTTCCAGAGATAAGGGGAGTGATTTGGGCCTGGATGGTGGAAATAATAGCCTGGATCTGCTGGAGTTGAGTCCCGCTTAGGCCACCGGGAAGGTTGCTGCCGATGGCATTAACGTTGTTGACCTGGACCAGGAGGGCACCGAGTAAAGCCGAAATTTGGTCCGAGCTGAGAGTACCGTTGCCGACAGCGGGAATAGAAACGCCGCTGAGGGGAGGAATTGCGGGCAGACCGGGGATGGTGCTGGCACCGGGAACACCCTGGCCTGTTTAAAGTGGTCAGTCGTAATGGTTTTGTTTGCAGGCTTCAGATTCTCTTACGGATATTGCCAACAACACTGAGAACACCCGCCAGGAGGGAGGTGAGGACCGAGACAACGTTTTGCGGGGTAATGGGAAGATTTGGGATGCCAGGAAGGCCAAGGCCGCTCAAGGAACCCAAGCCGGGGAGAGTGGAGAGGGGAATGCCGCCGACCTGGCGGGCATGGATCTCGACGTTGCGCTTGGCGACAGTGTTGGTGTTGTCGACGTTGGCGATGGCAACGGGGTTGGCCATGGCCATAGCCAGGAAGGTGGTGAGGATGACAGCGGACTTCATTTTGATGGTTAATTTCTGAAGGAAAAGGGGGTTTAGGTTGGAGAAGAGTTGGTAGTGAGGGATCCGAAGACTTGAGAGTTGAGAGAGTTGAAGCGGCTGACTATCCTGTAGTGAAGTTGCTGTGTGATGAAGAGAGAGAGATATTACGATCTGGACGGCGGACGACGAGGTCTTTTATAATGAATCTGGCCGTCGATGAAATGAGGGAGTATGATGAGCTGCCTCTTCATCCTCGTAGTCGTCGTTGTCGTCGTCGTCGTCGTCGTCGTCGTCGTCGAAGAGGAGTCGGCCTGCCTTCCGTCTTCGTCGAGTTTGCCTTCAACTGGCCCACATCCACGCCAAGGCTACCAGGAATCCTAAACGTGTTGTTCACGTTGATCCCCTGCTGAGCGTGACAGTCTCGTGAAGCCCCGGATACATTTTCCGCTGAGGCCTATCACAAGTTGCTTCGACACTCAACGCTGAGCCATCTACAGGAGGGACCCCTGGACGGGCACGAAGGCTAGGCTCCTTGGCTCCCAGCCAAAAAGGTCCAGGGAGGGTGGGAGTCTGATGCCAAGCGCCTTTGACAGTTCTTCCCGCCAAAGTTGTCCAATCATGGACTGTCGCTCCAGCTCGCGCGCTACTAGATCCGTCTGTCATGTCTCTGATGGATAACTCAATTGTGAGACATACCCACCGGTGGAGGATCGTGGCATCTTTCCTCCTTGCTTCCTCATTGGCGACTCTCATCTGCGAACGGCTGCGGGATTGAGTCCCACAGGGACCATAATTTCCACCTAGGCCCGATCTCCGTCAGGAAAGGCGCGAATCCCCATATCCACTCATGCCCTCCGATGAGACAAGACAGGATATCTCGGCCGAAGGCTTGGTGACGTTTGCGGGGAGAATTGTCGTGATCAGAGTCAGCTCAATCTTCGCCCACCGTTGCTCCCGCCGCCGATCACCGGTAGGGAGACATACCACACTCCTCTCGCATGATGTGATATCAAGCCGTGGCTCTACAACATCCGGCAGCGTCGAGGAAATCCCCACGCCCTCCCCCAAAAAAAGATCGACAGGATATGATCAATGAAGCCTGCTTGTCAGGATATTCCCTCAACGAAAATGCTTTGAGCCTCTTACAGTATTGTCTCTCCATCTGCCCTTTGCTACAACTTCTGCTTTCGTCCGAAGACACAGAAGCGGATGCAATCGTGATGATTGTCGGAGAACTTGTTACGTAGGAGGTTGTGAGGTAAGAAAAACCATACGTCTACTTAGTCTCAGCCGCCGAAAATCTCTTAGCCTCAACTTGCCTCCTTTCCCGCTCTCCCTAACGGGAGCTTGCATTCCCGCCCAACCCCGTTTTAGCCGCCTAGACATAAACGCCTAGAGCTGAATTACACTTGAGAACTGACAACTTGTCTAGGGCAAGAAGGTCTCACCAACAAGTCTGTCGAATCATGCCCCAGGCTTCTACCATCTGATATGCTCAAGAATTCATCCTTGGCAAGAGGCGGTCGCGGGCCGACACGACACATTTCTCTCTCTGGCCGAGTCAACCGCATTGCTGGTGTAAAAACCCTCCGCCTCTCGCGCCATCGCTCGCCATCTCAATGCGAGACATTGAGAACCGTCGTTGGCCGCAATGGGATGCCTTGGGGCTGAGTCGGCTGACTGACTTGCCTAAGGTATTCCTCAAGCATATGTCGAATTCGCTCTTTGGAGGAGGGCTCCGTCTTTGTTGACACCAAGCCATATCCAGGCCGAATATTAAAATAAGGGACATGAGGTATGGGCCGGCCATCTAGGAGGCTGAGTCAATTCTTCCGTATCGGCGTACTGCAAGCCACGTCCGAATTCTGCCAAGTTTTCAAGACGGACGGCTACTTTCCTTTCGGTGCTGGTCTTTTACCCAAAGTCAACACCATTTTGCGCGAAGGAGGGATATCTTAAGAGGAATGGAGGCTGAAATCGCACGTCATGTTAGCACGTCACCAACAAAGGGAATTTCCCTAATCTGAGGAGATTCGGAGGAAGAGACATCTTGCTCGTACGTAGGTGGAGGCAGCAACGTCAGCTCACCGCCAGGAAACATGCCTGGCTTCACACCCGCAATGTCACCTTGGGTGCTGTCACGCGGCTGTCATCTCAGAATCAAGTGAAAGGACTCACCAAGCGGTTGCTGTACATCCATACCCATCTATCCCTGCCTCAGTAGCCGAAAAATACTCTCTGTCACTCTCCTTCACAGCGGCTATCGTCCATTCCGAGAATGGTTAATCTAGACAGATGTCAGCTAGCGGCCGCCCGCTCATTGAGCATCTAGGGAGGCATTAACGGCATCGAGTGAGTCGCAGCATCTTCCCTTTACTAGACCATTGCCGCTTGTTCTCGCAGGCTGGGCCTCTTTTGGGACCGCCGATCTTCGTTGCCAGCATCCGGTCTGGAAGGGCCTATCGTCATTCCGCCGACCTGGCCTGGGGAGCCTTTGACGGGGTTCGTAGGAGAGCGGTTGCAAGCAAAGATGGATACAAGCTTCGTCTGATTTCGCCAGCGGGCCCTCACTCCCTCTTTGTGGCGCCGCTGCTCCTGGTCACGCCGGTCCTGGCCGCTCCTTCTTGCCATTTTCCCTTCGTCGCTGCCCGAGCTTGGGGTGTATCTTCCGGAATTCCTTGAATTGTTCCCGACTGTGGTTTCGTCTATAGCTGCTGCTGCGATGAGCGAGGCCACTTGCCTTGTGCTCGTTGTGCGCTACGTCGCTGCGGTCCATCTCCTATCGTGCGAAGGGCGATCCCGCCTCCTATGAATATGATGCTCTCGGATAATAGAAGACTCGAGAAATCTCTCCTCGGATTCCTGGATGCGATCCGACAACTACCCAAACTTCTGGTCGACGATGGCGTTGACGATGGCGTTGAACCAACCAATATCCAGTGAGCACTTTCTCGTCATTCCGGGAAGAGGACAGCCCATACCTTTTTTTTTGTTGAGAAAGAGCGCGGGTTGGAGGTGTCAGGCATACCATTGGTTCTTGAACGACTGGAGAGAGCATCTCGATCTGGAGGGGCAGGATGCCCAGCCTGATAGGACTCCCGAGGGTGTCTCGCTGAAGTCACGAACATCTCACCCCTGCCATTCGTCTTGCAAGACTCGACTTCTTCTTGGTCATCCTTCACAATAGCGGGAACCACTTCGAATGTGTGGCATCGTCGACGAGACGTAGACGGGCCTCCATCTTTTCGGCCAAAGGTCTCACTCTGTTGGAATAAGATCTTCTCGGGGCAGAGGTATTGCTATGGAAGCCTCGTCTAGTCACTGGTCTCCCATAGACGGTATGTGAAAAATACCTCGGCGTGCGTCACAACCCTCCTCATTGTGCCCAGTGTGATGAGATGATTCAGGCGCTCCGATTTCTCGTACGATTCTGGGCAACCTGCGCAAGTTTGAAGCTTTCTTTGGCAGGAACCAAAGTGCTACATGACCTCGTCATTGTTTATAGCCAAAGAATATGTGTGTAGACGCCGTTATCCCTTTTTAGCAAGGGTTGGAATACTCTCAATTTGCCATCGAGCTTCTGATAGATGACGAACCTTGCCCTCCCATCAACCCAGGCGTCTGTATATCTCCCTGCTCTCTGCCACCACACAAGCACTTGAATGGGAGCTTTGCCGCGCAGGTTTGCTTGTCTGATTCTCTCGCGCTCTCTTCCATGCATCGTCCCATACGGTCAACTGTCCGTGATGATCCACAACAGCCCATTTTGCACTCTGGGGCAGCTCATTGGAGATCGGGAAGCGCCGGGGCCGTGGCGTATACAGCCTTGGAGGCGGAATTTCCCCTTTGGTTCTCTCGTAAGTCACCAGGCCTAAAATGTGGGGATATTGCGTGTCGAGTAGCGAATAAGAGTCTAACGTCGTTCGCCCAAGTTAATCATAAGTAAAGTTGTGATGGTGGCTTCAAGTGCCATCACACACGGGTTCCGAGTGGTTCTGCCCCATCTATGCTGGCTTCGGACTGTATGTAAGTGTTGGCATATCAGCTTCTGCGCAGCTTCAAAGAACTCTGGTGGTCGTCACGCAATGCGGGCTGTAAGCGAGTGGGGTTGAGAAATGCGTTGCGTACATGTTCTGGGAAGCCGTGTTGCATCAGAACGACGTATTTTGTTGCACTGTTCTGATGACATCAGAACTATTTGGTCTGGAAATCATTCATTAAGAATGCTTGAGTAGATGCAATTAATATCCATTATCGCAGGGAGAGAAGTTCGGGAAAGGGGTGACAAAAGACAATGACTTTTGCCCAAACCAGACGAATGTTCTGGACTACAATGAATATTCTTGATCTCGCTGCCTATTAGTCAAGGCATGGCTTGTATACCTAAGCAATGGGGAATAGTTCAGCCATAGAGGAGATGTCGACAGAAGATGGCCGAGAAAGACCAGTTGCGGTCACTTTTTCTTGTAGCATGCATCATGATCATCGGAAGTCTGTTTTAACAAGAATCAAGTCTTTTGACAAAGGGAACAGGGCATTTTGCGCTGGCCGTGGATTAAGATAAAGAAGAATGAGTGGGTGACTCAAGATGTGATGGAAGTTGAAGAAACAGGGTTTCAACATCATTGCCGTCTAGATTTCGTTGGGTAAATATAATATGGCAGGACTGATCCCTTCTCCCCATGTCAGATACGAGACGTAGGGGATAAGGGGGTCAGCAGATGGATTGTCTCAACTCAAAGTGGAAGAAAGAGTATTCAAGAGCCCGATATATGTTCTTTGAGTTGAAACCCGAGTTATGCCTTGGTAAGAGAGAGTTGTGCCAGTGTGCCCCTTTTTCGAATTGACAATGAAGAGCACTCCGATCATGGGTAAGTGCCTCCAATTGTCCGCAATTAATGTAACAACACTTCAGATATCTAAGGTAGACACAAAATTTCCACGTTTCTTGTGGGGGTTTGGGTCGAAAGGTTTCGCATCTTTTGTTTAAGGGTTCAAACACCAAGGGATTATACAAGCCAATGGCAGTGCGCATTAACATGAATGAAGAGTTACAACAAATCTCATGCTCACCCTTTGTCGATATTCTTTGAACATGAGTGAGGCAAAGATTGTCATAGTGCTATATAGAAGTGTCCCGAACGAGACAGAACTTGTAATTGTTGAAGCTAAACCAAAGCACTGAAGTTATCACTGATCACTTTTATTGAAATATTTGGCTACGCAGGAGACTCCTGGGGAGCAAGTGAAAAGAATTGACCTCAACCACATAGCATCACCTTCGCACACGAGAGGTTCCCTCTCAAACCTTTCGCAGTAGCAGCCATGTGCCTCGCCAAGACGATATACACATGCCAACATAAGGAGAAGAAGCGTGTAGCCTGCCGCAAAACATGGCGCCAACGAACGAGCTGGTGCTTTCGCCCCATCCTCTTCTTCGTGCTCGGCAAGAGCTCCGATGAGCCTTGCGATGAGCTCCGCGTCAATGACACCGTCTGGCCCTCCGTTGCATGCCCAGAGTGCCGCCAGGCCGAAGAGACGGGCATCGCCACCAGGGGCATGGTCATCAGCACTACAGCTACTACGAACAAGTACCGCGATAAACTGACGCCCGCGGCGCTAGCGGCCTCGCGGATGCGTAAAGAGGACTTAGAGAAGCAGGATAAGGTGCAGGCGAACTATTGGTCTCGACAGGAGAATTTTCAGGAGGAGCTCCGGAAGCGAGAACTGGAGGAGGAGGCTGCTCGGGGTCAAGCTCAAGCTCAGGCGCAGGCTCAAGGAGGCGGCGACGCTGTGAGCGACAGCTACGCTGACAGGCCCCTGCCCGCCCTTCCCTGCTTCCCAGCTGCTTCAGTTGGTGATACTCGGGGGGATCCGGGCTATCAAAACCCACGGTTCCGTTCCAAAAACATGTTTCTTCCGCCTCCATCACCTTCCCAACCAGCACCCGAAGGGAGGGCTCCTACCGCACCTAAGAATCGTCCAGCCGCGGTCACCAGCACCGGGAGCCCCATCAGCAGATTGTCTCGATTCTCACAAGAGCGAGTAGAACGACCCACGAAGAAGAACTACTACGGCAGGGGTACTGCAGAGGCCATACGGGTCACTGACGAGGGTATAAGGACCTACCAGCGATCACTATTGGGCCCGCAGCTTACGAACTTGGTGGAGGGCGGGGGGCCAGAGGCAACGCCACCGATCACCGAGAGACGGGGCAGGGAGATGACGCAACTGGTCGATACCTACCGGCGGGTCGAGCGGCGGGCTGAGCCGCGGTTCCAGCCGATTGTGCACCGACGTCCCACGCCCGAGTCCTCGCCGGAGCCGGTGCCGGCGCCAAAGACGGATAATAAACGAAAGGCGATTTGGAACCCGTTTAGTAACAACGGTCGCCGAGACGACGAGGCTCGTTAGGCAATAGTCTCCCGCCGCGAGATTGTTTCTGACGCTCGTTCTGATGTTGCCTCGTTTGTGTGTCGTGACGCCCGTGATGTGGAGAATGGGAAAAACCAACATTAAGCTGTACGTTGCAAGAGATGAGATAGAACGTGGGGAATGGGACTTGGTGAGTGAATGCTTCTTGCTCGTGGAACTATGTATGTGTTTCGTGCGTTTTTTCTGCAATCGACATGGACAAATAGAGGCTTCTTCCCCTTCCCAAAATAAGAAGAACGATGACCGAAAGCAAGCAACGCGCACAAGGAGTCCGAACGGCAACTCCTTTCTGGCCGTCAAGCGTTATAACTCGACCGGTAACAGGTCCAACGACTGACAATCTGTATACACGTAAGCTCAAATTGGTATCTGATGAAAGTACTCCGCCTGTGAAGTGATGGCGCCTGCTCGAATGCTTCCATGCCGTGGGGCGTTAATTCCTCGATAGCTCTCCTGTTCGTCCGTAGCCTCCCTATGATGGCTGCGCGACATCCCCCTGATTCTGCTGAGTAAATACTTAGGCAGAGTAGTCAGCGCTGGGCTAGCGCATATAATCTGGTTTCCGATAGGTGTGCGGGTTTGTTCCTTCATTGTCGCAAGACCAAGTAAAGTGTTTGTCATCGGATGGTCTGCGGAGTTTATTGGGCCTTGCCATTCTTGGCGTCCTCGTTCGCCTTGGAGGCTCTGAATTTGGCAATCTCCTTCTCGACAGCTTTGTCAACACGGCCCTTGAGTTCCTGGCGGTATCCAAGCTTGAAAAGGAATTCAAGCCAAACAAAGAGAGGAGCTAGGAAGACAGCCTGGACCAGGTTGTCCAACAGCGCCGGCGCGCGTCCCTCGAATGCGCCATGACCAATGAACTGGAAGATCCAGCAGGCGATGTGGATGCCGACGGCGGCTTGATTCGTCAAGGTAGGGTTCTCAACCCTGAGGGAGTTGCCAGCGGCAGTGGCGGCCAAGCAAATGATGGCTAGCAACGTGCCGGCTACAGGTTCGAGGAGAACATACAGACCACCCCAAGTCAGGGCTGCCAGTGTCCCCAAGTTGAGATCCAAGTTAGGGACGGTGAGCCAGCTAGGGAGCGGGATGAGAGTTCCTGTGTTGGTGGCCTGGGGGAGTCTGCATGAGCTCAGGTGCAAAGACTCGAGATATGTCTCATTGACTGCTTACAAGGCAAAATCCGGAAAAAAGGATGATGGGCACGCATGCCATGTGAATGCCGATGTTGATGGCATTATGGTGATATGCGCCATACTATGAGCTCATTAGCAACCAGACTGACGACAGACACCAGCCGGAAAGCCGGGCTATTCACTAACAAAGGTCAAATGTTTTTCCAGATCTAAAGACATGATGACGATGAATGGAGTGACGGAGGGTGTTGAGACCTAGGCCAAAGCGACGTGGTGGACTGAGAGCCGAGGTTTGTTGCAGGACGGATGCACCAAGACGAGGCTGGCTGCAGGGGCGAGACTCAGCCGCGGGCCGATCGGCAGGAGTTGGAAAGTGAGCGGACTGGACGGGTTGAGTGCGGTGCACCTTGGAATGGCCGTGTCAATGACGGGAACTGAGCTGGCTCTGGGTTTAACTGTGGGCGACTGGGAGACAGCTGGCCGATGTTGGTGTCGTTGCGGATGATGGAAAATGAGAGAATGCCGTCGCCTTCCGGACAGGGTTGCAATGGTGTTCACATGTGTCCCACCCGAGCACGTCGACTCTTGTGTACCTTACTTTCCGCCGAACCTTTGCAGTGCAGGTGCCCGTGGGGCCGCTGGGAGTGCGTTTTTGCTCTTCGGTTCGGGGGGTCCATACTATGTAGGGAGTCCGCTGAGGTTCCGGCAGCCCTGGAATCGACCAGGGCCACCAAGGGCGTGCAACGGCGGCTTCTGACTGGAAATTTCGGGAGAACGAGTCCACTAAAAACTATCTTACTACGCGTGCATGCACCAAACGTACGACTATCTCTCTCTTCGTCCAATCTAACAGCGTGCCTTTGTCGTGTGAGCGCGTTGGAGGCTGGGGAGGCTTTTGGCCGACCCTTCTCGTTGAGCCTGAAGGACATGTCGAAACGCTAGGCTAGCCATTGTAACAGCCTACCTTGGTTAACTAGAAGGATTCCAGGAAGAATTCGTGCCGCAAGCCCAAATTACGACGCCAGCTCCAAACTCACATTAGGGCTGCCACATCCGCGGTTCGCATAGCGCCGCTTGTCGCATCCTGTTAGCATCTGACAGTGCACTCTGCAGCGTCGCAATCCACGAATCGGGCTTCACACATATTCTGGACCTCTCCCCGTCAGGGACAGGCCTGCGCCTGCCTTCCCGAACATCGCGCCTACCCCGGCTCCGGAGCCGCGAGCTCTCCGCCATGGGGCCTTCCGCGCTAGCGCAATTCTTTAGCGCAGGCGCGGCAGCAGGTGTGGTCGGTGAAAGGTGTGGCTGACCATTCTACCAAATCCACTTTTCCTGCCTGGGGCATGTGGCTACCCGCAGGCCAAAAAATTCAGGAGCCACTTGTCGCCGTAACTAGGCCATCTCAGCCTCGCCGGGTTCCTCTCGTACAACCTCTCTGTTCACTACCCGTCGAGTCTCTACGCTGGCGGCGCATCTCCTACAGCGCAACGCAGAGGAACCACCCGCCAAACTCTCGAGTCCTCGCGCTTCTCTTTTATTCAGTCGTTGTGTTTTTTCTTTCTTCGGGGTGTGTCGCGCGTACAGCCCTTCAGCTTCTCGCCTTGCTCGCGACCTCTGCCTGTTCACCGGTGTGCATTTGGAAGCCGCGCATCGATTGCTTTCCCTCACGTTGCCAATCGTGTCCCTCGACCCCGGATCGATTGAGACCAATTCGATACGAGCACTAGACTTAGCCGCATTTAATAAGGGAACCTTGCGTTGACAACGCGCGCCGACGCGTTGTAAGAGGGTAGACACAGGAATCTTTGCTGACGAAGACGACGACGACGACGATCCGCCTTTCTCCTCCGAGCACGCTGCGCCGCGAAATTGCCACAATGTTTTTCCTTTACAACATGGAGCGCAGGGTCACCCTGCATCCCTCCTACTTTGGCCGGAACATGCACGAGCTGGTGACGAGCAAACTGCTGAAGGACGTGGAAGGCACCTGCGCCGGAAGCTATTACATCATTTCCATCATGGATACCTTCGATATTTCAGAGGGTCGCATTCTTCCAGGCAGTGGTCTGGCCGAGTTTACGGTGGGATACCGAGCCGTGGTTTGGCGGCCCTTCAAGGGCGAGACGGTAATTGCTACAAACCTGCCTGGCTTTGTCGGGGAAGCGGCTTCTGACATGAACCCAGGTTGATGCTGTGGTCTACTCAGTCAACCACCAGGGCTTTTTTGCCCAGGCGGGACCTCTGCGGCTATTCGTGTCGGCACATGTAGGTTCTCGCTTCCGCGCTGGCCAGGCAGTACCTCTTCGTCGATAACTAACCCCTACCCTTTACCAGCTGATCCCGTCCGAGATCAAGTGGGATCCCAATGCGACACCGCCACAGTTCACCAACAATGAGGATACCATCATTGAGCCAGGAACTCACGTGCGCGTCAAGGTCATTGGCACGCGAACAGAAGTCGGTGAGATGTGGGCGATTGGCAGCATCAAGGAAGACTATCTAGGGTATGTCAATACCAATATCTGCAAAACCATAACTGGGTCTCACTTACAAATCCTTGCGAAAGCTGCCTTCAGGACTAAGCGTCGTTCACGACGAGAAAGAGGAAGGAGACGGCCAACGAACAACCACGCCCAGCGCGACCTATACAGACTTCGGTCGGTGGGAGGTGGGTGTTCGAGACTCTGCACGAGTAGATCCTCGGCCCCCCATGGCAACAAGTGTTGCTACCGCGCAGAGCAATCCTTTTGGACAAGGCCCAGACACAATCTCGAGAGAATCATCTTTGGGCTGCAAGCGAGACATCGCTGCGCTGACCAATCTGCATCCGGGAAGCAGAAGATAGAAAAAAGTTTGGAGAGAAAAAGAGGGCATACGCATGCCAACATCGCTGGCGCGTTTTTTGTGATCCGCAGCGTCAGATCTCGGTTCCGTCTTGAAAGTTGTACACTAAACTATTGCTTTCTCGCATTCAACGAAATAAAAGAGCAAAGCTACGAGCACACACAATGTCGCTCTAGGGTTGCTTCTGGAGCGGCCGATCATTTGATGGCGACAAGCTGGACACCTCAAGAGTGTCCGTATTGAAGAGAAGTGTGTTCTTGTGAGGCTTCAAAGCTGAAGTCCTCGAGCTGTAACCGAATGCACACTTATCTACATTATCTTGGCAACTTGCGTGCCACGGCAAGTAGCTGTGAGGTCGTGGGACTTCGGCTAACCCCTCCCGGACGCTTTTCCCCCACGTTTCTTAGCTCTGGGGCCCCAATCACAATCGGCAAGTACCCCACCGCCGAACATCTTCGTCTCGTGGGTCTGACGGTGGATGGACCGAGTTCCTCGTCTTTCGCCAGGCACATTAAACCCGCTTTACACTCCCGGCCCGCCTCTATCTACGTGCATGAGGTGCGTGCTAGGGGGCGGCCGGCTTTCTCCCCGAGGACCAGCAGAACCCCCCCTCCCCGCACCAACCTACATATCTGACATAAGGCGCGGGCGACACATTGGTTCATCATGAGCCGATCGATTCCGAGCTGCGATGTCGTGACGAATTGTACTTGTACACAAGAAAAGAGTGTTTGACGTCGCACAAGATTGTCGTGACCGCTTTTTACCGATCAAATCGTTGACTTGCACTAATACATTCCACCATATACAATGTCGGCAATGCAGGCGGCCAACAGGCTCCGGACGGCCTTTATCAAGGGCGCCGGCCCCAGCTTCGGACTGTGGCAGATGATCCCCGGCGCCAATGTCTCGCGGGTGCTTGCTCGAAGTCCGGGTGTGGACTGGGTCTTGGTCGATTGCGAACACGGAAACCTTGACGGTACTTGAGAGAGAGCTTGACTGAACCCACGGATTACCATAAAGCTGACTGCCGTTCCTCAGATGGGGCCATGCACGATGCCGTCCCCGCCATCGCTGCCGCTGGCGCATCTCCTATTGTGAGGTTGCCAGACATGCAGGGTTGGATGGTTAAGCGTAAGCCCCTTCATGATTGACTACTAGATTTAGGAGGGAAACCAGGACTAACGAGATTTTGCAGGAGCTTTGGATTGCGGTGCTCACGGGGTAAGAATGATGTCTCGTTTATATGCGGTTTTCACAGTTTGGCTGATGTCGAATGACATAGATCCTCGTGCCGCTGCTCCGGACCGCCCAGGAGGCAAAGGACTTGGTGCAGTCGGCCAAGTTCCCGCCGTGGGGACGACGAGGTTTCGGGTCGCCGCTCGCTATGGAGCGCTTCAGCCCAGCGCCCAGCATGACCGAGTACCTGAAACAAGCCAACGACAGCCTGTTGACCATTGTGCAGATCGAGACTAAGGAAGCTCTGGAATCCATCGATGAGATCGCGGTGGTCGAGGGTATCGACGCGCTCTTCATCGGGCCCTTTGATCTTGGTTAGTACGGGCAGAAAAAAAAAAAAGAAGCCGCGTCCTGGGCCTTTCCCCTTGGCTTTGAACGGCAGCTGACCGTCATCACAGGAAACAACATTGGCCACCCGGTGATTAACGGCGTCATCGAGAAGGAGCTGAGCGATGCCATTGACCGCATCCTCAAGGCGACGCACAAAGCGGGTAAGAAGGCCGGCATCTTCTGCACGAGCGGCGAACAGTCCAAGTTCTTCGCGGATAAGGGCTTCGACATGATCAGCGTAGCGACGGATTATACGGCATTGCAGTACACATTGTCGGAGTCATTGAGCGTAGCCAAGGGAGAAGCAAAGCCGGCAAAGGGTGGATCGTACTGAGCGAGGTCGAAGGAGATGACTAGTGTTCCGAGAGAACAAAAGGGTATCGAATAGGGGGTATCGAATAGGGGGTATCGACTAGGGTAAGGGGGTAGACTGTGCTGCTTGTCTCCTTGGCTCGCCCGCTAGCCATGTCCCTTCAGCCAAGCAACGCTGCGGCCGTTCTGGTAGAACCAAGAAAAGACAATCTTTGACATTTCACTTTCCTCCCTCAACCTGGTCCATCTTTGCTTCGATTTGAGCTGGTTCGAATCGATGCATGAGCTTGACGGCCTTGCCCACGAGTTTGGGATCCTCTTCAGGGGCCTCGGCTTTGCTGATGTGGATCTGGGGAGAAAAGGCACACGTCAACGGAATAGAAAGGTTGAAGTCTCACTTCTGCGGGAAACTTTTCCGAGGAGGATGGAATGATCGGACAGCCTCCTTTTCAATCCACACGGCAAGGAAGTTTGAGCTTACCACGGGCACGTCGAAATCGTACAACTCCCTCCAGCTCTTGTTCTCCGGCGCCGTTATAACGACTTCCGTATAGACGAACGGCCTGCGATCCCAGACATTGGAGAGTGCCGATTTGGCCCGTACGCACAAGCCACACTCATCGCGAGAAAAGAGGGTGATCCGACATGGTTGAATCTTTTGAAATAATCGTCGTGTTGGTGCAAACATGTCTATGAGTGCTGCAGGCCAAGGGGTAGTCTGCTGCAGCACATCCGCGATTTTCTAGAAATCCGACGTTTATCCTACCAAAAGTGTGTGTGTGTGTGTGCAAAGGAGGCAATGCACTTGTGCTGTGATAGGAAGGATGCTCGAAGGCTGTGAAACAGCGTCGTTCTCGGTCAGCTGGGTAGGGACGATTGGGGCAAGAAAGAAAGGATGGAAATGTCAAATACGATGGCTGGGACCAGGGATTATGTTAGGTTGGGGGGCGTACAAAGTCTGTGGTGGTTTTTGATATACGTCTGTGAGATTCAACGTGAGATGATGTGACCTGCCAATGTACCAGTATGTCTATAGCAATGGTGTGGATATCTAAAAGCGCCCGTTTGTTGTCGTTTCGGAAGAGTCTGACTGATTAAATGATTGGCTCCGGCACGAGAAAACCAAAGTTGCTGCTCGTCCCAGTCCGTCTTGTGATGATGAAATGGGCAAAAGGCAAAAGTGTGGGTTGAAGGTGTCTGGTCTTTTTTCGGTCGTAGGCATCCGACTGAACTTGCACCCTGGCCGAGTTGTACCTCTGATCCTGCAAGGACAAGGCCGGGTGGAATCTCTCACGCCTTCGGTCGATTCTTCCCGTACCGGTTGTACAGTACATTTCGCATCCCTTTCGGGAAGGCGGTGAAGTCTACGAGGCAGCCGCGTCCCACCCATCGTTGGTTACCTCTGGCGAATCAGCAGGCAAATTTCCCCGAGCTTGTGTCCAACATGCATAATTATGAGCCGCTAAATCACAGACGAGACCCCTGGGAAATTCTGGAATCCTGGAGAACATAGCAACCCCTCCATCGACGACAACCACCCCTCACTCATCACTTCCACTTACGGCGGCACCTTTCAACAATTTACATCCTGCCAGACCCGCCGCCTCCTTCATCCACACCTATTCTCAAACCTCACCCGTCGTCAATCCTGTTCATCCTTAACAATATTTTCTCCTCACTCTAGTTTCTTAGAGAATAATTGCGTGTCCGGCAAACTTCGATTGCATTTCACCCCAGCACGCGAAAACGGTAGCGAAAGCCAAGCAGCACAAGTACACCCCGCCAGCTCAACATGGCAGAAAAGTGCGTCCACCAGGGCTGCGGCAAGCTCTACTCCGATGTAGAGGAGCCATGTGTCTACCACCCCGGTCCTCCCGTATTCCATGAAGGCCAGAAAGGTACTCACTCCTAACCCGACCACCGTATAAACTTTACACAAGTACTACGCCATATTCGATGGATAACGCGTCCTTCCCATTCTTGTCCCGTTCGGAAGTGATGGCCTTCCCCTCTTTCGTCCAATTGCACCTCACCCATCCCTTGCTCTGAGCCCCGTTCAACCGCAATCAATCGCATTGGAAACACTTCACACGAGACACTGCAGCTAACCTCATCCATCGCTACCAAACAGGCTGGAAGTGCTGCAAGCCTCGCGTCCTCACCTTCGAGGAGTTTATGGCCATCCCCCCCTGCACAACTGGCAAACACTCCACAACCGACCTCCCCCCAAAGATCGAGCAGAAGCCCCAAGCGTCCCCCGCGGACGCGCCCTCTCTCCTCGACAAGCTCGCATCGACAGCGGAACCGGCACGCAAGCCCCTTTCCCAAGCCACACAGGCCGCTCCCTCCCCTCCGCCTCCACCCCCGGAGTCCGAGTCCGACGACGCTTCCCTCGAGATCCCCGACGGGACCAACTGCCGCCGTAAGGCCTGCTCGGCTACCTATCGCAAGGCATCCTCGCGCGATGGCGAATCTTGTGTCCACCACCCCGGTGTCCCCATCTTCCACGAGGGCTCCAAGGGCTACAGTTGCTGCAAGCGCCGCGTTCTCGAGTTTGATCAGTTCATGAAGATCGAAGGATGCAAAACCAAGGGCCGTCACCTGTTTATCGGAAGCGGCAAGAAGAAGATCGCCTCGGCAGCAGGCGGCGAGGAGAAACTTGACACAGTCCGTACCGACTTCTATCAAACCCCCTCCACCGTCATCGCCTCCTTCTTCCTCAAGAAGATTGTCAAGGATTCGGCCAAGATCGAGTTCAAGTCGCAATCTATCGCACTCGACCTGCCCACTTCAGACTCGCCGCCCAAGCGCTACACCACCGAGGTACCTCTGTTTGCGCCAATCGATACGGAAAAGTCTACTTTCAAGGTCCTTGGCACGAAACTTGAGGTGAACCTTGCCAAGGCTGGCGGTGAGTCGTGGCCTGTCCTGCGTAGTGACGACCGCCTCACTGGCGAGATATTACAAATCGGCAAGGCGGGGCGCCTGCAATAGTCCAAGACACCACCGCATGGACGGACTTACGCTCTCGCTTTCTCGCGTTTCCTGGAAGAGCATTCATGCGGTCTTCGGGGTCAGAAGGTTACAACTCCCAGGAGAAACGTCTGCTCAAAGAGACGATAAGACGACGGATCAGAAGCAAATGGGTAAGTACGTGTGTGAGGCACGGGAAACCTCAAGCTCACACAGAAAGGGAAAAAAGAGATACAAAAGAAGTACACAAGATACCTCTAGACGGGTGTGTGAGACACTCATGTCCCACCCAGGGATGCGGTAGCTGCTGTAATCCAAGAAATAAAAAAAATGTGTAAAACAAGAAGAAGTTCGAGACAAGGGTTTTCCTGATCCCCCCACCCCTGCCCAAGCCCTTCTGAAGCCCTTCGGCTTTTCGATGACGCCTCTGACTCTTCTGGAATGCGTGCTATCTAGAATGCCGTGCGTCGTGCTCAAAGGCCATGCTCTGAGAGGAGGCGGCCGGCCTTGGTCTACGCGAGCCGTGATCTGGTAGGTGCCACGGCATGTGACTAAGTTCTTGGCGGAAAACGTGATACGCAATCCTCATTGACTCGGTGAAGGTACCGGTAGTCACTTTTTCAAAAGATCGGATAGAGATGATCAAGAAAGAAAGCGACGATCAGCCGCGCAAGCGGCCTCCGACCAAAATATTCTTCAGGCCTTGGGCTCGGGCACTGTTGTTCGTCCACGGAATCAGAAACGTAATCTCCATCAGACAGCGCTTCTTCCTTGTGTGCTGTTTATTTCCTATAGATACTCAGTCTATTTTGAATTCAAGCGCCTAGCGTCTTGCGCCTACAGCGTCGTCTGGAAAAGAAGAAGGTTTCTTTTCTTCTTCTTCTTCTTTTTTTTTTTTTTTTTTTTTTTTTTTTGGGTTGGAGACGATGACGATGGCAATGACCCGCGGATGTTCACTGCCCCGAAAGAAAAGGGAAGAAAAATCCTTGGCAGTCGGAACGCCGTCCATTTCGCTTTGGCGGTCAGATTTTCAAAAGGGTCCATGTTGTGTGTATTTGCACTGCCCGCCTCGCCGCCTGCGTTTTACTTCTCTGAAAGGGCTTGCCAAGTAGTCGGGAAAAGCTGCTAACGACTCGCCGGGCATGGGTTCATAGCTTCACGAGAGACATCACTTTACCGAGTCTGGTAGTGCCAGTCGGCGATCATTATGACGGGTTTCTCAAGTGCCGGTGGATGATGGGTGGTGGTTGATTGTCACCCAGGTACGAAGGTAGGTGGGTGTTGTGTAATGCTCAATTGGCTCAACTGATTTTGCAATCTACCCTAGCCAAGCTTCCTAGCTTCCTCCTTGGTTTCCTCAACACCCTTTTTGAAAGCAAGATAGGGGATGTGAGTACCCCCTCCGGAAGTTAGTGTGCATGTGAGAGAACAGCACACACAGAGGCAGTTCCCGGAATCCCGATGCAGTTTGACCTGTAGACTAACACCGATGCTAGTGACAACACCCCTGGTCAACTAACATTCCATTCAGAGTGAAAAGGGGCCAGTGGGTAGTAAATTTTCTTCGATAACTGTGCAAAAAGCCTTGGCTTGTTGCGGCCTGATGCAACTGTAAGAAAGACAATGATAAACCTTTTCCCCAACTCCAAACCTCATATCGCCAAACTTGCCAGGGATGGTCGAACCAAAGCAGCACAGAGCACGGATGGTGGTGCGCGCCGCACACACCGTCTGTCCTAGTGTCGAGTCAACCACCCCCCCATAAACCGCATCACCCAAAACGCCAAGCCGGTGAAGTGGATACACGAGGCATGGTAACACATAGAAAAGGAATCAGTGAAGAAGAGAAGAAGTAGGGGATCGGCCAGGTGCCGCCGCCACATGGAGGTTAAAATCATTGGAAAACGCAGCACGCATGTTGTCAAGAGGAAAGGATTGAAGCCCTCAACGAAGCGGACTCCGTCGCGCCTGGTGGGCCGACATCTGCGGAGGAAACGCCTTTCGCTGCCGCGTCAGGTTCGGCTTTGTGCTCTGCTTTGCTATTGCCACGTACTGGTCCGTCTTGGTAAGACGGCCAAGACGGTGAAGTCGGCGCCCACCCGGCCGTCGGCTGCCAGTGGCTTTGCTCTCTAGCGCAGTAAGGGAGGACGTGTGCCAATGTGGCCGCCGGAGCTAGCATTAGACTCTAAAGCTCATAACTCTAGGCCAGCCGCCGTGCCGCTCCAGACGTGGCAGGGATCACCCCGATAAGAGGCCGAAAAGGGATAAAGTCAAACTGGGTAGAATGCGGGCCAGTGGAGAATAAGGCTTCAGAGGGCTGTGCCTGTGACTGGGCGGTAACAGGCCTCGTTGGTCATAGTCGTCCAGATGTGCGTTGCTGGAGGGTGCAGTGTATTGGTAGAGTGGTAAACCGTAATGGCGATCCGTCTGCAGGGACGCTGCTCGTTTGTACCTGGTGTTATGACGTGGGGGTCAGCCGTCGGCGGCTGATCTAGCGGGATCTAGACTTTTATTTTTTGACTTCGCCGCACCAATGCAAGGGTGGGGCCTGCCCGCTGCGGGATGCAACGGAACCGGCGCCCCTCGCCCTCAACCCGTGCTCTTAGTCGCCGGGTTGGGAGAAGGCGCTTGCTCGTCCGTGCCGTTGTAGATCAACTGGAAGCCATCACGGCGGCAGATGACGATGGGTTTGTTGTTGGAGCAGCGCCCGATGATTTCGCTATTGTTTGGCAAGTTGTAGGGAACCGCATCCTTGAAGTGGATGATTGGGCCGCCGTCCATCGTGAGCCCGATTATCTCTGCTCCCTGGACACCATCATCTTCATCAGAAGACTCGACTTGAATAGTGTTTCTGTACCTTGTTTTAGCGTACATGTTTTCATACTGGCGGGGGAGGTTGGGTAGCAACCAATTTCCCGGGGTGGAAAGGTGCACGTACACTTGGCTCATGGGGAGCGTTCCGGCGTCGCTCATCTTCCTCTTCCTCGCTGACGCCTTCTTCACTCTTCGGACCATGCATGTGTGGAAATAGTGGAACAAACCCGCGATGACCAGAACGGGTGTGCCGAGCGCAAGAGCCCATGGACTGTAATGATACGTTAGCGAAAAAAAAAAAAAAAAAAAGATTGGGCTTGCAAGTATGGCAAGAAGGGTAAGAAGGTTACATACGGGTTCTTGCGTTGTCTCAGCTGGTGAACAAGGGCCAGAATAACTCCGCACACTGCAATTAGAGATCCGACCTGGATCATAGTGAAAGTCGACCAGTACAGAGACATGAGGTCCTCGCCGTCACAGAATTGTAATGCCATCAATGTGAAGACCTCCATGATGACCGTGGCTAACGAGACGCAGACACATCCTAGATTGAACCAGATACAGTGCTTGATGGCTTTTTTCCGTTTTGCGTCCGTCTCGGGGAGTTCGCTCACAGCGTCCAATGTCCTGAACAGTTGGTCAGTGAGACTGTTTGAGGAGAAATGACCGTGAGACGCAACGGTTATTGCGGGGGAACTGACCGTGTGTAATTCCATGCTGCCAGGAATAGGACGAACAGATTGAAAACGAACAAGAGCCAATACATTACGTCGAACTGCCACCTGTCCAGGTGAGATGCGAATCTGGCGTAGTGCTCACACCGCACAGGGTCATAAGGTGCAAAGTCTTCCTCGTTGGCTGACATCGTGACTGTTGTTGCTGTTGTTGCGTGTTGTAGAAGATGTGTCCACGTCTTCTTTTGCAATCGTCTGGTGCTCTGGATGACAGAGCTTCAATGATACAGGCACTTGGTTGATGGTGATGCAAGAGGTTCTGCTTCTTTATAGGTAGATAGGCTCGTTTGGTAAAGTCACCGATCTGCAGGGTTATGATGAGTCGGTGCGGACTAGGCTTGCGTGTGCGGGCAGGGACGCGCCTTCAGTCAGGCTCCGATGGCTGGCAGGGGTGGTCGTGGTCCTGAGTCTGCCGAGGGGCACCCCGGTGTGCTCGTGCGGGCTATCTATGAGGGGTGTACATGTACGGGGGGTTCATCGACCAAGCTCCCATGGCTTGTCAAGCAGAATATGAGATTAGCTCAGATTGAGATGGCATAATGCTCGTCACTGCCAGAGACTACTGCAGTTTTGCAGTCAACTAGAGGCCGTTCGCTCCACTCGGTCTTACACCAGCATGTGGATCCAAGGTCAAACTCATCTTGTCATCAATGATGCACCGATGCTGAGTCGAGAGGGGAGGCAGGCCAGGAATAGTGCTTGAAACAAGATGGTAGTGATAGCGTCGTCGACATGGCTTGTGGTGATCCGCATGTGGATGGCGATGCAGTCTGGGCGATGTCTGGGCAGTCTCTTGGCAAGATGCGCTGGATAGGACGTAGATTGCCGATCTGTAATCTGTAGGCGGGCCCTTGGTGACGGCCCAAGTGGATTTGGATTGGCCGGCCGCCGCATTATTCTCCGGACTAGGGGGGGCTTAGCAACGACGTCCAGACTTCCGCAACTCAGTTGCACAGATATTCCTCGGTTCCCTGAGCTCCTACGACGAGCTTCCCTGGTCCACGTTCCTTTCTCCCCCCAATCCGATGGCCACTCCGACACTGTCAGTGGGAGGCCACCCCGCATGTCCGCATGTCCGCACGTCTCATCAACGAACCTTCAACTCGACATGTGGTCCTCAACTCATTCCCTCCATCAGCTCAACTCTGTCAAGCATCATTCCCTTCAGACCAAGATACTCCTTCAATGAATCCCATTCGATGCCGCCCTCCTCACCGTGTCGCCATTTCTCTCTGTAACCCCAGGCGCAGGCAATATCGTCCATGCCGGCGCGTTCTTCCTCACGAAGCCAGCGCTGGTGCAATGGGATGCCAGGCGCCCAAGTGACTCGTCGCATGTGATCATTGACAGTAGTTTTGGCAACCATCCCAATTGTCGCCGTGAACCCCAGATAGGCCAGGATGGCGGCGAAGGCGAACTTCGTGGCCGTCACGGGCTCCATTGTGTTCTGGAATGCCGAGAGATTGGAGGCAAGAGTGTAGACTCCAAACGGGGCCGCTCCCACGGCCGAGACGGGCAGAAGCGCCTTCCGTAGAAGCTTTTGGCGGTAGAATGCTTGTGTTGCGTAGGAGGCCTCGACGATACCAATCGCGGCGTCCAGATTCTTGGCGTCGATGGCGGCCCTCAAAGCTGTTTCGGCCACACTTGCTTCGATTGCCTTATCCGCTCTATTTGTGTTCTGCTGAACATAGGAAATAGCACCCTCGGCCGCCTTTGGTTTGGGCTTTGAAGCATACAATTCGAAAACATGGGGAAGTGTGTCGGGCCTGCCAAGCCTAGCTTGGATGTTTACGTATAGGTCCAAGACCTGCGGACCAATGGAAACGGTGGGGTGGGCGACAATTTCGTATGCTGAGTCGGAGATTGTGTCGACTGTATCCTTGACAGAAACCGACGGGATCGACGCGCTACCAGATTTAGCTGCAGTCGAGTTCGAGTCCAGGGATAAGAGGTTGGAAGCGGTCGATGCTGTGAGCGTCGAGGCCGGACGAATCTCCGACCTGGATAGATAGGGTTGAATCGCATTTGCGGCGCCTTGGCATGTTTTCAAGACCGCAATGACGAGCTGTGGAGTGGGAATTCCATCCGTAGAAAGGAAGCGCTCCTTGCTCTGTTGAACCACGGCCGCCAGCTTGCTCAGATCAGGGAGGTCCTTGGACGATTGACTGGCCGTTGCGGGCCTCTCGTGACCATGCTTTGGCAGAGCCGAAGTAGATACCGTGCTCGCCAGGCGACTTGGCTCAACGACCCTTCTCAATGTGGTGTTCTCGTAGAGCTTGGCAGATCGAAGGGGGACGATCGAAGAGAGGTTTGGCTTGGCGGTATGTTGCAGTCGAGTCTGCTGAGCAGCGCGTGATAAGGCCAAGCATGATTGGCAAACGGGCCGAGGCTGGCGAGCCACTGGCCGGATGATGGCGGTCCGCATCATCTTCGTGACGGGGAGGAGAGGGCGTGAGGTCGGGTCTTGGAGGAGGAGGAGCGTACGCGTCTCCGGCGAGTGGGATTGGACGATCTAAAGCAGAAAAACAGCGAGCGGGCTTGAAGTTGTAGACTGGCCTCTATTGACTGCAGCAGTAGGGTGAACAGCGAAGCAGACGAGGTAGGCAGCCGGTTTCGTAGCGAGTTAGCCAAGAGAATCAAGCAAAAGGGGGCTGTCGGGCGGGTGAGGCAGAGGCCGTCTTGGGGCTTGGTACTGCTCGAGGAGAGAAGCCCGACAAAGATTCCCGGGTGATGTGAGGCGCTGATATGAAGCAAAACACACTGGAAGGATTGGGAGCTCTGGACGTGATGGAAGTTCCGGGGAAGCTAGGAGCTCCTGCAAAATTTCCACATCGAGCCCCATACCCCCCAATACCAGGTCGTCTAATTACCCGCACCTCCCCACTAGTCTTTATGTATACGTAGCGATCATTCAAGCGGCAGGGAGGCTCTCGCCGCTCGGGACAACGCGCCGCGCCAATTGGAGTAGCAGCTGCTCCTCCTAGGCGGGGTCGCCTTGGGGCATGCACAGGAGAGTGCAGCGCTCGGCCAATACCTATTTGGAGGTGCACTGAAGAAACGTGGCCGGCCGGCAGCAGCCACAGCCGTCCATTACCGGTACTTACGTAGTAAGGTAGACAGTGCTCTAAGGGTCTGCGCACCTAGGTACCTTATGCCACTTCACTCACACCATCTGCATGTTTCTCAACATCTTTTCTTCCAAGACTTTAAAGCTGTAGATCTTTATTGTAGCTCTACATTAGACAGAATTAATTATCTCTGGCTGTGTTTTAGTCTCTTGGGCTTATTCCGGTTTACTCCGCGTGCTCTCTTGCTTAGCTTGCTTGATACTAGTTGCCCCCGGGGATCAATGTTCCTCCCCTGCACCCCGTCGTGGGGCTTACGTATTTCCTAGCCACAGGTACGTGAAGAGACCTGAGAGGCTGATGAGCCAGAGGCTACTTGCACCGCAAAGGCACCTGTCAGCCAGCTGGAAGTGGTTCAGGCGCCTCAGCCCACTTTGGCTGCCAAGGTTGCACCGCCAGCGCCTAACAGCACAACGCCTTTGAGCGAACGACCAAGACACTGCCGAAGATGACGAAACACCACGCGGCTGAAAAGCGACCCTAGAGTACCATCATCCCATCGACCATTGAGGACATGCTGATCGAACCCCTCGAGAGCCTCAATCTCCTCCTGATATTGAAACAGAACCCTGTTACCCGGTTCTACTGTATCTAAACGACATCCCTCGCCCACCTTCGAAACCGTTGGACCCGACCTGTCAAGCCCGGCTCGCATGAGCCTCCGTCCAATTCCGGCCGACGACCTGACCACCATCAACCACCTCTACGTCGGCGAATGTCAACCACAATCATCACTTTCTCGACTTTGAAAGCGGAAATTCATCAAAGACATAAAAGCAACCTTCATCATGCCTCCTCCACCTCCACCGCCGCCTCCGATGCCTGCGATGGGCGGCCCTCCCCCCCCTCCTCCACCTCCAGGAGGTCCTCCCGGAGCTGGCAATCTGCCTGCGAGACCACCGGCAGGAGCAAACAGAGTGCGTCTTTAGAGATCAGACCTAGACTGCTTTGTCTCGCCGCAACATCGTACTGATATGAGTTATAGGGCGCTCTCCTCTCCGATATCACGAAAGGCAGGTCTCTCAAGAAAGCCGTTACGAACGACAGATCCGCGCCAGTAGTTGGGAATACGTCGGGCGGCGGTTCCTCCGGAGCACCGCCTCCAGGAGGTGCGCCGCCAGTCCCAGGCTTTGGCGGTGCTCCTAAACCTCCCGGCGGCCTCGCTCCTCCGGTGCCCGGAAATCGAGCTAGAAGCAACAGCGACCAGAGTGGGCGAGAAAGCACGCCTGCGCCGCCCATGCAATCGGCACCACAACTAGGCGGGCTCTTTGCAGGAGGTATGCCGAAGCTGCGCAAGACTCGTGGCGCCGTCGATACCGGTGCTTCTATGGACTCGTCGTATCTGTCGGATCCCGAGAGCAACGTGCGGTCGTCTTCTGCGCCCAAGCCACCTACGTTCGGAGCACCAAAACCTCCTGGCGGTGCGGCGCCGGCCCCACCAGGAAGGCCGCCTCTACCTCCTCCCAACGCCGCGCCGGCACTACCACCATCTATTGCTAACTTGCGCAAAACACCCAGCGACCTACCCCGGCCAGGCTCGTCAGCATCGATGAAAGGGCCTCCACCTCCTATAGGCAAGAAGCCGCCGCCACTACCAGCATCCCGGAAGCCCTCTACTACGCCCAGTCATCCTCCTCCGTTATCCGGATCGCCAGCTCCTGGAGGTCCCCCTCCACCGCCTCCATCATCTGTTGCAGCGCCTCCGTTCGCACCCCCCTCAGCGCCGCCACCCCCCCCTGCTGCTGCCGCTCCTAGAGCTCCAGCACCGTCGCCTCCTTCACGGTCCCCAGCACCTCCACCTCCCCCACCGGCCTCAAACGGGCCTTCGCCGCTGGCAATGCAAGCCGCCTTACGAGCAGCCGGACAAGCATCTCCAAGTGCTGCTCCCCCGCCTCCCCCCTCAGTGGCTCCCTCACCACCGGCCTCTGCGCCTCCCCCGCCAGCAGCACCCCCTACGAGGGCTCGTGCCGGATCTGGTCTACGGTCTTCTATGCTAGACCCTAGCGCCTTCACTCTTGCTCCCAACGGTGCAAAGACCCCAAATCTTACTCGAACGAACACAATGAGTAGTCTCCATGTTGGAGGTGGGGGCCAGCGATACATTGTACAAGATCCTCGATGGAAGTTCCAGGACGATGCCATGCTACCAAAGCCAAGGGACTTTGTTGGCGGTCCCCGACGCTACAGAGCTGGCAGAGGTAGCAGTGTTCCCCTCGATCTGAGCGCACTGTCAGAAGCGGGCTAGATACGGACTGTTCCGCAGCTTGACAAACATCACTCTATCAAAGTTCAAGTGTAGAGCGGCGGACGGCCTCGGGCATTCTACATGAATCGAGCGATCCGCACTACAATGGTCACCTGCGGAACGCGCTCCATGTTGCTGCATGCAAGTCATCCGGCCGAGTCCAATCGCAAGACAGAGAAGAATGCTATTTCTATCCCTTCCGCCGGCAAGCTATCTTTGGTCACCAAGTTGAGCATTCGGACTCCGCGCTATACGACAAACAAGCATTCGTCACACATCCTGAGGGCGTCACCGGATCGGCTGCTCTTGGTCCGGTTGCCTTGGTGAAACGATCGACTCAGGCGAATCTAGATCTTTCGGATGTACTCGTCTTGGGGATCTTTTGGTGCTCTTGTGACGAAGGACCATGGTAGCTTCCGAATGCTTCCACTTGCGTCCTCCTTCTTCGGACGGACCAGGGGGGGTTGTTGAATTCTCTTACAGGGTCGTTGGGGACTTTGAGGGGCAAACGGGCTTGGCATGCATGCAAGTAAGCATTCACAGCAGGTTTAGAGAGGGAGGGCGAGGCAAAGGGATATCGTCATTCGAGAAAGGCATGACACTAGCGAGAAACTCAGGTATTTGTTAGACATTGGTAGAAGCAAATGACTTACATCCGGAAGGATTCCAAACCTTGTTGTTGCTGTTGCATCATATGCTCAACTTGACGAGATGGGAAATACATGGGCGGAAGTGGATCGCAGCCGTGTGTCAGGGACCTAGATGAATTCCCGCAAGAAAATCGATATCCGCAGATCGAAGCCTACCCTACCTTGAGATACTAGCTGACGGTTAGTCGAACCTGACGTGCTCCACAGGTGGAAAATGTGTGAACTCTCGTGAAGCCTCATGTTTCTTCGGACACACAGCCTCGCTAACCTTCCATGGCATTCAGCCCAGCTCGGCGATCAGAGAGTTGAGATGAGTTTCGGCGGCGGAAAGTTGATTTATTGAGCTTAGTTCCAGCTTCTGTGCCCGAATCTCCTTCGGCGAACCGGCGGAAAAAAAAATTGGGAAACAAAGTCGAGTGACGAGACTTCAAAGCTCAGGCTCCGACGAGTCTCAAAACAGCACCATACGAACTCCTCGGGATTCGGGTCCGGGGAATTGGCTGCCCACGGAGTGACCAAAGAGATGTGATCTTTCACATGCATACGTACGTGGAGCGGCGCCCCCCGGGAAGGAGGAGGGATTCGTAAACCGTGCCCTTCGATTTATTAAAGCTACCTTTTGTAGGGTGTAACAACCCCGTGCTGTCCCGTAAATGAGGGTTTGAAATATGTCCGCCGGCCGATCGCTGCAGAGGGGGAAAAAAATCCAACTATCCAGGGGCCAATAGCCCGCGTCGAGATACAATCGATAGCCTCACACCTGTGAACAACTCCCGCCCCGATGCTTTTAAGGAAAAAGAACAAGAATTGCAACGAAAGCCCCTGAAGCACATAAGCCGGATCTAGACGAGAAGAAAAAAACCCTTCCACGCCATGCTAGCCCAGATCTCTGGGCTAGTTTCCACTTCAACTCCCCTCTCCCACACCCCAGATCATAGGTCATTGATCATTTCAGATGAAGAACGAAAGACAAAGATAGGTCGAAAACAGGATTGATAATGTCCCCGCACCGAATAAGCCCCCGTATGAACCCCCGTTCCCGTTTGCCAGGCATGTTCCGCGTTTCTGCTCCCATTTAGGAAGAAGAGGTATCCATGAAGATGAAGAAAAAAAAGCAGTCATCTATATTCGTCGTTGCCCGCGCTCATACCCGTTCGTGACGAAGAGAGAAGAAAGCCGGAAAAAGCGGTATGAAGAAAAAGGGCTGGAGACCCGCGAGGTCCAGGACCCCGGATCCGCCTGTTCGTAAATAGCATCCGACGCTTCATGATTCAGACGACATGGACAACGATCGACGCTGGTTTAAATCTCAAGCGACAACGCTTCGACCAACCCCCGCACCCCACCTGAGGCGGCGAAGGCCACCGCTGGACGATCGAATGACTTCCCGTCCGCACGAGGATGAGTCTGCCACTGCCGAGGCGTTGACGCCTACTCCTGCTGAAAGAGCTTCTTGGCGTCCTACTTCACGGCCGATCACATAGCCCGCGCCAAATCCTACCACAGATACCAACACCACCACGCCAGCGCTGACGACCCATGTCAGCAACGTCGGGCTGATGAGGGCCTCGTCACTGGCCGCGACCTTCTTCTTTTTCGTCGCTCTAGACGAGCGTGTCTGTGAAGAAGAGGTTCGTTTATGCTTGTCGACACTGTCGCTTTTGGGCGATGAAGGGGCAGAAGACGTCGCCGTCCGTGACGAACGGGTAGCGGGAGACTTGGAAGGTGAGGCGGTCTGAGGTTGGGTAGGTCTTTCAGCCATGAGCTCAGATTCAGGCATCAGCCGTAATTCAACAGGTTGGGAGCTAGGTCCGACTCCGACATGCGCAGGTGGAGCGCCTTGTCGCTCAGTATCCTTATACTTTGGCAGACCACGAGCGGCAGCGGCGCAGGATAGCAGAGTCGTGAGGGAAGCACGAAGAGCAGCGTCATTGTCGGCTTGATATGCGGGGGACATGAAGTTCGGCGGGCCCCGGCTGACTCTAGTTTGAGAGCGTTGGGATAGTGCGGGCCTTACACCGCTGTGTGGATGCTGGTGGATCGCCGAGCTGGCGGAGTGCCTCCTATCCAAGCCCGAGGGCGGATGAGAGAACGCGTTTGGCTGAGGTCTGAAAACAGGATCATCAGGAACGCGTCCTAGAGCGGTAGCAATCTCGTCGCTGTCGTCTGAGTCTTCCGACTCCGCCTGCGCCGACGGCTGCTGTTGGAACGACGCCCGCACTGGAGGCCGAATGTTCTCGGTCGAGCTCGTCAGACATCGGTCCTCCTCGCTTTCACTCTCTTCATATTCCTCCTGGCTACTTGCACCGGCTTGGATAGCCGTCTGGTCGACATGGAATGATCGTGGCACAGGTTGATTTGGGTGATGTAAGCGACGTCGGCGGGCGGCCATGGACCCGCCGACTCGGAGACCGGTGGTGACGATCTCGTCGCCGATGGAAGAAAGGGACGACGAAGAAGGCTGCGACGAGACCTCAACCCACGAATCTAATACGTATGGTGTCAGCATGTCATCGGCCTCACCAGACAAGTGGCTGTCTCCTGGTAACTGACCATCATTGCGCCTACGAGGGCCCGCGGCGGGTTGTGATCCGTTCGCCGACATCCTGCTGTTCTGGAAGTCGTGTCCTGCGCAGTCGTCGCGCTGCTGTCCATTCATTTTGAGAATTTATTCAACGCCGTTGAATTTGGGGAATAGTAGCTGGTAATAAAGAGAAAGGTCGTTCGTAATCGTGAGAGACGTCGTCGTCGGGGGAGGTGGTTGGACGTTTGGGGGGTGCGTCCTGCGTCCCAAACCCCGCGTTTTGGAGATAAGATACGCTCGTGGGATATCCGTAGCAAGGGGTCCGAGTTGTCTGTTTATTCGACGTTGAAAGTGGTTCAAAAAACGTTGGTTCACGACGAAAAAGGGATGAAGTAAGAGGTGGTAAACGAAGAGTGAGCAAGGAAGGAAGGGTTGTAGCAGACCGCTTCGACAATGGTCGGCGCACCAGGCACGCAGGGTCGGTGAGATGGTGTTGAGGCCTGGCTGGTGGATGGCTGGCTGGGCCTTTGTGCAGCAAGCAGAGGTCGGGGAACCTGGGAGGAGGGGGCCTCTATGTCCACCTTGACGGGAGCTTGCAACACAATAAGGTACGGCAGGTGGGATAACGGATGCTTGTACGGATAGACAGCCCGGAATGTATATCTGCAGCAGTTATTCGCGGGGGATATACTTACCACTTTGAGCCGGCGCTTGTAAGTTCCGGCCACCGTACCGTGTTAGATCTGCCTTATCAGACGAGCGTTTTCTGGCTGCAAACAGCGCGATAAGCACAGTACGATTTTCTTCAAGGTTGAACAAGGAAACGTCCATGATATGAATGACGCTATCGTTACCGTCAAGGAGAGGAGAGGCGCCGGACCGAATGGACCGCATTCATGTCCTGCCCCAGAACATCCCCTTTGTACACCGTTCGGGCTGCCAAGTGCAGCGCTGCAGGGGGTCAGGTGGGTCAGAATTTACGGCGTTTTGCAGCGGGAAGCGCGAGCTGCGCCCACCTGCCGTCGTCGACTTAATAACACCGACACCGGCTCCCCAGGACGGTCGCCTGTTGCATAGTCTACGCAGCATAGAAAATGCGGAGAGGGTCATCGTCCGGCACTGCCAGTGGTCTGTCGACGCTACGACTTGCATCCCTCGACAAGGACGATCCCAAGACACGCCGTGATTCTCGTCTTATAATCGTCCCCTAAGTCATGCCAGATTCCACTGACGTGCTGTCGCAGGTAGCACCCGACTGCCCTCCTCCTCTTCCTCGCTCCACCGTTTCCCAACAGAATGGCCTCCGTCTGGCGCGTCAAAGGGGAACCTACCTAGCTAGGCCAAACGGCTGAGCAAGATTTACAGCCATCCGCTGGCGAACAGGTGTTCCCCCGTGACGTTGTTAGCCGAGGAGGGCCGGAGTGACCAACAGATGAGTGTCCTAGTGGGATGGAACATTTTAGGTAAAGACACAGAGAAACCCGTTATCACGGGGCTGAGTATGTACCTCGTGCCGCCCAATGACGCAGAGTCGCACGTTAAGCTGGGCACGAGGCTACCGTCGTATAAGACCGAAGTCGGGCAGTTCGACCCCCCAATGAGACATGCACCATATTCCGTCTCACAACCCGGCGACGATCTCAGATAAGGTCGCAGACGACATCAAGTCACGAGTACTCCGTAAGTAGGCATGCATAGAAGATAGAGAACAAATATGTATTCATCGAGGAAAACATCAAAACTTTTATTACAATTGGAGCCGTTCCTAAACGCCGAGTCCACCGGGCAGTATATGCCTCCTTTTGAAATGACATTCACGGGGAGAAGTATACTTACTCCGCATCCTGTACCGCATTGCATGGTATCGTTCCAAGTTCCAGAGTATCCGAAAGGGAAGAAAAACGCCTGACTAGCCACATTAACAGCCGAAGCCGTTGAAAGCAACCCCCAGAGCCCACAGAAGCCGTCGTCATCTAGAATTATCGAGTCCCCTCCGTCGAGTCTACCAGATGCAGACGTCAGGAGATTCTTCCCCAATTTCATGATAATAAGCCGTCTGCCCACTGTGAAGATGTTGCAGTGCAACAAATGCCCTCTTGGTCAACCCACAATAGCGTACAGATCCCGCACCGTCTTCTTTCATGGAGAAAGAGACTTGCCACAAGCCCACGGTCAAGTGAAAAGCCCTCAGGTCCATCTTGTCTCCCAGGAGACTGCTCTCAAAGCCCACAATCCCAACAGGGAAGAAACTTGTGTCGAACCGACAGCCCACAGGAATGCCCGCGTAGTGCCCTCTGATTAACCATCAATGTGCGGCATGCATCGCCATTTAGAAGGTGACCTTGGAGCCCTTGAAGTCTCCGAAGCCGCCACGGTTGGTGGAAGAGAAGCCTCCACGGCCGCCACGGCCACCACGACCACCGCGGTCACCACCGCCACGGCCTCCGAAGCCGCCACGGCCACGGCCGCCGCCACGGCCGCCACCGAAGCCGCCGCGGCCGCCACCCTCACGCTGAGGCTTCTGGCCAGCATAGTCCAGACGGACGGCACGACCGCTACGGCCCTCACCAACGTAGCCACCGTTCAGCTGAGTGAAGGCAGTCTTGGCATCATCAATAGAGCCGAAGGAGACGTATCCGAATCCCTTGAGGTTACCCGTCTCACTAGCAAGACATTAGTATTGGTCTGGAGGATAGTCAAGGCAGGGAGATACTCACGGGTCAGTGGGCAGACGGACGCTGGTGACCTCGGCCGCCTCAGCGAAGAAGGCGCGGACGGTATCCTGGTCAACGTCGAAGGGCAGGTTGCCGACGAAGAGGGTGTCGCTCTCTGGGGAGACCTGGTCGCCGTGCTTCTGAGCGCGGTCGAAGGCGCGAGCGGCGGGGTTGCCCTCACCCTGGGGCTTCTGGCCAGAGAAGTCAATGTTCATGGCACGGCCAGAGAGCTCACGGCCTTGGGAGCCCTCGAGGGCAACGGCGGCAGCCTCGGGGGTAGAGAAGTCGACATAGCCGAAACCACGGCTGCGGCCAGTGGCCTTGTCGGTGACGACGCGAGCGCCGGTGAGATCAGCGAACTCTTCGAAGGCGGCGTACAGGGAGTTGTCATCGACAGCCCAGGCGAGGGAGCCGACGAAAAGGGTAGAGCTCTTGTCAGAAACATCGGTGCGGGCCTTCTTGCCGGGGATGACGGGGTCATCAAGGGCCTTGCGCTTCTTGGAGGGCTCCTCAACCTTGGCCTCAGTCTCGGATGATTCCTTAGAGTCGGAGGAGTCCTCCTCCTCATCAGAGTCGGAGTCGGAGTCGGAGTCGGAGTCGGAGCTCTGTTCAGATATTGTTAGAAAGTGTTCACGTAGTCAATATGGTAGTGCAACTCACAGCCTCAGCCTTCTTCTCAACCTTCTCCTCGGTCTTCTCGTCCTCGGAGGAGTCGGAGTCGGAGTCCTCCTCGCTGCTGTCGGAGGAGTCCTTCTTGGCAGCGCCATTGGTCTTGGGAGCAGCCTCAGCCTCAGACTCAGAGGAGTCGGAGTCGGAGGCAGAGTCGGAAGAGTCAGAAGACTCAGCCTTCTTAGCGGCCTTGGGGGCAGCCTTGGGGGCAGCCTTCTTGGCGGGCTTCTCCTCCTCAGACTCAGAGGAGTCGTTGTCGCTGGAAGCCTCGGCCTCGGACTCAGAAGAGTCGGAGGAGTCGCTCTCGGAAGACTCAGACTCGGGCTCGACGGCCTTCTTGGACTTCTTGGAAGCCTTCTTTTCGACCTCCTTGGCAATCGCCTTGGACTTGGCCTTGGGGCTCTCAGAGGCCTTGGTGACGCCAGCGCTCTTCACCTTAGTGAGAGGGTCAGCGGCCTTGGTGGCCTTGGTGGATGACTTGGTCTTGCCCATTGTGATGATTTGAAAATATGAACGGAAGGGTATCAAATAAAGAAGCTTGGGGATTGGAAAGAGGCAGGAAGAAGGCTTTTTTCAGAGAGGTTGCGCGAGGGAAAAGTTGACAGAAGCTTGGAGGTGGGAGCTTGACTTTTAAGGCCAGGGTCCCGGTGGTTGGGCGAAGAGTCTTGCGACAGAGATTTTTTTTTTGCGATTTGCCAACTTTTCAGCGGGGCGGCTCCCTCGACCGATGCGGGCGGTGTGCGAGGGGCTGCAAGGTTGCGGGTCCTTGAGGTACGTACCGAAAAGCCGCAGCCGAGTCGCTCTGGGGGAAAGCAAGAACGGCCGTGGGGCCGATTGAGCCTGCGAATTAAGGCTGCCGGAATCTGGCTGACCTCTCTAGCTGCCAGGTTCCTCCAATCCCGACAGCCAGCCATCCAAAGCCGGGCCCTGAAATCGATCACCACGAAGCACGAAGCTTGACCTCACCGTCCGCGACCTCCGATTCCGGTGACCCCGTCTCGTCCAATTCGAACTTCTCCCTTCCGCGAGGAGACGACTTTTGATACCACATTCAGTCACGATGCCGACCCCCGAGTCTGCGATGTTCCTGGCACAAAAGCCCAAGGTGCCCCCAACCTTTGACGGCGTCGACTACGACGACACCAAGGCATTCAAGCAGGCACAGGACGCCATCATCCGCGAACAATGGGTCGGCGCTATGATGCTGCGCCTTGTCGGCGAGGAATTGGGAAAGTGCTACAAGAAGGAGGGCGTGAACCACTTGGAGAACTGCGGTCACCTCAGAGGTTAGTCGGCCTTTGCGAGAGAAGGAGGGGGGCTCAATTCGCAACTTGCCAGCGGGTATATCTCTTTCGGGAGAAGAGCAATGCTGACCAGCTCCACAGAAAAATACCTGCAGCTGTTGAAGGAGAAGAAGGTTAAGGGCACACTGTTTGAGCAGCAGAACTATATCAGCAAGCAGCAATAGACTGGCAGTATTATGAGATGGAGTAAGAGGGTCTGTCGTGAAGTAGGAAGCGGCGCTCTGGTAGAGACCTCTTTCGGGATTTAGAAAAGAGGAACGCAGAGACGAGGCTATGACAGTACCACGTCAACTGGCCGGCTCGTGATGGGCGATATCCCTCACGATATGTACAAATGAATCAAACAGGACTTCTGAGTTTATGCATCTATCCGTGTTATTTAGCTTCCGATCAGCCAATTGCTCTTGGAACAGCCAGCCTTGACAACAGGTTCTGATGCCAGCAGTTTGGGGATTCAATTGATAATCTTTCTTTTGTTGGCTGACTTTACTGACGAGTTGCAAGTAAGATTGAGGATGCAGCGAAGCCCAGGGCTGAGAGCCTTCCATGCCAAGTGCGCAACAGGCGCGTCCCGTCCGCCCCAGAATTTTTCCACCCCCGAGCTCCAAGCTTATGCTTCCTGCAACACCACCAGAAATTCGAGGTGGTCTTCGCCGACGACAATCCAACGACCGGCCGCAACTTGTCTCGTCCGCCTATTTCCCACTGCCAAGTCTCCGTCATGATTTGCAGAACATGTCTGCGGCGCGGGGCTTCGGCCCTACCCCGTCTCCAGGCCCCTCGTGCCTCATCCTCCGCCCTCCTTGTCAGACCCTTCTCTATGTCAGCGCCTTCAAGAAACGCAGCACCTGCTGCCGCCGCCGCCGATAAGGAGGCACCCGTCGCCACCGACGCCAAGTCCACCCCTCCAAATCTCTCCTCGGCCCAGGCCGATATCCCCGAGCCCGCGGCGCCCATCTCGTCCTGCCCGCCCGGTACCGTCCTCAACGGCCTGAACTACTTGAAGAACAAGACGGACCCCATCGCCCTCCCCGATGAGGAGTACCCCGACTGGCTGTGGACGATCCTCGAATCCAAGAAGGAGGCCATCGAGTCCACAGAAGACCTCTCTGCCGAGATGTTTTGTCCGTTTTCCTCCACCCATCCCCCTTTTGCCTCATAAACTTTGGTCAATCAAGAAGTCAAGCTAATAAGTTCATCCGACGCACAGCCAAGTCCAAGAAGCAGCGCAAGGCCGCCGCCAAGCGCCAAAAGGCCCTCGAGGCAAAGGTTCTGGCCTCGGGTGATGTAGAGGCTCTCGCGCCCAAGGTCCCGCTGCCGCAGCAGTCCATCAACCTGCCCGGAGAGAAGGGAGGTGACATCGAGCACAACTTGGAGGCTGCGACCAAGAGAGACGAGCTGCGCAAGGCGATGCGCAAGGAGCGCAAGGCCAAGATCAAGGAGTCCAACTACCTCAAGTCCATGTAAGCTGGTGTGGCACCATTCCGGCTGTTACACTTTGTATGGCTGCAACATGAGTGGCAGCAAAGGGTTAGGATTGTGTATCATATAGAGCTCAAAAGGGGGCTCTTGTACAATATCGACCGCCGGCGTGACCGGCTTGTTATATCATCACCAACAATCTCACAATTGGACGAAGAGGAAAATTGATATGGTCAAGGCGCCATGGCTTTCAAAAGTGAAACTTGTAGGCATGATGGTTCATCCTCTAATTATACATGGCCGAAGATAAGCTTGCTATGAAGTGGATATTCCTTTGCCGGCGCTCTGTCATTTGGGTTGCCATCCTAATTGAGCGCTTTAAGCGCCTATGCCCTAGTCGTCGTCCTCCTCTTCTTCGTTGATAGAGGTTTGCTTGAGTGCCAATTCCGCTCTCAGCTGCTTTAACCGGTCTTCGACACGCTTCCGCAAAATCTTGTTTTGTTGGAGAGCCTTCTCTTGCTCCTTCTTTGCGATTTCTGCCTTGAGGTTGACAATATCTTCCCTGACGGCCTTGATCTCGTCCTGGGGCGGCTTGTCTTCGTCCTCGTCGTCGTCATCATCGTCATCGTCGTCGTCGTCTTCATCCTCCTCACTGGCGACTGACTCATCCCCATCACGGGCATTAGCTGCCGGTGTACCGGTATTCATAGTCATCGGCGTGGCTCCCTCGACTTGTGTTGCTGGTGTGCCAACCTCTGTCGTGGCTTGATTCATCTCCTCTTCGAAAGCAGCCTCGAGCTCGGCCTCCAAATCATGATCATCGTCATCAAATAGTTCGCCGTTGGCATAGCCCTCAGACGGGAAGTAGCCGCTGTCATCAGCCTCGCCATCGGCGTCCTGCTCGTCATCGGAGTACTCGTCGCCAGACTGCATCTTCCTGTCGTCGATAAATTCGTATTTGGAGGACATTGCAGCCGCGTCGGCCTGCAAGAGTTTCTTAACCTCGTTCTCTTTCAATTCGATCTCAGAGCGACTGATAATTTTTGCGAATCTTTGGTTCGTTGCGTCGTGCATCGGTGGTGTCAGACCATGAGGCCACTTGAACCCTGGCTGAATCATCGCGGGTAACGGTGCCTTCTTTGCCTCTTCGTCACTCTTTACCGGCTGGAAGACCAGAAGCATATGGCAGATGTCGGCTGATTTCATGAGTGTCTTCCGGTCCCAGGACTTCATTCCCTCCGTGATCGTCGGTAGCTCCACCATGACCGCTGCGTAGGGTTGGCCTTTGACGACGACAACCGCACGCCGGCTTTCGTCGTCGAAGAACTTCATCATGATATCCGCGCCGCCATCCTTTCTAGGAATGCCGACCTTGCCTTCTTCGACGCACTTCCTAACATATTCGCAATGCTCTCCCGGTATCATGCGCAGGATGAACTGCTCCTCAATCGTAGGGTCCTTCTCCTGGTCGCTGGCTTCCGAGTCATAGCCATCGCCAGGCGGGTGAACGGGAGGTTTGCCTTTCGATTTGACAACAATATGACCCGATCTCGGCGTTGATACTGTCGGCGTCTTGAGGAGCTTGATCTTCTTCGAAGACGGCTGGTTTGCGCCGTCATCATCTTCGTCCTGTTCACGCTTCTTCGACTCGATGAGCTTGCTTGTGGGCTTCGGTTGGCGCCCGGCTTTCGTCTTCACCGGTGTCTGCGCTGCCGATCCAGCTGGTGTCGGCGGTTGTGATGATTTGATTTTGATTTTCATCGTGGAGGAAGGAGTAGAAGCTGGCGGTGTCGCGCCGTTCTGCTCGCTGAACGATGCCTGCCGCGAACCTACGCTGAGCTTCAGCTTCGGCCGTGGCATAGGTGGCGCACTGATGTCTGGCATCTTTAGAAGTCGCCAGTCGATATCTTCTCTCGTGTTCGCCGTATCTATGTTTCGTGGGATCCGGGGAATATTGAGGGAGTTCGTAGATCGGAGAGGCAGGCGCGCCTTGATCGCCGCGGCGAGGTTAGGTGGAGCGCATTCGGGGATTTTTCAGTGAAAAACGCGGGGGGAAATGTTCAGAGGTGCGTCAGATTCAATTTTTCGAGAAGTTTTGATTCTTGAGAGACTCTCGGCAGATCAGTACGCAAAATTATTAACGGGTGAAGGCGGTTCGCAGGTCGGTGCCTCATCACTTGAGGCGCAAAGACAGAAGAGGAAGTTGAGGTCCACGGGTAGGTCCAAAGCGACCCGTGCTCAGAAAGGTATCGTATGCGGTAAGCTTCAGCGTGACAAACGCTGGCGGCGTAGCGCACAGACCCGATGTCTCCAGACCACTTGGTGGCTTTATCAGATGCGTTTCGCGTTGCCGCGTTGGAGATGTTAATAGTAAAGTCGATCTTGTAGTTATCTAAGGTAACTCTTGATTAAAGCCGTGCCTCACAAACACCACCACAGCAACTTTCTCACCATTCTCTGCGTCCTTCTCTGCTAATGAGCAACGTTTCCACAAATATGCCGCTCCATCCGGAATTCAAATGTTCTGCGCCTCGGGCCGGTGTCTCAGTTTACATTCTCTTGTAACTTCTGGTCATCCACGATCCGACAAACATCATCCCAGCGAAGCCCTCTCTCTACCCCAATGAAGCGCAGTTTTTGATGCCTTTTTATCTCCCGAGTCGATGCTGGGTATTCTTCCAAGATTTTGTTCTGCACCGCTGTGGAAATTCCCTCGTTCTCAATGCCCTCGATGAAACGGTTGATAAATCCTCTCAATTTATTGCCGTTCTCCGGGGTGTTCCGCTCATACTCGTCCATCTTAGTTCGTGCGTATCTCTGGAAGGTCTCGAATCGCGTTTGAAGAAGCTTGGAAGTCTTGGGTCGTACTGGTCTTGCCCTGGTTACTATCACTGGTAGAGCGCCCACTGTAGGCTTTGGTATGTTGCTCAATGAAAAGCGAGATTTCTTCGGCTGCTGTTCGGACTCAGATAGCGTCGAGGCATCTTCTCCTCTGTCAACAGCTCGGGCCCTTTTCCTGGCAACGACCCGGACTAATACATATCAGCTTGAACCTCTGTGTTTTGGGAAACAAATCTCCTACAACTGTCAGAATCTTCTTGCGTCGCTTGCAAGGAGTGCTTTGTTACGAGTTGTTGAACCTTGTGGTTCAAGGCTACCCTCTCCTCGTCGCTTTGGAGGAGCCTGTTTGCCAAGGCCCTGAGCTCATCTTCCTGTTTACGGATCTTGTCTTCTGCTGCTGAATAGAGGTTGTTCAGCTCGGCTCCCAGATCATCAAGTCGCTTTGGCATGGGTTGCAGCTCCTGCAGCCTTGCCTCGCTGGTCTTCGTGGTCTCGTCGCTGTTCTCCTGACGACGGGATATGTCATCAAGAGTTCGACGCATGGTCATTAGTTCTTGATATACGACAATGTGGCTCATGCCGAACGCCATCTGGGTCGCGGGGATGGTATTGTTTGCAGTGGCGACATTGTTCTGGATCTGTCGTGATGGATTAGAGCTTAGATAGCCCTACAGAACCTAACAAAGCACGACTGTTGCTTACAGATGTTCTTGAGGGGGCAGCTGCGTGTTCCAATTTCGATGCGATAGCTGACCGTTTCTTCGATGTGGCTGGCGGCATCGTAACGGATGCTGGTTGCCTGACTTGCCTTTGGCACAGAAAGGAGCGGCGTGAAGGTGGAATTGCCGGGGCACGTAGTCGACAGAGACAGCCGAGAACAACTCCAAGCTGTTTGAGGATCTGAATTTGCAGTAAGTGGCCTTATGAAGGCGGGGGTTAGGAGAGAATTTGGGACCCAAGAGCTGCCTGATTCTGACGGAACTGTGCAAAGGGGCCGAGACGAGGGCTTCGATTTCTCGCATAGCAAGATGGCAGGTCAGGTGTTTGGTCCCAGGTTTAACATGGCACAAAAGAAAGGTACGGCAGGTGCGAGGGGGTTCTTACCAAGCCAGTTTGAGAAGGAACCCAGACCAGCCATATATGCACCTTCCCTTGGATGAGCTATATCCAGGAGGCATTCAAGGCGTTGAGTCATCTTCAACGATCATGAGTACCCAATCAGAAATCCTTTCAAAACTGGTATGGTTGCAGATTACATATGAATACTGGGAATCTCGCAGCCTCCCTATTTCATGCGTGAACCTGCCCGTTCGTCCCAGATCCTCCCCCGTTTGTACCTCCCACAGCCGACTCCTTCCCATTCCTCGATGATACGGCCTGCCTCGAAGCCCGACCACCTTGCATCGAAGACTCGGCGTCCTCCAACGTCATTGACGGCTGGCGGTTCGGGACCTCGCCACCACCACCGTTCCCCTTAACGGCAGTCCACTTCCCCACGCTCGTCCCCTTCTCCCGCTCCTCAGCAATCCAGCCCAGAAACAGCGCAACGTCCTTAGCCACGACGCCAATAACGGCCTTTGCCTGGATCCACGCGGGCAGTATCCCCTTCGCGTCCGAAGCCGTGGCCATAATCCACTCAATCGCCCCCGTCGGCAGCTTCCTCACCCTCTCGACGCTCACGTAGGCGCCCACCACGACCCCTTTCTCCTTCACCAGCTGCCCGTGGTCCGACGCGGCCAGGTCCGAAACCGGTATCGACACCACCACAAACTCGTCCACCGCGCCCTTAGCCTTGGCCGAGATGATGAGTGCGGGAAACACGCGGTTCTTGAGCGGCATCCCGAGCTTGTGCTTGATCTCCGACACCCCGACCTTGAAATTCTCCCACGAAAGACCCCCCTCGTCAACAACAATACCATTGCAATCCCACGCGAGCGCCTCCCTGGCCTCCATCACATTCGGCGTAAACGCCTTCTCGGCCTCGACATGGTCGTCCTTGAAACACTTGACAAACTCCTCCCATCCCGCCGTCCCCTTTCCCGGCCGGTCCTTGTGGATGCTCCGTCGACACGCCCACGTCTCGCTCGCGACGTAGCCGTTCGGCAGCTGATTTCTCGCCGCCTCCTTCTCCAGCTCCGCCGCGGGAACGATGCGCTCGTACAACTCCACGGGCGCCGTCGATTCGGGGAACGTCTTTGTCCCTTTAGCCTTCCACTCGTTGGGTCGCGCCGTGCCGTCTTTGGGCGCCACGGCGTCGATGAATGGAACGGCTTCCTGGAGCACGGCGATGAGAAACGGCGCCAAGTCCGCCGTCGTGGCGCTCGGCGCAGGAAGCTGCTCCGTCCGGAGGCCCCATAGGCGGACCAGGGGCCCCAGGTTTTCGTCCTCCGTGTGCATTCCGGCAGCGTCCGCGTTATCGTTTGCTTCTTCCCTGCTCTTTTATTCCTTTTTTTCCTTTTTTTTTTAAAAAAAAAAGGAGGGGTGGGGGTTTAGAATGTAGATCCCGGTGTAAATGCGAGTAATGCGTACTTTCGTCGCAAGAGCCAAAGGTCCCAATGCTGTCGTAATCGCAAATCCCGATGGGTTCTTATATGAGACGGGTAGATCGGAAAGCAGCCTGTGGGTAGATATGTTTGTGCGACGCCAGTGAGCAAACTCAAAACCCCACGGTGGTACGCGGGCTATTCGTAAGGCGATTGCGCGGGTGACCGTGACAAAGACAGTGTCAAAGACTACCTTAAGCTCAAGCTCCAGCTCTGAAATGGATGTGAGGAGAGGGATGCGAGGGGGAAGGGCGGAATCGGATGGCTGTCTGAGACGTCCTGCCAGGTTCGCCGCACTGACCTTGAAACCACGCCGACCAGCCGAACAAGTTTTAGCGACGTACTCGAGTGTCGCTGTCACCATTGCGATGGCGATCCTGCAAGCTATCAATGCTGGTCTACTCTATCCCACTTGAGCAGACTTTCAAGAGCACGAAATGAGATCTTGCACCAATTTGCAGCTTGGACGGGTAATCGTGATGTCATAACGGTCTTTTGTATTAATATTATTCGGTGGTGACCGTCTAGTCTGCCACCTTCTAGCGCCGTAGCGCTATCATGTCTAAGTCTTTTTTCCCCCTTTACCATGTGTAATATAGTCATAATGGCTCGCAATGTACAGTCCTCAACCAACCCGTCCTAACAAAACCTCATCGTTCAGTCACCTAAGGGTTGCGCTTCTCCCAATAGACGTTGGCGGGCTCCAATGGCCGTGAGAAAAGGGAGGCGTAGTCGGTGCCGTTGATCTTATTGCTACCATCTGCGTTGCGGAACTTGAATTCTCTGACAATCATGGCAGTGATGGTCTGCAATTGCAGATTGGCAAAGTGCTCGCCGATGCAGCGGTGACGACCCGCGCCGAAGGGTAGGTAAGGCGATCCGGCACCCTTGCTAACTAAGCCGTAACCGTAGTCGATCTTCTCGTCGTCCTGATCTTCAGGGCGGCCAAGTCTGGGGGCGATGGGAGAGTCGGCATCCCAGCGGTGGGGGTTCCACTCCTCGGGCTCGGGGAAGTAGACAGGGTCGGAGCCGGAGACACCAGGGGCGGCGAGGAGAGTGTGGCTGGTGGGAATGACAAATTTGGTGCCGGGAACGGGCATGGGAGATGTGACAGCGCGCATGATGGAGTGGATTGGGGCGTGCAGGCGAAGCGTCTCTTTGATGATGGCCTGATTGAGAGGCAACTTGGCGAGGTCCTCGTAGGTCAGGGGAGGAAGGTCGGCGCCGAGAACACGAACCTGCTCCTCGTACAGCTCCTCCATGATTTGCGGATACTGGGCGAGACGGAGCATAATCCAAGAGCTGGTGGAAGAGGAAGAGTGCTGGCCGGCCATGAGGAGAGCAATCATCATGTTAGCGATCTCGTGGTCGGGGACCTTGGTGCCGTTCTTGTAGGTAGAGTTCATCAGGTGGGTCATGATGTCGAGTCCGTTGGTGCGGCCTTGCTTGCGACGCTCCTTAATTTCGTCCATGTAGATCTGAGCGACGGTGCGCTGAGCGTGATCACGCTTCTTGTTCCAGGGGAGAGGAGCCCAGTGCAGCACAAAGTTGATGGAAGTGAAGCCCATGTCGAGGTCGTGGTACAGAGAGGCGAGAGACTCATCGAACTTGTTACGGATCTCGGCGCCCTGAAGAGCGTGGGATGCGGTGAAAATCGTGATTTCGGCCAGCTTAGGGGGCAGGTTGACGACGCCAGACTTGCCCTTGAAGTCAGGGCTGCGCTTGAAGTAGTTGGTAACCTCGTCGGCGATGATGGGAGTATAGGAGCGGAACGCCTCGGTAGTAAGGGCGATCTTCATGAACTGGAGGGGCACGCGATCTGTCAGTATGCAACTTTGCGCGAAGGGAGTTTCGGCCGCCTGGATACCTTCTTCTGCTCCATGAGCTTGGCGTTGGGGCAGTCGTAGACGACGTCGCGACCGAAGACAGGGGTAGTCAAAACGGTGTAAATATCCTCAGCATTCACATCCTTGAGCTTGCCGTTGAGGATGAAATCGTTGCCCTGTGTTCCGAGGGCGACCGTGGTCTTCTTGCCGAGAAGAACGAAAGTGAACACATCACCGAACTGTTGTAGCGGCGTACGTCAGTAAGAGGACATGCCCGTAAGAGATAGTTTCGGTGATGGTGCGCTTACCTTTTCGCGGTTGGCCTTGAAGAAAGCTGGGGGGTCCATGCCATAGATAACGGTGCTACCAATGAAGGGAAACCAGTGGAAGACCATGGGAGGCTCATTCTTGTTCTTGAAAAGAATCTGGTTCGCGACGTTGAGTATGACGGAGACGACCACGACGGCGGCAAAGACGATTGCAACTTGCGACGCAGTTCCCAGAGTTTGGAATTGCTGGGACACCGGTCCCGTGATCTCTTGGAGGAGACCCATGCTGGGCAGAGGAGGGGGAAAGGACAGGAGAGCGCGTCAATTGAAGTGATATGGCGCAGTTTTCGGATTTGCCTGTGGTTTCAAGAGTCGTGACCGGATGCAACGGACGAATATCAATGGCACGAGAGGAGTAGAAAGCATCAAGAATGGGGGTCTAGCCGTGGTTTTAAATTATCCATTAATGAGATTAGATACCTGCCGCGTTTTGTTGGGTTCCACATTTTCTTTCCGTCCTAAGGTACCTTAACCAAGCAGCACCACTACGTCGGCGTGTGTGTGCGCCGGGCCAGCCAGAAGCTAGTGTACCTACATAGCTAAGGTACCTAGGTAGCCTGCATGGCGGCATGGCGGGCGGGCCATGCTCCAGGCGGTCAAACATTTCGCATGCCCTGTCACAAAGAGCGTGGAGCCAAGAAGCTGTGACATCTGGCCACCCGGATCGATTTTCGGGCGTCTGCCACAGGGTCCCTGGCGCCCTATGGAAGGGAACAGCTTTTTCTTCCTTCTGTTTTCTGCCTTTCTTTCCCATGTTTGCTCGGATGGTGCCCCCCACCCCTTTCAAGTTTCCACTTTGCGCCGCTGTTGGTCCAGGTTAGACGTTGCGCCAGAAAATCGGGAACAGGGGAGGGACCAGTTGGTGGCACCAGCTGCTCATCCAATGACGGGCCGTTCGTATTCGTATCTGGAGACCCTCCCTGCCAATTCGAGCAGTGGGAGATGGGAATGATTCGATGTGTGCTCCAATTCCCCAGACTCTGGAAACCACCTTTGAACGCGATCAAGCCATTTCAAAATTGCCTCGTTGGTGTCGTCAGTTTTGTCATTGCACACTGCTGTTCTTCCCTCTCTCCATCTCCAGGGTTCCGGGCTGGGTCCTCCCTTTCTTCTCATTCGTTCCCAATCAACCCAGCCCATCATCCCACCTTGTTTGACGAAATCTGCGAATCCTTCCGAGGCAGGTACCTGAAAATCAGAGAAAATCGTCTGGCCAGTCACATGTGCTTAATTGGCAACCCACCCTGACAACACGAATAAGAACTCGAGCGGCTGATGCCGTCTGCGCCCTCCTCATGCGTACATGCCTCTCATTTACATCCACTCCAATTCTCAATATCTTCAGCTGCACAGGGGCAAATAAATGCCGAGTTCGTCTGAAACCTTCCAAATCTTTGCTATCAGCAAGCGCACGTCATCTCGAACATAAGCATGGTCGTAGATGAGGGGCTGCCGTTTACCCCTCCATTCCTCTCATGTGATATAACGTCGACTAAGCCTCAAATCTTGGCCACGAGCAGAACGTGAGGTAGTTCAACTTCTAGCTATTATATCCCAACGATCTAATCAAACCCGACATGTGGACAAATTCAGACGTCCAGATGAGATGCGCCATCTTTAATACTGAACACCTGATGAATCATGAAGAGGCTGCATACAGCACTTAACACTTCGTCCCCTAAGGTAGATATGGGAGTGGCACTATTAGTGACATGCCATTTGACTAAGGTAATAAGCGGTCCCACTTTGTCGGCTGTCCGATCAAGCATCAATCTTCCTGGACAGCAGCGAGCCGGATGAAGAGGGACCCTGTCTCTGTAAATAAGCCGTCTTAGTACACTTGTTCCTGGGTAGGGGGTGAACAGCAAGTAGAAGCCTGCACATCACTCGTAATCAAATAGGTAGTAAACCACGTCTACTGAAATGTGCGGGGATGAAGCATTCAACCGCAATTTTCTTCTCAAAAGAGATCCGAGCTTGACCAGACATCTCAACGAAGCGATTACTCAAAAAGAGATCTGTTTCTAGAATTTTGTCCATCGCATGCCTAGGAACACTTGATCGCTGGGTAAGAAGACGGCTTGCGCATGTGTCTTTGAGTCTAGATTAGCTCAGGAGTACCACTTGAGTAGTGAAGCATATTACAAGTGGTAGCCCCAAGCTTTGCGCTTCCTGCCGAGCTTACGAGCGTGGTCGTGTTCTTTAGAGCGTTTTTTTGGGTGAAGTAATAGAAGTTGAAGCGTTCAACTATCTGGACATTCGGGGTCTTGCCTATCAAAGCATCTTCTCTCTTATCTATAGCTGAAGTAGCTATATCCTCTAGCCATTGCCATCCAATCCATATCCCTCTTTCTCACTCCCCAGAGTGTAAGAAAATGACCGAGGGAACGAGAGCTCTCATTCCAACGAAACTAGATTGTCTCCCTGGACCGAGTATTCAACCGATTTTACGTCGCCTTGAAAGTAGATCGAATTGAGTCCCACCGCTAAAAGGACTGGTTTTACTTCTGTACCCAAGATACCCTTTTGATAGAATTCCAACCTGAACCGTACGCAAGTATGTGTGGTCGAGAAATCACAGGAGAAGGATTTGCAGTCTTTACCTGAGACTGGATTCCCGCCCTGGTCGTGGCAACGGATCACATCCATCTCCTTCCCACATGAATGTCCCATCTCATCGAAGGCAGTCGTAATTTTCTCAGATAATTCACGTACAAGAAAGAAAACAGGGGTAATGGCCTTTGGATAAGTTGAAGCTCGGTTGAGATCTAAAAGATGCCTAGCCGCGGCCCTCTTTTCATATGCGGTGGTACGATAACGAGAGCATGATCAGATTTTGAAGAGATGGCCTTGGTAGTGGTCATTTCCTTGCTAGATTCCATGGTCTTTCGACTGTTCTATAGAATGCACTACCAAAATGGACACCAAAAGTGGAAGACCAGTAAGCTTGAATTTCTGAACAACATCTTCGCCGTTGAAGACCTAAGAATGAAGACCTCGTGTCAAACCGAGCTCCTTCGAAGCATAACGGCCACGCCGGAAAAAAAGATCGAGACTGGCGATTGAATTTTTTGTCACTAAGACGCTAAATGTCTTGCTGTTGGGCAAGGAGACGTCCTATTCTCCATCTTCAAGTTGAAAACTCGTCACAGCGTCGGACTCTGCATCTTCGATGAGAACAGCCTCCGCAGGCAATGAACAAGACGAGAGGAAAGATTTAGTCCCTCTCTCAACGTGAAGCATAGACGGGAATGTTGGTTACTGTCGGCAGAAATATAAGAAATTCTCCTCAGAAGTGAGAAGTGAGATACACCCTGCATACCCTGACCAGTCGTGTTTCGCAAAGACTGACACCGACCGTGTCTGTATGACTCCAAATTTCTCTTGCTTAGTACCAAGTGCCAAGCCATCTTCATAAGCAGAAAGATATCACGTTAGAACATGACGTATACCTCAACGGCTTGAAAATATGTGGAAGTAGGCACGGAACGAGGCACCATCGACAGAAGATGCCGCCATACTTAGCAATGAGAGTTTGCCCTCGAGGCCTTGATGAGGTCTTCGTAGTCCTGGTACGTGCCGTAGTTGACGAAGATGAAGGATTCAGTGACATTCCCGCTAGTAGAGTAGCCGTTGGTACTGAAAGATGGTTATCTGGAAGATGACTTTTCTTCAGTATTCCGCCCCGGACAGCTACCCGGGTCGCCAACAGCATACCTTACCCATCTCATCATCACCCTCGCTATTCCCCGTCCCGAGTGTATTCCACAGAAGTCATGACCGAAAGTGAAGGCTGTGACGGGCACCAAGTAATACCTTGTATCCTGCTATAACATGAAGAAGGACGTATATTGAGCCTTTCGGGTGGGCCAAATCACATTAGTCTCCCGTATGCTCTTGCAAAGCCAACCATTATCGTCTAAACACAGTCGGCCATCAGGTGCATATCGCCGGCTTCTCAAGCCAGCTGTTCGAAAAAGCTGGCGCTGCAAGAAATCCTCGTCGTTTGAGTGGTCGGTCTGTCTCCCATATTACAGAGCCGAGTCAATTGTTGGTATTGTCATGAATCGCAGCAGCATCGCTGGTAATGGATGACGCGCACCAAAGCTAGTAACAAATTCCACATGGAAGCCTTCTTTCCGTACTACGAGGCAAATTCTCGATCGTACATATCATAGATCCGCCGGCAACAGCGAGTACGGCTGGGAGAAAACAGCCATCCCAGCCATCACCCATACCATCAACTCTGCTCCCTTTTTACATCCAAACGACTCCGAGCTGGACAACGACTTTGAGTCACTGACAAAAGTGGTAACATTTGAGGGGAAAAAACTACAGTTGAACCTGCCCAAGCAGGAGGCTGCCACTTTACGTATCGTAGGGCCGGCACTGCTAGGTCTGCTGATGCAAACAATCTCGTAAAATCGCCGAGTCGGCAGATAGCCCTCCCAATCAAGGTCTCGATCAATCTCGCCCGAATCTGAGTCACAGAGGTGCGCTGGGGTGCATTGCCCTTGACCATTATGAATGCTATACCCCGGATTGTGTGGGTGATACAACTAATATGCATCTTTGAGACTGCCCTCATTGCGAAAATGAGAGTGGTGGCGACCTGACAAAAATTTGGGCAACAGCACGAGTAGTCATGTATACGCCATCAAGTCGCATGAGCACAAGCTGAAGTTGGGAACGATATCTTTCTCAGACTTTGATTTTGCTATCTAGCGTCTGACACTGAAGTCTGCGCCTCGTGTTGTTGATGTTTGTGTTTTTTTTTTTTGGTACTATGATTAGTTGATGCAGTAACGACCGTTGGCTATGGCTATCTGCCAGCCTCAATGCATGCAGTTGGTTTGATGTAAACAACAACTGCAGAGGTATCTCTTTTTGTAAAACCCAGGAACGAAAGAATCCGCACCAGATGAAGAAAGGAAAAAATAAAACAACAAGGTGGTTGCGCCCTTGATTATTCTGAACGCCGTAAACACCGGGAACCATGCTATGACGAAAATATCGACTGCTCTCCTTATGGCTCGAAATACGCGAGCCATACATACCCATCCTAATTGCTGTTCTTTTTAGACTGCGAGCGGCAGTCGCCGGGCCGCTCAGAAGGACATACCAGTCCATCCGTAGGGACCGTCGACGTTAACCCAGTTGTGCGCCTCCATGGCGGATTCCCAACCCATCATGACGGCGAGCAGGCGGCACCCCATGGCACTGACGGTGCAGACAATTGCGTCGCTGGCGCTGGCAAGCACCGCGAGGTCCATCATGTAGGCGCGACCGATGTAGCCACGGAGACGAAGAGTCTCAGCCGAGGGAGCCAACTGCATGTTCTTTGCCGTTGCAGCATTGGACGCGCTCATGGAGGACAGACCGAGGTTCCAGAACATGGCCGCAAAGAAGCCACCCTCCCAGCCAAAAGACTCGTCTTCGAAACGATGCATGACGTGTTTGTCCGTGGCGGGTTTATGGGTCTCCTGTTTGGAGGCGAGACGGATCTGCTCCTGGGCACGCATCGAGCCCTTAAAATCCTCAGAGTCGTAGACAACCGGGTCGTCGGATGCCATGACGATCAGCGACTGCTTTTTGGCAAGTTTATCGTCTGCACCATCTCTGCCGGTGTTGTTGTAGTTGGCTTCGATAATCTCCTGGGCACGGTTGGCGATGATCTCCATGGGGACGTAAGTGCCGCGGTATTTGTATTCCAGCGGGTGACAATCCCCATGTCGGATATGAACGCCGACTACAAGGCCGTCATTTGAGTCGGCGTCACTTGTGAGTACTTTGGTCTTGATCTCTTTGACCCTGTTGATAACGTACTGAGTGTCATCCTTGTTTAGATCAAACAGTGCCCTGTAGCCCTCGTGCGCCAGATCGAACAGTTCGCGTAGTTCATCCTCATCCTGTGCACGGAAATCGGCGTAGGGCTTGCTCAGAGAACCAGCCCAGAGAGCCTTGGCCGTCTCCGACGTAACCACCAAGTGGCGAGCTCGGGGAGGGCAGGGAATCATTTCGTGACGTGGTGGAGGGCGGCAGTTGGGAATGGGAGGCGGTTGGAAAATGTCGGTGTATTTGCCGTACGCCCAGCGGGAATCATCGATGAAGAAGGCTCGGCCTTGTCTCTGGGCAAGCCCATAAAAGTTCCAAAGCTGCATGATGGAGTGTCCGATCCCGGCGTCTTCAGTCTCCAACACGAATGTCATTGACCTTTGGCAAATCGGCTTCTCGACCAAGGAGTCCTTGTTCTCTCCGACAAGGTCTCCATCTCGACCCTGACCTTTGCTTGGCCACTGGCTTTTGGCAAAATCCGGGAGAAGACCTGACTCCTGAGCCTCCGTCACGTCGATGAAGTATGGATCAGCTGGAGCATTGTTGCTCAAGAGGTTCTGATCGGTCATCTGAGACCGGTGGCGCATGTCCCTCACACGAGTAGCCACCTCGCGGCACTTGCTGCACATATCTCCATATTCCTTCACTGACAATGGGAAGTCGTAACTCGGGGGGATCGACACGGTCCATTTGGATTTTCCGCTCCTGTCGGTGATGACGATGGGGGTCGGGAAGTCTGGCAAATCATCTTGCCCGACCATCTCAAAGTCATCGTTATTGCCGAGATGAGGCAAGTTGAGCTTCGGCACGCCGAAGCTGCTCCGGAAAGGAAAGGTTGCAAAGTAGAGGAACAGCGCTCCAAACGCAAACCAAAACGTGAACCGAAAAACGCGGCTGGGTCGCGGGTGGATGGGTGATTTTCGGGGAGGCGGGATAAGGGCCGGTAGGCTTGGCGATGGCGGCGGCGACGAGAAGAGCAGGTGGTTGAAGCTGAAGCGGGACGAGGTGGCAGATAGTGGTATCTTCTCGTAATTGGTGGTGTTGGTATGTGAGGCAGATCGTCGCAGGTTCATCCGCGGGTCAGAAACCGACAGTTTGGATTTGCTGAGATCTAGAGGAGCTGGCATGTTTGCTCGCATTATAAGCAACGAGGTAATAAAATGTGTTGGTATCCAAAAGAAGTAGAATTCGTAGAGTCGTCGTTGTTGGGTGTCGTATCCACTAATAAGAAGCGGTCCCAATGGGTATCTTTTAAGAGAGGCCGGGCTTCGTGAGCAGAACTTGAAGCTTTAAGAATGGAAAGTAGACTGGTGATGGTCTGAGTAAAGGAGTGTCGCCGGGCTTCGAGCCTGGTTGGTCATGGACAAGAGAATCTCTTTCCTTCTAGGAGGCGTTCATGATAGTAACGGTTACAGCAACGGTCGTACAGGGTCAGAGGCCGAGGTAGACAGGCGGCAATGCGGTGGCCAGCGCGGTGGAAGACAAGCTATGCAGCGTTCTGCGTACAGAACGAGACCGAGGCCGGGGGCGCGGTCGGGTCAGGTCTGAAGAAAGAAGAAAGGTAGTGAAGAAACCGGGGGAGGCGGGGGTAGAAGTAAGATCGTGGGCAGAGAGCGAGGTACGGAGTATCCGTGGTGAGGCAGACTCGGCCAGCTTCTTCTTTTTGGGTCAAGGTAGCCTTCAGGGTAGCAGCTGCAGGAGCTTAAAGGAATCCGGCGGCTACGCAGAAAGTGGCCGGCCCTTGTCCAAAATCTGGTAGAGAACGCAGTGAAAAAGGACCCAAGGGGACTCAAATGGGGCAACCGAAAAGGATGAAAAGTGCGATCAACTGCGTGAAGTAAATGACTGATGGTGGGTCTTGGCGGCGATCATCAGAGACCAGGGTTCGGTTGGGGCGGGAGCTTCGAAGCAGTGGTGCTTCTCTCCTTCGGTCGGACCTTGTGTATGGAGCGGGACAAACTCGATCGAGCTGCAGTAGCTGCTCCAAGGTAAAGCAAGGAGGGGAGAGAAGACTACTCGTAGACTGGATTGGACGCTGGCTCGCCGAAACAGTCTTGTATGTATGCTGCTGGGTGCGCCGTGGACCGGCTGTCTCGTCCACAGTCTGTGGTATATTGTTTGCAACAATGTGCTCCTTCTTTGCCTATGTTCGGCTCTGGCTTCCCGGCTTTTGTCAAACTCTGTCCGATGCCAGTTCGAGTGACGGCGAGAGCAGGAGGGGGGACGGAACTGCGTGGTAATTGGGCAGAAGCGAAGCGGATGAAGATGGGACGATGAGTTGTTCGTCCGGGCCTTTGACTTGATACCCGGTCCAACAGCGCCGAGAAGGGGGAAGAACCCAGAGGCGAAAGGTGGGAGGGGGGTGCCGAGCAAAAAGATGGGCCGAAGGATGGGCGGATGGGGAAGGGCGGGACGATGGGAGGACAAAAGGTGTCAGAGTTCCAGGAGTAATGTCGTGTCGTGTGCGAGTGAAGCGCAAATGCAGCGCCGATGTCCGTGGGATGAGGTGTCAGCTGTTGCTGTCAATGCCTCGACCTCTTGCTTTTCTGTGGTGGTGTGCTCGTCTAAGAGAACCTCGGGTGTCGGGGCTTGCGTTTGCAACAAAGGACAAAGGCTCTGTTCCTCTCGCTTTCTTCCTGGGCTTGGGGGAGAAAGAAAAGTCTGGAGGGGGGACCCAGTGCCAATTGACTCTATCCGGCGGTTTCTGGCATTCAGCCTGATCGTCCTGCTTATGTCTCTGCTTTTTTTTCGGCGCAATTGCAACGGCCGTGATGAGGTGGACCATCAAAACCCGCCAAACCCGGTGTGCCCAACGTAGGTAAGGTATGACGATGTACAATAGCTGGCCACCCCAGAAAACCTACTGCGAAGCGCCTGGCAATGCGCGGTTCCAAGGTGAAGGCAGCCGCAGCAGCCGTCACCTATGCGGATCGTCCGGTGCTGGGCGGAACGGGGATTTCTGATTCTTGCAGCATCATGATCGACCCCCGAATAGAAAACCAGTTCAGGGTTTCCCCTCAAGCCCCTCATCTTCAGCTGGCCATTTCTCGTCGTCTCATTGCTCCAACGCTGGGGAGCCAGAAGAAGCAAGAAGCGAGGGAGATCCCACGGGATCGCCATACCCAAGGCGATCCCGCACCACGGTTGAACCAAGAAAGAGCCCCAAAAACCGTCGACTCTCCCAATGCGACGGGCGGGTGGACGGTTGACGTTGTATTCGCATGGGGGGTTTTGTTGGCAGCTCGTGGCAAGTTGCAACACAATCAAAGTGGGCAGTAGCTTTTCGAGGCACCCTTGAGAGACGGAGCCCGACGACGAGTCCCGAACTTACCTAGCTGCAAAAGGAGTAGAAAATCCGCCTTCGACAGCCTAGAGGAGACCGAGGGCAGAAGTGAGCATCGCATCTGCAACACCGGTTTGCAGGGACCGATTCAGTACGCGCCGAGTAAGTTCCCAATGAGGGAGCCGGCGGTTCAAGGGTTACCCGCCGCGCAAGTATTCTCCCGGTAATGTGCATACACAGTTACACGCAGATGAAGGTAGCTGCTAGCCTGCTACCAAGGTGTTGTGTTAGGCTGAGGAACTTGCAGCTTCCCCCCACCTCCTGCTGTCGCCAGTCACGATTTTAGCACGTTTCAGAATCTCCGGGGTCACAGTCCAAGAAGCAGGCGATGAAGCAGCCAGTCAGTCAGAGCCAGGCCCCCGTGTCCTTAGGGCCTGTACCGCAGGGGTCCTCCCTCGGATGAGATCCGCCCCTCCCCCTCTGAAGGAACCAATCAAAAGAAGTTCCCAGCACGTCCCGCAACGTCTTCTTCTCCTTTCGGCGCTCTTACTCGCCTCTCCAGCCTCTCATTGGCCTCTCGGTCGCCGCACCTCCATCTGTTCCTCCCGGGCCTCCTCCCCAAGACGGCCATCACTTCCTTCTCTGAAAGCCCGTTCATCCCCTCGGCTGTCAGTGTCAACTCATCATCAAGCCCGCTCCAGTAGCTCATTCCTAAAAAGGTGGTAAGACGGTGAGGAAGGAGCCACCAAGCGGTCCCGCAATCCCATCAGAAATATTCCGAAGGACCGTCCGTTCACCCTCAATCATTTTTTCTCTCTCTCTCCATCCCGCCCGCTTGGCTCCCTTTTCGCAAGTCCGTGTCCCGGGCTCCCCAACGCGCTCCTGCATCTGCACGTTACAAAAGACAGGCTGCCGCGATAGGTCGGACTGTTCGTCAAAGTGTGCATGATTCGAGGCACATATCCGCACCCAAATCCAGAAGGCCGCATGTGGACACCAAAGATGGGGAACCGACACCCCTGTTGCGACCCCTTTCTGGATCCCTCAATCTTTGGCCAATTCCGAGCAAAACAGAGAAAATGGTGCAAGCTGGGTTTTGCATCTTTGACAAAAGACGTTGAAAAGAGAAAATCTGCTCTCCTTCAGTATTGTTGTCCGCGCGCGCGCGCGGGATCCGCCGTCCTCATACCGTGTCCTGAGGTACGGATACCCTTTAAAGTCGCATCTTAGCTTGGCTTTCCCGCCCGCGCCGTTGAAACCTTGGAGTGTGACCCAAATACGATGAAATCAGCGAAGCAAAGGTAAAATAGGCTGGGGAAAACAGACATCACCATCAGAATCCCCATCGTAAGACGGAAAATGGTACCGTGTCGTACAGCCGACCCCTCCTGGAACTCTGTCATCTCTCAAAAGGCAGCAGGAAACAAACAACTTTTTCAATTCTAAGTAACCAAACACAACATCGTTGTACACCGTCACGAGATCGTCAAGGCACCACCCAAAGGATCAGCAAGAACACACACAAACCGAGACAGACGGAGCTCAGAGGTACGCCTCCACGAGAGCGACAGAGAGGAGGAAGAGGAGACAAAAGAGGCCAACAACTCGTCGATGATTGATGGTTCAACCAGAGAGGGGAGAGAGGGGCGGAGAGAGAGTCATTCGCACCAATTTAGGTTTTGTCCTTTTCTGCAGATCGCCATAGTCGGACGGGGCCGCAAGTTTCATTTGCGTCATATCAAAACAAAATTGGATATTGCGATCCATCATCGTCAACCACCCTCGCCTGTGCCCGGCAGGCAACCAGGAATAATGACACTCGCAAACCCGCCGGTCTCCTGTTCAACCAAAAAAGCTTCGTGTTACGTAGTAGGCGCACGTCAAGGTCAAGGTCATTGTCTCCATTCAGAGTTTACGCGGCAAACACCAAACGGCCCCATCACAAGACGGAGAGGCCGTGGGAGAAAAGGAAACAAGAAAAATGGGGGGGAAAAGCAAGGTAGGCATGATCCCAGGCTTTCAAGGCTTCATCCGAGTCAACCTCATCATCAGAAACTCAAATAAGTCGCTCCCTCACATCCCACGCTCTCGAATCCGTGCCCCTGTCCATTCAGCCTCCAACCAAACACTCTACTTTTCCAAACCTCACCGAGCATAATCAGTCACGACCAACAAACAGACGATTACAAAAAGTAGTCATCAATCCAAATTACATCCAACGCGCGCCCGTGCTCGTCTCGACCGTGCGCCCGCCGCTTCCGTCCGTCTCGTCTTTTGCCGCCACGCCGCGATCTCTCCCAAGAAAACACCGTTAGCCACGCGGGAAGCTTTAAACCAACTTACCTAGATGCTCTTTGTTTTAACACCCCCCCCCCCCCCCCCCCCCCCCCCCGCCCCCCCCCCCACCCCCCCCCCCCCCCCCCCCCCCAGGACAACCCCTGACGCAGCGAGGACCCCCTGCACCACTCCACCATAGGTGCTGTGGTCGCAAACCCCCCCCCCCCCCCTCCTCTGACCCGACTCGGCAAACCGCCGTCTTGGGAACCTCGTCCTGTACACTCTGTTTGCTTTCCAAAGCTCACTTTGTTAAAATTGATGGGCGGATAGCGCCGAGATTGCGACTTCGGGATGGCCGTGATGGTTTCTTCGTTTCAGCCTTGCTTCTACTCTGCCTCTGAATATTTGTACCCACGTCTTGCATTCTCATTTGTACAAGATGGAAACCCGCGCTAGGGTTAACTCAGACGCCTTGATCTTATATCGCGACTAATATACGCCCCCGCCGTGGCAATGCCCCGCGATATGGCATCGACATTGCCTTGTGTATTACGTCCCGCGCCCACTGCTCTCCCTCGACCTTTGTGCCCCTTTCTCCCTTTATGCAAGCTTGGTCACGAATTCCGGCCAGTACCCGTCTCATGAGGCGAACTGCGTTGCCATCAAACAGAACTGGTGGGCACAGAGGGTTAGTTCGCCACACGCCGGAAAGCAAACAGGATGCAGTAATCCGTCATGTGAAGACGTGACTCTGGCGGGTCCTCGGGATTGGCGCAACGTTTCCCAAACCGAGTCTTTCCCGTGTGTTGCTGGATCAGAGGCTTGCAAATCAAACTCGCCCGCACCCAAATCAGCTCGGCCGTTTGGGTACGGATACGGGTACGGGAAGAACAGTGGCATCGGATGGATCATGATAGTCTCTTCTTCTGGATGTCGTAGCCGCTCATCCGTTATTAGCTAGCTGACCAGGCCTGCTTCCTGATGCACATGAGCCATCATAATCATCCATCAATCCAATATTAAACTGCCACTGGCAGGCCTCGTCGCTTTTCCCGCCATCCTCTGAACCCTGTGCCAGTATCAATAACCCGAGCCTGCCTAATGCACTGGGACCACATGTGGTCGTTGTGCCTCAAATCTGCCGACTCCTTCCTCGTTGACATATCAGTACGCTAATAAAACAGGCCGACAGTCATGGCTAGCGTCGAAAGAGGGTGATTTGGACCGCCGTCTTTCCAACCAGAGACCGCGGCGAAGTAAGTGTAGGGTATAAGAAGAAAACCAAAATCAGATCGTTATCGATCTTTCCCGAACGCCTTTCTGGTGGTCCTGTGAGGCGCCCCGCAAAGTCCACCCATTCCCACTACCAGATTTAAAAAAAAAAAAAAAAACCATTTGAAGCTCACACACCCAACAGCCAACACCCACACCCCCCCCCCCCCCCCCCCTTTCCGTGGGTCCCGGGGCGGCCCCCGCAAAACCCCCCCAATCCCACCACCAGATTTAAAAAAAAAAAAAAAACCCATTTGAAGCTTACACACCCAACAGGAGAGACCCTCTCACATGCCCATCACCGAGACCTTGTTGGTTTCGTCAAACGATGCTGCTTTCCTGAGGGGTTCAAGGTTCACAGGCAACTCCGGGTGCACCTCAAGCTTACGATCGCTGACGACACGGATGCTTCCTCGGGCTCCCTTTACCAGGTGGCCTGTTTCAACACGGTCCTGAATCATTTCGTCCAGAATCTTGCTCATCTCATCGACACTCTTGGTACGGTTGCGAGGTTTATTCGGGGCGGCTGATGGTGCTGGCGGCGGGTTCATCGTCGGTGGTGGACTGTGTTCGTAAAGAGCTGATGTCCTGCCATCGGTGTGGCCCTCTGCAGTGTCTCGAGACCGCGCCGCAGACCGAAGCGCGCCCAGCATGCGATCCTTGTCGTCCAATCGAGCTCGAAGCTCTGCAATCTCGGCGTCCTTCTCCCGCAAAAGCGTCGACACACTGTGGTCTTCTCCGACCATGATGCCTTTATTCGGGGCGGAGAAACCAACCGAAGTCCTCGAAGAACTGGCTCTTCGTGCCTGCATAAGCCGTTTCTCCAGTGTCTGAATATATCTTGTCTTGTCTGCCAAGTCGGCCTGCAGGGCATGGTTCTGAGCCGACAAAGAGGCACTTCCATCTCCGTATTCGCCAATGCTGTCATCGTCTGTCACAACCCCCCCTTCACCGCTAGACTGACGTTGTCCTCCACTCGAACGACCGCTAGAGCGACGGCCTATGGTTGATGACGCCGATGTCATTGATGCTGTCCTTTCGAGCAATGGCCTGCCGCCATTCGAAGTAGCCATTGATGATCTTGCTGAGGCCATTGAGAACCGAGGGTGAATGCCCAGAGCGCTGTAGGAGCCGCTGACATTGACGCCGATTGATTTGGAACTCAAGATCAGACGGTTGAGATGATCGATCCGTTCTTTTAGCGCTGTGCGAGCCAGCTGCATTTCGAGCATTTGCTCTTCATGCCGATGCTCAGCCTCGATTTCACGGGCCTTCTCCTCCAAGACGTCTCGCTCTCTTTCTTCCTCGGCGTATTTTGCGTTCTTTTCCTTGGCTTGTGTGTCGAGCTGTTGCCGTAACTCGAGGATCTCCATGCGATAACGCTCCAGGAGAACTCTCGCACCGCCGTCACCGCCGCTTCCCAGGGCCTCTTCTGCTTTCTTGGCATGACTGACAATGTTGTTCTTTGCCCTGGATGCGAATTTGAGGGTGTTGATCGTCTCTGATGTGTGGGAATTCGAGGACGCAGCGCTGCCAGCCGCGCCGATCTGGATGGTGCAAAGAATGCTCACCAGCGATCCGCCTGACAACGCGCCTTGCAAAAGCCTGGTTAGCTTGCTGTCGCGATAAGGCAGATGCTTCCCATCTTTGTCGGCCGCTTTTCCATCCTTGTCCTTGTGTTCGGAAAGTTTGGAGATGACAGTGCCCAAAGTGAGCAAACTCTTATTGATGTGCGAGCCCTCGGTTCTTCGCTCTTTGGACTCGGCAGCCTTCTCGGATCCAGCGAGATCGATCAGGCTCAGTGTCGACACTCGAACGCCGCCAGGTAGCATTCCTGACCTTTTGCTGTCGCCACCTCCGGGGTTCCCTGGTATCCGCTCTCGGCTCTCCACCACGATTTGTACAACCGCATGACTTCGGGAGCTCCTCGCATTAAATTGGGTGCTTGCAGTCCTGCGCGCTTGGTCTCCACGCGCAATCACCCTGAGAAGCTGGGTAGGACTCTGCACAATCTCTTCCTTCAAGGGACTGGCGTAAACACCGCGCTTGCTGTCCTCGCGTAACTTGATTTCTTCTTGCCCACCAGCCGCCGCGCCGGGCCCTGTCGACATACTAAGCAAATCATGAATTTTCTCGTTGTAAATCTCCAAGTAACTGACACGGAGAAGGAATTCGCGGGATGGTGTTTCTCTGATATAGGAAAAGATATCTGTGATTGCGAGTGGGATCACACCCGGCGAAGAAGCGGTTCCTTGCATCGAAAACGTCTTTCCGGTACCAGTCATGCCGTAGGCGAAAACTGTTCCGTGGTATCCCTCCATCACACGGCGGACTAGACGTTTTGCTAAGCAGTCGTATACTCGGCTGTTGTCGTCGTGTGTCGTGAAGACATTATCTAATACCTCGAGTTAGAACATTTTGTTTGGCTTTGCGGGGTAATAGCTCACCATAAAAATAGTCTCCGCCTTCTTTTCCTCTATACGCAACAAGAGACTTTCTTCCATCAACCATCCACTCGCCCTCGGCTTTTGTGCTCTCGTTTCCGCTCGCATCTGGCCGCACTCTCACACTGACAATCACATTGCCCTTGCCGTCTAGTTTGGAACCTCTCTTATCACTGCTGCCGTCAGATGAGGATTTTGCTGCCATTCCATCGATAGGGTCATCATACGTTGTCGCAGAAGTTGAGTATGAGTCCTGGGCAGAAGAACTCCTGCTTTGTGGTGGTGAAGAGATGCTGATAAGGCCATCGGACATCCGAACACTTGCGCTAGATATTGACTTGCCCTCGGCGCTGTTGTTCAGCAGACTCGGGGCGCCGTTGCTCTGCGAATAAGTCGACGCGACAGAACCCTTTGACTTGCGTGTGGAGTTCAGTGAGGAGTCAGCACCAAGTGGACTCGGGGGGAGGCTACTGATGCGATTGTCGCCTCGGGGCGGTTGGGGGAACGAGTTGATGCTCACTGTCTTGCGCAACGTTCGCAATGAAGAATTACTCATGGCAGAGGCCGTACGCGGTTGCGGAAGGGCGGAAGTGGGTGCAGGGGTCGTGGGAGGTAGGAAGCCGGCGGATGGAGCTCGAAGGCCACTTTTAGAATTCGGTGTTGACGGGCTGGCCTTGGAAGCCGTCGTGGGAATGCCCCCCGTACTCTTTCTGGTCTTGGGTACAGGAAGAGCGGGCAAGGCCATGGTTGGCGGGCCGTTTGACGGCCGGGACGGCCGTGGGAGAGTCGCCATTTCGCTGAATAACTAGGTAGAAGGAGCCGTGATCCGTAAGCAGTTACGATGTCCCGAGTTGGGCAAGCAGCCTTCTAGTTTCTCGGGAGCAATCGAGAAAGTGGTCGGTCCATGAACTCGGAGGGTGGAAGAGGGTGGGCGATCGTCAGGATGTTGATTACGTCGATTAGGGACGTCTTCGCGTGGGTTGTATTCGTCCGAAAATCACGAGCGCGGACTAGGAGCTGGCCTGCGAATATGCCTGTATCCCAGCACTCTGGACCAATTCGCGAACAGGGACGTGTGAAACGTTATTATGCGTTGAGGGTGTACAGAGTGACGTGGGAAGTTTTCATCGGATTGGGGGCTATACTGGCAGGAGTGTTGTCAGTGCACCTGGACCATGACAATTAAGGTAGCGGGCACGGGAGTTGGGCATGACTTGCAGATGCGCCGGCATAAGGGCGATCCCAAGGGGCGGAGCGGATAGGAGCAGAGAGGAAGAACCAGAGGCTTACCAAAAGATGATGCAGTGGACAACGCTGTATTGTCGTGTTTGGTGGTGGTAAGAAGAGAGAAAGCCTGCGTGAAGCGATTTGAAGGGGGAGTACTGGGATCGAGGTGGCTTCGTATGTCTCGCAGAGTGATCCTTGCGGTTCAAATCGGGCCCTGTCGTCTCCGCTGGAGCCAAGTGCGGAGGGAAAACAAAGGTCTGGCTGTATTGGACTTTTTCGTCGTCGAGCTGTATTCTTTGCGCTAGCGGGCGGCGGGCGGCGTACGGCTGGGGGTTTCTTTTTTCGTCTGTCTGCAGAGCACGGTGCCTCTGGTGTCTCGCGCAGCGAAAGTCGCAGGACTGGGATGGCGACGGGTACTCAGATTGGGCGGCAGGTAGGGGAAAGCCAAAAAAAAAAAAAATCGAGGTGGACGCGGGAGGGAGGGAAGGGGTTGGTTTCGTCGAGTGGAAATGTTTCGACAGCAGCGATGGGCGCGGGATTTGCGAACGCGGATTCGCTGCGGCTTTGGGCGTCTGAGCTTCACAGAAGAGAAGTAGGAAACAATTCTGCAGAATTGGATGACGAGGTGCGGAAAGATATTCGACCGGGGCTGCGGTACAATTGGGATGGAATTGCGTCAAGTCTAATCTCTGCGGATGCAATGAGCGACGTGATGCCGATGAGGTTGCGATGATTTGTAGAAAGGAGAGATACGGGTTTCGAGCGCTGGGCTTGTTTGCGTCTCTTGGTCTTGGCGGAGTATCCGTAGGTAGGGAAGAGGCGGCGGCGGCGGCGGCGAAATCGAACCAGGCGAAAGGTCAACTTAGTTGAGGCGTCCCGCGGTCAAGGGGAAGGAGACGGAGAGCGTATATGCGCACAGCGAGGCGAGATGAGTAAGGAGTGTTTGGTCGAGAAAATGGAGAAGGCGTGAGTGAATGTGGTGATGAAAAGTGCGTTTCGGTGCGATTAGTGCAGCGGACGGCAAGGTAAGCGGGAAATGGCCGTTGTGTGCGAAGACGTGTACGGCAAGGAAGGTAAAAGGAGTGGCTGACTACTAGGTAAGTCCGTCGGGTAAGTTGGGAGCGATCTGGATGTGGTTGTGGACGTAGCCGTAGACGTGGGCGGCAGGAGAGGATGGGGGTGAAGTGAACGAGGTCTACGGATACACTAAGGAAGAGTCCAGGCCAGTGGTACCGTTTCCTCCAAAGGTCTCTTCCGTGTTAGGCGCGTTGTCGATCCGAAGGATGTCCAATGTTGGACTCTCTTTCCCTTCTGCTACGAGTGGGAAAGAAGAGCATCTCCCTCCTCCTCCTCTTCTCCTCTTGGTCTCCTCTCTTCGTTGGTCCTGCTTGCCCGGGGCAAAGCAGCGAGCAGGGTGCAGGAGTGTAAAAAATAGTGGATCCCTGTACGTGCCGTTATTCCATTCTTTGCTTTTTGAAGTCCACAAAAAGTTATGCTTGGATATGCCGACAACGGGAAGTGTTGCGCAATGGCGGATAAGCTGCCAAAACCATTGACTAAGTGACGATCCTCGATATCGGCGTCAAGTTAAATTGCGGGACGTGTTGTCTGCAAATCTGGAAAGAGGGAATACAAAAAAAAAAAAACAAGTCATCTCTGGATGAATCGAGCTTGGGTACGAATGTACTACGTACGTACAACGCTCTCCAGGACTGGCGGAAAAGCAGGGGGGAAAGGAAGGAGTAGACAAAATGTAACCGGGGTGGGATTGACATTACCTACCTACGCCATGTACGAATACACAGTATAGAGTATCCGTACGGATACTCGTCCCAATAAACACAAAAAGGGGAGGAGGGAGGGAGACTCAAGAGAGATGTTACCTCCCCTGGCCTCTTGCCCCGTCTATGGCTTGTCTTTCTCGTGGCTGTGTCATTTCTCCTTCTCAACCTTTTTCTTTCACATCCATTTTCTCTTCTCTCCGCTAGCTAGCCGGTCAGGGCTGAAAAGGGCGTGCAACATGTTCGAGTTTCCCCCATCTCTACCCGCCCTTCGCATGTCGATTGGCACATGCAACTCTCGCCGGCCTCAAAGTCGAATCGCACAAGCATAGTTTCTCTCTCCTTCTTTGCCTCTTCTGTCTTCTCCATCCCCGTGACGACCTGTTTCCCCATCGGTGACTACCTTAGTCAGGTACTAAAGAGAACGTCCAAGAGATACACCACTCATCACAACGCCCGCAGCCCGACCCAGGAAGTTTTCCCTCACTAGCCTGGTCATCGTCAAATTGCTACCCAGACTTGGAGATTTTACCCCTGTCACATCCCCTGCAAGGACCATCGTTCAACTCAGGAACAGCAAGGGGGGGATCCCCTTCCAACTTAGTCCCAGGCCATACACGGCGCCGCCACGAGCTACAAGTATCCATGGTACTCGGCACATCAGAACGCCCCTTTAATGGCGAGAGACTGCGCGAGCACTTGGACCACAGTCATTGCTTCGCACCCCTCCCTCACGGATGATAACCCACGCCGCTCCATGGCCTGACTCCTGGCCGCTACTTGGCCCTTAGGTCTCGGGGTACCTTGAGGACCCCTGCTGTCAGATCCCAAACCGGCTTGCATCTGCGCGAGAGAGGGAGAGATAGAGGAGCTTGTGGGATGATGGATCATCTATCCGTACCTCGCTGGGACCGACGGCACTTGATTAACGACAAGAGGGAAGCACATGCGCGAGCTCTGTGCCACCGTTGCACGCATATGCGCGTGCTTTTCAACAGGCATTCAAGCAAGTAGCAAGCATCATCTACCAAAAAAACAAGGGCGCGCATGGAACGACTTGTGGTGATGTTGCTGCCTCACCTGTCCATCCCACGCCGAGACACGGTGCTGCCACATGTATGCCTCTTGTCTCTCGCAAATTTGTGCAGAGCACGGAGTATGGGTTCTGGGTGGTACAGGATAACCAAGGATACGCGTCGCCTCACTCCACCACCAAAAAAGGCCTACTTTGTACGAATAACTAGCTTCAGCCTTCCACAAGCACCAAAAGCTCGGGTTTTCATACCCATCTTCCTCTAGACCCGCCCATCACCCTCGGTGCTTTCTCGATCTGTCCCCGAATCCACAGATTCCGCGACAACGTCGACTCGATCAACAATTGGACAGAGCGCGGCGAATGGAATGGCTGGGGCAAACACTTTAAAGTGCCAACCGTGGTCGCAATCAAACAACGTCTGCGAATTGCCAGAGACCCCCATATGGACGGACCATGCTGTAATTTCCGGGTGCCATCACATCACTACCTCTTCCAGCCAACGAGCTGCCATGAGTGGTGTCCCCGTGCGCAAATCGTCTAGGCATGCCGAACTAAGGCCTCGATAACAGCCTTCATGCGCTACATTTTCTGCACGTCTGCAGGAGCCGTCTCCGGCAAGCTTCCTAGCACGACCCAGACTTGGAGAAGACGCACTTAGGGTAAAAGTCTGTGTGACGACAGGCACCATAGCTGCACCGCTGCCGCCTCGTCCATTCCCCGCCGAATCTCATTCGCCAATGAAATACAATCCGACCTTGACCCTGCTCTGGCAATCTCCAGAGCCTGGGCCCGTCACACCAATCCTACGAGGCCCCTCCTTCGAATCGATCAAACTGGACATTGCGTCTCTGAGTCTGGGGCCCAGGCCATCAATCTATCTGGAGGTCGAGCAGAAAACGTTCAGAGAACGACGGACGGGATGGCAGAACACCCGACGTCGGGGCATTCTCGAGTCTCGGCGAGCCGTTGTGCCGGACGTTCATGTATCACTGCCAGACCTCATCCCGTACTATAGTGTTCCCGTCATTCGATGAACCTGGTATTCTTAGTTGCTCCGTCTCCGCATTCCCACGTCGCAGAATGGTGGCGCAAGTGCCTCACCATGCTTAGCATTTCGATCCTCTATCCGCATCAACACGGTACGTGAGTACCTACCAACTACCATTACCGAGGAAGTTGGACGCCGGCTCGAAAGCGAGCGTTGCGCAAGCTCAAGTAGAAGCACAGACGCTGGCCCAAGCTCGGTTTACCTTACTTTGGCTTGACTGCATCTGACTGGAACTGGAAGTTGGTATCCGTCCCTCAGCCTGCATCTCGAAGTTGCTTTTTCTACGTTTGGTTAATGCACGCAGGCAAGCTGCAACATCTTGCGCCCCCTGAGGAAGTTGAACAGTCTTCCCTGGTGAGCTTAGTCTGCAGGGTAACGGCGGACTCGACGTTGGACCATGTTCTTCCTGACGATCCCTAGCAAGCATTTTTGAGCATATGACTAGTGTAAACGCTCTTCTGATTAACGAGCTCTCTATATACTGGCTAGTGGAGATGTCTCGCGAAACTTCCTCGGCATCCGAGTTCTTTTGACTGATTGGGTGGATTTGGGTTAACCTTCCCTGCTCTCCCGTGGACCCGACCTCGGATGTTGTACTAAAGCATTTCCATTTGACAGTTGTGAGCCAACATCTTTTTGCTCGGGCAATACTATACTCTGGCTTGTCTGGAACAGTAGCTGCAGATGGACGTAAACTATCGTACCTCTCTCTCCCACACAGCCTTTCTGCAGGTTTCGAAAACCTCAACTACAACCCGAAATTTGCCAACTGCAGTGGCTTGGTTGGATTTCCATGTGAGGCAAAACAATGGTGTGTGTCGCTTTCTGCTTCTTACCACATCTCAGTTCCCAAGTCTTTCAACTTTTGACAGCAGCACGCGAATCGATGCAAAGAACGGATGAGGGACGGTTGACATTCATGCTCTTGATTTCCTAGGTCCGTGCCATGACTCAAGAGCCTCGACTAACGAGGTCGCATTTAGAAACATGCACTTCTCGTCTAAACGTTGGTCCAGTCGCATGCTGCTCTGCGGCTGGGCGAAGCATGGAAGATCAAACTCCAACATCTGGGATTTACCTAGGTGAACCTGGAGCCGCATCGACCTCTGCCTCGCCTCCAAGTGCGACCCTTCACAACGATTCCCGTGCTTGGCAGCAGCCACTAGGGAGCCAGGGTTCTGGGGAAGCTTCACTAATCAACAGGCTTGTTCCCCATTCAAGCTGGCCAGGCAACCTTCAAGGGTTTGCCATCTATCCAGCGGTTCAATGATTTATTTCGACAGTAAGGATTTTTCTCTCCTTAACCTACGACAGTGGGCTTATAACAGCAACTGACTCGATCGGGGTGTCTTGCACGTGTCACAGCAGCTCTATCTCTTTGATTTCTCCCTTATCTAAGAACTCTCAAAGAAACGACACTCGGACGAACATGCCAGAAGGCGGCCATGGCATCACAGTCTTGTATGAGTGCGCCAAGCGACGCACGGCAGCTTGTCAAGAGGCAGGTTTCATCGACTTCGTTTACCCAACATTGTGTCTTTGGCCGAGGTGCATTTGGGATTTCCACGGTATCAAGCTTAAAATCTTCCCCGCTGCGCAGACGACGTAAACGGACTACGGGTCTCACGATCATAGCAGGCGGACTCCCCTGCCTACGCTCCGTGTCTCAAAGACTTCCAAAAGACCGGTGCCCATAGCCTCCTCCAACACCCAGTTGAACTCCAAGCCGTGAAATTCCTTCCATCTTTTGGTTCTCCCCGGCAGCACACCAGCGAATTCTCCCCTGGCCCTCCTTGCCAGGCGTGCCTCGTCTCGGGCTACGCCACCCTCCCATCGCTCCCTCAGCATAGATACGGGCATCTCCCTAAATTGCGACTTGGACAGCAGCTGGGTGAGGTGCTGCACGGCGGCGGCGGTTAGTTTTAGAAAAGACCCGTTCCCGGGCACCGCGATGGTAAATTCGGCGCCCGAAGATGACGCGTCAGCGCGGGATAAACTCGGCGCTCCTCCCCCACCACCCGCGGCGTGTATTGCCCCTTGCCCGCCCACGGCGTCGAAGCTTCCGGACGCTGCGCGGGAGACAGCCTGGATGCTCATCAAGCTGCCGCGGTCTTCGGGACGCAAGTGCAAGTTCATCAACGGTGTGTTTACGTGCTGCGGGTGTATACTGGCCGTCAGAAAGCCGGCCCGCACCAGGGCGTCGGCGTGTCTGTGGCCGCCGCAAGCCAGGCGTGGCATCGTCTGAGCCAGGGGGTTCTCTCTCAGAAACGTCGCAAAGGCGGTTTTTGCGTCGTCGTCTAGCTCTGCAGAGTGCGAGATCATCTCCTCCAGTTCGGAGGTCTGGATAAGGGCTTCGCCTAGGCCGCCGCGACGTTGCACGTAGATCTTGCGAACCACTCCGCCGCGCTGCAACTCTGCGATCTCGCGCTCCACAGCCGTTGGCGAAATTAGGAGCGCATGGAGGTGTGATATTGTCACTATGCCGGGCATGGCTCTGCGGTAATTGAGCACCTCGGCGGTGCGCGTGGAGTTCATGCCGGTCGCCTCCATGGGAACGGGGCCGAACATGCGGCTGCGGGTGTACTTGATGGCCTGCACGACATCGCGCAGCGACATGTCCGTCGCCAGCGCCGCGACGAGCCCTGCATCTTCGAGCCTGTCATGGAAAAAGTCGTCGTCGTAGCAATCGTCACCTTGGGCGGCTGATGGAGTAGCGGTCTTCTGCTTAGCGCTGCCACCGCCGGACTGGCGGGGGCTACCTGTCCCGCTGTTCTTCCGTGGCGAAGCTGACGATTTCGGCTTTGGTTTGGGCTTTTTTACTCGGCCACCGCCCAGTATTGACCGCAAGCTCATATCTCTTTGGTATCTTTTCTCGGGGTATGCTCTGCTAGCGCATCCGGTACAAAAGCATGTTTTTCATGTAAGATTGTTCAAGAGGCAAGAGATGAAAGAAAAAGAAGGCTGAGGGTCTGTACGGATAGCCTTTGGGGGGGGATGTTGGATTTCCGGTACGTCAAGTCCGGGGGCTCCACTTCTGTTTTTATTCCGTTGCGCACGCACGCCGCCGCGCCTTTCCGGATGTCGAATGCGGGTGGGTACCCCTTTACTCTGGGTTGGTGGTGGCGAATCCGACGACGAGCCCCCGTTTGGGTTTCCGGTGTGAGATTTCCCTTCGTCAGGACGGGAATTAATCATCAGTTGCTTATACTCGGGCCCGGCCCCAAGGTGGTCTTTGTGTGACGAGAAAAGAGACAACAACGCCGGTCCGCGGCCTTTGCTCTTGGTTGAGAGCGTCAACTTTGGTCCGTCTGTTCTCCGTTCGGCTTTCGGGCCTTGGTTGGCGGTGTCAGCTGAGGAGTTGCTGGAGAAGATGACGGGTGGGATATATTTCCCCTTACTCTTCGCAATGTTGACCAAAGCTTCGAGAGTTGGGACGGAAATGGAAAAAAAAAAAAAAAAAAAAACCATCAAAGGCGGTTCGAGCAGGTTGAGGTAACGGGCATGATTTTGGGACGAACATCAAACCCAAAGCTTGGCATTACTACTGGTATGATCTGCTACGTGCCTTATGGGCGGGACTGCCAAAGAGGAATTGACTTTTTGCTTTCTTTCTCGTCTGCCCACGGTTATCCGCCAAACACAAGACTTTTTTGGGCAAATGTTCAGCTGGTTGATGCCGAGATTGGGTTGTGGTGGGTAATGTTGTCTTTGGTTAAGGGTGGTATCTAGCGAGTATCATCGAATATGGAGTGTTGCGAGTAAAAGCGGACGAGAGAGAGGTCGACGTAGCCACGCCCGGCCGAATATGCCGAGTAATTGATCGAGGAGGAAGGTCATTTTCTGCCTTTTCTTGTCCCTTTCCCCCCGATCCTAGCTGGGGTAGTAACGTCATTTCACAAGGTGTTATCGTGGTGACGGCTATAAGCTATCACTTTATGTGTCCGTCAGAGTCCAGCCCCCCATGTTGCGCGCATAAATTCCCAATATCAGGGAGAGCCAGACTCAACACGGCATTGACGTGGAAGACATTGACATCGGGATGTAACGCAGTAAGTTCACCGAAAAAGGGGGGTTCATCTGAATCTTTGGATTCCTAAAGAGAGGCTGCTTCCAACTGTCGACGGCGGCGGCGGCGACGACGTAATCTCCTTGACAACGGAGTGACTTTACATTAGCAATGGATTCAAGCGGTCCCATACTCCCTTCCCCTTGGGCTTCCCAAAGAAGCTCTTGATGCGTTCCTGCGACTGGCTTGCTCAACGTTCCGCGATATCATCCCCAACAGTTACTGCATATTTCGCCGCGTATAACTCATCTCGCACCATAAGATGTGTCATAGATAGCGTACTTGCCTGAAATAGACCCATCTGTCCATCAATGAAGTCTACCTCGCCAAAGATTCCACCTCTTCGCCCCATCCCAACTACCCATGCTCGTTGCCGACTATGAGGAGAAGAGGGTTCCGCCAAGTCGGTGCCACCCTTTGCGTAGACAAAGTATGAATATTATAGCTTGCCATCGCAACCCGAAGTTGCCGGTATTGTATTTGCCCCCTTACCCTGTGAGTATCGTAATTTCCCTTTGTGGCAGAATGAAGATGTTGGGTTGACTTGGGGAGTTGTGCGGCACGCCATCGTCTTTCAGTGGAAGTACTACGTTGCCCCCCCTCAGCCTTTTTTTTGATTCGTCTCTTGGCGTCGTGGCATAGGCTGCCGTTCCTTTCCATCGCCTCGACACCCTGGAACAGAGAATATCAGATCCCTAGTTATCTTTTCCGTCTCAGACCGCCAAGAGTTCAAAATATCTATTCAAGGCTTTGAGTGCCGCGGCTCAACCTCTTTTTGTAGGACGCGTCTCTTGTCGTCTCAGTGTCCAATCTTAGCTCAATACGTCGTTTATACAGTCCCAAACTCGTACACCATCGACAGCGCTCCACCATCTAGCCGTCATGCTACGATCACACCAAGGCTCAATGTCATTGTCACACATGGCAGGGGCCTCCAAGCCGCACCGCCTCATGCCGGCAGAGGCCAGGTACCGGAACACACACAACATCGGCAGAGGACCTTTGTCTGAGCCCCCCCTTCCCCCCCTCACACATCATTCCAGGCGCCAACGATATTTGATGGAGCTTCTTGTGGCTCTGGACTTCAACGCACAAGCTATCTGCCGAGTCTCTTAGTAGTTGAATCATAGAAGACTTGACGGCTGCTATTCTAGCGGCAGGTATGGCGCTCCCTTGGCTCCATTCATTTCGCTGCCAAAGGCACGACACGATGGCGACGGCTCTGTAAAGGTTGACCGTGGGAGTTCTGATGTAGCCTGAAGTCCTGCTAGCAGAACAGGATATTGTTCTCGGTCAGAGGGCAGGTGATTCCTTCAATCTGCTCATCCGACAGCTGGGTCAAAGTCCAGTTGTCAAATCAAACCGGAGAGTCGGACATGTATCTTGCGGACAAATGCGACCTGTCCAGTGATTCTTGACTCGAGGCCCGCACGAGATCAAAAGCACAAGAGTAACCGGTTGATAGGATTTGGAGCTCCCAATTCTTCAGAGGACTTGGCCGAGTTTGGATTTTCTGCGGATGGGGCAGGCATAGCTTCTGATTCTTCTTGTTTCTCCAACACACATATTCGAAATCCCAAAGTTTTCCAAGAAATCTCTGGTACACCGTTTTCCCGCCACGTCGCTACACAGATTCCATGTTCCACAGTAGTGCTGGTTCCAGTTTAAAAAAAAAAAAAAAAAAAAAAAGACTGGCCCTCGACGTCAGTTGCAGGAAGATATTGAACTGCCTATCCACCATAGACTGATTTTCTCTTCGCTGTCTGTGAACATCTTGAGCCGGTGATATGGCCCCGTAGTGCCTCGACTTTTGGCATTGTCTAATGAAAAACAACAATCCGAAGTAAATCTACGAGTAAGTTCCGGTTGTGAAGGTTCCAGCTAGATACCACATCTTCCGGGGAACAAAGCATTGTCAACCTGAGCAGACCCGGCAAGCGGGATGCGGTGCGCCTCCCGAGTTCACCAATAACCCATCGTACAGCATCTTGCTGGTGAAGAATTGACTCATATCGAAGAACAATCGAGTCGCCCGTCTGCTACGGTAAGTAGCCTGTCCCTTCCTCAACGAAGAAGATCGAATCCAATGGGGGATGCCTTTCTACCGACTTCATCGTCACAGCCAATTCCTCATGGTATACCCACGAAAGTCCCAATAAGAAATCCTAAATCCTAGCATAACGTTGCGACCTCAAACATATCTCTCTCGCTCAAGGTAGGTAGGCGGTGGGAAGTAAGTGAAAAAAAAAAAACATCGACCACGGACAACACAGATCAAGCATCTAGGGAGCCCGTTGCGTATCTACCTACGCGCCCGCTGGAGTAAAAATTTCACCTCATCCCCAAAGTCGTCTCTAGTTTTAACCTCGGACGGGGGCTGAAAGCGCAAAGCACAATAACAGCATCGAAGACAATGCGACGTGCGCTCCCTATACACCTTGCCATCTATCCCCGTCAACTTAGCATGGTACATGTGCAGCTAGAAGTTCAACGCTACATAAAAAAGAGTAATCAATCTTGGTCTACCTTGGATGTAGACATTCAGAGAGTCAATAGTCGACAATGTGCCTAGTGTATTCGCATACGAGTACTGGAATGCGTGACACAAAACGTGACATTACAATAGCCAGTGATACGAGACAAAGCACACGACATCAAGACGAGGCAAAAACAAAACCAACCAGATTTGGCAAATCGAAGGGTGCTAGCTAGCTAGCCTAGCTCCTAACACCCCGGCATGCGAGCAAGACATGTCTCTTCTTCACTTGTTTCTTCTTGCCAATCTGTCATTAAGTATTGTTTGTCCAGAGAAAAAGCAGATCGAGTTGCACAAACCCATCAATCCCTTGTTGATGTCAAATTTTTGTTTACTTTTACACAGAGGGTGAAGGACTCGCACTCTGCGTGCCTGATGTCTAGGTACGTAGGTACTTCAAGGAAAGAAAGGCTATCAACAGTAGAAGTATGTAAAAAAGCACAACCTCGCTAATGGAAAGCCAAGCCAAATCGATGTACTGAAGAACCCAACCCCTTTTCACAACCTTCTCTCCCTTTTTTTCCCCATGTATCCTAGCAACTCCAATAACATAAAGAAAAGAAATAAGAAAGCATCTCGGTGACCGCGCTTGATGATCGTGAGAAATACTTAAAGACCGTGAGGCGCTTAGCCGGCAGTGGTCAAAATATACGAAGTGATGGAGGTCATCCGCTCACTCGTCAACTTTAGAGACACCCTCAACAACTCCTGCGCGACATCCGGCTGGTCTTTCTGTAGTCGTTGCCACCCCTCCTTGTCCATCCGCCAGGCAACGCAGTCTCTATCAACCGTCACCGTGGCTGTGCGGTCCGTCTCTGAGAAGAAGGGCAATTCGCCACACGTCGTGCCCGCCACGATACTCTCCGCGAGCTTGCCTTGTGGCAGGTCGTAGTCGGCGCGGAGGATGCCCTTCTCCACGAGATAGAAACCCTTGGCGGGCTCACCTCTCGTGAATAGGACCGTACCGGCCTGGTATTCCTTGCGGGAGAAATATCCAACAGCCCGGAACCAGAAATCTTCGTTCCTCTCGCTCAGGCCCTGGAAGATTTGCAACATCAATCGCAGAGGCTCCTTGAAGCTCTGCCACCTCTTTGTTCCCAAAGACTCTGTGTTCGCCAGCGCGTTTCTGGCGGCTTCGTGCAAATGGTTACGTCTCGGCGAGTTGATGACCAAATCAAACGATCCCCGGTCTGGCTTCGAAGGAACGTCCAGGTTGGCGGTTGGTGCGTGACGAGAGCCATTGTGGAGCGCATCCTGACTTGTGTAAAGAGTCTTGAGCAGCTCGTTCTCACAGCTCTCTAGAGCCGAGTTGAGATCGGGAAGTAAGGTGACTTCGATGCTTTCGTTGCCCAGCCCCATGGCCCGCAGATTGCGGCCGACTTCACTTTCCGCGTCCTTTCCACTCAACACCATGACGATGCCCTTGTTGTCGAGCAACCTGCTGATAGTATTGAAAGCTTCACCAGCAGAGTAATCCAGGCCTGTGACGTGATACAGGTCGATAACGAGATATTTAATAGGCCTTTCCGTGAAGGCACTGTCGTCGATGAGAGCCCGGATCTTCTCTTCAACACTGACGACGGTGCCGAAGAAGAGGAAGCCAGTGAGCTTGACTATGTAGATTTGTCGACGAACTTCCTGCAGGTAGTGATGCTGCGAAGGGTTTCTGCGCACGGTAGAGCCGACTATTTCGCCTGTATAGCTTGCTCGTACAGCAGATACTCTCGATGTCTGAATAATCAGTGACACAAATGCGAGGATGATGCCCACACCAATGCCAATGACGAAATCGTAAATGCCCATTACCAAGACAATTACAATCACCTGATAAGAGAGTTAGTTAGCACTGACAAGTACAACATGGTCAAGAAACATACTGTCAAATATTCGGCCAGTTTCAGCTTCTTCCTCGGAAGCCACACAGCTTCGAGAAGAAGCTCAAAGCCAAGGTCGAAGATGAGAGTGCCAACCATCATGATAGGGATAAAGCCAATGATCTTGGGGCCAATGACCATGACACCAAAGGTCAAGGCTGCTAGCATGACGCCAGCGAGCCTGCTGTCTCCGCCGGATCGCATAAAAAACACGGTGTTGGCGTAGACGAGGTAGTTTTGAATACTGCCGCACAAGCCAGAGATAAAGTTGGAGTACCCATGCAATTTCAGCTCGCGGTCAAGGTCCGCATTATCCTCCCCAGTCTGCAGAGCCAGGGCCGGAACATTGATAGGAACGTGGAGAATGCCGAAAAAGGTGAGTGCCAACATGGCAGGAATACACCCCAAAACGGCATCCCACTCAACTAGGTTGAACTCTAGAGTAGAATATTAGCAATAGTTGGACACCTGAGTCGAGATCGACTTACTGTATAACGTGTAGAAGTACCACCATGGCTCGTCCGCTGGTGGTCCTTCAAAAATCCAGCCGTGATCTCGGAGAGAGTCTGGCTCAAGCGCATCCAGGGAGAATACAAAGAAATAAAAGACAATCGGAATAGAGATGATGTACAGCGGCAAGAAATACTTGGAAGCACCTCTTGTCTGACTGTAGAAAAGTATGATAGCGAGCAAAAGGGGTGTCAGCCAGAGAAGTACCGTGTCGGATTGGAAAAGCTTGTGAAGTGTGTCCATGTCGTATTCCAGACTGCCATCCATTCTGGCAGACACCTCGAAGCCCGTGGCAACCAGGAACCAGCCGACACCTCCTATACAGCCGATCAAGATGTGTCTTGGGATGAAACCAACCATGTAGCCAAAGTTGAATTTTCCCATGAGGTAAAAGACTGTGCCTGTCATCATGGAGCTAATTGCATACGTGACAATCGTCGTTGCGATCACAGCGTCTGGTTGATCTTCGCCAATATGGTCCGTAATTGTTTGGGCCATATTATGGAAAAAGGGTACAACTTCGATCTTTGGGATGGTCAGCAAGGGGTCCTGCTGCATGGTTCAGGATAACTCACCAATTCGGAGCCAACGCCTCCTTTGAAAATACTGCCAGTCGAGAAGGTCAACTGAGAAACAATGGTGCTAACATAGAAAATGGAGATGCCCGCCGAGCCCAGCCCAGCAAAGATGGGCTTGCCGAGGGGAAATAGAATCATGCCTAGCCCAATTAGAACAAATGATCTGGTTTAGCAGACCATGGTGAGAGAGGGCGTACCGTAAGACAGCGCATCAAGAACATTGAGTAACAATCCGACAATAACAGCCGGTAGGCAAGATACTGGGGCGACCACGGCATTCTGCCATAAGGCTTGGCGGTCCCAAGCTTTGGGGCTCGTCGCGATTTGAATACCATGAACGATGCGCTCCTCCACATTCACGGTGAGATCTTTCAAACCATGCAGCCACCGCTTCTGAGGTCGTGGCTTCTGCCCTTCCACGTCGATTTCGGTGCTGGCTCCGCTCGTATGGTAGCTCTCGAAACTATCAGACGACAACCTGGGGATCAGAGGAGTGCGCTCGGTAGGCTCCTCGGCAGCAGTCCTCGTCGGTCGCTGTAGCTCTCGTTCCTGCCTCTCCACGGAGGGCGCTCGCTTCGGTTCAGGGGTCGTTGGTTCCAATGGCTCGGGTTGTGGTTCCGGTGACGGATCGCGGTGCGACTGGGGAGGTGACTTTTTGAGTAGGTTCGTCAAAATGGAGGGACCATCATCTGGCAGTTCCTCCTCATCTCCATCCGGCGAGGAAGGTTCTGATACCTCTTGTATCGTCTCGGAGCTCGTTACATGGGCAATTTCGTCATCGTCGTCTTCCTCGTTATCTGAAATAGCGGTTTCCCGTGTGAGAGCTGACGACTGGGAGCGTTGGCGCGAGAGGAATGCTGGGCTCTGGCCCGTCTTCTTGTCGGACAAGAGGTATGAGGCGAGTTCGGCCGTGTCTTCGCGCACGCTGCGGGCAGACTGGGCGCTGTCGACAGGAGCTACGGACGGCATGTTAGCTGGTTGTGCGACCTGGGTGACGTATGCGCGGACCACGGGGTGCTTGCCTAGGTGGTCCCTCACGTTGCCGTGGATGAAGGAACGAATCGGCTCTCGGTGACTCGAGCTCACGGAAGACGACAGAAGGGCTCTCGAATCCGGACCATGCTGAGAGCTCCGGCCGGGACTGAGGAGCGGGTTTTCCGGGTTAATCTCGGTGCTGGTCCTCTGGGACCTCTGGGACCTCTGGGAGCTCAAGGAGGCGGCTCTTCTCCTCCATGGTGAGAAGCCGGCAAAGTTGGGAGAAGACATGGCGAAGATAGCTGGCTTGGTGACTATGAGGGTTAAGAGTCGGTGGTAGGGCACCGAGAAATCACCGTCGCACCTTTTGGAGGCGCCAATCGTCAGGGTGCCAGGCCGGTGGTGCGGCTGTTATTGAGGAGAGAAATGTGTGGAGGGCGTCGGCGCAGATAAGAGACGAGAAAGTGTATTAGGAGATAGCAGCCGGACGGGGGCTAGATCTACGGGCAGAGCCAGGATGGCCCGTGTAAGTTGTTCTGGATCTGGGTCGTGAGCGGAAAGGCCTAAAGGCTAATACAGCCAAAGAAGGGTTGGATGGAGGAGAAGAGCACGAACCTGGATGTATTACCAAGTGGGTGGACCGGCTGGTTTAGAGCAGACGGGACGGAGATGGAGAGCGTGAGGAGAAAGCGTGAGCCGTATCCATGTGTATACTACGTAGAGTTGGAGGCTGTCGTCAACATGGCATGGCATGGCATGGCGCGTGTGCAACGCAGCAGCAGCACGCAGAATTAGACGAACGACAAACCTTGATCCAGGTCAAATTTGCATTTTGCATGTGGCCCCTCGCCCCTCAGTAGCGTGTCTCCTACGGCATGTTACCACTTTTACTTGCGTGCACTGCATGGTGAGGTAACTCGGGCTGGTATTGAGGTACTTCACGCAAGGTACCGACTAGGCTGTTCCTGAGGTGCTTGTCCTCTCTTTACGGTAAGCTAGCGCAAATCCTCGTGGTATCTGGTGCGGGCATTCCGCAGCCCATCGTATTCCGGGTTGCCATAGGTGCGGTGCAGCGTGCTTGCTTGCTGACCGCCCGCGGGTAGGTGCCGATGGTGCTCGAGTTGCACCCCACTAGGTAACGCCGCAACAATCCCTGCACCCACAGCACGGCGACCCCTCGTGCCCCCTCCAGTGAGCCACTTGCAGCCGCTGCAAGACGCTGGAATGGCGAAATGGGTACAATGGTTGGACTGGAAGCACGGCAGACCAACTGGGAAGCCACCCTCTCAAAAGTCGGCTCCCCCACTTCGGATCCAGGATTCCAGTTGTCGTTTGCTCTTCGGCAGCCGGGGCCACTCTCTGCACCGCACCCTCTCCACATCCCCATCCACACCCTCTCCACACCCACACTTCTTCTCCCTCTACCTACTCATTCTACCTCGCCTAGTGTAGGTCTATCATCGTAGTACAAAGTATGGTATTCGCAGCTCTCCAATAACAACGAGGCTAGCTCTGGACCGTGGGCCGTAGGCGGAGGTGAACGGGGGGCAGACGCCCGCACCGTCGACTGTCCGTCTCCCTGATGTATCAAGATTCAAGACAGACCATATCCCAGCCCAAGCTCACGTCTGAAAGAGCCAATGCAATGCATGCTCAAACTGTGCTTCCTTTACAACTCGCGTGGGGTAATACATACGACTTGTCAATTGGAGAATTCGGCGTCAGTTGCTCGTCATCGTCTCCTTCAATGGCTTGAGGTGTTTGCAACGCTGCAAGACGAACTACGGTAACAATCAGCAGACTACCTACTCTGTAAGACTACCTTAACCTGTTGTCTCCTACTTCGGCCTGCTGCATACTTCGGCCCTCCCCTGGGCTGACGATCAGGAGGGTCGGCCTAGCTTAGCCATGTCCAATAAGCCGGCCAACAGCAACCGTCATGCGGCGAATGATGCAATGCAGCGCACAAGGCCATGCCTGTGCTTTGCAACTGAGCTGTTTTGTAGATGACTGACTGGCTACCCATTTTGCGGCTCGTTAGATGGCGGCCCTGCTTGGATTCGCCGCATGAGACGTCCAAGGTCGTAGACTTATCTGAGGTACATAGCAGCCCGATCTTCCAATGTGGCCATCGCTTCTGCTCTGCTCATCCGCCGCCGATATCGCGACATCTGATATCCATTCCCCGCGCGCCACCGCAACTGGTCCAAGCTGCCGCACATTGGCTTGTTATGGCCCAAGGAGTGCACGTTTGGCTACCACCTGCGAGACATAATCCCCAATTCTCCCCCCATCGCTGACAGGCCAAGAGCAAGGAGCCCGTTACAGACTCAGTCAGCCCAGCAACCTAGATAAGCCGCATGCCATCTTGGCACCGGATATCGTTAATTGAACCTCCATCAGACTCTTTTGCGGATCTTATTGTGTTGCACTGCGAGCCAGAGCCGGCCGCATCGGAAGCCGTCCGCGATGCACATCTTGGCACCATGTTGCTCTGGATCAGGCTCCTGTTCGCAACACCGTTACTTTGGCTCATGGCAGGAGAGAAGTAGTCAGCACCGATTAGTCTCCTCTGGTGAGTCCTGTCACTCAACCTCTTGAAACTGCATGTGTGCGCCCCGCGTACCCCGCGAAGTGCCAGCAGAATATTGCTCAGATTTCGAGTGGCTCGCATCATCTTGACGCATCGCACAACGATATTTCGCCGGCAATGGCGCCCCGCCTAACTTCGGACGACAACGTCGAATCTCATCCGTGCAAGGGTCTTGTCAAGGTGGCCGCACATCCGTACCACCCAAGCTCCACCAATCTCCAAGAATGGGAGAAATGAAGACACATTCCTCTTAGTATCGTTATCTCGAGGCTCTGATACTGGCCAGCCAGGTCGAAGATGATCCTAGGCATCAGCTGAGTTTTTGGAGATAACCCTGTGCTATGAGCCGCTCCACGTCGCCCTGTCTGACATAGAACTGGCTGTTCTTGGTCAAGTTGATGGCGCTAGATCCCCGGCGTCAGACGCAATCCTTATCTGCGGCTCAAGAGGTTCAAACTCACCCGTATTCGGTCTGGATCTCTCCTGCATCCTTCAAGACTCTCACGTCAATGAAAAGGTCTCGTGGGGGCTCCAAGCTACCCGTCAAGTCGATATCGGTCCATTGCCCTTTGAAGGCGGCCAACAGATCACCGTATTGCCTCACATACTCCTCTTCTTGTGGACTCAGACTGCTCGTAGGAACGTCGGAGGTGCCTTTGGGCCCCGTTGATGATCCTGCATTGCCTCGTATTTGTTGCCCGGCCAAATCAAGTACATCTACTCCCTTCCATGCCAGCTCTTCAAGTTTATCCGTTCGGGTTCGGTGGTATGCTAGAAGGCATCGCTTGTTCCTCCGCATGGAGAGGTAGTTGACAAGTACTGTGCATGCTGTCGCTTGGTCGGCGGTCGGGTCAAAGGAGCCCTGGAAAGGCTCCAGGAGCTCCGTAACATCTTTGTCGAGGTCTCTAACCTCGCGCGTAACGGCGCGTACTATCTCGGCTTGATACGCCGGCAAATGCGCGAGGTTTTGGGTTCGTTTAGCATGTTGCACCTGCCAGACGCGTTAGCTCTTAGTGACTACGCGATGAAAGTTTGTCCTTTGCTGAGGTCTTACCAGCTTATTGCCTAAATCGCCGTACATATTGACCGATCATCTGTCAGACGAGCAAACAAGAGAGACCTAGTTGTGTTGCTGCGGCTGGCGCGTTTCGTGTCGACGTTCGCGTTGTAAGCTTGAGGCTGGCGGGTTTGCAGGCACGGTTCACAAGCTACGGTAGGTACTCGAGTCGCGTTGCATTTGCCTACCCTCCCGGGAAGGCCCTCAAAAGAAGCGAAGAATTGCCCCTCACTTAGCGCCGCCCCACTTCGATACACATTTCATCGATGTCAGATTTTGACCAGGCAATAAGGTAGTAAGATGGCCATCATGGTCAAGAGATGTTGTTAATTTTACCCGTCATTCATGATTCACATTCAGATTCGTAGTTGTTACGAATAGGTGCCAGGTTGTTTACTTCTTCAAAAGGTTTTCATAACCTCATTTGTATTCATAAAAGGCCTTGAGCCCGAACTCTTTGTTCGGCAAAGGACGCTGCCTTTGCTGGTGCCAGAAACTCTGCGTTTCCTGAGCCATACCCTTTCTTATGAGGATTCTATGGATTTTTTCATTTCTCCACCATCATGCCTCGTGAATTCATCCCTCCCGTTGATCATAAAGCACCTCACAGCTTCTGCATAGCAGCAATGTCCACCGACTGGACGTAGTCCTCAAGCTCGGCAATCTCCTCCTCAAGATCAGACAAGCTGATCTTCTCGTCCTCAACGACAAGGTTGATCTGGAGCTTCTTGATACCGAAGCCGACGGGGACAAGCTTAGAGGCACCCCAAACAAGACCGTCGTGCTCGATGGCGCGAACACCAGCCTCAAGGGCAGCCATATCAGTCTCGTCATCTGCGATACCAGTCAGCATATTATTCTAGGTTCAGAATTCAAGCGAAACACCATACCCCAGGGCTTGACATCCATGGTGACAACCGACTTGGCGGCAAGCTTAGGCTTGTTGTCCTTCTTCTTCTTGTACTCGGCGAGACGCTCCTCACGAATGCGAGCAGCCTCGGCATCCTCCTCCTCGTCGTCAGAGCCGAACAGATCGACATCGTCGTCATCCTCCTCGGCGGCCGGGGCCTTGGCGGGGTTCACGGGGAGCTCAGTGGCCTCAGGGCCGTAGACGGAGTAGGACTTGGACGCATCGCCGGGAAGGGTGGCGAAGTCACTCTCGTAGGAAGCGATGTGCTTGTACCATCTAGCGGCATGGGGGTACTTCTCCGCATCAGGAACGGATTGAAGAGCCTTGAAGGTAGCAACGTCGGCCTGGGAAGGGGTGGAGCTGTACCGATTGTTAGCGGTGATGTCCTGCCCAAGACTGCTTTTGCGAGATAAAAGTGGTTGGGTAAGGCGGGGGTCAGAGTTGCACGAAGTGCTGGTTTCGTCGTCAAATAGCAGGTCTTGAGGCTGCCTCCGAAACACGGACCAATTTTCCTCATCATATAGTGCCAAAGGGGGTCGAGAGAGGGTTCTAGGGAGCGGTGAGGGACTTGGGAACTTACCCGACGATGTAGGAGCGGGTGGTGAGCCAGCTGTTCAGTACTGACTCGATTGTCAGCCCGTGAAAGAAAGAAGAATCATCGCTGCAGAAACTTACTGGCAGCACCAGCATCAGTGAGAAGGTCGGCGAAGCCCATTGTTGCGTTTTGAAGGGTGTGTAGAGGGAAGGAAAAGGGGTATCTGTGGAAGAAGCAAAAGATGGAGGATGTGTTGAGGTTCAGGTAGAAATAAGTAGGTGAAGGTGGGGTTGGGAAGGACCAGGTCGAAAATTTTGAGATTGCGGTGCTCTTCACTCAGGTTCTGGGCAGCACGGACCCCACCATCCTGGTTGCCCAGCGCAGCACCCCTCTTCGGACTAAGGACGGGCCGGAAGAGCAGAGCCCCTGCAGGTGGGATAGATGGATCCGGCGCCGCCAACCCGTCTCAGGCAATAGGCAGGGAGCTCCTACGCAATTGCAGTTGATAGCTCCAAACGAGACGAGCTCGATCTCACGCCGATTGCCAGTCTCCAGATCACCATACAAAAACGACTGGGAAATCCGAACTTCACCACACAACCCGCCATTACCCACTACGCAAACGGATTGAAGTCAAATCATGTCGTCGATTCTTCCGATAATTACCTTCAAGGCTGGTATCTGTGATGCAGACGTCAGTGGTGCAGCTCCGCATTACAGACCCCGGTTCGCTGACATCTATCATAGACCTCCAGCAAGCCTTACAAGATCAAGCCACAGGCGACACCTGGCTACATCTACCTCTACTCTGAAGATGGTTCGTTTGGCCGCTGCCGCTACCGCTACCTCTTGCAGATGCCTAACGAGTTACAGACTTGATCCACTTCTGCTGGCGAGAGCGCACCGCCACCATGGAGAATCCCGATCTCGACCTCGTTATGGTGCCCATGGACGGCGAATTCGTCGCTCACGCTGCCGCTGATCAACCATCAGCAAAGACCAACGGCCGCATTTTCGTCCTCAAGTTCGGCTCTTCGTCCCAGAGGCACTTTTTCTGGCTCCAGTCCAAACCCCAGTCGCGCAACGGAGACCCCAGCTGGTTCAGCCCTCGCGACAAGAAGATTGGTGAAATTGTCAATGCGCTTCTCCAGGGCGAAGAGGTCAATATTAGCCGCGAACTGGCACAAGTCCGCAACTCCGACGACAGGCGAGACGACGACGACGACGAGACGATGGAAGATGCTGAGGGCCAGGGAGACCGACACGACCAGTCTCAGGGAGGCAGCGGTGGTGCTGGCCCTGGTGCCACAGGAGGCGATATCAGAGAAGAAGGCGAGAATGCCAGAGAGGGTGGAGGCGACGGAGCACGAGCGTAGGTTACTTCCTAAAGCATGTCTCTATTGGTTGGAGTCCAGGGTCGTTAGAGTTACACGGGCTACATGGGCACTGGCGAGGAAAAAGAAGGCCCGTCTTATGGCGCCACATGTACTTTTAGAGCCTTTCAAAAGACAAGAGGGTTCGGAGTTTTTGCCTTTCAGCGCGGTGCCCATGGCTTGACTCTCTCATTACATGTTCATGTGCTAATCGATTGCCAGTGCCGCCGGTGGTTCCAATACAGATGCGGATGCTGCCGTTCGAAACTTTTTGGCATCATTGCAAGGCAACGCCAACTTGGGTGGCTCACAGCAAAGCGGGCAGCAGCAACACGCAGACAAGCCTTTCCCATACCTCAGTCACCTACTCCCGAACGAGATTACTATTCCGATGCTTCGATCGGCGTCAGAGGAGTTCATTGACAGCCTCTTGAGCTTTCTGCCTCCCGCAATTATCGTGCTTGCCACGGAAGCAGATGACCTGGGCGACTCTGAACCCACGGCGGACGCTGCTACTGCTGCCAAAGCCACTTTGAGTCTTGCAGAGAAGAAGAGTCTGCTGGAGAGAGTCCTCAGAAGCCCCCAGTTCCACCAGGCACTTGGAAGCCTGACAATGGCACTTCGCGATGGCGGTCTTCCTACAATTGCGGAAGCGCTTAGCGTGAAGGTGCCCAATGGCGGCTATATGAGGGGCGGTGCTATGCCCTTGGGCGGCGGCGAAGCGGTTGAGGCCTTTGTCGAGGGCGTCAAATCAACTGTCAAGGAGAAGAAGCAGGGTTAGCCGAGGTCAATATGGGGTGCATGGATTGGGGGATGGAATAATAGAGATCGATATGATAGACTGCTCGACATATAGACTCTCGTCCGGTATCAGGCAATGATAACAATGTATCTTGTGAAGGCCCCCAACCCAGTGATATATGCAAGCCAGAAAGATTTCCAGGGATTATAGGAAAGACAGTGATCCTGGAACTTGCAAGTAATCCCATGCTTATGTTTATGGTTTTGAGACCCCTTTTCGTCCGGTCCATCCCAGCACTAGCCATTTCAACTTCATCAGTCGTCTTTCAGAGCGGACTGAGGTTTGAACAACCCGAGCTTCCTTTTCTGAGGTAAGGTAAGGTAAGGTACATAAGCTAAGGTAGGTAGGCACGTGCTAAGGTATGGAAGGTACGTACACGAGGGACGACCCCACAGTGACCCCTAGGTACCTAGTCTCTGCGCCGTTGGCCCACTAACGTCACTGGAGAATGCGATTGGAATTCGTCCACAGCTTCAAGCCTAGACTTGTATGCAATTACAGACATTTCGAGCATTATCCTGGCAATCCGCAGCCTTGAAGTACACGCCTCGCGGGACTCGACTCTAGCGTCTCACATCCTTCCTCGCAATGGCGGATCACCTGAAGGACCCCCTGCCGACGTTCGTCGAGGACTTCGGCAACGATGAGCGCATCTCCTTCTCTAAACTCGACAACAAATACCTTGCCGTCCTTGACAACGGCACTGAGCTCGAGTTCGACCCGGCAACATCCGCGTGGGCCGAGGCTGCGGACGAACCCATAGAGCCCCTCGATGACGAAGACGAGACCGCGGCGCAACTAGCAGACCTCTCGAGAGCAGGCGCCGGCCCGAGTTACAGCAACGGAAGCCACAATCCCAGGAAACGGAAGGACTCGCCCACGTCAGCAGATGCAGGCGGCGGTGCGGACAGACAACACAGCGGTGACGGCAACGGCGGCAACGACAACGGTAACGGCCGGGCGCGTCCCGCAAAGAAGGCCAAGCCGGCGCGCGCACCGCCGCCGCCGCGCCAAAACACCGCAGTCTACGTCACAGGTCTACCTGCTAATGCGACGGTGGACGAGGTCCACGAGCTGTTCTCGCGCAAAGCCGGCGTGATCGCGGAGGAGATTGATAGCGGCCGGCCGCGGATCAAGATGTACACGGACGAGGGCGGCAAATTCAAGGGCGATGCGCTCGTCGTCTTCTTCAAACCCCAGAGCGTGGAGATGGCCATCATGCTGCTGGATGACACCGAGTTCCGCTTCGAACTGGGCCAGGACGGGGCGGCGCCGACGAGGATGAAGGTCCAGGCTGCGGACTCGAGCTACAAAAAGACAAAGTACGACGAGGAAACGAATGCCGGGGAAGGGGGGAATAACGGGCAGGCAGGAGCAGCCGCCCGGCCCCAGCGGAGCAACAACAACGGGGACAAGCAGAAGATCATCCGCAAGACGCAAAAGATGGCCGCGAAGCTGGCGGACTGGAGCGACGACGACGTGGCGGCGATACCCGCGGAGAGCACCTCCAAGCGGAACCGGACAGTGATCCTCCGGCACATGTTCACGCTCGCGGAACTGGAGGAGGACCCGGCGGCGCTGGTGGAGATCAAGGAGGACATTCGCGAGGAATGCGGTAAGCTGGGCAGGGTCACCAACGTGGTGCTTTACGACGAGGAGCCAGATGGCATCGTCGGTGTCAAGTTCTCCGACGCCCAGGCCGCCCAGGCGTGTATTCAGCTCATGAACGGGCGGGCGTTTGACGGGCGGATTGTGGAGGCGAGCATAGCTAAGCCCAGGGAGAAGTTTAGGATGTCTAGGGGCCAAGTGAGCGACAGCGACTAAGCTTCTTTTGGGATTGTTTAAGGGCGAGGGGCTTGTATATATAGAACTGTATTACTGAAGACCGCAAGGATGGATGAAGCGTGGACAGATCTGCCCTTGGAGGCACCATATTACGCGGATTTTGGGGGCAGCTTTGTTTGATATGTGCGAATGCCGTTTCTGGCCCGCGTGCCCGACTCTATTTAGGCTGGCAACAACACGATACAGTGACGGACACTGACTGAGACGGTTCCAAGTTGGTGCAACGCGATAAAGGTAGAAAGCTTGCTGAAGCTCCGGCTGGTAGCCAAACGGTGGTCGAAGACATGTCGTTAGAGGATTTTCATGCTCGTACCAGCTCTACTCGAACATCTCTAGCAATTGCCTAGAAATACTTACGACCAAGCCGCATTATGAGCTTAGAGGAAGCGGCAAAGAAAACGGTTACATGAATGAGTCAAGTTTTTTTGGTTTATCTACTTGTGTCTGATCTACCCAAGACTCCTCCAACTCCAGGCCCAATGTCAATTTCGTGCCAATCCTCAAATAGCAAAACAACCCCCTGAGTTTTAATTGCCGGAAACTGTTTGTGTGTTTGTGTGTGCGTGTGTGTATGTGTGTCTTGATAAGCGCTTGAACGCGAGCAGGGTAAACCACTGGATTCTTTCCTCGGGACGAAGGAAAAATCTCAAGCAGCCCGCTCGACTTGAATATCTGTTCTCTCGGAAACGACGTACCATATAGCCGCCTCAATGATTCTGCAAACGATCTTCAATTCGTGATCATCTGTAAGGCACAGTCAGCTTTAGTGAAAATCGATATGGGTCAGACCTGATAATGAGGTTTTCCTCTCCTTCCCGGCTGCAATTTTTGATCATTGTTCAGCCTTCGTAATGGCCGTGCTGGAACGCCAGAAAAAGTGAATTGCGTGATCTAGCCGCCACCCGCCGCCATGGAAACAAGCAGCGTTTTTTAACCAGACCCAAGCATTTGTGATAACGTACCTCGCGGTGCATACACCATGACGAACTCTTCCGGCACAGGCATCCTCACCAACCTCCCCTTCCATGCCAGAGGATGCCGCTGGCCCCAACCTTTGGCCAGCACCTCTCGAATGTCCTCCGGGTGGAGGTTCATGTGCAAGCTATGGTCCGAGTCGTGGACGTGGCAGATCTCGCCATTGCACGAGACATTCAGGGGATGCCGCGCAAAGAGCCCCAGACCGTGCTTCTCAAGACAGGACCGCGCGGTGCCGAAGCGGGCTGGATTCGTAACAGCGAGCTTCTTCAGCGTCGTACGGAGGGCGTGGTAATGCGGCACCGTGCCGTGCTGGTCTAGCTGCCTCTGCGGCGCGATGCCGGCGACGTGGGGTCGGGGACCGGGGCGGTAGGGGAGCAGGCGGGAGAGGTCTCCTCCCTCTTGGCGAAGGATGCCTCGCCTCGGGAGAGTGTTTGGCCTCGGCTCCGGCGCCGTAAAGGGGTCACGCAGGGCCCAGAGCCGCAGCCAGGCTATCCGGACGTAGCCTTGGAACGTAGATGGCGTGCCGCCCGGTCCGAGGCCGAGGAAGTTGTGGTAGTCGTTCCGCACGAGCAGCAGGATAGGAACGATGACGATGAGGGTCTCGGCGATCTTGGGCTCGAGGAAGTGGATGATGAGGGTCAGAGTCATGGAAACGATGAAGATGGCCGGGCCGTCGAGGGTGACGGAGATGGCTTCCTGCTTGAGGATGCAGCTCACGACGGCCTGGTCGAGCTCCGGGCCCACACCGCACGCATTGGAGGAGGCAATTGGCTCTTCATGGAGGAGTTGTGAGGCCGACGATGTGGTGATAGCGACGGACATGGCTGACTTTTCTTGTTCTTACGTGATGTTGAGACGCATATGCACTAATATGCACGGCCACGAGCCTCGGGAGAGATAAGATGAAATGACTGCAAAAGATATATTGTCGATGATGAGGAAGAGCTGGAGCACGATATAAATAAGGAAAGTGAGGAGAAAGTAAATGCAAGAAGCAGTGAGTGATTGCAAAGTAAGAGTGATGTGGTCAAGCTAACATGGCACACGAAGGAATGACCACAAGGTTCGACTAGCCACCTGGGGGGTCTTGTCGTCTTGTCGCAGGTCAGGCTACCTTATGCGGGGTCGTGGAAGCTGGGGGTCAAGGTGACGGTTGATCAAGTGACGGTGTTTGACAAAAGCGTCAAGTCTAAGTGGCCAGTTCTTGGTGAAGGGAAAGTCAGAACCGCAAGCCGGCACATAGCCTTTGGCCTGCAACTCTTTACACTAGGCTCGTGCGAGGTAGAGATAGGGAAAGTTCCCGCCTCGGCGACCAAGCTAGGGCAAAGCCAGCGCCTTGTACGGGTACCGTGGCTCGGTAAGGTAAGCATCAGGCCTCCTGTCCACCGACTTTCTGAGGCTGGCAAGGAGCCGTTATAATGCAGCTGTCAGTCAACACTGGACCCCTGCCGTGAAAAAGTTACTCTGCGCGTTGGAGCGGTGCACTTGTCGACCGCTCTGCAGGTGCACCGCTCCGAGACAGGAACCGCCTGCTCGAGATATTCAAAGTAAGTTTCGATGGGCACCCAACGCCAACGGCAGCTGTCCCAGGCCATGATGTTGGGTTGAGGTTATAAGGTTCCACCGCCAGTTCGGGGCAATGTTACCCAGGCCGCCGGTGACGGAGGGCTTGCTGGGGCCCCCGGGACGGTGAGAGGTCAGGAGGATGTGCTGGAGTTTGAAAGGAGCCGCCGGAACACTTTGGGGCCAACGGATGCTTGCCCCCACTGTGAGGGGCGCACCTGTACCACTCGACGGCGGCGGGCCAGCCGATTCCCTTCCGATTATGTCTTCATTGGCTGGCTGCGGAGTGACGAGGCTCGTAGAGATGCTCAAGAGACAGTTGTTCTTTCGCTCAACAGCTGATTTTTGTTGATCCATCAGCTCGTATTCTCCGGCGCTGGCGGTGCCCTGCGTCGGAAACTATTGACAGCAAACAAGCTCTGAATTTCAGCAGCGATAAATTCAAAACAAAGTTGCGTCTTGCTGTCAGGGTGACCGCGACTTTGCGAATCCAATACCACCGCCATGGGGAGGAGGCCGGTTGACCGTGGCTGTAGACTTTGCGGATGTACGGATACGCATACCTTACTCGTGCAAAAGTATGAAGCTGTTCTCCTCTTTTCACCTCGAGCAACCAGCGATTGACGACCGGACGGGGGACTGGACAAACGGCACAGTACATGAACCGGCAAAAGCCCATCAAGAATGTGGCTTGTTGCTGTCATGAAGTTTTGCTGAGACAGGAAGACTATTCTCGTCGACCGCGGGCCGTGTTAGGTGAGACGGGACGCGTCTAGGCCTTGCCATCGGAAAGGGCCAATCTCGTCGCCCCTTTCACGCAAGTGTAGATAAGGCAGACCGTTATGCGGAGCTTGGGGGAACTTGGGGGTTGGGCTAAATGCATATTGCATCCCCAGCTGGTAGCCACGAGTTCAAGAGAAGGCGCAGATCAGGGATGAACGTAAGGTATGGATGGGGGCGACTTCCTCTGTGCACAGCGTGCCACTGGAAGGTAGTGCTACCACACAACCACACACCACAGTACGGGGATGCTCCGTAACGACTTCCGCCCTCAGCCACATGCATGACAAGATGAAAATTGGGTATGCGAATCGATATTGGCCTGCGAAATCTCGGCATATTCTAAATTTATTCTGCTGGAATCTCCAAGGCGGACGGGCCATGATTGACGGATCGGCGGACCGGTATGGTCTCTCATTGCGATAATCTCCTTTGTCGCACTGCGTCGGTTCTCTGTGTGATGTCTGAAATTGAGACGAGTCGCGGTCCGTAGGGATGGCCTTCTTGAATGCTGCCCTTTCTCGAATCCTCACCAAGCAGCTTGGCAGCATGACGTCGGTTTTGGGGACCAGTGAGGAGACACTGCGGGGTGCATGGATGGATCAGGATTCAGACTCGAAATTGAAGCTGGCTGAAGAAATGCCTCTGCCTCCTGATCGGACCGGCAGTTGTACCCTCGTAGAATTATGGAGAGACTGCTGTGTCTCATGGGAGGGCCAGGAGTGTTGGGAACTTGGGGCAGAACTCAGGGCTGAGGAGAGGTTAAGACGAAACAGAGCAACGCGTCCGAACTTGTTGCAGCTTCGTCCAGTCTCATTTGGTAGGTCAGATGAGAGTTGCGACAAGACGGGAAACGAATTCGGTGTGTGGCGCGGGCTGTAACTGATTCAGTCGTCGGCTGCACTTGCAAATTGCAGCCTCCTGTAGGCTGTGGGTTGGAAGCGAAGTGCGATTGGGGGCCGGCCAGTGATCCCTACCTCGCTCCCTACTGCGTAATCAGTCGCAACTCGCAACCCAGTCAGCGTCGGTGTCAGTTGTCTTCTTTCATCGTGATGTGATGGACCAAGGACCAAAGCCGGACCAGAGAGGAGCGTCTGGACAGTGTCAGGATCCTTCTTCTTCAACCGTCTTGCGTCTTGGATTGCAGGAGGACGGGAAGTGGAACGCACCTTCAATCAACCTGGAAGGAGCCGAACCGTAGTCCGTAGCGGGCAACCAGCCCCGGAGGAGGTTGACTTGGCTGTCAGGGATACCCCAGTCAAACTTTTAGCGAGGAAGTCGAGACCGGCGACAACCCCTGCTTTGCTCCTGCAAGTCCTGGGCGACCCGCATTGGCGCGCACCTAGAATCCAGTCGCGGGTCCAGTAAGAAAAAGCAGGCGAGGGCAGGCGCGCATCTTGCATCTTGTTCGTCGCTGCTTTGGGTCAAGGTCCGTTGCGGCGTTGCGGCCCTCAAACCTTTCCTGGCCAATATCCAATGAGGTAAGGGAATAAAAAGTTTGGCACCGATAGGACCGGGGGGGCAACGCTGCAAGCTGGAGGGGAGTGGAGTGTTCGTAATTCTGCCACAAGACACCGCCCGTATCACCCCGTTGCTCAGAGCAACATGTAGTTGGCCAGTCGTCGTCTGGAACCCCCACCAATTCCCCAATCAGATCCAATCTTTTTAGTGGCGATGGCGTGGGACGCGGATAGGGGGGGAAGGAACCAACTCCACACCGTCCCAGTTCAACAAAGACCATGGACTCCCGTCATCTCAAAGGCTCAAAGCAAGGACACACACCACAGTGACCACACCCACACACTGTGTGTGCATCCCGCCCATAATACGGATAGACAGTCTGTATCCGTACGTTAATGGGTAATACCTTACATGTCTACGTACTTGGACTGCCGGACCACTCGTGTGTTGCATTACTTGGCTAGCAGCTTGGAATACGTACCGTCCAGGTTGTCTCTGGCTGTTTTGCTCCTGCCTTTTTTTATCATGTTGTCCCGCCGTCGCTGGGTCGCTCATATCCAACATTGATAGATCCATATTACTCGAGGTGGACTCTGTTGGCCCAAGCTAACCTCCGTCTTTCCTTCCCCTGCTGCGCTTCATTTCCATATGATGCCCTAGCACCGTGCCCCCCGAACCTCATCTCCATCTTTCTGGCTTGCGACCTCTACTGTGTGCTCTATTCTGTCCAAAGCATCCATTTCCACCTTCACCTACCACGCTTTCGCAGTATTCTCTCCGACAGCTTTTACTCAAGAAACCACAAGGGTCTTTCTCTATTGTTACTTGGATCGCCTACACCCAGACGAGTGATAGGACAGCCGCGACGCCCGTCCCACGGGCCTCTACGACAACAACTGGAGGTGTTCACGGGTTTCTCGTGGTAAGCAACCGCTAGTCGGCACCTTCATTATCGTTGCCATTTGCCGCAGAAGCTGACTAGGGGGCCCCTTAGACTCCAGTCCAACCTCAAAATGGGTGTGTTTTCAAACCCATTGCGGTCTCGCGAGAACCGCACGGGCAGATTACCAAAATACGAGAAGCTCAGTCCTTTGCGCACCAAGGAGCGCCTCTCGAACGATGACGACGACTATTACTCGTCCGACGACGAATCGGAAGACTACTCGACGTCCTCCTCGCCAAGTGCTAAGAGCTCAAGGCAGACCTCTGGATCGCTCTCGAGCGCAGCCATGATGCTCCCGAAGAGGGCTCTCGCGACAGCCCGCCGCCCGCGTACCCACCTGTATCGTTTCCCAAATCGAATCATCCGATACCTATGCTTAGGACTGCTTACCTTTATGGTGGTCATGATCATGTCTCTGGTACGCGCAAGTCACGTCGAGAACAAGATGATCATGGAGGGCAAGGTGGAAAAGAAGCCAGACCCCCCGCCAGTGTGGGAGTCTTTCGGGTTCATACAGAGATACTACGGCGGTGTCAGGTCTATTGTCGCGCCTTCCAAGTACATTCCCTCTTACCCCCGCTCCTCAGACGAAGTTCCCTTGGACCAGCTCGACATCAACACCACCGTCACAACGACGAGCGAGGATGGCAAGGACGATGCTGTCAGGCGCGCTGTGCCCAAGAGCAAAGAGTTCATCGAACACCCAGGCTCCATCTTCGTAACCAAGCCTGAGAAGATGAATGAATGCTTCATCGACAAGGACAACAAAGTTCGCGTCCCACCCATAAGATACCTCGACGGCCGCCCCCAAGGGTTCCCCCAGCACGTCGAAGGCTCTTACGATCTGCTGAACTTGCCTGAAGACGTTTGCTACGAAAGATTCGGGCGCTATGCGCCTTACGGCTTTGGATATTCGGTTCCCGCTGGAGGCCTCGGAATTGGCGAGCACGGCGAGAAGGAAGGTTCCGACGCCGTGTGGGAGAAGACCCCTCAGGTGGACTGGCGCCAAGTTGACTGGGCAGATGCTCAGCGCCGGTGCTACCAGTCCAACAACGATAGGTTCAAACCAATGCCTCCCAAAACCCCTGCCGCGCGCGGTTTCTTCGTCGACGAGCCTGCTCAGAATGCGACCTTGGTGACGCGCGATCCCCTCGATAACTTGGAACCCGACGCCAAAGCCACCGAGGCAGACAAGAAAGCCGACGAGGAACAAAAGTCCAACAAGGAAAAAATCTCCCGAACTGCTATAGTAATTCGAGTTTGGGATGAGTACAATTGGCGCGAGGAGGACATTATGAATGTTCGCTCAGTCATATCCGAATTGGCGCTGGCTTCAGGCGGACGCTATGACGTCCATCTCCTCGTTCAGATCAAAAACGACGCAGCTCACCCGGTTTGGGCTGATCACGATGTTTACGAGCGCCGTATTAGGGAGCGTATCCCCGAGGAGTTCAGAGGCTTGGTAACGCTGTGGACAGAGACACAGATGCTGTCTCTGTACCAGGGCATCTTTGATCTCTACACTCGTGGACCTGACTTGCCTGTTCACGGAGTCTACCGCGGTCTTACTATGGCTATGCAGTACTTCGCCTACCAGCACCCCGAGTACGACTTTTACTGGTCCTGGGAGATGGACATTCGCTACACTGGTCACTACTATGACCTCTTCTCCAAGATGGAGAATTGGGGCAAAGAGCAACCACGAAAGGGACTCTGGGAGCGCAACGCTCGATTCTACATTCCCAGCGTTCACGGCTCTTGGGAGGACTTCAGGCAGATGGCACGTGTTCAGTCTGAAATGGGTACAGATGGCGCCGACAATGTTTGGAAGAACATTCCTGGCGCGAAGAACAAGGAGAACCAAGATCCTACCAAGATTACACGAGGAGAGAAGACCATCTGGGGACCCGAACGCCCTATCAATGAGGATGATTGGTTTGAGATCGAGAACGACCCTAAGCCACCTACCACGTATGAAAAGGACAAGTACACCTGGGGTGTCGGTGAAGAAGCCGACTACATTGCCTTCAACCCTATTTTTGACCCTGAGGGAACCACTTGGTTGTTGTCAGAGGATATAACTGGATACAACAAGAACAATCGGGACGAGCCTATGCCGCCTAGGAGAGCCCACATCATCACGGCTTCGCGCATGTCCCGCCGCCTGCTCATGACGATGCACCGTGAGACTGCTTTCAAGAAGCACTTCGCCTTCCCCGAAATGTGGCCTGTGACCGTCGCATTCCAGCACGGCTACAAGGCAGTCTTTGCGCCTCATCCCATGTACGTCGACAGAGAATGGCCTACAGAATATCTGGCCCAGGTCCTCAATGGCGGCAAGAACGGAGCTAGCGGTGGCGCTCGTACTGCCGTGTTTGGTCAGCGCGAGCACAACCTCCGCGGGCTCAGCTGGTTCTACAACTCGGGTTTTGCCCCGAATCTGTACCGGCGCTGGCTCGGCCTCAAAGTCAATAACGATGGTGGCGAGGAGTTCGAGAAGACGGAAGACCTGAGCAAGGACGAATCTAGCGTTGGCCAGATGCGGGGTGGTGAGGGCCGCATGTGCCTGCCTCCAATGCTAATCCATCCCGTCAAGGGAGTCGATATTCCTGTGGAGAAGATACCCGACGAGACAAAGGAGAGCGTACCCGAATCGGATCCGAACGCATGAACATGAGAAGGCGACCTCGGAGGTGTATGAAGCATGACCTATTTGCGTTGCACTTTAGTGTTGTTTTGCTCTTATTGAAAGGGCTACATTTGGGACATACAGATGGTACGGCGTCTTGGGGTTAGCTTTGTTGGATTCTATAACGCATACTTTTGATGCTCGCGAGACGAACTCGTGGCTATTGTAGGAAAGGCATAATGCGTTGCCTTATACATGATGTATGATGTACATAATGACTGTCAGGTTAGAGGGAGTCATGATTGCCACACAGGATGGCTAAGAAAAACTGGCATCACAATTCGATTGAGTGAAAATTACTACCTGTTCTTTGGTGAAAGCTGTTGCCTTGTGGCATGAATGCCGCTTTGGCAGCTTGAAAGGCCAAGTGTCAAGTTCGGAGTAAAGGCAGTCAGTCCACTATGCTCAGCATTGGAGCTATGCCAGGCAGCCGGTCAGTTAGTCACTATCCTGGCTTGCTGCTTCGGCCTGACATGCAGCGGCGCAGCAAACGGTTCCTAGCGCTACAGTTGAGACATTGTCTTCTGGACACGGTAGTGAGCTCGAGCTCGTCCAAGGTAGCCGGTGAGTGCATTCCTAGAGGAGCCCATGGGCCGCTGTGCTTTGGTGCAGCGTGTCCTGGTCACGGCTTTTGGCGGTAATATACTGACGATGCCAGGGATAAAATGTTGCAACCTGTTTTTGGACGCTGTGACACAGACAGTTGGATGCCTTGGAGTACCGAACTTATTTGCCAATTGTTCTCAATGATGCCGAGAGCCTTCATGGGATGAAAGCAAACTTGGCGCCAGAATGCCACCATAACTAGATTGTTTTCTTTTCATCTGTGCTCCGATGATGAAGAGTCTCGTTTGTAAAAGACGCTCAAAGGCTCGTCGTCGACATTGCACGTTAGGTTAACAAGCCAAGCCACTTCTATCCGCTGCCCAAGCATTCAGTTGCCCCCTTGGCCTGCTCTGCTTCATACTCAGAACCGTTCGTGTCATTCATGTGATCTATGATACAATATACATGTCAATTTCATCTTCGGGTGGTTGGTTTCTGCCTTGATCAGCTTCTGCCTCGATCAGCATTCTGCCATCCTGGATTCCATTCCTTTTTGTGCGCCTTCGACCTGTCATCCCCAGCACGGGTATCCGGAAAACGAAAATGACGACGCCTTGTTTTTTTTAAACCACCCTTTTGACCTCGAAGAATCTGCGAAGCCACCACACCTGGAAGACAGACTCTCCAACAACGAGACCAATGACGAACAGGTTCCACCACTTGACTCTGCTGTTGGTGCTCTCGGCGGTGTTACGGTGAGTGCGCTCGCGTAGGACGATATAGGACTGCTCGTCCTTGACCTGGGCGAGGAGCTCGGAAAGATGGCGTACTACAATCGATGTGTTAAGAGAGCCTGTAACCATGCTAATAAACCATTGTTCTGCTTACCTTCGACTTCGAGGGGATCGGCGGGGACTTCGGTCTCGCTGACGTAGACGATACCATGGACGTTGAATGAGACCTCCTTGCTGTGGGCACCCCAGTGCTCGTTTCCGAAGCAGTAGGTGTACTTGCCGTCGTGCTTCGCGTCGAAGGAGAAGTCTCCGTTCGAAACGCTCTTATCAAAGGTCTCGTACTGGCCTTGGGGGTTCGTGATCTGCGGGTGTAGAGAGTCGACAATCAGCCTCGGTACCTCCGTCACGATGCAATTGTGCGCGACGTTTGCGGTCAAAAAGGGGGTGCGGTGGGCTAGAGCTTAGTTCATACCCAGAAGTCAATGTCCAGGTTGCCGGCGCTGCCAAATTCGCGGTCGCCAACCTGGAAGGTGACGGTCATCTTGTCATCGCGGTGCAGCGACTCGTGGAAGCATTCGCGGCCGTGGGCGGGCAGCTGAATGTTGTGGGCCAGGGCCGAGTGGACAAGGCCAGCTGCGAGGAGCAGCTTGGTGACCGAAGGGAAGAACATGACAGGAGCTTCCTTTTTTTTCCCTCCGTCTCTCTGTCTCTCTCTCTGTATGTGTGTTGTAAGAGCTCCGTGTCGAGGCCGAGGGGGAAAAGGAAAGGACGTCAGACTGAGCTGGTCGACAGGCACAGCAGAGGCGAGCTGTTCTGTATTCAAAGGGTAGAGTTCAGAGCCGGGAGGTAAATGGAACGACGTTGGCTTGTGTCCAGGCTGTTCTCCAGATCGGTTCCTGGAGGTGATCCCTGTTCCTTGAGTCTGGACACTCTGGCGACGTTTGGTTGGACTTGAGGCTGAGCCGAAAGAGGTCTAGCTCGGGACTAGACATGATGGACCGATGCTTTTCCGGCTTGTTTCTCGCGGTACCTTAGCTGGAGCCGACCCCTGCACGTGATGTGGATACTTGTTGCTTCAGAAGGCCCTTCCAGTCACAGTGGTTAACAACGCTAGAAGGGGGTAGCCAACAGGGAGAGACAGGTACCTAACCACGTCGCTTCAAGTAGCCTGTGGTCCGTGCCTAGCTTGACTTGGGCCTCAGCACGCAACATGACAGCGTGAGGTGGGCAGTTTTGGGGTATTCGCAGACAGCGGCCTGCTACCTTAGGGAAGGTACCTCGGCGGGCCACAGGGTGGCGTCCGTTTGTAGCGATGGTCGAGTAGAGTGGGGACACAGAGTTTGAAAAACATGGCCTTTCTAAAAATCACCACCAACCTCGCCGGGCCCAAGTTATCTTACCAAAGCCCACCCCCTCTACTCGCCTCTATTCCACCTACCTAAACTAACCCTCTTGACACTTGACTGTCTTCCCCCCCTTCACCGACAATCACACCCACGACCAAAAAAAACCAACACTCCGGTCTCCTGTCGCAGAGGGACGTCGTGAGGAAGTAAGTCACTATTTGCCATCACCTGTTTGTCTCGAATCCGTCCCTTTCTTTCCAGCCTCTGTGTCATCTTCAGTCGGGTCTCCAGTCCCCTTTCCCACCCCCTCGGCCAAAGCTGCTCTTGCGCGCGTGCCTGCATCGGTCTGGTCTGGACACGACACCTCAGGATACGGTAGAGAGCAGCCCACCACACCCCCCAACCCAATCCAATATCCCTATCCCTCCCTCCCTCCACGTCGCCTGTCCACATCCACTTCTTCTATCCCGCTACTCCTCTCCTCCATTTGCGAATTGCGGCAGCCTGGTTCTCAACTTCAACCTTGACCAGATCATCATCGCAACACCTTGCCTTCGCCCAGCGCCCAGGCAGACTTTAGTCAGTGACCCAATCCTGCCCGCCTCCGTTACTATCTGTCCTTTCGGAGTCTGCTTTATACTGCTTTATATCCCGCCCGCACCTTTTCTCGACGTTATTTCCATTTAATTTAATTTGCATCAATTGCGCGCTTGCTCACACTATCCGTCTTCAACAGATAAACTTCTTCCTATACAACGCCACCGACACCTAGACGCTCATCACAGTCCGAACCGCAATCATGGGTCTCGCATTTTCCAAGATTTTTGACAAGCTTTGGGGAAAGAAGGAGATGAGAATTTTGATGGTCGGTCTTGACGCCGCCGGAAAGACTACGATTCTCTACAAGCTCAAGCTCGGTGAAATCGTCACGACCATTCCTACCATTGGTACGCACCGCCCCTAACACTATTTGCTACCTCGTGTCATGATGTAATTTCGCGCCACCCGCTATCAATAGGGTCAATGCATCGAGGAGGCGAATGGCGTGCTAACATCGGGCCTCTTCTAGGTTTCAACGTCGAGACTGTTGAGTACAAGAACATCCAGTTCACCGTGTGGGACGTTGGTGGTCAGGACAAGATCCGCCCTCTGTGGAGACATTACTTCCAGAACACCCAAGGTATCATCTTCGTCGTTGACAGCAACGATCGCGACCGTATCGTCGAGGCCCGTGAGGAGCTTCAGCGCATGCTCAACGAGGACGAGCTGCGGGATGCCATTCTCCTGGTCTTCGCCAACAAGCAGGATCTGCCTGTACGTTACCCCGCCATCCCCTCTTACTCGGGGCTATTCGAGCCTTCATCAACACGAATCATGCGGCTGACATATTTTCCTACAGAACGCCATGAATGCCGCCGAGATCACAGACAAGCTTGGCCTCCACTCTCTGAGACAACGCGCCTGGGTATGTTTCCCCTCGAGCACGACCGAGTACGATTATCCCCATACTGATCCCCCCAATAGTACATCCAGTCCACCTGCGCCACCTCCGGTGATGGTCTCTACGAGGGTCTCGAGTGGCTTGCCACCACCCTGCGCAAGGCGGGTCACCAGTAAATGCCGCGAAGAGAAGCCGAACGGACTACCTCTCTTCTGCTATACTCTCACGTCATCCCTCTGGGACGGTTGTAATTCGCAAAGCTACCGGTCACAAGGCAATCGAATAGTCCATAACTTATTTTTTTCGCATCTTCTCGTCCTTACATCCCCTCCTCCCCATGGTGGTACCTGACATCACGTGAGCCACATTCCGTTGGCATTCTCTCGACGCAGCAAGCACACACATTCTGGTCTCAAAAGGACAAGTTTCGTTTTGGAAGAAAGGGGGCGTCTTGGGTTGGGAAATCTGTACAGTCCTCACGCAGCAACTCTATACGTTTCTCCGTCCAAATGTGACGGAGAAGCCTACTCATGAACACCTTGGCTTTCTCGCCTCCGCAATCCCATGAATACGGTGTTTCTGCTCTTTTGGTGGTCCGGTTTACCTACCATTTTCGGCAGGGGAAGGGATGAGACATGGGCTTAACGAGTTTCTTCATGACTGGTTAGTACCCCTATGAGGGGTGGTTCGCCCTGCTTTCCTCCAGTTTGTCGTCTTTGTTGTTAGGTATGGAGGGGTTTCAGGTAGTTCTAGCCTTGAGTTGGGACAGAATCGTTATAGACTTGTCTTCCTTTTTTTCAAAATTCGTGGTGCCACGCGATATTTCATAATTCTTTCCGCCATCCCAACCCATCCACTCCCTCGCCGACCCCTAGTGGCATGTCTCGCGGCTTCCTAAACCCCCAATTCTAGCCCCCCTCAAAGCGTGCAGCTCGACACCGCAGAGCCCCCTTCTGGAATGCTGTCTTGGACGCGTCTTTGTGGGTACTCGACGTCACAAGGACGGACGGAAGCAGATGCGATCGAAGAGGACATATGGCTACACGCGAAAGGTGGGTAAAAGTGCACAATTTAATTTGCATTAGCACGAATGCCAACTGCTGAATGTATTCTGTGAGTGGAACACGTATGTGAAGACAGGCTATTTCTTATTTTACAGTCCTACACAACGCTGTGGTGCTAATCGTCCAACACTTTCTTGAGGGGAATTCAGTCTTTTCCTTCCATGTACTCCGTGCTCCAAAATAAACTACTCAACCAAAAAAAATTAGTCGTACATATCGTGATTGCCTTTTTATGCCTTTGGCTGGGCTGCGACTTCAAGTCCTGATTTATCCTCCTTGATCCTGACCACCGCCGTCTCACCGGATCGCAGCTCGCCGCGGATGATCTTGTCCGCGAGCCCGTTGCCGATCTCGTTGGTAATGAGGCGGTTGAGCGGCCTCGCACCGTACTTGGGATCGTAGCCGCGCTCCGCGAGCCAGTCCCGCACCTCGCCGCCGACGTCGAGGACGATGCGCTTGTCGTCGAGGCGTTGCTGCAGCTCGCGCAGGCGTATGTCGACAATGTCCCGCAGGGCGGCGAGGGCGAGGCGCTTGAAGACGATGAAGGAATCGATGCGGTTAAGGAACTCTGGCGGGTAATTTGCGGCGACGACGTCCATGACGGCCTTACGGATGGAGGGGTCGATGTCGCCGTCGGCCGTTTCCTTGTATGGGTGGATGGGGTCCGCGCCGACGAGGATGTCTGCGCCGAGGTTGGACGTCAGCACGATGATGGTGTTGCGGAAGTCAACCTTGTGGCCCTGAGCGTCGGTGAGGTAGCCCTCGTCGAGGACTTGGAGGAGGAGAGCCGAGATATCGCGGTGGGCCTTTTCGAACTCGTCAAAGAGGAGGACCGCATAAGGCTTGCGGCGGACGGCCTCGGTGAGCTGGCCGGCGTCTTCGTAGCCCACGTAGCCGGAAGGTGCTCCGATGAGGCGGGAGATCGTATGCTTCTCCTGGAACTCGCTCATGTCGAAGCGGACGACGGCCGACTCGGTGGAGAAGAGGAAGCCCGCGAGTTTCTTGCAGAGCTCCGTCTTTCCGACACCGGTAGGTCCAAGGAAGAAGAAGGACGCGAGCGGCCTGTTCTCGCCGCTGAGGCCGGCACGCTGGAGGCGCACGGCGTTGGAGACGGCCTTGATGGCCTCGTCCTGGCCGCGGACGGCCTCGCGTAGAGAATCTTCCATGTGCACGAGCTTCTCGATATGGCCAGAAGTAAGCTTAGAGATGGGGATGCCGGTCACCTTCGAGACGACTGCTGCGATGTCGTCCGCAGTGACGGCATCGTGGATGAGGCTGCCGTCCGACTTTTCGCCGTCCTTGGGGATCTTCTGCTCCAGGGCGGGAATGACGCTGTACCTCAACTCAGACGCGCGGCCAAAGTTACCTTCTCTTTGTGCCTGGTCCAGCTCGATCCTGGCCTTGTCGAGGTCCTCTTGAGTCTTCTTGACGGCCTCGATCTCGGCGCGTTCCGCTTCCCAGCGCTTGGTGAGCTCAGATATCTCATCTTCGTACTTCTTCAGGTCAGTCTGCAGCTTGTCGCGACGCTCTTGGCTGGCCACATCCTTTTCCTTGCGCAAGCTTTCGAGTTCGATCTGGATGGTCATTATTTTCTGGTCGAGGGCCATGATATCTTCAGGCTTCGATTCGTGCTCGAGCTTGAGATGGCTGGCAGCCTCGTCCATCAGGTCAATTGCCTTGTCCGGCAAGAATCGGTCGGTAATGTACCGGTTAGAGTAGGTAGCGGCTGCCACCAGGGCACCATCAGTGATGCGAACACCGTGATGAACTTCGTACTTGTCCTTAATACCCCGCAGAATGCTGACTGTATCCTGGACGGTGGGTTCGTTGACAATGATCGGCTGGAATCTGCGGGCAAGGGCGACGTCCTTTTCGATCAGGCGGTACTCCTCCAAGGTAGTCGCGCCGCAGCACTGGAGCTCACCACGCGCAAGTGCTGGCTTCAGCAAGTTACTCGCATCGATGGATCCTTCGGCCTTGCCGAGACCTAGCAAGGTGTGCAATTCATCGATGAAGAGGATGACTTCGCCCTCAGCCTGCTGAACCTCGGTCAAGACCTTTTTCAGCCTCTCCTCGAAGTCACCCCTAAACTTCGCGCCCGCAATGAGCGAGCCCAGGTCCAGGGCAATGACACGCTTGTTCTTGATGCTCTCCGGGACGTCACCGCGCACGATTCTCAGTGCGAGGCCTTCCAGGATGGCTGTCTTGCCGGTGCCGGCCTTTCCAATCACGACAGGGTTGTTCTTTGTCCGCCGCGAGAGAATCTGGATCGTTCTTTGAATTTCTGCATCGCGTCCGATGACCGGATCAAGCTTTCCATCCTTGGCCTTGGCCGTCAAGTCGATTCCGAATTGTTCGAGTGCTGATTTCTCTGGTTCGCCACCCATGTTCATGCGGTGTGTACCGCCTGGAGGATGAGGTCTTCCATTTGCATAACTCCGAATGGCTATCGACGGTAGAAGCTTGCTACTGCTTCTGAGTGCAGCAGATTCGTTAATGATGGCTCTTGAGATTAGTCGTGGAGATCTCGGTGATGATGACCCGACGATGCGCCGGGCTGATGAGATGAGTTGTCTTCTGGCTTGCATTGTGTCTACTGGTCAATGCCAGATGGTGCAAAAAGTCGTCCAAATATCAGACTAATATACCGGATGAAAGATAGAAAAGTCACCGGCCTCAAATATTCTCTAGACAACTCTCTGGTGCTGTCAAGTCGCGAACTTGGAAGATTTCACGAGTACATTCTCGCACTTTCGGTGAGGTCTAGCATATTCCGAAGCTTTATCTTATCAACAATGGGTCCATGCGCATGACGAAATACGTCTACTGCCAGTGCCAGCGCATGTTTGCCCATTTGGTTTTTCCAGTGCATTCACTGTGTAAGACTGAGGTCCGCCGGCGTCGGGAGAATATCGTATCGGAAGCTCTCAAACAATGATAGATTTCCCCAGTGTAGAAAATCGCCCGAGTATCCAGGGATGAGCAGAGCTGAGAGCGATGAGCTGCTGATTCGAGTAAGTTGACGTACAGTGACATCCGACGCTGGCTGAGGCAAGAGCTGGGAATGACAGATCGGTCAGTGGGTGGATCTGCTCTCTCCCGCAGGGCCCTGGGGGTCTGGCCCCGGAAAATCGGGCGCACAATCTCCCGTTGGAACAAAATTGTCGCCATGCGAAGGACCCTGGCTCACCGCCCGCGCCTGCAGAGGTTGCAGAGGTTTCTGCCGCATGCACTCTGCCAAATTCGGACTAGCGGAGGGCTTGCCTTCCACACCCGCCGCCCACACTCGCTAGACATTTTCTGAGAAATCGATTTCCCGCTGCCCCGACCCCAACAACCAAAGCCTCTCGAACGAGATCAACCACTTCCTTCTTTTTCGTTCACGATCCCCATTCTCCGCTAACCACCACAGCCCTCAACGAGGACCGAGAGCAACCATGTCGGCGAAGACGGAATCCACGACCAAGAAGTTCGGCTCGTCGACTCGGGTCGTCCCCGCCCCCTCCCAGAAGGCGCAGAAGTGGTACAACGCCGACGATGAGCCCGAGGCCAAGAAGGTGAGTTTACTACGTCCGTGTGTCGATGCTGCTTGGAACCTTTGCGCATTTGCGATGGGGAGAGGAAATGTCATTTCGAGCGGTCACGAGTGGTCTTGGGATGTAATTGGGAGGACACGACAAGCGAGCGCAACATTTTCGAATTACGATGCAAAACCTTCAAGAGCCTCAAGTCGGAGAGCCGAGAGAAAGCCCAAGAGAAACACCAAGTCAACGTCGGCACCACCAATCGCAAATCGACCACCGCACACAGAATTGCCTATGGAGACGGAAGAAGAAGGATGCTCGTGATACGGAATGACATATACCCCTTTTCACAGCTTTCGAATTTCAAGCAACGCACAAATCAAATAAAAGACGACGGCGATACTGACGACGATTGTCAATAGGTCCGCAAGGCCGTCCGCCCCTGGGCTCCCCGCCAGACCCTCCAGCCCGGTACCATCCTGATCCTCCTCGCCGGCCGCTTCCGCGGCAAGCGCGTCGTTCTCCTGAAGACCCTCGACCAGGGTGTCCTTCTCGTCACCGGCCCCTTCAAGATCAACGGCGTCCCCCTCCGCCGCGTCAACTCCCGCTACGTCATCGCCACATCCTACAAGGTCGACGTCTCCGGCGTCGAGTCCAAGAAGATTGAGGAGATCTCGCAACCCAAGTACTTCACCGCCGACAAGGCCAAGAAGCAGACCAGCGAGGACGCCTTCTTCAAGCAGGGAGAGAAGCCCCAGGTACGATTTTTCTCCAAGACACCAGGATATTGAAAGAGAGGATGGCAGACTGACAGTGTGTGTGTGTGTGTGACTTTGCAGAAGAAGGAGATCAACAGCAGCCGTGCCGCCGACCAGAAGGCCGTCGACAAGGCCCTGCTCGCCAGCATCAAGAAGGTCGACCTGCTCGCCTCCTACCTGGCGAGTTCCTTCAGCCTGCGCAAGGGCGACAAGCCCCACGAGATGACCTGGTAAACAGTTTTCTAAAGCTGTTGAGAGGGGTTTCGTTAACGTGTGGGCTTTCGGGATTTTCTCTCGTCGCTGGTCGTTGAAGGCTTCCGGAGATGTGGACATAAAACCGTGGAAAGGAAGGGGCAAAGCAAATGGGATTAAAAAAAAGAAGAACCAACATTTTTTTCGCCCAGTTCGCGGTTGAGGAATGTTGTTGTTGTAGACGACGAAGATCTTATGGCTACGGGCTGGGCTGGTTTTGCCAATTGCATTTGGAAGTCGACGGCATCGGTCACATTTGGCGTCTGTAATGAGGTTCTTCAAATCCAACACACAAAGAAGATAACGCATCCGGTCCAAAACACACAACCCACGCGACGGCGAAATGTCTCTCTGCACGTTGCCAACACAATCCCATGAGGAAATGACATGATTTGACACACAAGAACGAGCTCTCTAGTTTCGTGATGACTAATATGGATGACATCGAGATTTGAAATAAAAACTGAAAGAATACTTCGTATGCGCTGGGCGAAAACTCAACGGGCTTCGCGTATTGCGGGCAGTCTCACGAAGTCAAACATTCTGGCCCCTATTTGGAGCATGATATTACAGGTTTATTATCAAAGATGCTGGACCCTCCTTAGGTCTCTTTACAGCCAGCCTCATTATAACTTGACAATCTTGGACACTGGGCTTAGTCACAAGTCACGATCGACCCAGCTCTGGATCATGCCGGCTGGAGACGCCTCGTAGTGCTTGATGCTAACTTTGCCAGTGGCCTCGTCGAGGTAGGTATTGGCCTGGACGAAGACCTTGCGGGGCTGCTTGTTGGCCAAGACAACGTTCCTCGCCTTGGTGCCCCAGAAGTCCATGTCAACGTTGGTCATATCCTTGTAGAAAGCAGTGCCGTTCTCGACATCGGCGGTCGCCTTGTACACGTGAAGCTTTTGAAGATACTTTCCGACGGCTGTGCATATCAGTCAGCATTGTTGGGTCCCAAGGTGCGCGTTGTGAGACTGAATGTACATACCATCACGACCAGTGGTCAGGATCTTAGAACGGTCAAGCTTGATCTCCAAGTCAGACAGATCATCGTTCTTGTACTCCAGCTTGCAGAAATCGTCGCCAGCCTGGAGGAAGCACTGTGGAGTAGTATTTAGCAAATGAGTAATCATACGAGTACGTCATTGTCACGAACCTGCAGGATAGAGAAGCGAGCCTGCGAATGCGCTTGGCCCCACTTTTGGCTCTTGGGATCCCACATCTCCAAGGACACGAGACCGGCGCGTGCCATCTGTAGGTAAGCAGCGTACAGGACGTTGCCAGCCTCGTTGTTGATGTCAGTGCTTCCATCGCCGAAGCCGAAGATCTTGAGAACGGGGAACTCGCATCTAACTCCAGGTTAGTCCGGGGGTGCTAGATTGTAGGCGATTGAAAGATGCATACCCAAGATACATGGCGACAAGCTCAGCGCGGCACTCCTCGTACGAAGCAGCAAGGCTGCCAAATACAGATCCCCATGTCTGTCCAGGCTTGTACCATGTGGACACAGGCTTGTTAGTAAGGGGGCTGACAGGAGGGTTCTTCTCGTCAAAGTTGTAGGTTCCGGGAGAGGTCTCCTGGAGAAGCTTTCCGCAGCCGTGACCAGTCAACTCGTGAAGGCCAACCTGCACCTCAAAAGCAGGATCTCTGTACTTGTGGTACAATTCCAAGTCGGCGTCTGAGATGAAAGGAATCTTCTCATTGGGAGCCTTGGCACTGAGGACGTTGCCGAGAGAAACGTTCTTGAAGCCCTCAGTTTGCCTAATGTCGTCATAGTTGGGAATGTTGATTCCAGCAGGAATGCCAGAGCCGGCAAAGGTCAGAACCTCGAGGGAAGTGAAGTCGGGCGACAGGAACTTGTCCTTTTCAAAGTCCTTGCTCCACGGGAGAAGGGGAATCAACTCGGGCGCAGCGGAGACGAGGGCGCCAAAGGCACGGGTACGCTCGAGGTTGACCACAGAGGCAAAACCTTCCCACTCGCCGCGAATACCAGCAGGGTCTCTGTAGGTCTCAATGAAACCAATGTTGGACTCAACCATGGGGCCCTTGTCTCTGATCCAGAATCTCTGGCTGTCCTTGAACGCGAGGAGGGAGCCAGTCGAGAATGACTTTGCGTAGGCCTCGTGCATCTTTGCTTGGTTCTCGTTGTCGCTGTTCTCCTGCGCCTTCTTGATATACTCGGAAATAGCCTTCATCTCTGCGGCATAGTCGCCGTATACCAGCTTGATCGTCTTACCCTTGAGAAGCCCATCCTCCAACTGGAACTCAGTTTCTTTGCCAATGTCACCACCCTCGGCAGGGACACTTGTGACGGCCGAGGCAATGAGGATCTCGAAACTACCCTCGTTGGTCTTACGGAGACGGTTATTCTCGGGGAGAAGTCCCTTCTTCTCCATCCAAGCGGACACAGCCTCGATATCCTCCTGAGTAATGTGAGGAGAGTCGGGGTAGTAGGTAGTCATGTGACCCTTGTCGGGGAATCCGAGATGCATCAAAGCCTGCTTGTCAGAGCTGAAGATGGCACCATTGGTCGCCTTGTAGAAACCCTCAGCTTTGGTAGAGGTGGCAGCAAGAGCCGCAAAAGTCTTCTCATCGGCTCTAGGGATGAACTTGGCGTCGCCGAAGCTCTTGTAGTTGCCATTGTTGCCCAAGAATTGGGCAGCATACTCGAGGAAGTAGGTCAATTGGCTCTCGTCGACTCCAGCCTTCTTGGCAAGGCTGTTCCAGTCACCGCTGCTGCTCTTGTGTAAGGCGATGATGAAGTCGTAGATTGGCTCTGACTCTGGCGATAGCTGTCTGAGCACAATACGGCTTCCTGCAAAAGAGGCTCTAGCATGTCTTTTAGCTCCCGTTCCCCCCTAAAAGCTTGGCATGGCTGACACCAAGATCACATGGCACCATGACGGGGTTCTTACTTGCTGATGAAATGCGCATAGCGCTTCTGCTTGTCGGTGAGGGGTTCAAAGTGCTTCTCAATCTCCAATCGGACGACGCTCGGTGGCGCGTCAGCAAGGTAATGTTTGAGCTCCTGAGCATTCATGGTGGAAAATCTCTGCCGCCAGGGTTTCGCTAGCAAGGGAAAGCAATTTCTTGATCTGACAGTCTTAGGAGAAGTGTGAAATAAGGAAGAAGAAGCTCGCAAAGATGTCAGCCTTTGGAGGGCGGAAATGGATGAAACCCGCATGAGGAGTCGAGATGGTGCCGTACTGGTCATTGGTCACTGACGAGGCAAGTGCAGTGGAGGAGCAGACAACAACTGTGTTCAGGCGCCGCCAGCAGCGGGGAAGAGCTACACAGGCCGGAGACGAAGATCTGTAATTTAAACAGGGAAGCTTTCATCTACGCACAGGCCAGGAGCACTTCTGTTGTGGCGCTCTGTGGCTTGACTACTTTTTGGCCCAGACGACTGGCCATTCTCTACGAAAACACTCTTGTCGACAATGAGACCTGTGAAAATATCTCCCCAGGTTGTAGATAATCTCTGAAGCCAAGGGAACATAATCACCTCCCCAAAGAGGCTTGGAGGCAGAAGACGACGTTGGAGCTTCAGCCACAATGAGGGGCAATTCAGGTACTTTTGTCGACGAAGCAACTGATTCATTAACAAAACTACGACCAATGGAGAAGGAGGGGCAAGTGAGGGTAGAACGCTGACGATATTCCCACAGAATATTACAATACTCCCGAGCACATGATTTGCAGTGTTTTCAGTCGGAATAACAGAACCACAAACCTCTGGTAGAGAGCTCGGTTTGTTGCGCTTAGTGTTGGCTTGTGAACGTGTATAGTAGGTCGTCGTCCATCTGCGACTCGTTGTGAGAGCAATTCAACTGCTCCAAGTAGACTTCAACACAGAGGCTGTTGCTTGGCTGATTGAATGGGTAGTAAATTAATTTCAAATGTAAATTATACAGTCTGCTATTGAGACGCAAACACACCACAGGGCATTATCTGGAGAAGTGGGTACGGGGGCTGGGCCGCGTGTTTGGCTGATTCATATTTTCTTTCACTCGCATTGAGATCTGTGAGCTCATATGAGAGCATTGGTAGTTGAGTGAACCAGGGTGGTGGGAGGTTGAACTTATTATAAGGCACGCAACGGCCGTTCTCGGAACAGCATGGCTGCCTTAGCATACGATCATTACCTTACTCAAGTTGCGGGAGGTGTGGCCAGTCAGCTGTGGCAAATATACTATATACTACCTGACCACTGACCACTGACCACTGACAACCCAGCTCATTGCCAGCGACGCGATGCCGACTCCCGCCGTCGATGCCACTCGCCCTGCTCACCGAGAGGATCCTGCTCGCACCTAATTCCGACAACTGTGGACTATGCCTGTCGAGTTTTGTTGCATGCATGTGTTCAAGAGCCAATGGGAGACTTCATGAGATCTGCATGTTTGTGCAACCTGATCTGGCCGACAGCATTGGCAGGCTATACCGCGCCCGTCTTGAATAGTAGTTTGCTTATGGTCCTCGCGATGATAACTGACACGAATCATCTCGCCTTGGTTCGGACATAGCTATCCTGCATATTTCCTTGCCAAGTCGTGGAAATGGAACACCCGAGGGGTGGTATGGGCGGCTTCGAAGGGGCCGTCATTGAGTGAACTCGGCGACGCCGCTTTTATTACATCCCTCAATCAAGACGCGGGCAAGGACGCTAGACGGCCGGGCGGGATGTTGCAGGAAGAGTAATATGACGCCGCCTTCACATAGGCTGATGTAGAACTTAGGCGTCTTCCTACTCTCTAGAATGTTGCATTCGGCTTTTCAAGCCACCAAGGGCGAACTCGTCCACGAAGTGTCAGCTTAGCGAAGTTTGACGTGTCTTCAAGGCTCGCGGCCACGATGCGGGCTCTTCTCCTTAGTACCTGTACATAAGGTACCTTATGGAAATGTGCGTCACATTTAACTAAAACCAATACCTCTAAGCGACACTGACAGGCAACATCTTGTCCAGGCGTTTCAATGGCTATGCGGTACAAGCCAGTCGCGGAATGCCTACATGTTTCTTCCAAGATACGCAAGGCTGTCGCTGATGTTACGTCTGCTATACGGAGGATGTGTGTGGACCCACGGAAGGAGAAGTGCATCGACTCGGTTGGGAGGAGAAGCCGACAGGTGCCGTACGCCATTTCGAATCGCGCCGAATTATCGACCGGGGAACTGAGGAGAGATCCCGGGAATTCTGAGTGTTCGGACCATTCGCCTTGGCGTCTCGGAGCCAGCAGGTCACTTTAAGCGCCCTTGGAACCAACGACGGTGACATGGATGCTCAAACCAAAGGGGTTTGCCGGGAAACATCCGCCGTGTTACCGTGGCTTGAGCATTCGTGTTTCACTGTAGTTGCTTCAGTGTCAATGAGGAAATTCGTGTTTGCGGTGTGTGAAATTGCTGCGCGCATTACACCTATTCCTCGTCAAGGTCTCGTCGGGAACGGTCTGCTTGACCTGCGATGCCTTGCATAAGCTTCTATCGTGCGCCGTGGATGCCAACATCGGTGTAACGGCCTCGCTGCCCATTTTCCTCCCGGGTTGGAAAAGTACAGCGGGTTTGCCGCAGCCTCTCGTAAGGTGGTAGGATTTCACAGAGGGGCTTCGAAGGCGGGATCCGAGGATGATACCATTGGTTCGATCAGTAGCAGTGATGAACGGACGCTCAGACGAGGACGAGATTCATCAAGCTGGGCGATGGATATATTACCGATAGATCGACCCCTGCTTGACCCAAACATGAGTACCTGGGGTAATATAGTTGATGGGTATTGGACCGTGGACAATTGCCAGCATCGCCAGTCCTTCTCGTCCCTTGTCAAAACTCTAGTGTTGTGGAGCTTGACTTTAAGCAATGTCAAGCAACTGATTCCCCCGCAACAGACGGGATGGAAGGGTGCCATATTGCCTGCACATCGCGCGTCTGTGACCGCGAGGGTATGGTGCATTCCCGTCAGAGTTGAGGTCAGTAGCCGAGCCGATGCTCGACGGATACAGTCGTTTCCGATGCATCTTTCGCATTCGCCGCACAATTTAAACATATAGCATGCTCCACAAAGAGGCAAATCAGCTGGCTCATCACGAGAGCGGTGAGGCCGACGTGCCGACGTGCGCGGTACCGATTCGTATCGGTACTTGGGGACGAAAATACATACGCACGTATCCGTATGCATCGAGACTTTACTATGTACGAGAAAAATGTAATTGTGGAAAGGGCCCATCCTTGTCCGCTCGCGTGTCGCATGCTCTGACCGTTGGGTTGGGTTCAGTGTTGGGGAAGCTGGCGGGGAATTGCTTGGAGCGGTGGTCGATCCACTCGGAGAAGGCGGTCGAAAGCAAAAATGGTGGGAAATTGGAGACGTGTTCGAGCCAGGCAAGCCGCAAAAGAAAGCGGGCAATTGGTTGCGCGACGTGCCAGCAGGATGAGCACTTGGTAACACAGCCGGGCTGGTTGCATGCTTGCAGCGAAACCATGACCAAGGCCTAGCGGAGGCTTCCAGAGGGACCTGGAGCCCTGCTCAGCGTATTCGTGGGCTGTGTGAAAGAATGGCCCACAGAGCGCCGAACGTGGGCGGCGTGGGGAGAGCAAAAACAGACTCAGGATTCTAGGACGCAATCCGAATGGCTGGAAAGGAGTCAGTGAGGTGAGTGAAGGGCGGCAATGCACGTATCCGTAGGAAAACGGTGCCAAACCACAATCACATTTTCCTTCGTCGATGGGGTCGGGCCGTTGTCGTGGTGTGGTCCGGCTCAGCGTTCTGTGCCCCGCCCGGAATTCCAGCCGAGCCGAAGAAGCAGGGCGAGACACAAGCAAACAGGCAAACCAGACGCCAGAGTCGGAGCATCTGCACCTCATGGTTTATGACGGGAGTTTAGGGCGACGGGGACGTGCTTGGCTGGGAGGTTGAGATGCAGGTGCATTGGTGCATTGACGCATTGGAGCCCTGGAGCCGACGAACTGGCGTCTCGCAAGTAGTGTAGACCTGAATGGACGATGGATTTTTACCTCGGCGGGCACTATCCTCGGGTCGCAAAGTGCTTTGCTGTGAGGACTCAAGTAGGTAATTGACGTTTGAATCGTTCATCTACTCGAAACATCATGGGAAATGCAACGTCCAAAGAGAACATAACATCAACTTCGTTGACTTCGAGAAAGAAGCTCGGGACTTGGCGGATCTCATGCAGGTAAGGCATGGTACCTTCACGGAAACGAAAAAGCGGTAGGAGCCTTGGAGTGGGAGCAGGCACGCCGGTTCAGTGAGGTATTTGTCCGCGTACCTCCCTTCGAGCTATGATGTAGGTAATTAGAGGTTCTCGGTGCTTGCCCGAAGCACTTGACGGGACTTTCCCTCACATTCATCACCAATCTCCAGACCGGGACCAGGTCCGCTGACCAGGTGTCGGCTGCACCTCAAGTTACTATCCTACCTCGACACTGTTTAGGTGTTAGCTGGTTGGGCAAGAAGCGGACAGGTTAATCCCATTCGCAAGTGTTCCAGAGAAACAGCGTGGAGCTGCAGGCAAGCACGCAAGGTAAGATAGGTAGGTATCCGCAAATTGTCGAGGTCTACCTACGTAGTACGGATAGTAAGGTACAAAGATACTTTATGAGTAAGGTACGGATAGACGTTCCGAGCTACCGATCCTAATTACCGTCTCAGAGCATGCAGGATTTCTCGGCCTGCTGCTACCTTACGTGCTTCCGGATACTCACCGAGTTATCCCCCCACTGAGCAATACAGTCTTTTAACTTGCCTCACATCGCGTAAGTAGTGGAAAGTAGATGTTCGATTGCATTTGCCTAGGTAGACTAGGTAGTAATATCATTTACATTTCTGGCTCAAGCTTTGCCGCACTGCCCGTCATCGCACACTTTCCCCCCACCGAGGCTGGAGATTTGGTCTACACTAGGGCCAAAGTTTTTTCTTCTTCTTCTTTTTTTTCTTGCGTGTCCAGTGACCTCGCTCGTTTCCGTGGCCCCTGCCCAGTTCAGGAAATTGTCCCCTAGTGTCTGTTCTAGAAAAAGTGTGTCCCCCCACGCTGCCTCCTCCACAGTCTACACCCCACCCGTGGCACCCCCTCCTCCACCCTGCCCGACCGCGCCCATCATTTCCCCCCTTCTTCTGCCCCCCGCCATTCTGGGCTCTCGACCCTTTTCATCCTGAGCATCGTCATCTCCTTTGCCTCTGACCAACTGGAGCCTTCCATCTTCCCTGGCTAAGCCCCGTCCTCCGCCCTCCCCGGGACCCGCGATGCAACTCCTGTCATCGCCGCCGGCGTTGCCCTCTCCCCCCCTGTCCCATGACTAACAATACGCCCTGCTCTGTGGTAACCCCCGAAATGATCATTACTGTGTAGATACGGATATCGGTGTGATGATGTCTGTCCTGGACAATCCCTTTTCATGGACGGCCGACCCTCTCATTCTCACCCATGTTGGTCGCGGGGACCTCGAAGCTCCTTCAGATCCCGCAATGCACACGACCGCACCGCACCGATTCGCACCGTACCGCGCACCGCAGACCAGTAGGTAGGCGAGTGGTACACTTGGGAAAACACTGGGGAATCGATCACAGGAACGAATCGATCACAGGAACGAATCGATCACAGGAACGAATCGCCGCTCTTCGGTCCTTGATGGCTGCCGCTACTGACGTCCCTTGCCGTTCCGCCATCATGGTACAGCTTCAGCGTGCTTCGAAAACCATCAAGTCTGTCCACGGCAGCAGCATACCTTAGCCTCGCCCACCAGTGTGGACAATCTCGACGGGCCGGCCTGAGCACGTCTAGCTGAACGCCAACAACCAAATATGATACCGATACTCGATTGCACGCCATCACTGGGCGTTCAGTCTCCGAAATAAGACAAAGTCAGACACACCTGCATGCAGCTATCCGTCGCAACATCCCATGATCTTATAGCTAGCTGGTACTCGACGATGGATTCACTTCGTCCAACGACTTGCTCTTTCCTCTCCATCAGGCTGCAACTTCGATCTTGTTTCATTCGTCCCACCTCTGCCCCAGATGCTACCTCCTTGGCATTTGGATCCCGCGGAGAAAAAACACAAAGCGAACAGCAGTCAAGTACATCGGACGCAAGCACGCGGTCATTCCTGAACGCACCCCCACGGACATGGGCTCGACCACCCTCCCCTAGTACTTTGTGGAGTACGGATTTCTCCCCGCTGGAGTATGCAGCATGCTCATTGGGCATCATGACGACTAGGGGACGCGCCGCTCTTTGGGATCCTGTTCAGTGACACGCCCCTTGTCCCCTTGTCCCTCCCCACCCCTGGCCCGAGAGAAGTCCGCTGAAGTCCAGGTACTGGAACCTGCTGTGCGCTCCCCCAGGGCGTTTTAGTTGCCGTCAGGGCACCCCTTGAGTCCCCGTTGGAATTTTTACCTCATCGATCCCCCGGGCCCAGAGAAGTCTCGTCCATGTCACTTATAAGACAGGAACGCCCTGCACTTACACTTGATTTCCGACTTCCGGCCTTGTCTCTGAACTGTTCCCACACTCGCAATAAGAAAGAAGCCTTGCATCTAGCTACTTTTCGTCTCTTGGACTCGTTCATCACTATATACCTACCTCCTGGATTGTTTCGAAGAGTTCACCTATCATCTGTTCCGCCTCAAACTGTCTGCTCCGGACAACGCGGTAGTGCCATAAACCTGCCCCTCTGGAAACAAGATACCCGTCACCCACTCCTCTTCACGAAATCTCACGAACGATGCTTTCCTACGACTCCCCGATGCCTGTAAATGGACAAACTCCCAAATCACCTTCGGGGCTCACGAATGGCGTGCAACAAGCCGTCGCAACCAAGACACAGTCTAGAGTCACGAGTCTTCCGACTTCCGCAAACAACGGCGCCCACGTCAACGGACCTCTCGAAACCAAATATCATCACATCTGGCTAGTTACTGGCCCTGCTGGTTGCGGCAAGACGACTGTTGCCGAGTACCTCGCCCAAGCTCTGAAGCTGCCCTACATTGAGGGTGACAGTGTAAGTGGTGCTGTTTGCCTCGTATGCTGGTTTTTTGGTCTGACTCGCGCGGGAAAGTTCCACCCTCAAGCGAATATCGAAAAGATGGGCAACGGCATTCCTCTGACCGACGCCGACCGTTGGGACTGGCTCGTTGCCCTGCGCGAAGAGTCTCGCCACCAGTTGGCCGCCGGCTCAGACGGAGTTGTCCTCACTTGCTCGGCTCTGAAGCGCAAGTACAGAGACGTGATCCGCGTTGCTGGATACTACGACCGTTCGATTCTCATTCACTTCATTTACCTGTCGGCCTCCGAAGACGTGCTAGTCCAGCGTGTCACGGCTCGCAGTGCTGCTACCAACCACTACATGGGCGCCAACATGGTTCGCAGCCAGTTTCAGTCCCTCGAGCCTCCCATGGACGACGAAACCGACGTCATTAGCCTCGATGTCAGCGGCTCCCTCGAAGAAGTCAAGCATGACGCCTTAGCCAGCGTCAAGGCTGCGATGGAAGAAGAGGCATGAGCTGTACACTGCCTATAGAAGGAGCACTGTTATTGGTCTTTTTTTTTCCCCTGCTTTTGGCAAACCATCCTGCGGGATGTTGGAGTTACGGGCATAGAAGTATGAGCGTTGACTTTGGATATTCATGGCGTCAGCACTGGGATCTGGTCTACAAAAGTGTTGACTTTGACAAGTCAGCCTGCATGCAATGTACGGAGGTGAAGGTGTCACGAGGAGCTGCGCCGCAAGAGGTATGCTCTGCGTAGTCCAATCAGCAGGATGGACTTATGCATCAACGGAGAGATGAGGACAACACATGGCACAGCGACATATCAAGGCCCGACAGGCTTGATAAATTGGTCATAGGGCGATACCGGCGACCACGAGCTGGTTGGCGCTTGTTTCCTCTTTCCATGCAGGGGTCGCAAAACAGAGAATGCTCAGTGGTTGAGCCTGGCCGGGAGGTTCTTGGGTTTTCTGTCACTTGCAAGTCTCCAGTTCAGAATAATAAAGCTGACGAAATATGACTGTTGCTACCATACATCTTCCTCTCAACGTGCCCAATTCCCCCCTCCCTCCTGTACCTATGCAACCCTTGCCGCTCCTCGGAGTGGGTGGGCATCCTGCCGGATCAAGGCACTTGCAGGCTACGGGGCATAATCGTCACTTGCCGTTCAGGGATTCTTCGGCATTGGCTGGCGTCAACTCGGTGAGGTTGTGGAGAGCGTTCGTCCGTCGTAACTGGGCGGTCACATTCGTTCGTCCTTGCCTACACCGACGAGGGGGGATGGGAGGTGTTCCAAGCTTGGCTTTGTGGAGCCCGGTCGAGGTATCAAGGCTTTCAGACACACAATGCCTACGTCGTACACACACTACCTTACTGTTGTTGGTTGGTTGTATCCGTACAGGAAATGCTTGTCAGACATGCGTCGGGCAGCAAGCCCATCTTTGAAGGTGATGATGATCTCTCTTGAACCCCTTGATTAATACCGCAAGCATTTTCAATCGGTGCCTATTCGTAGTTGCACCACTAGCCCCCCTTTCTCGTCTTTATCTACAAATCGTTAGACCTCTAATTGTCAAGTCTGGGAAGTCATCCAACTGGCAACCTCCTCCCACCCACACCGTGACCATTGCGACCCCCCCGGCCTCTTACTCCGCATCACGCGGCGCCGAGCGGCGTCAGCGTACGGATACTTAGGTATCTTTTCTCACCCATCCCATCCGTCCAAGGGGTATCTCTCAGTTCCAGAGCCATAGATACATATGCGCTTGCTCCTGATTCCTTCCCGAACAATATCGCGCTCACCTCAGATGCATGACCATGACGTCGGGCTCCTCCACAACCCGCCGCACAACCTCCGCGGCCCGGGCCATGGTCGCGCCGTCCACCACGCGATGGTCCGCGCTCCAGCTAAAGTTGGTAACGTGCTTCCTCACCACCCTGTCCGAGTCCTCCCCCTCAAACGCCGGCACAGCGCGCATGCGGCCGATGCCGAGGATCGCGACTTCCTTGTCGACGATGACGGGCGAGAGGTAGGTGCCGCCAATGTTGCCAATGTTGGAGACGGTGATGGTCCCGCCCTTCATATCAGCCGGCGCAAGCTTGCCCGCAAAAGCCGCCTTTTGCAAGCGATTCAACTCCGAGGCGATGGAGAGGATGTTGAGGGACCCGACATTGCGAATCACCGGCACCAGAAGGCCGGCGGGGGTGTCCATTGCGACGCCGATATTGTGTTGGCTGCGCATGACGAGGGACGGCTTCGAGGACGACGATGAGGGGTCTAGATCGACGCGCGCATTCAAAATAGGGAATTGGTAGAGCGCCATGGATACGGCTTTGATGATGAAGGGGAGGTAGGAGAGTTTTGCGACGCCGGTCTCGCCGCCGCCCACCTCGGGGGACGTCGCGAGGACGCGGTTGAGGCGGGTGCGCAGCTGGACGAGGTTGGAGAAGTCGATCTCGTCGGCGTAGAGGAAGTGGGGGATAGCGAGGGAGCGGGTCATGGACTTGAACATTTGCTGTTGCGTGTTTGTGAGCGGAACGCGGGTCTCGAGCTGTGCAGTGGATTCGGCGCCGGAAGGCGGAGCCGGGCCCGATGATGGAGTCGACGCCCCCGCCGCTGCCGCCGGCTTGTCGCCGGAGTCGCGGCGCTTGACAAAGTTTTGTACGTCCTCTTTTAGAACCCTCCCGTCTCTCCCCGTGCCGTTGATTTCGGCAATGTCTACATTTAGAGTCTTGGTAAGGTGCCGCACCGCCGGTGTAGCCAGCGAGGCATGGGTGCCCTTTGGCCGCGGGGTATCCTCTGCACTAGTAGCATCCCGAGACACCGCTTCTGGCTCTCGTTTCGTTTGCTCTTTTGTTTCTTCTTCTTGCTGCGACTTGGGCTGTACAGGAAGATCTGCTTTTTTTGGTGAAGGCTTCTCCTGTGCCGCTTCCGTTGGGGCCGTCAGCGCATCCAGGTCCTCCTTAGCCCCGCCTTGGATGTCAATGTCGACAAAAGGCTTGCCGACCTTGGCCATGTCGCCGGCATCGTAGTGCAACTTCTTGACGACTCCCGAGAAGCGGCTGGTGATCTCTACTGACGCCTTGTCACTCTGGACCTCGCACAGCGGGGAGAATTCCTCGACTCGGGCGCCGGGCTCGACGAACCACTGTATGATTTCGCACTCCACGATGCCTGTGCAAATCGGCGGTTGTTAGGGAAATCCTTTCATGCTGACAACTTTTGTGTAACAAGGAGTGGTAAGGGAAACGTCTGACCTTCTCCAATGTCTGCCAGCAGGACAGGCTTCACAACCCGTAGGTGCCGTGTGTCGTGGAATTGTCTGGAGGGGTAGACGCCAGCAGCTCTCGCTGCGGCCAGGCGAGCCATGCTCTTGGAGACGTGCCATTGCGTCCGGACGGCGCGTTGGAGAAACATTTTGTTTTAATTTTTTGTATAGTTAAAAGAGAGAGAGAAAAAGGCAGGAAACCAATTCCAAGCTTCTGATTTTGTTCCCAAGAGGAGAAAAGGGAATGCGCCCAAGGAATGTGCGAACGCACTTGCAGGAGGAGAAACCGCTCGGCGGCGGCATTGTGCTTTCCCCCATACACGCGGCTATTCGCGGTGTTCGGCAAGTGAAGGTCGATTGAGTCCCCCATGACACAATGTGAAATGCCCCTCGGTCAGGGAAGCCGCAGATGGCCCGAGACCCGCTGAATCGGTTCAGTGCGCTTAGCTCTGCCCCTCGTCTCCGCATTGAAGCGTTGCTAATCCACTTTGTTATCGCTCGCGGCTCAAGGCCCTCTGTGGCTGGAGACTGTGGCGCCAGCTTCGCGGGATAGGTGAACCGGAACAATGTGGCGCGAAGTTTTTGATGTGCAACAAGTACCGAAAGAGGGATGACCAGACCTCTCGATAGAACCTGAAAGTCGCAGCCAGCTACTTCAAACCAGGTGCAATGGCTCCAGTCATCCCGTTACTGACAATGGCCCTGTCCATGGGCGCCTCCAGAAGGGCCTTCTCTCCTTGCACAGTCTGCTCATGGAGACGGCACCTGAGCACCTCCAGACCTTACCTGGCCGACAAGCCCCCGATCCCGGCACCTGGCGCTGCCCCCGTAGAGGCGCCGAAGCCCGACCTCCCCGGGTCTGCCATTCACGCCCCGAGAGCGTACGGCAAGAAAGTCAACAACTTCACGCCGCAGCCTCTGCCGCGACCCATTGGCATGGCGCACCCGCCTCACCCGGAGGACAACTCCGGCGTGGATAGGAGGTCACTGAAGGAGCGAAGGGACGACTTTGTCGACTACGACAAGCATCTCGTGCGCCGCAAAGAGCTGTAGGTTCTCAATGACAATGCACTGGAGAATGTATCGAGAGTCATTGGCTTATTCAATGTTCCCCCTACTGTAGTAAGGAAAAGATGGCACGCCCCTACTTCCGCGACTGGCGCAACATGCAGTTTCACGAGGGCAAGTCCTTCATCGCGCCTCCCTTGCCCTTCAAGGCCGACATGTCTCTCTTCTTCCCCAACTTCGTCGGCGACACCCTCGAGAAGAATGCCAACAATCCGCGCGATACGACGCGGACGCTGCTCAACAAGGTCTCCATCGTCGCCGTCTACAGCAGCCAGTGGGCTGACGACCAGACAAAGACCTTTATCTCACCCGAGGGGAACCCTGCGCTGCACGAGCTTCTAGCCAAGACACCGGGCAAGACGCAGGTCCTGCAGCTCAACATCGAGGACAACAAGTTCAAGGCATGGATCGTCAGGATGTTCATGAGCAATCTGCGCAAACAGATCTCCGAGCATAACTGGGGCAAGTACTTCTTGGTGCCCCGCGGTATCACAAACGAGATTAGCGAGTCTATTGGATATCTCAACAGCAAAGTAGGCTATGTCTACCTTGTAGACAACCTGTGCAGGATAAGATGGGCTGCCAGTGGTCCCAGCCACCCCGATGAACTCGATAGCTTGGTGAAAGGTATGAAGCTAGTTCTCCATGAATGGAGTAAGAACGAGAAGGCTGCACAGGAGGCTGCAAAAGTCAAGGACGCAGCATGTGGGAAGAAGGAAAACCCCTGACTGGGAGGACAGGAGCTTTTTCGGGTGGCATGGCAAAAGTCAAGCTTGTATAGCGGTCAGGCCTACGTAACCTGATTTTTGCCTGCAGATATTCGTGTTCTTATAGTGTACAGTATGCACCAAAGATACCCCCAATCCGACAAAAAGTCAAAACAATTCCAGTAACGCCTTCGCATTTCCCTTATGCCAGTAATTCCCCAGTCGTAACGGCTTTTTCTAAAACATAACAAACACACGAGGGACTTGATCTCAGCCATGCCGGGTTTCCGCTTACTATAAGAACCACCAGAACATCAGGAAACAAAACGCAACAAAGACGCCCATTATGATGCCGTCGCGGCGCTTCTTGGCCGAGATGCGGCCGATTAGACTATTTAGACCCGGCACCTGACTAGCGGCCATAGTGATACGACGGTTAATGCTAGCGAGGGTTTCGCGCTGGATGTTGAAGCTGTCCTGGACGGCGTAGGCCTGGGACAAGACGCTGTCGGCCATGTTGTGACTATTGTCGATACGGCTGCGCTCGGCGAGCATGTACTCGGCCTCGGCGTTCTCGGGATTATTGGCGCGGTATTCGTCAATGTCGGAGCGGACATTTGTGAGCAGGTGGGCGCGGTCGCGGGCCTGGGATATGGTATTGCGCAAGCGTACGAGGTCGCGCTTGTGCTCGGCGAGTTTCTCACGGAGGAGGGCGAGGTTGTTTTGTTTCAGGGCGGAGGAGGTGAGAGTCGCTTCTGAGTCGAGAAGGCGGGATAATTGTGAGATGACGTTCTCACGCTGATGGATTGATGGTCATGTTAGTTGTAGACATTCTAGGCAGCGAAGGAGGTGGGAGACGCAGAGCCTTCGGCTCCGGGTTTGAACGTACTTTCTCGAGGAGATCTTGCAGCTTTGCCTCTGTGGTCCTTTCTTCCTCGGTGGGCTTTGCCGGGATGTCCGATACCGTCGAGAACTGGGAGTAGGTGTGGAATAGTGTCTCTGTCTGTGGAGGCCGGATGTCAGGGAAGCCTGGATGACGTTCTGGGCGGAGTGATCCCGTACCTGTGTTTCTAGACTTCGCGCCTGTTGCCGTAGCTGGGCCCAGCCCGTGTTTCCTGAAGCCGCAGCCATAACGCCTAGATACTGATTGTGTCTGGCTTGCTAGTTGTTGCGTGTTAATCGGCCTTCAAAGTCGAGGTGTCGTCTTTCGATGGACTCTGATATATCTGCGTGTCTGGGGCTGTCGGCAGGGACCAGATGCAGCAGGGAGGAGCTCGGCGTCACATGGACCGTGCACCTCGAATGATTATGTAAGTACCGAACGAGTCGCACCAGAAACGCTGGTGCGGGTAGAGTCGCATTAGACACCAGTAGAGAGAGCATCGAAGACTTGATAATGGGCCATGCCAGTGCGCGATGAATAGTTGCTTGCAAAGGCTTTTCTGTCGTTCCTCAGAAGGGGCTCATACTCGCAATGCCCTCTTAAAGCAAGACTAACGGGACATGTAATTGAATCTCGACTTCTACCTACATCTGCATGCCCAGAGACAGAGTACCGCTCAGCTACCCTAAGCCGAACTTTTGGAAATCTATCGTCAGATCCTCTGGGAGACCTCCAGTCACACTGCATTGAGAACATGCCGATGCCATTGCCCATCGGTTTCTTTCTCAGCGAGGCCGTCTCGAAGACAGCAGCACTGTTGATAGAATGTGGCTGGTGCTGCTGTGGCGCAGTCCCGGACGGGCGACTCACAAACCCCAAGGCCCACATGCACCCAATCACAGCAGGCCCGCGCCAGGTCCCTAATTTTTGCGCACAAACTAGGGCAACAGCTTTTTGCCAAACTTTCAAATTTACGACCGATCACCTCAGCCTCTCTCACGACGTGTCGATACTAACCCAGATATCCAGCGCCACCCCCCATATCAGTCAAGATGGTGAGTGAACCCCTTTTTGTCTCCCTGATGGAATTTGCGATTCCCGAATAGCACGACGCAATTTTCCCGCCGAATTCTCGACACCCCGCACCCGAGTTACCCCCTTCCCGACGAAGAAGCGATCACCAAAGCAGGAGGACCTATCTGCAAGGAGCCAGAAAAGAAAAAGAGAACCCGTTTCGCTGACGAGATTTCATCATGTCCCAGTCGTCCGGAAAGGTCAAGGCCGCTGCCCTTTGGAGCAAGAACAAGGATGATTTGACCAAGCAACTTGGCGAGCTCAAGACCGAGCTCGGTCAGCTCCGCATCCAGAAGATCGCCTCTTCCGGCAGCAAGCTGAACAAGATGTGCGTTTGATCCCCCGTCGTAATTCGAATCAACTGGAGGAATGGTCGGTTGAGAAGAAACCCAAGAGGACTGACCGGTGAAAATTTCCGCTCCACAGCCACGACATCCGCAAGTCGATCGCTCGCGTTCTTACCGTCATCAACTCCAAGCAACGCGCCCAGCTCCGCCTGTTCTACAAGAACAAGAAGTACGCTCCCCTCGACCTCCGCGCGAAGCAGACCCGTGCCATCCGCCGGAGATTGTCCGAGAAGGAGGCCAGCGCCGTTACCGACAAGGCCAAGAAGCGCACCACCCACTTCCCCCAGCGCAAGTTCGCCGTCAAGGTCAGTTGAGTCCGGATCCGCGCCGTTCGAATCGAGACTTGGGAATCATGAGGATAGCAAAGGGCCGAGAGTCATGCAAGAGGGGAAGTTTCCACCGCAATACTCTTATCCGAGCGCTCTCGTATTCCCAGGTCGAGTCCATGGATGACATCTACCTTTGAGTGACGAATATCATGGCTGACTTTTTCAACCAGTCTGCTTAAATGGAACCGACCGCTGCTGGGTTAGATCTGGGGATGAGGAACAATGAAAATGGTCACGGAGGCGTAACACGTTTTTGGCACACGGGGATCCCGAATTACTCGATGATGCATTGCATGGTCACGGAGGGAAATTAAGGGTTTATTTGCACTTTATCATTTCTCCCCCCAGTGCTGCAAAACACGAATGGATTTCTCTCAAAACGGGTCAAGACATTGGTCAAGCGAAAACGAAAAAGGATGGGCTCACAGATCCTCTTGTCATTCCCACCCTCCTTTCTTGCGTGGTGGGAGAAGAGGCTTCCCCGGGTGTGTGTTGAGGTAGCATAGAGCTGCCGAAATGTCGAATTGGGCCCAAAGATGTCCCGACTTCAAAAGTTTGCTCTTTTTCTTCAAGCGTTGTGACGGGTTCCCTGGATTGGCATATGATGTTCATGTGATGGTTTCGGTTGCTCTCACCTGCGCAGCAATGGAACGAGAGCCAGGCAGGGGGTTCAGCCTGTAGCCCACAGCCTCCTCGTTTCTATATATCTCTTCCTCACTCGCTCTTAATCACTACTGGTGTCTCTCTGGTTTATGCCTCTCCGTATCCAAACTTTTTGTCTCAATTCACTGCTTCTTCCGCCCTAGCTACTTGCTACCTGGAAATATCTCAATGGCAAGGTTTACTCCTCTACTGTTCGCATAATTTCGTAATAAATCGATGAATTGTATTAACTTCCAGGGGCCTCCACTACACTCCATTGCGCTCCAGTGTTACCCTCCATGCTCAAGCTCAAATTTGATAGAGGCTCCAACTGAGGAATATGTGGACACCTTGCCTCACTACAAATTCGATTTGACAGAATGCTGAATTCATCAATTCTGTCGCAAGGCTTTTTGATGGGGTGGCTATGTCGATTGCGTCCCAATATATGACCCTCTTTTTTGTCCTCCTGACGGTGAGGCCGTCCAGTGTCTTCACCAAAACCTACAACTATGACAGCTAATCAGTCCAATCTAAATTGTCTGGTAGATCAAGTCGTCATCAGAATGAAAGAGACTGATACTGGAAGTTGGTCTCTCGTGCTCCGGTCTCGGCTGTTCTTCCTGCTCAAGTCAACTTCTCCGCCCAAACCTCACCGTTCCTTACGGGGTGGGAGACAAATAGTCTAAGAACAAACACGTTGGGCCTTGGAAGGAGGGTGCGCTCGCGATGTAAAAGCATACCAACAGCACAGGCGTGGTCGTTTTTTACACCGAGAAACGAAAGTCGCAACACGACACTCTCGGTCGACAAGCTGTGCCCCATATGACGCACATCGTGGCCGATCAGATTATTTCTGATCAATAAGTCAATGTCGTCATTACCTGGATCGTGTTAATATGGACAAATGAAGGCTGTTGAAGCTAGCCTTAAGATTCCTCGTCATTTTTAGGCAAGACCTATATAATGTCTATTGAATTTTGACACGCTCACAGACGGGAAAGAACAACACCAAAGAGAACCTTTGACAGTTCCTGAAACGTGAGGTGCTGAGTTCTGGGTGCTATTTGTCGGCTACCTCACTCGGCCTATCCCTTTCTCTACCCTCGATGCTTTCATCCGAACGGAGTGAAGTTGGTCAATACTATGAGATGAACGAAAGGTGCCTATTTCTTACAGCGAAGCACAGTCGATGAACTATGATACGTGAGTTCCGTTTCGTTCGGCAGAGAATGAATTCAAACTCCCTCTTCGTATGAGCCTCCACCAGTAATCGGAAGCTCTCGTAGGCGAGGCGCAGTAAGTCGGGAGACAGCCCCAATTCGAAGAGTGTGCCGTGATCATCATGGTACGGTAGGTCAAAAGTCAGTCGCAGGAAATAGGGTCGTGTAACTATTCCATGGCGTATGGCCCTCGTCATCAGTTGTATCTTACCTTGGGCGCGGTGGACGTACCACCGGACCTCCTGGGTGGCCACAAACTCAGCGAGCATTGCCAAACAACGCCCACAGCCCAGCCCTGAGGATCATTGCCAAGTACTCTGGACTGACTCACTCCTCAACGAAAACTCCTCAACGAATGCCACAAGGCATATTCATATTCATGTGATCTTCCCCCCGTGAAGCCAGGATTCGAAATCTCGCCGAAGCTTCACCAGCAGAGAACGAGGGGGGGGGGTGGGGGGGTTCCCCCCTTCCGGCCTCCCCCCCCTCTGGAAACCTGTGTCCCCTGCTCAGCAATCGTCCCCCCACATGGTACACCCCAAGTGAACCCCCCCCCCCCCCCCCCCCCCCCGCGCTAACGCGGGGGGGGGGGGGGGGGGTTCCCCCTTTCCGACTTCACGCCCCTGAGGTACATTGTGTCCCTCATCCGAGAATGTCTCGCCAAGTAGGATACGCCTATGTATAACCCTCTACACCTGATCGACGCCTCTAAACTTACATCCACTTTCTCTGACCGAAACGCCTCACACGGAAGAAACCGCTCACGAGACAAACCTTATATCCCTCGTAATGATCTGCCGAGGAAGCCTCCGCTTGGTTCGCCAAATGTGGAGACAGTGATATTTGCGATGCGATGAGGTTCTCATTGTTCTCCTGGCTGCATGATCAAGCGGCCGATGAGTCTTCTCCTATTCTAATATGCAAACCAACAAACCGAGTATGATGTGACTTCTACTTCATCTCATGGCACTCTCATCTCCACCACTACTTTCTCTGCTGCCAGACAACTTCTTACAGAACACAGAAAGGGATGAGAAGAAGTGCAAGGCATCGTAGCATCAGCAAAATTACAGACTGCTAGAGGGAAAATAAAATAGACATGGATCATTTTAACAATGTGTCTATTCAAACCTAGTCTCTCCCAGTGCCCCTATCCCCACTCCGTCCTCATAGGCGTTCGGAGACGGGCAGACAAACAAGCCAGAAGCCTTTACAGGGTCAAGAAAGCAGAGAGGCCACTCCGTTCGCGCAATGATGAGCATTCGTGTGTCAGTAACGCTCCGCATTTAGCTTTCTCTCTCGATTTCTCCCTTCCGGCAGAGGAAGTTGGATACATGTACTGTTGCCACCGCCGCCGCAAAACCTGCCACTCTCCCAAAGCAGCGTTGAGCCAGTGACCGCGAATCTAGGTTCCGTTGTCCTTGAGCTCCTTGAGCTCCTTGGGCTTGAGCGCTGGTGCTGTATCCGTGGAAATATGCCGCCGATTTGCAGAAGCATGAGCATTCTAGAGGGGGGGGGGGGGTGGGGGGGAGCGGTTTTCCCCTTCGTCTCACTTACCTTTCGCTTCCAGTATTGCCCAGCAGGATTCAGTGGATTTCCAAACCTAGTCTCCGAGGTGGGCTACATGGCGCGTTGATCCCACCGAAGACGGAACGTAGATTAGCATCTCCAGTGATTCCGAACTCTCATTCCAAGAATCCCATATCAGGAATAAGAAACCCCTCACGTGCCCCTCTGCCTGTGACACCCGTGATTCCGGAAGGATCAGCTGCTCGTTGATGTAGGTATCTTAATCAGTGGTACCGTGGTGACCTCTGATCCGGAATATCGACGCAATCAAGTTTCCTGACATTGACAGACATCAGAACGTTACGAAAAGTCATAGATTGGAGAACACTCTCGATAGGTTGCATGAATTAAAGCATCATTCGTACTGTATTACTGCGTTACTGATTCTATCCGCCGGTTCTGACCGTGGCTCCCATGAACTCATCACTTGAAAAAGAAAACTTTTCTCCCCATGCTAACCAAAAGCAGAGTAAGTCCATGCCTATTGGACTTTTCGCCGCCATCCTGAACACCGAAGCCTGGTATGCCGTCCTGACCTGATCCATGTCTCTAAAAAACGCCAGTCCGAAAACTTGGAGCCTACAGGGGTATTTCATGAGACGTCGACAAAAGACAAAGCCATCCGTGGTGTAAAAATACCTACAGAAGAACCATAAAACCTACTAATGAGGTGATCAACTATGCCTAAGCCAATCACTTACTGTTTGATGCCTTCGTAATTCGACCGCCCTGTGTCTTCTTGATAGACTGAGCAGGAGTGTCAATATTAGATACAACCTCCTTCCTGTGAATCTTCTCGTGTCTGCGTTTCTGATCGAGCCGGTGGAAGTCCTTGTCGCAGAAGTCACACTTGAATGCTCCCTTGACGTTGTGCGTCTTACGGTGTTTTGACAAATTGGAAGACTCTCCAAACGCCTTGCCGCATACTTCGCATTTCAGGGGCTTTTCGCCCGTATGCGTTCTCGAATGCATTGCTAGAAGACGGTTAGCAATCGTACGAATCCAAGCATGATGTCATCACTCACTTAGTGCACTCTGCTGCTTGAAGGAAGCGGTGCAACCCGGAAACTTGCAATCCCAAGGCTTTTCTCCAGTGTGGATCCGCATGTGCTGTGCAAGGGACTGCTTCGCAGATAACGAGATATGACATATGTCACACTTGACTGGCTTGACTAGACATGTTGTCAGCATTCTTTCCTGAATACTATATTGGGATGGCGACTTACAGCCGGTATGTGTCTGTAGATGACGTTCAAGCTTGCTCTTTTGTGTAAAATGGCCTTCGCGTGCACATCCCTCCCAGCAGCATTTGTATCCCGCATCTGTCTTGGCGAGGTTTACGATATGGCTCTCCTTGCAATGTCTCTGCAGACCTTCATCGTCTTGGAAAACCATACCGCAAACATGCCCAGCATTTTCCCATTGGCAAATGAACACTTCCGCCTTGATGGGAATCTTGGCAGGGCTGGGCACAGTTTGCGCAGTAGCCGGGGATAGTTGCGGTGAAGAGGACGTCTGAAGCCCTGATAGAGGGGAGGTGCCCGGGGACTCCTTGTCTTGGGGAACATTTGTCGAGACGAATAGGTTTCCCGGTGACTGCGGTAGAGCAAGAGATTGGCGAGCATGAGGCGCCATCAGGGATGTGTAAGACTGTTGTGTTGCATGAAGAAGATCGAGATGCTGCGGTTGAACATGTTGTTCTTGGAAATGGTTCGCCCAGTCCTGGATATTGTTAAGCTCAACACCGCAAGGTACAAAGTTTGTCGAGTTTGAGTCGGGGAGGCAGAAAGAGAAATCCTGTTGACCTGGATGGGCATGCGCGTGATGAGGAAGGGGGCACCTGTTTGGCAGACTTAGGTTGTTTAACAGGCAAGGGCGTACACAGTCTGTCAAAGCTTGCGCATGCTCACTGAGATGCAAGCCAAATGACATCCACTCCACGGGCTCGGAAGGCATGGCAGGATCCGCAAAGTTGATAGGGAAAGAGTCGGTAGTATTCTGAAATGAGTCGGGTGTACTTTGAAAGGAGTTGTTCATGTTCATGGAGTGAGCCATTGACATCGACATCCCGCCGGGGTGGAAGTGGCTTTGAGTTGCTGCTGGCATCCCTTCGTTGTCGTAGGAGCCTTGGCTCGCGAAATACTGAGCAGACATCGAAGGCATCGACGGAGCAAACATGCCATCCTGGCCGAAGTTATCCCCTCCAATCGATGCCAACACATCGGCTGCAGCTTTGTCCTTCTCAGAGAGAATTTCGTTAGCTGGACACTGTGCGTCCATACACTGCGCAGCAGCTTCATCGCAGTCGTCATCGTCGCAAGCTTGAGCGCACTCTATATCAGTGCAGATATCGCCAGCGTCACTCGCGCCGCAGTCGCTCACACACCGGTTGCAGTCCGAGCTGCTGCAAGCCGCGGAGGTACTATCGTCCTCAAGTTGAGGGCTGGAGTTGGGAGTCGAGGCAGGAAAGCCCATGGCCGCTGTTGGTGACATGATGGCAGCCGCGCCAAAGCCCAAGGGCATTTGGCCTCTAGGGTCGAAGAAGTTGGGCATCGTGGGCATCGTTGACAGGCTGTGGTGTCTTCGCGCATTCATCGGTATGGTATTCAAGTTGCTTCGAGGGTGGTTGTGGTTAGGTACGGGATGATGTTGGTTGTTGCTGTCGGGGCCTCTGCAGGCAATGTGATCGAAGTTGATGTCAGCACAGGACTCTTCGTGCGATCCTATGTATGTTACTGCAAAAAGGTGGTTGTGAACTTGGTCCAGGTCTGGCATGTCGAAAAATGCGTTGGGGCCTTGACCAACATAGGTCGGTAAGCCATCTTGCTGGTCGTCCATGGCTCCAATATGATGATGGTGAGGACCTCTGTATCTTTTTCCATGCGCCTTGGGGGACGTCCCACGGAGATCGTCGATCGACAGGCGGCTTGGGCCACGGGATGACGGAAGGTTCTTGGAGAAGGAGGGAAGAAAAGAGCCGCAAAACCGAGACCCTGGGGACGGAGAATTCCTCCAGGTGTTTCCAAAGTCGGGGAGGGTAGACGTAGTAGTAAAGGGATATCGTGTGGATGGAGATCCAGTAATACCCTGACGATACAGAACCAGCACTGGGTAAAAGGTAATATGAAAGTGGGATGGAGGTCTGGGACGAAGCGAGGCGAGACAAGGCGAGTCAACCGTTGACAAGGCTGGGGGGGCCAGAAGTCGAGAATTGAAAGACCGGATTGGACTGGGCACCAGTGATTCCTTTCTCCGTCTCCCTCTTTCTCTCTCCCAGGGACCAAGGGTAACAGCGGGAGCTTCCTACCCACGTTGTGGGAAGGCGGTGTTGCAGGCGCGATACTCAGGTGCGGTGCGGCGTGAGAACCTTGATGGCCTCTGGCGCGAAAATGCGGCCTCTCTGTCTGGTGACGGAGGGGCTAATCTGCCAGCGTAACAACAGAACCCCTGTCATTGCTGTCAAACACCATTCGAAATATGCGCTTTATGATTTAATAGGACGTACCTGTCGGTATAATTGAGGAGCGATGGTGTTGCAACGGGTTCCTTCTTCCCTTCTTTTTCGCGAGAATGCGCTGCTAGGTTGACTCAGTGCTCCAAGACGTTGAATGCGCGTCTTGCTGTGCCTGTCTTGCTCCTCAAATCCATCGCCCACGGTGCCGATTGCCGTTCCCTTAATATAGTCATAAAGGTCGACACTGACCTTCGATAGGATTATCACCTCGAAACCTTAAAGTCGCAACAGAATGAGAGGCCCGCCGAGGTGAGGCCCTACTTCGGTCCTCATACCCTCGCCTGTGTCTCTCTAGAACACTGGCAGGCCTTACTCCAAAGAGACTTCCTGGACTTCTGAGAGGCTGACAACGGGGGGGTGGGTGTCACACGGGGGTTCTGTGATCACTGGCCCGTGGTTGGTACTAGCCCCATTATGGTGCCCTTTCTTAGCACATGAGCAGCTTCTCATTGGCCAGACTCACTTCCAAGGACATGCATATGTAAGCACCATCAGAGGTCCGTTTGATATCGCGAAGATACCTCAGGTACCTAGTTACGGATACACTCGTGGTCAGTGCACCAGGAACCTTCCTTGGCCAACCGGAAGAGAGGCGGCCAGATGCAGCAGACATGTTGACGGGTAAGGGAGTTGCGATGCAACATCCGACTAAAGCTGGTCTGATTCCTGAACAATGGCAAGTCCCTCGGCTGTCAGACACAAAAAAACAATGACGAGCAAGAAAGTCTGAGGCGACGCCATCGTATGTTTCCCCACGTTCAGAACTGCGCACTTGCTTAGCCTCCGTGATTCCGCCTCAACACCAAACTCAACTTGCTCCAAGTGGCGCCCGGGCATGATATCCAGCCTTTAGGAGCGGTAGAAGCCAGCCACACGTGAGGGGGTTGCGATCGAATCACATCTTTTCTTGTTGCCTTGCAAATTAACTTCCGTCCAGAGTTGCCTTGACGTGATAAAACGTCTTACTTTCGCGTCCGTGAGCCTAGATCCCGTGTCGGGAGCTATTACAAGATCGACAAGCTAAGAGTCTGGAATTGGGTATTTGGTATGCCATCGATGAAGGAAACTCTAAATCATACACGCCTGAAGCGCCTGCTCTTGGCGCAAGTACACAACACGTGAACATCAACGAATTTCATCTCATGATGGCTCGCATTTCCATGCAGCCATGATCCGGAGTCCGCTAAACTAAACCCCTTATGTTCATTCCATTTACTCCGGATATATGTTGAATATCACAGTCATTCGATAGAGCGGCCCCAGCATATCCTTCTTCTCTGTACGTAGCAGGACTTTTCGTCTGCCACCTGCAGCCTCACACGGTGAGACTACATCTCGACTAAGGTGCCGCTGTTAAGCCGCTCGTATTGAGTTGCAGTGGCTGTTTGGTTGCCCACTGCATCATCAAAGTCAACTTTTATTCCCCCTTCAGGACCAATATTCGTCCAATCTCACGCCCAAGTTGAAATCCCTTAACACCGATTTGGTAAAAAATAACAGACGCTTAATGATGGAAAAGGCGGACGTTCTGTTCAACAAACGTGATACCAAGCTTCTCCGCAGTCTCGAAGACAGCGCCATCATTCTGGCTGCCTCCGGGAGCTGCAATGTACTTGACACCGGATCGAGACGCGCGGAAGACGTTGTCGACGAAGGGGAACTGGTTATCGTCAGAAGGTTTACACTCAAGCAGGCACGAAGTTTACTCACGAAAGCATCACTTGACACGGCGACGTTGGTCAGCTTGCCAAGCCACTCTTCCCTCTCGGCGTCAGTGAAGGCGGCCGGGACGTCCTCGAAGACAGCCTCGAACATCTCACGCTCCGCACCAGACTTGGGAAGCTCGCCACTGACCAACAGATCGATGGCGTTGCTCTTGTCGGGGCGCTTGGTGCCCTTCTTCCACTTAATACCCAGAACACGAGGGTGGAAACGAAGCCACCAGTTGTCTGCCTTATCACCAGCGAGACGCGTGCAGTGGATTCTGGACTGCTGACCAGCGCCAAGGCCAATGACTTGCCCGTTGTAGGCGTAACAGACAGAGTTACTCTGAGTGTACTTCAGGGCAATGGTGGCGACGGTCAGATCTCGGAGGGCGGACTCGGAAAGAGGTCCAGACTCCTTGGGAGTGATGATTCTGTTGAATGACTTGGGCGCAATTTCAATGTCGTTGCGGCCCTGCTGCAGGGTGACTCCATAGACGGTCCTGGTCTCGGTCTTGGCAGGGACGTAGTCGGGGTCGATCTGGAGGACGAGGTACTTGCCGCCCTTCTTCTTCTTGAGGAGCTCAAGTGCAGCAGCCTCGAAGCCGGGAGCAATCACACCATCGGAGACCTCCTTGGAGATGATGCTGGCAGTGGGAAGATCAACAATGTCACTTAGAGCAATCACGTCACCAAAGCTGCTCATGCGGTCCGCACCGCGAGCACGAGCGTAGGCCTGGGCGAGAGGGGAGGAGTCGATACCCTCAATGTCGTTAACGAAGTAGACCTTCTTCTCATCGTCGGTCAAGGGAGTGCCAATGGCAGCACCGGCAGGAGAGACGTGCTTGAAGCTGGCAGCAGCGGGCTTACCCAGAGCCTGCTTCAGCTCCTTGACAAGGGGCCAGCTGTTCAAGGCATCGAGTAGGTTGATGTAGCCGGGCGAGCCACCGAGAACCTTGTAGGGGAGCTCACCACCGCTGACGAAAGCAGCAGCAGGCTTCTGGTGGGGGTTGGCGCCGTATCTCAAAGCGGAGAACTGCTTGCCATCGGCGGCGTATTGCTTGCGGAAGAAGTCGGAAATGGCAGCATCGTAGTCGGCAGTGTGCTCGAAAGCCTTGAGGGCGTAGCGGTTACGGCTTGCTTCGGTGATCTCGCCAGCCTGCAGCTCCTTGAGGAACTCGGCGTAGTCGTTAGGGTCACTGAGAATGGTGACACGGCTGTGGTTCTTGGCAGCGGCTCTGATAAGAGTGACGCCACCGATGTCGATCTCCTCGACAGCCTCGGGGACGGTGACGTTGACCTTGGCAACAGTATCCTTGAAGGGGTACAGGTTGCAAATGACGTAGTCGACCTTGTTGATGTTTTGGTCGGCCAAGTCCTTCTCGTCGGACTCGAGGTTTCTCGCGAGTATTCCAGCGTGGACGGCGGGGTGCAGAGTCTTGACACGGCCAGCCAACATCTCGGGGGCCTTGGTGATAGCAGAGACATCCCTATTTGAATAGCCCATTAGCTTCAGTTCGGACGCGCGAAGGTTTCGGCAAGGACTTGCAACTTACTCAACGGGGAAGCCAGACTCCCGGATCATCTTGGCCGTACCACCAGAGGCAAGGATGCGGACATTTTGCTGGTTCAGGCCCTTGGCCAGATCCAGCAGACCGGTCTTATCGTAGACGGAAACGATGGCAATCTTCTGACCGGACATTATTGCTTTGGTGCTCTCGTAACGACAAGTTCTTGGGGACGGAAGAATTGTTGTTAGAGAATAAAGAAAGGAGAGGAAGAGGAAGAGAGGGAGGGAACAAGAGGATCGAGTGAAGCAAAAATTTGCCTTGCGCGATGATGCCTGTGGGCGGGAGGAGAGGTTGCGCAAAATCGGCTTCCGATCAAGGAGGGGGAGGGGCAGCAAGATGCCTTACCTACGAAACTTTTTTCCCGTTGGCTACGTGATCGGTACGACGTGTTCCTATGCGCATAGGGCGGCAGATGAAGTATTCTCCAGGTAGTTTGCCCCACGTCGTATCGGCATCACACCCGCTAGAGGTACGGAAGGAAGGGGAAACGCTCTACATTATGCGGCAGCAGTGACCTCAACTCCAACCACCCGGCAGCTCAAGTGGGATGCAACTTTCATTGGGCATTCGCTCAGATACCGGCGCATTTTAACTCACTGTCTCTCATCTACCTTCCCTAAGTTAGAGAACAAGAAACATGTCACCAAAGAAGCAAACCGTTTCATTACTCGGAATGCGTGTTGCTCATCGCCCACCTGCTGATTCAAGCTCATCAAACTTTGTGGAAAAAAAGAATTGGAGTTTCGGCCATTGGCCCGTCAACTTTTTGGAGCAACCGTGACCCACCTCTCTTTCGGGCCAATGAGCCCCGCCCCCGCTGCAGCCTCAAGTGAGCACAACGGCCAGGGAGGACGGAATGACTGTCACTGCGGTGCACTGGACCACCAGACAGGGGTCCATGACTGCTGATGCGCGTTATACCCAACACCGCTAGCGTGCCCCTCACAACTCTTCGCCGGGTGGCAGGGCAAGCACTAACTTACCAAACCGTTTGCTGAACGTCCTGTCGCAACCTGGGAAGTCTTGGCCTTCATATCGATAGACGTTGGGTTACCTTACGCAGCCACGCTGAATCCCCGGCTAAAAACCAGCAACCTCAACACTACCTCCCTCCTCGTGGATTCTTGCTCCAAAGGTAGCTTCGCAACCTGCAAAGACTTTTATCGCACCCGCGAACCTCCAAAACGCCAGACGAAGCGTAGAATCGCATTGCGACAAAACGACCGCGTCGGGCATCGCGCCTTTGAACCGCACCTCCCCGGGACCCTGCACCCCTCCGCGCTCCAATACCTTCCAGGTTACGTACACTCGGCCCAGAACACCTCCGTCACCCGACCTCACGCCGTCCTCCCCCGAACGACTCGCGCCGAAACGCCCTCACCACCGCGCGCGCGCACACCACTACGATCCAAACCCCCAAGACAAGGTATCCTGATCGCACAACCCAGGAAACGAATTTACGCTGTGATGGGCTCTGTCTGCGGCAAGGAGAAGGGGGATAACTTCGACTCCCCGGGTCGCCCGCTTGGCACCGCTCCCCCGCCCCAGCCAAAGACCGCACCGATTCCCGCCAGAGTTGGCGGTCCACCACGGACACTCGGCGGCGGTAGCGGCGGCGCATCGGGTCACCAATCGTCTGCCGGTGCGGATGAAGCGCGGCGCAAGGCCGCAGAGGCAGCCGAGGTCAGACTCCCCGTGTCCCTCTCTCTTCATGCTGAGCTGATGATTTGCTGACTTCCATAACCCTCAAAAGGCTCGAGCAAAAACCGCAAACAAGTCAACCGGGAAGCTCTCCTCGCAATTGAACGCGCAGAAGAAGCAAACCCAGAGCGACTTACTCAAGGATGCCAGCACCCAACAGCTCAGACAGCGCGATGCCGATGCCGCTGCAGAGGCTAGGACGTACAACTAAAGTCAAAATGCGTAATAGAGGGTGAATAACAAGAAGCGAGCAAGCGACTTTTCTCGACAAGTTAGATAATGGATTTGGGTGGTTGGTGTTTATTGAAAATACCTCCTTGCTTTTGCATTCGATTTCAATTTGGAGTTTTCAACATTGCTGGCGTCTAGGCAGATATACATTACAAGTATATTACAATTCTTTGTCAACTGGCTCCGAAAGGGATGAGCGTAATGTTGCGTCAATCTGCAATCCCAGTAATCAGATGTTGTAGATATTTCAAGGTAGTTTCTCTACGTGATTCTTTCTCCTTCGTTAATTTTCACTCTTCCTTTCTGGCTTTGCAATCGCCTTCTGGGTTTGCGCTTCACCCTATCGTCATTGGTCCCCTCAGCACTGCTCAGAACTAATGCGATTAAAATACTCGAACGCCAGTGATGGACATCAGCACTAGCGTTGTTATTTACTCCTGTGCGCCACTGCCCCGTTGCTATCATGGCGTTGTCTGACATACTACAAGAAACCCGCAATTTACACAACATTATAACGTCCAGATGCAGGAGCACGGCTATCGGCCGTAGCCGCCGCGACGGTTCCCTCACTGAGAAGTCGGGTAAGCTCGGTCATAGCAGCGCCAACCACAACCTCGGTGTCACCCTCGACCAGAATGTACAGCTTCGGGTCCGCGCCGGCCGGAACTTCCTTGCCAGCAGGATAAAAGGTTCCCTTTGTCGTAATCGACACCCCAGTAGCTTCCAAAATCTTGGCCACGTTGGTTCTGTTCGTGACGGCCCATCTGGCCTTTTGCGGGAAGTCGTTGATCTCGAGGGTGGCGTGGTAAGCGCCAGCGTCAGGGCCCTTGTTGTCAATAGGCTGTCCTGACCGAAGCTGTCCAGCCTTGCCAAGTCGCTCGTTGATATTCCTGATGGCTGCGCTGACCATGTCGAGAGGCTGTCCCGGCTTGCCTCCGGCGCCGCCAGCAGCGGGTGCGTCTTTGCCTTTGGTCTCTTCGGGCTTGTTGGCGGCACGAGACACAACAGCCGAAACCTTCGACTGGATGTCAATAACAGCCGACTTGCCCTTATCCTCAGTCTTCTCCTCCTTGACATCGTCTTCCTCGCCCTCAGCCTTGTGAGTCTTGCGCTCACGCAGACGAGCGGCTTCGCGCTCGGCGTCAAGTCGGTCCAAACCCTTTCCGCCAAAGCCAGAGTTGTCCTTGGCTTTGCCTGCCTTGACCTTTTCAATCCAGGCTTTGCGCATCTCTTCTAGACGCTTAGGAACAGGAACGCCACTCTGCTCGAGAGCCTTTGCGATACCAGTGGCGCAGTTCTCCTGTTCCTCAGAAATGTACGTCACTGCGGTTCCCGTGTTACCTGCTCTTCCCGTCCGTCCAGATCTGTGCACCATATCTTCATGATGAGAGGGTGGGTCGTAGTTTACAACCAACTTGAGCTGCTTGACGTCCAGACCTCGGGCCGCAACGGACGTCGCAACCAGGATAGGCACAATGCCATTCTTGAAATCGGAAATTGTGGAATCACGGTCCACCTGGTCTTTACCACCGTGGATGGACATGCAGGGGTATCCCTTGGTCATGAGTTCCTTGAGAAGGTCATCGGCCTTCTCCTGACGTTCGACGAAAATCAGGGTACGGGCGTCCTCATCCTTTTCGTAAAGCTCACCAAGTAGTCCTAGTAGGTGGTAAAACTTTTCAGTTTCAGGGATAACCTCAACAATCTGCGTGATGTTTGCGGGCACGATACTGCGACCTCCTACGGTGATCTCAACCGGAGACTTGAGCACCTTCTTGGCTAATGAATCAATGCTGCGAGGCATGGTCGCGGAGAACATAATAGTTTGCCGGTCAGGCCGGATGTTTGCGAAGATCTTCATGACTTGAGGCTCGAATCCCATGTCGAACATGCGATCGGCCTCGTCGAGGACAGCGTATGTGACACGACGCACGTTCGTAACACGACCCTGGTTGGCAGCCAACAGGTCAATCATGCGGCCGGGGGTGCATACGACAATTTCGGCACCGCGCTTGAGCTCAGCGATTTGATCTCTGATGGGAGCCCCACCATAGGCACAGACAGCACGCAAACCCATCGCCTTCAAGAAGGGTTTACAGTCGCGATGGATTTGGACTGCCAGCTCACGAGTCGGCGTCATAATGAGACCAATGGGGCCGTCGGTGTCCCTGATAGGCGGCTGATCCATGATATGACGGAACATAGGAAGGAGGAAGGCCATTGTTTTACCTGATCCAGTCCTGGCAACAGCGACAACGTCACGTCCCGACATAAGGATGGGCAGGGACTGCATCTGGATCGGCGTCGGCTTTTCATAGCCAAGGCCTGCGATGACGTCTAATGTCCGCTCATTCAGACCGCACTGAGCCCATTTCTGTACCGGCTTCGGGACGTTTTTGCCCGAGACTTTTATGCCATCAAGCTCCGCGCGAAGTTCGGTGACCTCGTCTTCACTGAGGGCCGCAAGCTCTGCTGGTTCGACCCAAAAGTCCTTGCGTATAGGCAGTAGGTCTATCTTGCTGTAGTCCACGGTGGGAATGTCTTTCTTCTTGCGCTTAGCTGCCATGGCAAGAGCTGCATTGGCGCTGAGGCCATCGTCTGCCTTGAATGCGTATTCATCGTCACTGAAGTACGCCTCAGGCTCTTGGGCCTTCTTCGTGGATGTACTTGCCTTGGGACCTGGGGCGGCTTTGGTATCAGACAAATCGGCCATGAAAGCGTCCAAGGGATCGACGTCATCCTCTTCAGCCTCCATGACTTCCATCCCATCGGCGACTGGAGGGTCTTCGGTCTGGTCATTACTTTGCGTTGGTGCAGCATCTTGCATGTCGACATCTGGCTTCGACTCTTCTTGAGACTCTTGCAGCTCTCTCTCGCGTCGTTCGTGCGCAGCACGGGCGATTGCGGCAGCCTCTTCTTCCGTTTCGGCAAAGTTGCCACCGTCTGACTCGTCGTCTTCATCTTGATCAGCGTAGGGAGTGTCATCAGCCTCGAGGGGAAGTGCGGGTAGCTTTGTGAGTTTCCTCTTCGTCCCTTCCTCCTCGTCGAGATCGAGCTTGCGCTTGTTTGCGAGCTTCTCGCTATCGGCAGTCGCTTTGCTAAAACCGAAAGCACTCAAATTGCGGTTGGCGGGAAGCGCCGAGGCTGCAATTCCGTGAGCATGCGTCCCGTCCATAGTCGTTCCTTGCGCGTTTACACGAGAAGGGAGTGGTGGCGTACCTTTTGTGATCGGTGCAACAGGTGCCGTGGACTTTTCGGGCCGGCCTTCCAGAGCCCCCAAAACACCATTCGTACCGGCGTTTTTATGAGAAGCTGCCGATTTTTTGGCAATGGCCTTTGGGTCGAACTTGCCCGCGAAAGGCAAAGCCGGTGATGCGGTCCCAGAAGTATTGAGCGTTGGCGCCGGTGATGCCGCCGGTGATGCGACAGCGGGCGATGCGACAGATGGTGAAGCGGGAGCCGGGGACGGCACGGATTTCTTGTCCATCTCCGCGAGGAGATTCCTAGTCTGACTTGGATTAACCTCATTCTCTTTATTGGCCTTGGTCTCTCTGTTCTTCTTCCACGCCTCGAGCCTGGCGAGTCGTTCGGCCTTCTTGTCAGCTTCAGTCTGGGCTGGGGCGGGCTTGGGCTTAGTAGCCTGAGAATCCGAGTTAGCGATCGATGTTGCAAGACGTATAGTGATCAATCTCACCTCATTACCAGGAGTGCTGGTTTTCTCTAGAGGCGCCGCGCCGCGTGGACCGCCTTCATCGCGCCTGCTACGGGGACGGGAGTCAGTATTTCCCTCTCGATTCGCACGAGCCCGATCCCTAGAGTCGTCGCGTCTCGGACGATGGTCCCTATCGGCTTCGCGATGCCGCCGTCTATCGAGAGATCGGTCTCTGTCGGCGAGTCTATCGCGAGACCTCCTTCGGCTATCTCTATGGCGATCGTCATTTCGTCGGCCTCCGCGGTACGAGTCGTCGTCTCTTCGGTCTATGGAACGCTCTCTTCGGCGGTGAGAGTCGCGATCGCGCTCGCGATCTCGGTATCGTCGCTGTTGGCACCTGTCAGAGTCGGCCCTTTCTCGTTCTCTGCGGTATCTTCTCACATCGCCAGGGCTCCTGGACCGCGAGCGACGACGAAAGTCTCTGCCTCCATCATCGCGGCGGTCCCTTCTATCATCGTCTTTGCGGCGTCTCGCGTATTGGCTTCCTGCAGGCGATGGTGAGCGCGAGTCCCTGGTCCGAGCCATGTTGTAGGTCTCGAGCTACTTTTTCGACAGGGTCTTCACTCGTGTGTGTATTTGTGTCTGTGTACCACTGTTGATTCAAAGCTTTCCGATATCCTGATTGATGGGCAAATGTCGTTGTGTATAGCCGCGCTCCCTATGAGTAAGGTCTGTTGGCATGCGAACGACGTATTCTGAGATGAGGGGCGGAAAAGTTGCGACGCGATGATTATCAGATTAAAGTTGATGCGCCAGAAAATGAGGCCAACTCCACCGAGTTTTACCCGCGACACTGCACAGACCACTCTTCAGCCACACTTCCAATGTGGCCGGCGTGACGAGATGCAAACGAACGAGCATCTTACCACGTGCTTACCTAAGGTAGGCAGTTAAATCAGAGCACAATATTCTTCTTTTAATCCCCAGTATCGTTGCGTATACCGTTCTTTTACGTCATTCTGACTTGTGCGGGAGGTGCTACGAGGATGATGGAAGGGAGACAGCACCCAGAACAGCAAGACCCACGGTTGTATAAGATTTAGGTAGGTAGGGGGGGGGCGTGCAGTATCCAGATTTGTCGCCTGTCGCGTGGGGCATTTAAACACACCGAGCTTCTCACCTGTACCTAATTATCTTATTCCTCCATCTCACTCACTCACTTACTCTCACACCTCAATCCACGTCAACTTAAGGAGTCAGAATCTCGCTGCTTGATTCCTTTTCAACCTCGTAGAGTGCCAAAAATGGGTGGTCTCGTTGCTTATGCCAGCAGTGACGAGGATGACGATGTTGAAGATGTAAAGGTGCCGTCACTCAGATCCTCCTCTTATCCCCCGAGGTGACCCCGTTAACTTACACGACTTACAGGTTTGGGTTTCCGAGAAACCCACTCCTTCCAATGATCAAAGAGGCCCAGGTAATACATCATCAGCCAGTCAAGGGCTACTTCACTCCCCAAAATCTCATACTAACAAACCATCTAGATGATGTTAAGCCCACGCCAGCACCATCTGCTGCCGCCGCCACCGCACCTCCACCAACCGAGCCTCAATTATCAACAGAAGCCGTGACAATAGGTCCAGTCCAACAACACTCAATCCCCCTAGGCCCGTCCCTGCCCCCAATGGAAGCTCAACCAGACGCCTCCCAACCAGGCGTCGACCCATCTCAACCCCCAGCCTCGCCATACACCGCCACCCGCGCACTCCTCCGAGACCTAACCTTCCCCCCTATGCCCAACTTCGACATCCCCCCCTCGCCCCCAGGCTCTCCTCCCCCCGCCCTCAGCGCCAAATTCACCCAGTTCCTCGACCTGAAGAAGAAGGGCGTGCACTTCAACGCCAAGCTCGCGCAGTCCGCCGCCCTCCGCAACCCGAGCTTGACGGACAAGCTCATGTCCTTCGTCGACCTCGAAGGCCGCGCGGGCTATGCCACGACTCTACCGCCCGATCTGGGCTGGGACCCAACGTCGGAGGACCTCCTGCCGGCCTGGGCGGGCAGAGCGGCGCTGCGGCAGAGCCAGGATAAGGTGCGCAACGCGGGGCTGAGGAAGGGTGGTGGGCCTGTTGAGTTCGTGCCGGCTGCCGCCGGCGTCGGGGCCGATGCCGCTGGTTTGGCGGAGCCTGCGTCGCCTGCCACTGGGGTCGAGCAGGGGAGCATCGTCTCGCGCGGCGGGAAGAGGAAGGCGGGTGTGCTGTGAAAGCTGGCCTGGAGAGATATCCCTCGACAAGGCATTCGTCGCCCATCCACGCCCGTCAGCTGCTTCATCTTTGCCTATTCATTGCCATGGATATCCTGCTTGGCACAAGTTTGGTGACTCAGCACCTCGGCGAGCCGACTGCCGGGGATGCCCATCGTTCACCGGCATGGCATCCTGCTTCCTCACAATTCTGCGCAAGGATCAATACACGGGCAGTTGCCAGACACCCCCACAAGGACCAGCATATTCTTCTCGTTCCCAATGCCGCTCAAGGTTAGACTTGATCGGCGAGTTTACAGGACAACGATGCAGCTATCAGATTACTTTTGTCAAAATTGGGTGTATCTTCTACATCTCTTCCGTCGCCAAGATATCAGACTCTCGGTCAATTTGTTCTGATACCTTTTATCGCAACCCATCCTCGAGTCATCCGGAATCTCCTTGATGGTCGTCCCGGAACCCTCTTTGCTTCCCTCTGGCCTCATCGTCGATCTCCTCGGCATCAAACTGTTCGATCAACATCATATGCAATGAGGGGGAGAAGATGGGCTGACATGCCAGCGAGAAACACACATGCATATACACTAGTGCCGTGACAGGATACCAGTATGGTGGTTTACATGGTCCGCATTGCCGCGCAGTGGGGTCTAGAATGGAGACGGAGTTTCGCAACGACGTCTCAGGTGTTGGGGTTGTGTAGGTTTGCTTGTATTTTTTTTTCTCGAGAGCCGAGGCGCGCGTCACCGTTGGCCGGGGATCTTCAGCACGTGGAATGGACGACGATGACGACGGAGGATGTCTGACGCCGATCCCACGTCCAGTAGTGCAATGGGAGCTAGAGAGAGAGAGACAGATTTGAAGGGAACTCAAATAAGCCCAAAAAAAAAAATCACGATTGATACCCCTTATTTGAAATGATGAATGCTTCCGTATAAACGTGTGCGCTCGTGCGTTCCAAAGGGGTGCTGTGAAAACCGTCATTCTTGGTTGTCAGATGGTCGATTTCTGGGACACGGACCGAGAGAGATGGAGAAGATGGGTGGATGGTCTCTTTGGGACGACAGGTTGTGTGTGGTATATGCGTCACTTTTTGCATTCCGTCAGAGTTGAGGCTGTCAGTCGTTAGGACGAGGTGAAATGACGTCGAATCTTCACAAAAAAAAAAAAAAAAAAAACAGAGCACGAAGTTTGTGACGCTGTCAGTTGAAAGTTATCGTGGCACCTTCTGCAGTCTCTTCTAGCAACCCTTACTTTCACATCTACAATGTTGGCCGCGAGAAATGTTATTAGGCATCATTTTTTCAACTATCTTGCGGTTCTAGGCCGCCTTATTTGGGGATGTTAAGTCATTACCCAGCCAAGATACCTGGTTCGTCGATTGCAACGCTCCTCCAAGTCGCAAAGGTTTTCCAAGTAACATCATAATATCCATAAACACTCTCATATTCGTGCAAAACTGAAAACCTTGCCTCTCAAATCCGTAACCCAGCGTGCGGTGCGAATGGCGTGCCCCTGTTACGCTCATTTCTTTAAAATAGGGTGGGGTTCAAAATACTCGCTTGGACCTTTGACCGGTGCAAGTAATGGTGATATTCAGAGATTTTTTCAGCGATGCTCCAATGTTAATATCCGTGACGACCTCGCCGGAAGAGAGAGCATCGCCAAAGTAGGGCAATCTCTGGCCATTGCTGATGACGTCCTTACCGCGGAGGCTAAAGGGAATGACACCAGTATCGCAGGCTGGTTTGGTGCCCAAGGCGGCGAGGACGGGGGCTTGGGAAATGTTGGCGCGCATGGTGACGTTGTTCATGCCTGGGTAGAGGACGAGGTTGTCAAGGTAGACGGTTCCAATGTCCTGGCCGTGCAAAAGGTTGGTAAAGGAGGCGTTGCCCTGAGGACCTTGATGTTAGTATGTATCCTGGCGGGATGGACTTTGCATAAACGTACGATTTCCAGTGTGAGGACAGAATGATTGGGGATGGAGACGTGGCCCTTGAAGTTGTCACCTTGAGCGTCCGGGGTGAGAGAGATGGTGTTGTCCGTGACATTGAGGCCCTTGTAACCATTCAGTCCTAAGTTTCGTTAGCAACATATTCATTGAAGCAATCTAAAGCTTAGCATTGTGGCGTCACTGACCCTTCAAGGTCATCGTGTTCCTGAAAGTAACACCGTAACGCCTGGCAATGCCATTGACCTTGACGTGTGTATTGCCTTCAACCGTGACCCTGACAGACTCGTTATTTTGGAGCCAGGTGTTGAAGGTGGTGAAAGCCGCCATGTCGGTGATCTCGACGGGCTGGCTAATATTGACGGTCTGCAGCTTGACTGACTTAGTCTCGGGGAATTTGAGATTCACAAAGGCCTTCTTCTCCGGAAGGTCTGTCAGGTACATGATGCCGTCAAAAGGCTCAATTGTGGCCTTGACCGAGCCGTCTGACCTAAGCGTCGAGTTGATGGCCATGTTGTATGAATTCGGTTTTGTATTGGAAACGATGATCCCGTCAACCGTGAGCTGGGCATCATCAATCTTCTTCTGCGCAATTTTTGGCACGGCAACAAGAATTCTGAGTTTCGCATTAGACCACTGAGATTTCGGTTACATTACTCTCTGGATAGATGTTGAAACTTACATTAATAGAGTGACGAGGAGGATTCCTGCGATGCCACCAATCAAGTGGATCCACCAGAACCTCGCACAATGCCTCATACACGTCTTCCTCTTGCCACCTCCGTATGCGCCACCACCACCGACAGCATTCTCGGAGTGGGAAATACTGTGTTTACTCATGTTGTCCGAACCTATACGTTATGCGTGTTATCTCGTAGGTTATGTTTGTAGAATTGCTGTTCACTTCCGTGAATTCCCGACGTGTGTGGGAGAGACTGTGTATGTGTGTGACGGAAAGATAGGAGGAAACTGTCCGCTTAATGTCGATGTCGATGTCGATGACAGCTCAACAATTTGTGTCCAGGATGTTAGATAACGCAGCAATCGAGTGGGACCGAGGGCGTTTAAGTACAGAGACCGAGAGAGATGCTTTCTGGGGTAAAAGCTGGGGATGCCAGGGAATAGTAGGCACCCAAAGCATCACACGGCAGCGATAGCTCGAGATCTTCATGTCCACATCAGGTATGGAACACTTCCCCTTCTTTACCGACCCATCGAGTGACCCAGCTCGACTCGGTAGGGTAGCATGGGTAGGCAGGGTAGTGTAGGTTGGGATGTGCTGCTGCAGACATGAGGTACCTGGGCGAGGAGCACGCATCGTGTATAAGTGCAAGGTAGTATGTAGTCGGTTGAGTGTGTGTAAGTATTGGCCGAGTGTGCCTTTCGAGCGGATACATGGCTAAGGTAGGCTGCGTAACAATAAAGAAAGGATCGGCCAGTCAGATGGCAGGCCACCCACAGACCAACACAGAAGAATATGCCAGGTCAAATCTTTGACGTCCGAATCTGCGATGGGGGGAGGTCGAATTACAAGGGCAGCCCGGGGCAGCGTTGCCAAATTGGGTGGGATGCCGAGAACAACAAGGTCGACACCATCTTCCCAAGCGGCTGCCCCGCATTGTGTGTCGAGGAAGAAGTAGAGGGAGCCCTTGCCCGCTAACATCAGAGTTGCAATCCCGCTGGCCCACCGGAGTGCGGTCCCTCGGCATCTCATGAACAAGATTGAGCATATGAAAGTGATGTCGTGTGTTAGGGTGTGTGGTGTTCCCACAGGTTCCCTTCTGCGTTACCACGACGCAATGCACTGGCCTGCATGGCTTGTCTGCCAATCCTACAGGGATCTTGATGGGGTTTACCCCTTGGGAAGTGAAGAGGCAACGGATACGAATTGAGCCGTAAACGCGGTCTGGCTGTTGCGACGATAACTGGATTATGTTGTGAGGCAAGTGACGACAGCCTGGCTGAGATTGATATCCTCGAATGAGACGGGTGAATAGCCAAGATCTAGACAGCCCTCTACGCCTTGGTGCCCTCGATGAGACAAGCGTCAGGGTGGAGACGAGTAAACCAGTGGACGTTGACAACTCCAAGGATTCAAGAGTGTGCAAGCTGCCCACTAGGAGGCCCTCGGGCGGGTTTCTAGCGTTCCAAAGGGCATCTCCGGCTGCCCAATCAAAGTATTGTTGTCTTGAGGCTGAGGGCGCTCGTTCTCTCGTATGCCACTGGTGAACCTCTTAGGTGCAATGTGGAAGGCCAATGAAGGTTCTCAAACTGCATATTGGGGATTTGCCGGTTTGACTTTGAGGAAATCTCACCGGGTCTTGGCTTAGACAAACGTGGAAACGACAGAAAAGTAGCGCGACGAGGTTGTCAATCACATGGCCACGAAATTTCAAGGAGAAGCTGTGCAGACACATAGAACAGACATAAGAGACAAGGAGAGGAAAAAGGGAGAGGAAAAGGAACAGGATGACGCAGTGCGGCGCGGAAAGGAGTAGCTTGTGAACGGCCGAGAAGGGCAGATAATGGGCGAGGATTGGCTGGGCCAGGCGGGCCAGGATGAATTGGCTCGGAGATTTGACGCAGAAGGCCAATGATTAACATATCTGTACGGATATCTGTACAGAGATACGGAGGGACCTTGGCATTTGCCCGCGTGAGCTACCTTGCCTGCCCTAAGGTACCTAAGGTGCTTACCTTAGGGTAGGTAGCGTGCGTAGGTACCTGACGTTTCCCGAAGGCACGAAAGGTGCGCATGGATTGCACCTTGCACCTGCAGCCGGCGAGGGACAACCGATATTCGACGTCCCGCTGGCCTTGCCCGCCCCCCTACGCCCTGCCAATGTCCCACTCCTTCCTCCCCCAGCATCCCCCAGAGTCTGGGCACTTTTCGGGTAGGAGTGGGGACGGGGACTTATGCTAGCAAATCCTTAGCCACCTGGGGGCCACCTTGGGGCCACTCAGAGAGCAAGAGTTGCTGAGGGGGAACATGGAGACGCCCCCGCCTACGCAAAAGGGTGGGGACGGGCACCTCACCTCAGAGCTTGGGAGCCACAGCGGGGCGACCCTTCCCAAACGACTTTTTTTTAAACCCACCGGAATCATACATCAACGACTCTTCGTGGACCCGAACGCTACCCGCGGTGCTCAGGTGTCCAATGCCTTCTGCTGCCATTACAAAAGGTCTCATTGAGAGTGATCACTTAGGCTGTCAGCCACTACCTTATCACACCTCATTTCGACATTTAAACAATCCTGAATCAATACTCTGTATTGTTACTCTCTAGATGCATGCTAATAACATGTCAATTAAGCCTACCCCTCATGTCCAGTCTGTCCAGGTCCTAGTACCGCTTTGAGTTTTTTGCCTTTCCCCAACGTAACATTCGGCCGATTGAATCAGCCAAGCCCACTTTAGGCAAGAATCTTGTGCCAACACGTCGTCAGGACATTAGGGTCATGGCGACAATGGGCAAAGACGGCAACATTCAACCCGTACCTTGATGTGCTAGGCGCCGAAATGCGAGGAAAGAAGGAGATGAGAAAGCTCAATTGTGTTTCTGCCCATCACCTCATCGACACACCGCAGGGACCCCAATAGCTCTTCATGGAGAAAACTCTGCCCATGATAGGTATTTTGTGGCTGAATGCCCCGATCCGACCAGACCTTCCTGCACAAATTTGTCACCGACAGCTCACGAAGAGAGGTGAAAGACAGCTATTCCGGTTATGCCGTCACCGGCCTTGGCGGGGGAATGAAAGCTTCGAAGTTTGTGGATGGAAAAGTCCTCACGCGACGAGACACACCAACTCCCAACCGCCCTACGCCGGTCCGCCGTCTTTATTCTTCACCACGATCCCCGGCCGTCAGACACGATGTCGACGTAATTCGTCTCGAGTCGCTCCGCCGCGCCTGATTTTTTCTGACCGAGAAAGTTGCGGCACATCACTGCCTACCAACCATCATGGGACACTTTCAACTGGGATGGTAGGCTTTGATGCTGCCTCTCGGGACTCGGGATGACGAATGAGGGAAACTTCGTCGGATCGGGGGGAAAAAACAAGAGGCCCCATTCCATTTCCCAAGGGTTTCGTTTCAGGAGACCTCAGACCAGCCATTGACGGGATGACAATGATGACACTGCGCCGCACCCGAAGCCTACAAATCGTGTGAAATCCAGAACCCTCACCTTCGTTCTATATTATATTGATGATGCATGACTCTAAAGCGTCCGTCCAAAATGAACGAGACAGCGGAACCGCAATGCTGTGATGTACCTGATGTCGGGGAGATGCATTCCGCGATGGCCCCCTAGCCGCTCTTGTCTCTCAATCATCTCATCCCAACGCCCTGAGATATCCAGGCATATCCTGCATCGAGAATGAAGCATATCCCACCCTCGTGGTCTGGACTTTATGCAATCGCTCGGTTTCGTGACCAAATGATGCCATTTACCCCACGTTGGCCGAACAATTTCCCTACTATCCAACGCAACGTTGGATCAGCTCGCTTCAGCTGTTACTCGGTCGTGGGGAGCATTCGTACTAGAGCTTTGACTTCACCCACAGGCTAACCTTATTCTCGATGCCAGACTCGCCGTCGTAGATTTCTCTCTCTACCGCGCGGGTGTTGATCTGCGGCACTTGTTAGCATCCGATGTGTCATTACAGCCTTGGGTTTTGCCGCTTACAAATTTGGGCCCCAGATCACTGATGCTCTTTGCTCCGAGCAACCTCATGCATGTCTCCATCTCGGCTTTGAGGACTGGGCGAAAGGTTAGCGACTCGTTTGCGAAGATACGGCTCCCACATCAAGACTTGCTTTCGAATGTCCGCTCGACACCGGCTTGACCTCCGGCGCCGAGACCGAACAGAGCAGCGCGGCCAATACCCACCGCCTTCGCACCCAAGCAGAGAGCCTTGACAATGTCGGTACCGCGCTTGATGCCGCCGTCGACCCAGACTTCGATCTTGTCAAAGACTTCGGGGCAGTATTTGCGGATCTCCAGCAGCGTATGAACGGCAGGCGGTGCCGTATCGAGAGCACGACCGCCATGGTTGGATAAGATGATAGCCTTAACCTGCGGTGCGTACTGAGCCGCCAGGTAAGCATCCTCATGCGTCTGCAGCCCCTTCAACACGATGGGCAGGTCAGTGTGCTGGGCTAGCCACGGCAAAGTTGTCTTCCATTCCAGGTCCGCTGCCGTGCCGAAGAACAGCTGCTGCCCGACACCTCCGCCGCCTGGCCGCTTCGCATCATCTTGCTTTGCGTTCGACTCGGACTCGACCTCGAATGAGCCCTCAAATTGCTGCTTCTCATCGAGCTCACGCTTTCCAGGCCACGGTGCGTCCAGCGTCAATGTGATGTACTTGTAGCGGTCCCTCATGGCGTTGATGCGTTTCAGCATGGCTTCGCTCTTGGCCCTGTCGTTCTGTACGTAGAGCTGCCACCCAAAGACCTGGCCCTCAGGGGAACCCTCAATGATCTGCTCCGGGGTCATGGACGCATTATTCGAAACGCACTGCATTGCATTGAACCTGGCTGCTGCCCTCGCAATGCCTCGCTCTCCGTCAGGGTGGGCAAGTCTTGCCATGGCAGCCGGCGCCACAAACAGCGGAAGCCCTACGTGATTGCCGAGCAAAGTTGTGGAGGTGTCAACCTGTGTGCAGTCGACGAAGACGCGAGGCCGCAAAAGGATCTGCCTATATGCATGGCCATTGTTGCCCTTGGTCCAGAGGTCGTCAGCAGCTGAGAAGTAGTACGCCCACGCCTTCTTGGGGATAATCTTTGTGGCGGCCTCCTCAATCTCGTCAATGTTGAGCAGCGTCTCGAGCCTGGGCGGGCCCTCCTTGGGCTTGGCAGATTCTGCCTTTGCAGGTTGAGGTTGTAGCAGCGCAAGTGACTCGGGGTCTACCGTGCCCAGGCACTTTTCGGGCTTGAGGTTCTCCTCGAGGATACCCGGCGGGTGTATGGGATCGTACTCGTCCGTCGCATCTTTGCCGGAAAGTTTTACAATGATCTTGGAGCCGCCAGGGTGGGAAGGGAGGAATTCGGTCACATCGTACACTTTGCCGTAAAGCACCACCCAACAGCTGTCGGACGTGTTGTGCTTGGCCACTGTTAGAGTGTATCAGCATTACCTCGAACGAAGTACAGCAGGGAAGCACGTGGAACCGACCTTCTTCAGCAGAGAATATCTTGGACATTGTATTAGCAGTTCACAGCTCTATTGATAGTACAGCTTGGAGAAACATGGGAGAAACCTCAACATCTGACCGAGCGGGAACATCATTATAATAAGTCGCCAACCATTCGGCGGGAATTACCCCGTAACGTCTGGGTCGGTGAACTGGTCCGTGGGGGGTTGATCTGGGGTTCGTGCAGCAGAGGAGCCAGTCAGTTGTCGAATCACAGGGCACTTTTTGGTCAAGCGTTCTAGGGAGATGCGGTTGCAGTGCATTCCGTGGAGGCAATGGAGGAGTGGGGCAGGCCCAGTGGAAAGAAGACCGCGGCCGAGCAAAGAGAACCCCGAACATGCCCCGATTTCGGACATATCGGGCGGCTCTCGGCGCTAGACGCTTCTCCTCGCTTTGGCGCGGCAATGATTTTACGGGGACGTCATCCATATCTCTGCCCCAGAAATAGTACGTCAATTTCGTCAAGCAACACTACAGAGACGACTCTTGCGATCGCATAGGACCAACTGCAATAGCCTGCAATTTCGATTCGTATGCCGTGAACATCAAAGTCGATCTGCACAAAAATCACAAGCAAAATGCGCACGTCACTCCAGACCGGCGTACGAGACGTCTCTCACCTATGCGCGAGGTGCCAGCGACTGGCGACGATGGCCCGGCCATCCGGCGCGGTAGCCGTCTCGAATGGCAGCAGTCCGTTAGCCATGACACACGCGCGATGGGCTTCAGGAGCATCATCAATTATTTCCACCCAAAAGCGGTGGATGTCCGGGACTGTCCCGTTGTCACGGCCGGCGATGGCGGTACCAAACAGTGAACCGGCGGCCGCTACCGCGAGCTCGCCAGACCGCAACGTCCCCAAGACGCACTACGAATTCTTCCCCATCACCCTCCCCGACGGCCCGCCGCCCAAGGGCCACTTCCCGATCAACCAGCGCGCTCTCCGCCGCGAGTTCCTCCGGCTACAGGCAAAAGCCCACCCGGACATGCACCCGGCGGAGCTCAAGACGCGCGCGGAAGCGACGTCGGCGCGCATCAACGAGGCGTACAAGACGCTATCGAACCCGCTGCTGCGCGCGCAGTACCTCCTCTCGCTCCGCGGTGTCGACGTCGCCGACGACGAGACGCTGAAAGTGGAGGACCCAGAGCTGCTAATGGTTGTGCTCGAGGCGCGCGAGGAGATTGAGGAGGCGACGGCGGAGAGCGAGCTCGAGGGCCAGCGGGCCGCCAACGAGGGACGGATACGTGCAAGCGAGGAGGTGCTCGAGACGGCGTTCCGGCACGACGATATTGAGACGGCTAAGCGGGAAGCGGTGAATCTCCGGTACTGGGTAAATATCCAGGAGAGCCTGGATAATTGGGAAGCCGGGAAGCCAATTGTTCTGCAGCATTAGCTGGAAGAGCAATGATCATTCCGAACGAATCGAACGAAAAGATGGGCTTTTCTCAACAGTATATGAAGAAAGGATAAGGCGAAAGATAGAGAGAAAAACGTACATCTGGAATGAGAGGGCTCGCTCGTCATCATGGGCCGATTATGGGTCGATTGTGGCAGATACCCGGTGTTCATCAGCTCTAATGAAATACATAAATCAGCTCGTCTCCACACATCCCTGCTGTTGTGTTCATTGGACAAAATCGACGGAAAAGTACTAGTCACATTTGGTAAAAATTCCCGATTGCCCTAGAAAACCCGAGCTGTAATATTTTGCAGAGGTACAAAAGTGTTCCGCCTCCATAATAGCCTGCCCAGCAACCTCGTGAAACCGGCCTGCTAGTCTCCGGTGGTTCACCGAAGACAGAGATTGAGGTCAACCTGCTCCTTGTGGTAGAAATTTTCATCAAGATCGGTTTCGATGTCATCAACTCACAGTAATATCTTGGCGGAGAGAACACCACTATATTGGATCGACTACAGTAGACTCTGGATGCTGAATGACCACCACCCTATGGTACCAGCACACCACAGGTCTGAACTGAGTGTCTGTGCTTTGTGTTCAATAAATGACTCCCTTGTGCAGCATGCTCCTTCGTCATATCCAAGTTGGGTACGGGCTGGTGAGTCGTCTGCCTGATGGCTTGCGTTGCTCATATTTAAAGCTCAAGTTCGATTATGACTTAACTGGCAGTCGCAACTACTTGCAAAAGTACTTTGAAAGTCACAAGTTAAGAATCAGGTGAGTGCCTTATGACTACTTCAGCTGTAGAGAGCCGGTCGTAATGACAGTCTCCAAATTCATGTTCTGTACAGACAGCCACTGAGTATCGTGATAACGCCATGTCAATACCAGTTTCAAGTAAGTGACTTCACTGTTAAATTCCTTGTTTGTACTTGAACCAATCGCTGGGAACACAAATGGTGTGGAAACGGATCGATGTCCTTTGAAGTGAGTCGAATTTACATCAAGTGCTCCGGGACCTTGGCCCGTGGGTCCCTGTACGCCCCTCCAACAGCCCCTCAGAGCTCTTACCCTACCATGCCTGCCTAACTTGATCAATGACAATCATCCAAGAGCTCACCACAGCTCCTACAGCCCCACGGCTTCACGGCTTCACGACCAACCACCAACATCGAGAAGTTCAAGCTCAGAAACGCCCCCTCGTCCCACCGTACCACCCCAAGACAGCACTCCACACCCATCGCCCATCCAAAGCTCAACAGAACGCACACATAAACACACACACAAAAAACCATGGCGCCCTCGCAAAAGGTCGCCGAGCGGCTCGCCCAAGCCGAGTCGGCCCCAGGCGACAAGGCGCCGGCCTACGAGTCCATCATCGCCGACATCAAGACCCTCTCGTCCCCCCCCACGGCCGCGCCCGACCTCAACGCCGTCCTCGACGCCATCTTTGCCGCCTCCCTCGGCATCGTCTCCACCCGCGCCCTCCTGGCCTCCTTCGTCGCCGCCCTCCGCGCCCTCCAGAACGACGACCTATGGATCGCCGTCGGCAACCACACCCTCGCCCAGCTCGCCACACAGCCCTCCTCCTTCCTCGACCAGGCCGCCGCCGTCCGCGAGCTCGTCGCCGAGGCCCACGAGAGCTCCGAGGACTTTCTCGACGCCGCCAACGTCCTCGCCGAGATTCCCCTCGATGGGTCCCAGCGCAAGGTCACAAACGACGACAAGGCCCGCGTCTGGGTCCGCATCGCCCGAAATTACCTCGAGGTCGACGACACCACCGCCGCCGAGACGTACGTTAACAAGCTCAAGAACATCATGCATACCGTCCAGGACCGCGACCTCGACCTACACTTCAAGCTCTCCCAGGCCCGCATCCTCGACTCCAAGCGCGACTTCCTTGGCGCCAGCGGCCGCTACCACGAGATCAGCGTCAGCCCCGCCATCGCCGAGGAGGAACGCCTGCACACCCTCGGCATGGCCGTCAAGTGCGCCATCCTCGCCCCCGCCGGCCCCATGCGGAGCCGCGCCCTGGGCCGGCTGTACAAGGACGAGCGCTCGGCGGGGCTCGACGAGTTTGGCATGCTGGAGAAGATGTTCTTTGACCGCCTGCTCGCCCCCGAGGAGGTGGACAAGTTTGCGCAAGGGCTACAGCCGCACCAGCTCGCCACCACGGCCGACGGGTCCACAGTGCTGGCCAAGGCCGTCGTCGAGCACAACCTGCTCGGTGCGTCGAGGCTGTACCGCAACATTGGCTTCGAGGCACTGGGCTCCCTGCTCGGCTTGGACGGCGACAAGGCGGAGGAGACGACGGCGCGGATGATTGAGCAGGGCCGGCTTCTGGGCAGGATCGACCAGCTCGAGGAAGTAATTTGGTTCGAGGGAGGCGAGGCGTCTGGGAAGAAGGGTAGTGGACGCGCCGAGGTCGTCGTCGGCAAGGAGATGCGGCGATGGGATGCAAATGTGCAGAGCGTGGCCGAGGAGGTTGAGAATGTGACCAACGCTCTGCAAAAACAGTTTCCCGTGAGTTTGTCCGCTTGCCGTGAGCCTCTTTTCAACCTACCGTTTGCTAACAGCTATATTCAGGAATTCGTGGAAGCCAATTTGGTCATTTAAGATGAAATTTGATAAAGGAATTGAGCCACACACACATTACCGGCGTTGTAAAAACGGGGGAGGGGGATCATTGGCGTTTTAAGGATTCACGCGATCAACACAGAGCGCACTGCATAACACAATTAAGAGAAGTACGTCAATCACGTAGCCCAACTAGTGTAGTAGATACCTAGACTGTAGAAAGATGGACGACAAATGAATCAAGAAGTTTTAGGAACAATGATTTTCTGCATCTCGCATTTTTAAAAAGGTATCTAGTTCAAGTCTCTCATCCGCACGAATACGTATCCCTCGCTGAGCGAGCGCGGGTCCCCGTCCTCCTCGTCAAAGGATATCTCCTCCTCGACGTTGCGCCGCGCCCTCTGCGCCCTCTTGGATTGCGGGTTCCGCTCGAGCTCGATGAAGTCGCGGAGGGCCGCGGCGATGTGCGTGCCCATCCAGTCGTAGCCTGCTGGTGTTAGGTGCAGCCCGTCGTCCCAGTATCTCTTGCGCTCCCGCTCGGTGAGGGAGTGATATGGGATTCTGGGGTTGAGGTCGAAAGCATGGCTGGGATTTGGTGGTCAATACGTGCTCCGAGGGCGAGGTTTTGTGATTTTCTTATAAATGGGAAAGGAGCTTTTGGATAAGGGACCAAGAAAGAGACGATAGGAATATGGGATGAGAGACAGTGAAAGACAAGACATACTAATTTGATGACTGATGAGAGAGGATGGCGTTGTTGAGCTGCCGCCGGCGGGCGTCAAGCTCTTCACTCTTGGCTGAGCGTTCGGGGACCGTTAGCGCGAGGACTTTGCTCCCCTTGGCGATGGCCGAGTCGTACACTCTCCGGAGAGAGTCGAATATCTTTTCTGTTGGCACGTTGAATGCGAGGTCGCTGGCGTCCTGTTAGTCCGAGGCGACTTCAAGGATACTCAGTTTAATGGACTTGGACGTACTTTGTGCCTCCCAGTAGGATGACCCAGTCATATTGTGCTTGGGTGGCTAGATTAGGGGATTAGCAACTAGTTTTTCTTCTACAATAAAATGAGTAGTTAGGATGGAAAACATGGGATGGGAGGAGCGATGTCAGAATATTGAAACGATTCGTGAGAGATGGGAAGAGAGTGATAAACGAAAATACGAACCCTCGCTCTCGAAACGCTGCGCAAAGGCCCCTTGCGAGACGACGTCCCCAGGCATGCCGTTATCCGTCGCCACGATCTGCGTGTCCGGCAGGTAGACGGCGAGCATCTTGGTGAGAGCGACGGAGTAAGGATGGTAGACGGCGCCGTAAGACGAATACCCCGCCGTCAGCGAGTCGCCGAAGCAAAAGATGCGGAGCGTCTTGTCTTTCGACATTTTTCTCCCTTGCTCACAGTATTCGGGCCTGGTTGCTCGTGTAGACGTGCAGTGTCAGTTTGGGGTTTCTGCCTTGTGCAATTTGGCCCGCCGCTTGTTGGTAGACTGACGGCGTTTGGCCAAGGGACCGTTCAGGGGTGTCGTTGGCCTTTCTTCCTGTCTCTGTCCCGGGCTCCTGGTGCTGATTCCCCGGCTTTGATTTACCTCAAATACGAATATAGATCTGGTGAACAGAGTGAGCCCAGATGGACGCCGATGAGGTGAAGCAATGTAAGGTGGGTGAGTGCCGCACAACTCCCTGGAAGCGGTCTCCGAGGAGCAGGGGGGCCTAATCGCCGCCGTAGTTGGCGGTGCGATGTCAAGCGCAGCTCGAAGAGAGGTTTGACAAGAGTCCAAATGGGTATTCACGCACTTTTGGGGCTCTCGATACGTAGACCAATAACTGGCTCGTGGGGTGAAGGATTTATCCAAATGATGAACGGTCAGTAAGTCGTCACAGGGTTGTCGTCTAAGGCAGGCTGACGGGACGTATGAAGTTGGTCAGAGATCAGGTGGGGTGGCGGGCGGCGGACGGGCGGCTTACCGTCGGAAGGGGATAGACACACCGATAGGCAGTCGCACTTGACGGGAGAGAACAAACAGGTGGTGGGGTGGGGGTTGGGTGGCTGTTCTGCTACCATACGTGCCCTGGACGTTTTAATCAACGCTCAGGTCCCGCCGCCCTCTCCCGGAGCAATACCTGAGGTATCTTACCTAGGTAGGTACTCAATTGCGTGCTGACTCTGGCGGAACCTACTCAGCCTGGAGCAGTCAGCACCACCAACTACCTTAACCTCAACTTGCGCGCGGTACGTAAGGCAGTCGAGGTAAGAGGGCTCAGGCACAGCGGCACGGGGGCTTTGGGGCAGTGCAAACGCTTCGCCTTCTGCGTTTAGGTCGTTTTGTAGCAAGTCTGGAAACTACCTACCGTCTCAACGCATGCCGTTGCGTCGTCTCCTTCTGACTGTGCGGGTTCGTTTCCCGCTCATTGACAGGTGCACAAGCTGACAAACCACGCAGCCCTCCAACAGCTTGTCTCGTAAGCGTTTCTTTTTTGAATATTTGACAGCTCAATAATCAACCACCTCTGTCATAAACGGGTATCGGTTTTTCTGTGTCAGTGGTATTGTACAGACAAATAGTCCTGTTCTATCTGCATCACAGCCTTTCTGTAACGCGCCATCGTGACCATTTAGCATGAATACCATTATAAACATTATATACGTTACATGTGTATCTTATCCTGTTCTGTAAACTGTTTTCGTTTGGTATCTTGGAGGCATCTTGAACCATCCCTAGTACCCCCCTGCGACAATTTGGATATCATGAATATGGCCGTTTCATCAGCGCATCCAAGGAAATTAAATAATGGGGCTGGATCATGGAGAAATCATGAATCGCATGGAGAAAAACCACCCATGTCTCGGGGCTCGCTGCGCGGTCAACAAGCATCTCATACAAGCTCCGGCTGCTGCCACCGGCCCCTCTCAGTGTGCCACCACCTCTCCCGGTCCTTCTTATCCGAGACGGTCGAAGACACATTCCACCGCCCCTGACAGCCTTCCCTCCCGACAGCGACTTCCTCGCCATTATCCGCCGTCAGGTCCGCCATCTCGACAAGCCCGCCGCGCTCGTCCTTGGCGCCAGGGTCGGGGCGCAGATTATACGTGATACGGCTCTCCACCGTGCCGATAAAAGCCGCGAGCCCGTACTTCTCCAGCACCGTGCCGTCCTCGTCAATGACGTTCAAAAAGAACCGCGGGAGCGCGGCGCGCGCGGCTTCGAGGCGGGCTTGCGCCGCGAGCCGGGCTACGTGGAGGTTGGTACATTCGCGAGCAGTCTCGGTTATGACAGGAGACGCCGGGGCGGTGGGCGAGCGGGACGTCTTCGTCGGCGAGACGGGGCTGTGGATTGTGCCGGGGGTGGGGAACGAAGCGCTCCTGGCAGGTCCGTTGGGGCCGCGGAAGCGGTCGCTCGCGCTGTCAGTCCTCTCCTGCGGGCGGCAGAGAGCTTGGAAGATGCCCTCGGGGTCGTTGGGGGCGCGGAGGTTGCGCAGGGAGGGGAAGCCGGCGGCGGAGATGCTGCGGGCGAGGATGGAGTCAGCGGCGTTGGCGTGTGTCGTGTTGCTCGTGATGTCCCAGTGTAGCTTGCGAAGGGAGGAGGAAGCGAGGTATGGCATGAGCCAGATAAAGGTGTCCTCGGGAAGCGTGGGCGCAACGGTTTGTACAAAGGTAAAAACCTCGAGGTATGTGAAGTTGGAAAATATACGAGCCAAGGCAGGCAGGGAGTCGAGGTTAGTATGGCGCAGAGTCAGCCTCTGGATCGCCTGGCTCGTTGGTAGGGTGGCTAGAGCAGAGATGCCGCTGCTGGTGACACCCGGCACGTGGGTGAGTGATAGTGTACGCAAGGGGGGGAGTGAGAGCAGAGTGCTGTCGTTGAAGGCGGTCACCGGCATTCGCGAGAGGAAAAGGTGCTGCAGAGACGTTAGGTGCATCAGTGCTGAGCTGATGAGATTATCCGGAGTAAGAGTTGCGCCGGGGAGGCAGTGAATCGACAAAGTCGTGAGATGGGCCCAGTCGACGTGGAAGTCGAGGAACGCCGCGCTCTGGTGCGGTTGCAGGTCGCCGGGTGTGACGGAAGTATCGTAGGATGCCTGGGTCATCGCGGCGATGTTGCTTCCCGAGCTCGACTTGAGTCGGTGTTGTCGCTGGAATGGCGATGGCTCGACGATCCAATCCATATGCTTGAGGCGCTTGCGCGATGAGAGCGCGTGGAAAAGCTTGCTGAACGAGTGGTCATACGAGGGGTGAAGGCCGATGAGGCGCTCAAAATTGGGACAAGCCATGATCAGCGCAGCTACCTGATTGCGATAGTCCTCCGGCGCGATCCCGGCAGGGGGATTGGGGACCTTGACAGTGTGGACGATACCCGCGAGATATGAGTTCGCTCTCAATGTCCTTCTGAGGAGCATCATGCGGGTGCCGAAGGTCAGTTTGTGTCGCTTTTTCTGAGATGATGAGTCGGCTCCCACGAGCTGAATATCCTCGTACCTGAGAAGGACAGTTAGCAGTGAGGCGCACCGTGACGAGGAACAGGATTCTCACAAGGCCACTCGCGCGAACTTGCACCATTTTCTAGCCGTCAGGGTTACCGAGCAGACATCTCTCATCCAACATGTCGCGCAGCTATCTGTCGGCTTTTCGAGATGCACCTTCTTGAGCTCGCCCAGAATCAGCTCCAGGACCTCTCCGGGCAGCTTCGCAAAAATTTCCCCGGGCTTCGCCTTCTTCCTAAAGACGGATGTCTGGCTGGGTCGTTGGTACATGTACTCGGGCCGCCACATTGTGGTACTCGAATCGATGCTTGTCCTGTTGCTACTGTACGACGAGCTTCGGGATCGTGTCTCAAAGCTTTCCCTCGGGTTGTTGACGCTCGTGACGGTGATGGTGGATGCCTGGGAAAGTTTCCTCGGCCGGTTGAGGGCTGTGGTAGGCATCGATTCGCAAATGACTTTCGAATCCAAGGGGGCCGTCTGCAAGGCATATGGTACGCGGGCGATGCGTGGGCTTGAGCGCGCAGGCTCCATCGTTGCCATCGTCGCCATCGTAGCCATCGTCGACTGTTGCTGCTCACCCTTGTGGTGGTACAATTCTGGGGCGCCAAAGTATGCCGGAGCAGGTCCGTGGCTGGCGGTCATAACCGGAGACGACGGGACGGAAACGGAGGCGGCGATAGCTGGATACGGAGCGAAACGACCAGGGACTCTTAGACGATTACCATCATGTAAGATGTAATTAGAAGCAGCAGGTGCAGCGGAAGCTCGTCTCTTGTGTTGGAGAGCCCTTGGGTTGCTGTGGAGAAGAGACAGGACGTATTAGTACGTAGGTGCTTCAGGGATTATCCAGCAAGCGGAATTCGGCAGCGGGCAAGGTCTCAAGCCAAGAATGGAACAGAAGTCGGCAAACAGGCAAATTCCAGACGCAAGAAAAATTAGAGAATTGCCAACGTGACGTGACGGGGGGGCGGGGGGGTAGTCAACATTGGACACACATAGAACACAGGAGCAGAGCAAAGACATCGAGAGAGAGCACCGACGAAGGCGCAAAGACACACGCGCGGGGGGGGGGGGGGGGGGGGGGGGGGGGGTTCTAACGTGTTTAATACTAAAGAATCGGAGAAAAGTAAAAGGAGATGAAAAGAAGAACCCAAAAAGGACACGCAAAGAACGGCACAGGCGCACACCAAGGAGGCTGCCGCTGGGCAATCTGCAAGTGCACCCTGGATTTGACGGAGGCTTGCGCGGGCAGAGAGGTGCGTGGGCTGTGCCCGGACCGGCGCTCGCTCTGATGATCCTATCCAGATGGAGTCTGACGAGTTATCGCCCATACATTTTCCGGGGGGTGAGGGAGTGATTTGGGGGTCGTCCTTCCTCGCGGCCCCCCTGACCATTGGGCCTTGTTGGCCCGCCTCGAGGGGAAAAACTCGTCGGAATCAGGAGCTCTCACGCCTTTGTTGTTGGCCGGCGACGTACAGATACGCAGTGACGAACTAGTCGAGTCGCGCAAGTTGCGACCCAGCAACGTGGGCGCGGCGACAAGAACTCCCTACTTTAGCACTTGCGCTAGGGCTTACGCTACATGCGGCGCGAAGAGGGACAGGTAGAGGCAGAGAAGCAAAACTGGTCTCTCTGGCGTGCCGCTTGGCGGATAACAGCGCAAATTTGCCTTGCTTTGCAACTGACAGAGACGCGCGCCACTGTCCATGGTGGAAATTAGGACAACCTACTGGCGGTCTCTAGACCCTCTGTTGTGCCGGGCCCCCGTTGCAATGGTTCCCGCATATGGCAAGCCGCAGACGTCCATCCTGTAGAGTTACACTCAAACCTCAAAGTGTGTTCGAGTTTCCGCGAAACAAGGAGAGGGGAGGTGATGACGGCTCAAGGATGAAGCAGTATCATTCGATCATGGGATCCGCTACGCTCAACTGAAGCTGGAGACGAGATGCAGGGGTCATGGCAGGGGGACACGTGGAAGAGGAAAGTCGTGGGTACAGAGTAATCCGAGCTCCCATTTCGTGCGTTGATGCATTTCCCATCTCAGAAGTGACAGGCCGACGCTGGGTAACTCTGTCTCCGCCCCGCCCAGCAAGGGCAGAAGGATCTCGTGGGAACGCAATCTTGAGACCAAGCCAACCGGGAGAACCTCACGGCATCGCAGGAAGTGAGTGGCTTAGGTATTCAGTTGAGCTGGATTCTCTTGCAGCAGGCCACAGCCCGAGTGCGGCGTACTAATCCGTGTCTGTCGGTCGGCCTAGAAGCGTGCCCGCGGTGGGAAGAGCTAGACACTGGAGCAAAGATCTCGGATTTCCACATCCAGAGTACACTTCCAAAAGCAGCCTCGGTTGGGTCTGGATCCACTTGGAAAGAGAGGCTCGGGATCGATGATAAATGAGGCGTGGGGCTCTGCCCCGTCCAGCATTTTCGTCCGTCGAACGACGCGACTCCCACTCGCGAGCCGTGGGCCGAGGCGTCATCGCTGTTCTTTATGTGGGCAAAAGCAGAACAATCCCGACGGAGAAGCAACGGCAGCCATGAAACTTGCCAAAGTTCTTGTAAAACGGGAAAATGGGTTGAACCAACACGTCAAAAGCCAACGCCAATGCCATCTCATGTAGAATCGTGCAGAAACGAAATTTCAGATGCAGCAGGTGACGGATCGCGTCAATAAACAGAACGCAGCATAGAATACGAGGCCAAGCGAACGATGCAATGTAATATGGGTGACATAGAAAGAAAGAAGGAAAAAAGCGCGCGACAAGAGGCAGTTGAACAACAGGCGAGCGAATCAATGAAGCAGTAGGGGAAACCAGTACGTGGAACAAAGAATGGGGGAAATGCAGTCGTCGATAGTGTTGAAAAGTACGGGAAAAAAGATGGGGCAATTGTCTACGTAGTAGAAAGAGGGACTTACGGAACGTGTGATTTGCTGCTATTTTTGACATCGAGGAAAACGTGTGCGTAGACGCCATGTCGAATTTCGTTGGCACGACTGTCGTCCAGCGCTGACAGCGATTGCCTTGCACCGGCAGGCCCAAGGCCAGAGACTGCCCGGGTGGCCCGGTAGTCTTTCTGTTCAATAGCGTAGCTGTGGTGGCTATAGTTGAGTCCGTAATCAGGATCGAACCGTCTGTTGCCTTTGTAGGAAGTCGTGGTCGCTTGGCTCGCAGGCGGTATCTCGTAATACTGCCGTCCGCTGATCATTATGCCGTTTGAAATTCGAGGTTCGCGACCGTCGCTTGTCGACGTACGGTGTCGACTGATATTCTCCTTCTTCGTCTTCGTCTTCACTTCCGTGGGCTTTGTGACCGTCCACGTGCCGTCCAAACCTTGGCGAGATGCGGCCCTTTTTATTTAAACCGACAAAAGGGGGTTGCAACCTGGGTCTTCATGAGGTCGTTGTGCCGTAATTTTAATATACCGGACGTGGGGATCGCTTGGCCAGCTGCCGCTGTTGCGAGGGTGGGTTTTCAATTTAGTAACCAACCCGCTTCAGCCACCTTGAGAGCACCATCAAGAGCAGGAAGCTGTTGCGGATTCGCGATGACAGATGAGCCGAGCCGGGAAGGGGATACGAGGGGAGTAGAGATCGAACGATAGAAGCCGAGAACTATAAGCCGTCAATACCAACAAACGAAGGTGGAAAGGTGAAAGATTACAAGACGAGGGAAGCAAGAGGGCAAGGGCCTTTCAGTTCGCAGCCTTCGTGCATCCGGGTGCCTTATATTTGAAATCTAGAACCCCATCCTACGCTCGAAATGTCCCCATCAAATCGCGGTCTGCGGTCTGGGATCTTGGTCTCGTGGTCCCAAGACAAAAAAGTCAGAGCCCTGCTCGGCGCTCACGCACTCCCGGCCCTTCCACCTCCAAAACCCTTACTAGAGCTGCGCAAAGCAACGCAATATGGTGACAACATTCTGCACTGCAGCGGCTGGGAGGCGCCTTAGTCGCATGAATGATTGGATATTGTGTGGGTAATCTAACCCCTCTATCCCCCTCGTCTAGCTTGTCTCGCACCTCCAGCTCCAGCAATCGACGATGGGCCGCAGGTGCCAGGCACTCAACTCGATACAATGGAGGTGCCCACATTTCTGGCGAGGAACTTGTACCCGCAGCCTGGGAAAAAACAAGGTTAACAGCCCGACAGGGTTGGTGATGTTCTGGAGCTCCCTCAACGCTCCAGGCCATTCCCTAAGTGGCGGAGCGGGAGACCGGCCACGACGACTCCCGAACGCGACGAATGAGCAGTCCGGGGGAAGCCAATGCATATGGCATCTCGCCCTGGCTGTGTTTCGCGGGGTTGCGATGAACCGTGCCGACATCCAGTAATATCCGTATCATCATGTGCAATGCTGATGCTGCACAGCCAGTCCATTCGAAGATGCGCCCATCTTCCTGCCCAAAAACACACCAGCCGGCAGCTCGTCGTCTCGTAGGGAGGAAGACAGGGACAGGCCGCCGAAGCATAGTGAACGTGCCTGGCGTCCGCCTCGGGCAAATAGATCCTGTATGCGTAGCTCATCCTCCTCCCTCTCGTCCGTCTGGTCTCATCATTCTGACCTCGTTTCGTCCGGACCATCATATCAGTCCGACCTGTGGCGTGTCGGCGAGAGGCTGGGCTGGGGCCATCTGGCAGTCCCGTTCCGCCCTGCAGCGTGGACCGGACGGAAAGTTGAGAGGGGTGTTTGATGCAGCTAGCCATGACGAGACCCTTCTGACCACGCAAGGTTTCTTGGGCACAGACGGGGCTAGAACCTGCAAGCTGCAGCCGTTCAGACAGACAACGGCCAGTGTGTGCATTGGCGGCAGCAGCATCCAGGAACAGAAACTGAAAACCAGGAAAGTGAAGTGGGACAAAACTCACTTCACCCCGGAAATCCCACCCTAGAAATCCCATCTCATCCCATCTCCAAGGCCGACACACCGAAAACTCAACACTGCCAGGCTCCAGCTTTTGCTTAGAATTGTGTGACACTGTGAACCCCCGGACGCCGTGGCGCGTGCTGAGGTCGCATCAAAGTCGCCTCGTCAATCTAGGCTACACTAGACGTCTTACGCACATCCCGTTGCCGCTTCCGCATCTGCATTCCCGTGCCGTGTGGACTTGCTCCGCGATGCCTGGCTTGCCCCGAAATTGGGAAGGTATCGTCACATGCCGCTTCGATGGCTCGTGTAGTTGGTGGGTATAGTGGCGACGGTGTTGCTGTTTTTAATGAATATACATATATCGTTCTATTGCATTCCTTGAGCCTCATGAGCATCTTTCTGTATTCGAAAAGGCCGTGGAGCGATGCAGAAGAACGCGAGAATGGATAGTCCCGAGAGATCGGAGCAACGTAACTCGTTCGGGGTAAGCTCATTGCCGTGATGAGAATCGATTTCAACGGGCGTCCCTGCTGTTTTCTGTCTTAGCCTCGACCTTAGCGGCTAACCTCAGACGAACCGCCCAACCTCTGGAATTTGGGGAGGAAACAGGGGGCGAAGGAGGCGGAAGACGACTCATCGTCGGTTCGTTGGTTCGTTATCAACAATGGCCATTGTAGGTAGGTGAAACGAGTCAGGCTGCCTGCGTCGAGCTGTTCAGAGTCTCCACGATTGCGCGGCGATTTGTTGAGAATGATGCAAGCCGAGGCTGTCTTGGTAGATGTGCAGCATTGGTTCAACTGAAGCGGACAGGATGGGCAGAGAAACGCCTCTTTCTGTGTGTCTCACAACCCCAGCCTTGTTCGCCATGCTTGCCCTGCCATGCCTCTGGTGAAGGTTGACAGTTCCACGGAAGGCGTCATACCATGTCGTGCTCACTTCCTTCTTCCTCGGGTTCCCTTCCTTTCTTCTTTCCCTGCTCAACGGGCAAGTAATACGGAGTGGAGAAATAAGTTCGTTTCGCAACAATCTGAAGGAGCTACGGTACTTGCCTGGCACACTGCACTGGGCCGTTCCTTCCTCCATTGTCTCTGTCATAGGTATACTACGTAACGTGCACGCTCCAGATCCCCAGCCCCTTCCTCCCTGACAGGACAGTACGGATGCAAACTGGGTCCATGATCTCCATCAAAACCTCCTTGCCGAGCCCTCCGCATTGCATCATCGTCTCTTACCGGTTGTCATCCGCTCTATTGTGAACAGGTCCTTTGTCGTGCTTCCGTATTCGCAAATCCATGCAACGGATATACCGGGTTCATTCCCATGAAGCAAGAGGGACATAATATGCGAATGGCTTACGTACGGCACGCCCACGCCGTCTGGGCAAGGAAATCCAAGCTTTGCAAACTCTTGTTCTGGTCCAGTTTTGTTTATTACACGGTACACCTTATCGTTGAATCTTGTTTACACACGTCCCCTCACTTTTACTTAGCCGAAAGGGCAATGCCTCGAGAGTCTGTTCCAATCCTCCGTGCGCTGCAATTAAAAGCAAAACGTCCGACCCCCTAAACCCACGAGGTTCTCTCGGTGGCCCGTCCGACTTTCCCAGTTCCTCGGTCGACCCGGCCGCGCTACCTCTCCTTGCCGTGACCGGGTTCCGCTGTCATTTTAGAAGGTATCCATAGTACAAAGATAAAACAGCCGGCGTAGCTTTGGACAAGCGCTTCGCCAAGGAAAAGAGAGCAACGGGCCAATGGCTAACACATTCCTTGCCTTTTCGCCGCTGGTCCCCGTCCCGGCCCGGCCTCGGACGCGGCGCCTGTCTGCATAATGAAAATTCATGGCTCTCGGAGGGGTCGCCTCCCAGACTGAAAAGTTCGCTTGGCATCACGTCAGGATCAGCATCCGTTTGTTCTGGAAAACAAAAACAATTGCATGGTGTTGTGTCGCAAAGACCTTGCGTTCCTCTGGCAACAGCCGTCACTCCACTATGTTTTGATTTCGGATTCACATGAGCCCATGCGGAATGAATTTCATCAAGTATCATCAAAAAAATAATGATTTACCCACTGTGAGGGAATCATTGAAGAGAGGTTTGAGCAGCGATTCTTATTGCTGTCGCATTCATGTGCAGCTTAGTTGGTATCTCGGAAGCACTATACAAAGTTGAACCCACCCCCCCCCCCATCCTGCTTGGACAGCAGCCACCCAAAACTACCGCAAAAAATCCAGACCACGTCCAAATACCATTCGTCATGCTTGGTTATTTCAAAGTCCAGAAATGTCCTTTCAGAATCGCACTCGGGGCGTAGGCCGCTCACCACTCACACCGTTGTCACCTGCAGCCAAGCGCATGCGGCGCGCAGGTCTAGCGCCATCCCCCGCCGGGTTTCCATCGCCTTCGGGTTCAGGACTATGCAGTCGCTTACGACCGGTCAGATGTGTGCCGTCTACCGGCTTAACATGGCCAACGGTTGACTTGATCTCTGTGCCATTCGCCAGAGTATCCTCTTCTGCACGTTGAACTCCAACGAACTTGCTGCCAAAAATCGGCTGAGGATGCTTCAGCGGAATGGCTTGCGCCAGGTAATTGTTCTGGTCTTTGGGAAGAGGTGTGATGCCAGCGTTCAAGATCCAGTTATAAATGGGACGATCGTCCAAGATGGATTTGCACTTCCAGTGCTCAAACTGCGACATGCTCTTCTTGCGTTCCATAATGACTTCTTCAATGCTGTCCCGCAGAACAAGTGTCTCGACCGTCACGGGCTTCTGCTGGCTGATGCGTCGGGCGCGACCAATGGCCTGCGCTTGGATCTGGGGGTTCAGAACGGGGTTGATGAAGTAGATTCGCGAGGCGGCCCTCATGTCGAGGCCAATGGCGGCCTGCGATAAATCCATGAGAATGACTCTGGCGCAATAGTTAGAACACAGGAAACATGCATGTGTAAGGAAAGCGCTCACCTTATCTTGGGGTCGTGGTTGAAGGTGTCGACGTACTCCATCTTCCGGTCATACGTGAGCTTGCTGGCGTAAATCAGGTGGCGTACGTGAATCTGTACAACAAGGTTAGTTTTTCGTCAAATTCCGTCAAAAAGGTCACACTCACCACTTCAAGAAGACCAGCCAGGTACCACGCCACGTTCTCATTTTCGTAGAATATGATGATTTTCTCCTTATCTTGGTGCTCTACCACGGCGTCGATGAGGTAAGAAAGCTTTGCTGACACAGTGGAAACCAACGTAGCCTTCTTGAGATCATCCGGAAGTTCCTCCAGCTCAGGGATTGGATCGCCTGGTTTTGAAGCGCTCAATTTGAGGTGTCGAGGGATCCTTTCACCTCCTAGTCTCGTATTGCCAGCGAGAACCCCGCGAGTCTTGGATGGCCGCTGATCAACCACGATATCCTGTGCCCCAGACAGGATCTGGTCGGCTTGCTCTTTGCGGCCCTCGTACTCCAGCTGGCCGTTGAGTAGACTATTCAGCTTGGCAGGCTTCCCCATAGCGGACGCGATAAGCTTCTGCGCGGTAAGCACCATTCCGGCATCAGTGCAGGTGGGGTTAGCGTCTCGGTCGTCGAGGGACCAGGCAGAGCCCACACCATTGGGGAGGAAGTCGCGGATAAAGATGGGAACCTCGTTGAACTTGTTGCTAAAGTCTTTCAGTTGGTTGTCGATGGCAACGTGGGCGACTTCCATGGCCTGCTCCAGAAGAACTGTATCTTCCTTGCTTGTAAATACCTTCAACTCTCGGATGAAAGTCTCTGCAGTTTCGAGTGCCTTCATTATATCGTCCTTAGCGAAGAAGGATCCGCCAAAGAAACTGGCTTGCTTCAAGTTGTGAACCAGCTGGAGCAAAGCCTTACGTTGACGTGGATGGAAGAAGTAATCCATGTCGACTCTCTGGGACTGTACCGCATTGAAGATGATCATCATTGAGAAGATATTGAGCGACAACTTGTCCTGGTATGAACCATCCAACACGACTACATTTTCGTTTACTGACGGAAGCAAGGTATTGAGCTCCGATAGTCGATGCCTGACGATGAGAGAGTTCATTGTTGCCCGCAGCACCCCCATGCGGCCAGTTGATCGGGAGCTGTGCTTCGGCTGCATCACGTAGACTGCCCAGTCCGCGGCCGTGTCCCCTGTCTCGTGGACACTGTTGGACCAAGGTCGAGCATTGAGATACAGTGATGCAATCGCTCCGATTTTCTCAAGATCTCCCTTTTCCGCCTCGGCCAGGGCCGCCGCCTTGTCGACATTGCCCTGGTCATCGAGGTGGGCATCGTTGAAGTGCTGGTCATCTACACCAAATAACCCAGTTGCTGGCGTACCGGTAACGATCCAGCGAGCCGAGATAGTGAGTTCATCGATGGCGAGAAGAGTATTGCTCTTATTGTTGATTTTTGCGTAACCTAGCTTGTGGCCTTCATCGACGATGCAGCGCTTGAAATGGACTTCTGACAGAGGGCACCCCGACATCATGGTCTCTCTCCATACTCTATCGAGCCGCGAGTGTGTAATGAGAACGAGGTCATATGCCGCAAGGACCTGGGAGTTGGGGATTTCCTCTTTCTGACTAGTCAGCTTGAGAACCTTGAGACCCGCCGGGTTTCCCGGGTCGACCATGTGCTTTTCAATCTCTTGAATCCATTGCTGAACAAGATTGTTGGGTACGATCACGATGGATGCATGGCTGTGCCTGATCTTCTTGGCTGGTCGATCAACATGATGCTCGCGGCGTCGAAGGCGCTTGGGAGGGGCCTCGGGGATGACGTAGCGGCTAGGATTGCGGCGTATTGCGGCTATGCACTTGGGAAACTCCAACTCCTGGCTCGCATCGTAAACGTTGAAAAATGCTTTCCAAGGCGCTGCCTTACTGTTGATATTCGAGGCCGCCATATCCGCGAGTGATCCAATCTTCTTTCTCACGCGCACGTCGCTCCCTTGGTAGATTTCGGGAGTGCGGGTGGGTAAATGTCTGGTAGCCAAGATGACGGCAAGGCAGATGAGTGTCTTGCCAGAGCCCATCTGTTCGGCCAAGATACCGCCTCTGACACTGTCGTAAAATCTTGGTTCCTTGGTGAGCATGCCGGAACTAGTATCGTAGTAGTAGTCCGCACCGTTTTGGTCGGTTGATTTGACAAGTCTTGGGTCCAGGAATTGACCGGGCTCGCTTTCACGCTGAATCATGACCGCAGCTGAACGGCGCTGATAGTCGTACAGCTTTGAAGACTCGTTCAGACCAGGAAGGTTGCCTTCGAGTACGCTGTAGACGGCATCTTGGTCGAATGGGTTGGCGATGATATCGGGCGCCGGGTCCGGAGAAGGAATGGTGTTGAAAAGCCGCAGTAGTGTGGCCGAATCATGAGAGTCGTCTTCTGCTCTGAAGATATGGTCCAGAGAAATTGGTTTCGAAGTCGGTCGGCCGGACCAGGCCTGCTGAGAGAAGTCTAGCAGGGAAATGAGAGCCTTGCGTGATCTTCGTAGCTTGCCGCGATCTCGGTTGATGATCTTGTTATCAATGTCGTCGGGCAAGACGTAGATCCTTGCAGTTCCATGCTCTACTTCACCGGGATGAATGAGCAACTCAAGTTGAATCCATCTCTCAGCAACGAGGTTCTTGTAGTGCTTGAAAGACGCAGACAGGAGGAAGGTATCCTCTACGTCGTCGAACGGCTCGGAGGCTTTGGCACCCTTGGCAGGTATAGTCGGCGTGATTCCGCCCCAGCTCCCGAATCTCTCCTTCAACAGCTCCCACTCTTCAACTGTGAGCTGGGTATTTTCCCGCGTAATGGCAAGGCTTCCTAACGGAATAAAACTTGATCGTGACGCCATCAGGCGATTTGACACGCCACCGCACCGAAGAGCGCCCGCGTGATTGAAGAGCGTAGCAATGCCGATCATTCGTCGAAGGCCGCGTCAGTCTTGCTTCTGAATTATGAAAGAGAGAAAATTGGATTTTCCAAGTGACAGGTTGATGAGATTGGATGGTTGCCAAAGTTTCAGTGTAAGAGGAAGGTGAGAGAGGGTGAGTGTGTTTAAGGTACCTTACTAAGGTTTGGCGACGCATGGGAGCCTGGGTACAGTGCCAAAGGACGTCGGGCACAGCTCCGCCTGGCCCTTCTTCAACAAAAAAAACAGTGCGAGCTCACCACCAGACGTCACGTCAAAGAGGGTATAGCTTTAAATTCACCCAACTCAAGAATTGTTCAATTTCATCTGAATTTTTTAGTCACCGAATTGAATCAGAAACTTGGCCCCCCGGCGTGCAAATTCCCATCGCCATTCTTGCATGTCCCATGTACGAACAACCCCTTCCTTCAACCCTATCATGACCAAGAGGAGGATTACGCCAAACAACTCTTGAGTCTATCACCAACCATGCCTATCATGGCAGTATTTGCCACTCTAATGCTTCTTGGTCTTCTTGCTGGTCTTGCTGGTCTTGCTGGTCTTGCTGGCCTTGCTGCCCTTGGGCGCGGAGGTGGCGCTGATAGAGACGCTCTGGCTGGTCTTGCCCTTGGAGGCTGTGTCGGTCTTGACGTTGTTGTCGAGCTTCTTCTGCTCAGCGTCGATCTTGGCCTGATTGCTGGCGCCCTGGGCCTGCTGCACCTGCAGAGCGAGAACCTCGAGCTGGAGCTTGAGAACCTTGTTCTTGATCTTACCGACCTTCAGGGCGTCCGCATCGGCCCCGGACGCCTTGGCAATGGAATCGTTGAAGCCGCCAGCGTCGGTCTCGGCACTCTCAGCGGCGACACGAGCAGCCTGGAGGGTAGCCAAGTCATCCTTGCTGACTCCAGCGAGGTTGGCCTTGATCTTGTCAACCTGGAGGGCTGTCAGGATCGTCTTCTCGCGGGTGGAGATGTATCACAGTAACTTACGGGGAACTTCTGGGCGACTTCAGCAAGGGCGTTGCCACCAACACCAGAAGAGACTTGAAATTTAGAGTAGTCCTGGACTGTAAGAAGCTTGGCCTGGCGCTTCTCGGCTCCCAGAATGGGGGCGGAGAGACCGGTGGCGGCCAGAGTGAAGAGAACGGCGATCTTGGAGAAGTACATGTTGTTTGAAGGTTGTCGAAAGGCGTGGGTAGGTAGATTGCTAATAAGAATGTTTATAGTTAAAAAGATATTGTCCGGCAAAGAGTGAATGGAACAGCGCTGCTGTGATGAATGAAAGGAAGGTGAATTATCGAGTCTGAGATATTGTTGATACTGAGGAGAGCAGAAGAGAAAGGTAGTGGATGATCGGGGCAGCGGGAGGATCTTATACCTGAACTTTCTATAGTACCGTACGCAGTCAGTTCGTCTCCTCTCCTCCGTACTCACCGCATACAAGGTTGTGCCCATGGGCCCCGCGGCCTCCCTCAGACCTCTTCATGGCTCGATGGACGACGCTTTCCGTCTGCCTGGCAGGGCACTTCATCTCACGTCCGTCACAACTATCCCCATAGATGCCCTGCTCCTGAGTCGTCCGAACCAGCATCATAAGCCGTGATGGCTCATGGGCGTCTCATCCGAGCCTGGCTGCAACATAAGGGTTGGACGATTGCATCAATAACACCAGCCAAAGCTAGGTTTGACCCCTGATAGACTCCATTGAGGAGACAAGCTTCTTTGCCAAGTAGCGGATCGACGAGCAACGTCAATTGTTCTCTCGGCGAGTCACGGTCCAATCAGAAACCGCGCGCTCCCTGTAGCCTGCGCAGGTTCTGCAGTCGAACCGCCGGCTCCAAACAGGCTCTTGGTGTTGGGAGTTTTGGCTTGTGGCTGTTGCGAGTTTGAAGTCTGTCGAAGATCATGGTGGATCTGCCTCATACCCATGGCAGCTAAGCCCAATCAGGCTGTCGTTACCTGCCCGTCTGGACAATGTGGGGCGGCTGCCACCAGTTGGCGCGTGGGCAAGACAACTAGTGCGTGGTGCGGTGCCACTTTTCCGTCCCTTCTCTCCCAGTTCTTCAACATCTTAAGCATTCCCCCGTCAATATTCAGCCCCGAAGCGATCCCGGAGGCGTTCCCGTCACGGCCATTTGGTGCCCCATGAGCCTCTTTGCTTCGCCCTTATTCCCAACTCCTGGCCCATATTACTTTCTTCGGATGACCAGATCCGCGACAGAGGGACACATGGGATGCCATCACTCTGTAGGACTAGGGGCCGCACGAAGGGCAGTCTCCAGTCGAGTTGCGTCCGACGCAAGCTTCAAGATCTCCGTGCCACCTGACATCGTCAAACCCTTTTCTCGGCTGCGGTAGCCCTTTCAAGGTCGAAAGGGTCGCAGTCACCCATCTCTACGGAATTCTTTGAGCGTGTTTCGAGTCTTGGCTCTACTGCTTCTGCCACTTCATGCGACCCCCGTCAGGAGATCGGACGTTGACCCTCCCGATGGAATCTAATAACTTCGGCACCACCTGCCGAAAACCTTGTTCCCTGACTACACGACGAGAACGCCCGAGTTTGGGTGGTCACCGACGTACAACGTTGGACGACATCCCATCTTGGGACGTCATGTGAAGATTGTTCCGGATGGCAGGCGGCATTGTTAACTGTATGCGGGCGACTGAGTCGAGAGAACCTTTCAACGGTCGTCAGAGCTCCTACGATCGCGTTTGAATCGACAACAACGAGAAATTTACTTTGGTTTCCTGACATGACTCGGCTCTACGTCTCAGTTCTCGAGCCTGGGGTTCAACTCCATACTTGATGATCTTTGAAGATCTTTCATGACCCTTGATGATCTTAAATGGGCGCTGTTTAGCGAGCCAGCTCTTGTTTTCCCGCTCAATGCAGAACTCAAATGATGAACAGGGCATCTTTCATGTTCCAAAAGGACGGAGAGTTCAACAGTGAAGTAGTCTGATTCGGTGGTATCTGCTCACGATACCCACGTGTAAAGTCAAAAGCTAGATATACGTTTTCCTAGGAAACATCTCCTCCGTTTAACGCCATGTCTCCCCTTCATACTCCTAAAAAGGTAAAAAACGAAAGGTTTCAAAAAAGTGTTATCTACCCAGTAGATGTTGAAGAAGCGGAAAAAAAAAAAGGCCGTAAATGTCGTCGAAAGGGACATGATAGAAACCAGCCTCCAACGCCATTGTACTCGTGTCCACCACCTGAGTTCAAACCTGTGTAACGTTTACTCGAAATGAGTCAAATGAGTCCTGCTCCTTGTGTATCTCGCGTCTCTTTACTCCCTGATAAGCTCAGTTCAGTAACCAGGTGCTCCAGGGATGGCCGAGACGCCCGGGACACCCGGAATCGGGGCCGAAGGCCGAGCCGTCGGCACGCCAACTGGAGCAGTGGCGGGGGCGGAAGCGCTGGCCCCGCCGTCGGCCTGGTAGACCTTTACCGAGTTGATGAGCCAAAACGCCTCGGTGAAGGCCTGCGGGTTGGCCGCGACGTAGTCGGAGCACTGAGGCGCGAGCGCGGTGCACTCGGCATTCTGCTCCCACACTTTACCGGCCCAGTCACCGCACAGGGCCGTGTTGAAGACGAGATTCTGCTGCTTGAAGTGCGAGGGTATGTCGCACCCGGAGCCGCCGTTGAATTTGGCGAGGGGCTGGCCCCAGGAGGACGGGGTTGGGTTGCCCGAGCTGATATCGCCGGGAATGGCGCTGCGTGGGAAGAACCACACTGAGATGGCCTGGGAGTTGAAGTCGACGGCGTAGACACCGCCACCGATGGCGTTGAAGCCGTCGCCGTAGTTCTGGTTGCTGGACGTCGACTGGCCGCAGCCCGTCGAGGCGCTGTCGGCGTTGCAGTCCTTCCCATTAAGGGTGGTGGAGGCGATGGTGCCGTCGTTGGTGATGCTGCAGCCCGGGCCCGTGTGGAGGGTCACGGAATTGGACTCTTGGGTGTTGACTCCCTCGATGATGTCAATCTCACCCGAGTTGGGCCTACGAGTGGTGTCAGAAAGTCATGTCGTCTCGTCACCACATCTCTTGACTCCTATGCAGGTGAGAAACTTACCAGTTGGGACCAAACATCCAGAAGGCAGGCCAGACTCCGCAACTGCTAGTCGGCATGTGCTGGATGTCAGCGACAAACAAGCCCGTGTCGAAGGCCTTGTTCGACGTGACCCTCACCGACTGGCGGCCCTGACCCTTGGTCTTGGAGTCGACCCCGAGATAGATGCCGCCCCTGGCGTAGCCCGCGAGGCCGCTGTTGTTGGCCGTCACGGCGCTCGTGTAAATCTGCGAGCCCTGGGTGGGGTCTGGCTGGTCGAAGAAGCTGAACTCGTTGAAGAAGTTTGAGCTGTCGAAGTTGTCGTGGAGGACGTACTTCCGCTGCGCCTGGGCCAGCCTGGTGTTGCAGCAGAGGAGGAGGGCAGCGGCGCCCACCAGCACTGTCTTGATGCTCTGAGAAGGCATGGCTGAGGCGATACTCTCGAGATCGAGATCTGTGTCTGAATGGAGAAGAAAAGGTTTGAGACTTTCTGGGAAATGTTCCTTTTGGGGTTCTGTTTGACTTATTTCCTTTCGTTTGGTTCTGCCGGGCTGGAAAGTCGAGTGCTGGGATGAGGGATTGAAGACACTCGAGAAAACCCACGAAAGAAGAATAAACTGTCTTGAAGGATTGAATCAAAAAGGGATCAGGGAGAGTCAAAGGTTCATCAATAAAGATGAATGAATAGAAAAGGAAGAGAATGAATGTCCTTGTAAGTTCCCGAGTGAGCCCGTCACTGTAGGTGGTTGGTAGGAGAGAAATTTCTCGTGTGTTCCGCCGTCGTAGTCTGGGCAAGACCTCAAGGAAGGGAGGAAAGAGGGATCGGTCTTGGTCTGGTCAGGCCTCTGAGGAATCTGAACCGTTTTTTTTTTCTCCTTCCAATAGTCCGAGGGAGTGGAAACCCAAGGGCAGACACACACGAGATGCGGCTGGGAATTGAAATTTGGTGGGGGTGTTGAGGAGAGAACTCAGTAGCCTCAGCTTCAACCGGTGGGCAAACTCCAAGAAAATCGTATTGACTCGGTGATGGTGAGAGAGTGATGACGCACAGCGTGGTTGGATGGTTCGCTCTGGACCCTTCTTTACTCAATAGATCTGACTGAGTTGAGTGAGACTGGAACTGTCGGTGCGCTTGGCAAAGGTGACCAGATGAGGAAAAGTGTATGGAAAAAGGGTCAGAGGGTTGCAAGAAGGAGTGGAACCTCTGGTGACAACGATAACTTCAGCCGGAAAGGATTGAAACGGCTCGTGCCTGCCTCCTGGGGGCTGAAAAGTGAAGGAGAAAGAAGAGAATGAGTGCCACGAAGGGGCTTGTAAGAAGAGAAGACAAAAACGTCTGAAGGAGGCTGAACTGAGGCCTTGAGTGTTTAAGCACGACACATCACGGACTCATGAGCCTCAACCACATTGGGGAATGCAGCCAGCTAAATACGGTTCGAGGTTGTGTTGTAGACTTGGTGGTGGGGAGGGCCAAGGTGAGCAAGCCCTCCGGCCACCGGACAACATTTGGGGCGCATGGAAGGTGACCTATCTGATCTTTCTCTCTGGTCTGCTCGACCTAGTTCTACCCAAAGCCACGTACACGCCGCACAAAGACATGGGGCGTTTGGGAACCATGGTGAGACTTTTTTTTTTCTAACCTCTTTCTCTCTCTATATGCCATCTCGGCCCAACTCCCGGGGGTCCTTGCCCCACGCTCCATGTGTGTGGTTGCGCCGAGTGTGTGCTCGAGGGCTCTCTTTCCAACGAACGACAGGTTCTTGTTTCAATATGTTTACCCGCCAAGCCTTGACAGAATGATCAGGGGAATACCCGGGGGGACCCAGAGCGAAGACGGGATGATAGGGGGGGGGTTTAAGCCCGTTTCGTTCGCCGTGCCGAAGAAGCTCTATATGCGGGTGAGTGTTATACATGCAGGATGCGAGTCGTCTGCTTGCCGAGGCGAGATCCATGTCGACGAGCCAGTCAGCGAGCGAGTGGGTTTGTGCGTGCTTTTCGAAAAGAAACTGGGGACTAGCGGGCATCATGTAGATTCAACGGGCAGAGGATGATCGTCAATGGGTACCTTGCTCACGTAGCCTATACCACGGGAAAGGGGTTCGCATGGTTCCAAGATGGGACGGGAGAGAAAAGGAAACAACTTAGGGGGAGAAGAAGTTGCCTAAGGGAGAATGGTCAGCCAATGACTGGGCGAGAGCAAGGGAGGACGAAAGACAGACAGGACCGCAAATGGCAAGACGTTTGAAGGTCGGGTTGGATGTCAAAGATTCTAGACGTGGGGTCGGCGTGCGTAGTCGTTGGTGGTGGGCGGTTGTGGATGGTGTTGGTCGTCAGTCTGAAACTCGGGCCATGCCAGGGGCGGGTGGACGGACGTCCAATCGTCTCGCTCCCGCGCCGGCGGGGCCCGTCAGTCTGGAGCACGCGGCACCCACTCGCCCTAGCGGCGGCGGCTCTCTGCCTCCCTCAGTGGCTGCTGCAGACTTCGCACCTCCTCTCCCGCGCTACCCCTGCTCCGAGGGCGCTCTAGCTCTCGTCCATGTATCTCCGTATCTTTTTCATATTGGGGCGAAGATGAGGTACCTAACTAAAGTCGCAGAGGCGACGGCAGTCAAGGCAGTTACTTGCCGCTTACAGAGTGACAGTTACCCGCGGCTTGTCTGTCACTCCCTCAGACTAACGCAACCTTTTCACCCCTGACAGGAAGAAGAGGGCGCTAGAGACCTGACCTACTCGACCCCTGCATGGGCTCTATCGCTTGTGGAGTTCGACGTTCCCTCGAGGGGCTTGAAGGTTGAAACATTTTCAGAAAACACTGGCACATCCAGAAGAGAGAGAGAGAGAGGGAGAAAAAAGGAGGTGGTGAAAGGGGACGGACAAACAGACAAGACCGTGGGCAGGCTGAGTTGAAACATTTGCCCAACCGCACACTCTCACTCCTACTCACTTACCTACTCACCCACTCACTCACGTAGCATTGCGCACAAGCATATTCTTCCCCAGAACAAGGACGATTCAAACACAGCACTCGAATTTGTTTCGTCACACGGACTCAATTCAGTATGAGACTCAGCCTCGGACCCGACTCAACTTTTATGAGTTTCGTGCAAACCGTAGTCATACAATCCCTACAATCCCACTACACTACGCGTTCCCCTTCCAGGCCCCAAGCCCCAAAGCCCCCTTCCCCCTCAGCCTCACTCAGGAATGTTCGAGCCTCTGGCCGCCTTGGACGACAGGCACGCGCGGCGGCGCCGAGATCTGAACCATGAGACATTTTAACCCATCGTTTGTGTCTTGTCCACCATTGTTTTTCCAACAGCCCGCGGGCTTTGCTTCGATTCATTCTCTGAGTCGTCCAACTTCTCTGTTCCTCCAGCATCATCATAGGAGGACTGTCTCGACGCCCGTTCTCGTGAGATACCGGGGTTCAACTAAGCCGCTGACGAGACCAGTTGCATCGCATCGCACTTGCACATTGGGAAAGCGTAGAAAAAGTTGCTTCTCAAACACACTTACATCCATATTACGCACACAAATACGCACACATGCGCCGCTGCACCACCACTCATTGCTTAGGTTGCCGATAGCCGTTTTGCTTATGAGATCCCCCGCCCAAAAGAAGAAAAAAAGCCCTCTTATTCCTTCAAACGTTTTCTTTTCGAGGGGGCCATCTGCGATCTAGTTGGGACGAAACACGCGCTTCGTTGAAGATCGAACGAACCCCTTACCCTGCCCCCTTTGTGCCGTGCGCCCGCGGCAAAGCGGCCATGCGGAAAGGTGGGTGGGAAACAAGATCTTTTGCCATCTCGAAGGGTGGATATCCATCCCCAATCCGATCAATGCGCAACATCGCCTCCGAAATCAACGTCATAGTTCCTTTCATACTCAGAGGACTCGCAAATGACAAGTAAAAGTCGTGAAGCTGTGCAGCAGCAGCAGGCGAAGCAGGCGCAATAGCCATGCAAGTAATCTCTTCAACGCCGGAGTACCGAGCTGATGCTTCAATCCCTTCAACTTCTGAGGCAAAAAAAAAAAAAAAAAAAAAAAAAAAAAAGTTCAATGGTACTAGGTAGGCGGCCCCCTGGGAGGCCCTTCATACCCCAAGGGTTCTAGAAGCAGGGGACCCGACGATCATCTCGAAAAACAAGCTGTCGCTATCCGAACAGCTGGAGCGGGCAGATCAATATACTCGGAACCGGAAACCCCACCCTCGTCCTTAGAAGCCTGGACCCGGCCCCATGAGGGCTACTGTCTGCTCGAATCATGAGATGTGCTCCTTGTGCGTGTTCTAATGAGTTGGCAAACCCCTCCCCCCCCAAAAAAAGAGTCATCTACGGACATGTGTTGAAGGAAGAGTCACCCACTTTTTTTTCTCAAAGGCTTCAAGGAGCGATTGGACCGCAGAGAGAAAGGAAACCGCCATCAAATAGGAGGCGAGAGGAACCGATTATATCCCGGCGGCAAAGGGTCGCTATCGGAGCGGAGCCGGGCAACCGCCGCACCATCCGTTGCCGCCTCCGCCCCCTCCACGAGTCGCAGTGCCGAGAGATGTTTACTGGCTGCCGTGCTACGGATACCGCAGACATATAACGTGCCCTATGGCCCTCTCCCCATGAAACCCCAGTCTAATGAGCAGTTTAGAAATGGCGCAAGCGCTCCGCTTCACAGCTGCGAGATCGCCTCGTCCGAGGCTTGATCCGTTTACTAGAATGGTCCATATAGGTGACGCCAAAAGTGATAATCAGGGAACTTTATCGCCCATCTCTCTCTAGAGTACTACTCGAGAACGTCCATCCTGTCTCGCACAACGTTGAGTCGAGCTTCAAAGAGCTTGCGCATCTGGCAACCATGGCGATTAATATCAAAGTGCTTATCCGTACTTGGAGGCAGAATATCTGCCCCCTGATAATCCCGGCCGTTCATCCCAGCTCGGTGCAAGGAACAGCCTGTCATCGCCCCCAAGCCCATCCCAGGCCTTTTCTTTAGGGCCCTTATAAGCTTGTCTGTTTTCAATACTACGAGAAAAATATCTTGCCAGGTCCAAACTTTTGCCATATGGCTGGCCCCAGCGTATCCCGCACCAGTGTCAGACCATCTCCACATTCAATATCGATGTTCAGGGCACTTATTCATCGCAATGGCTCTTTGCTATGCAAAATCACCCTCGGCACCATAATATACAGTTAGGACACATAAGCATGGTAGACAAGGCTTAGATTCGTAACGCAACCTGAATGCAAGCTACCTGTGTCACGGAGCTACCCAAGGAGCTGGCGTCAGCTCTTGATGCCAGAAATCCCTCAGGCGGCTCTGCTCTGCGGTTGCTTCCACACATGTTCTGCAAGTGCCATGGCGTACAACGTCTACTGTAATAAAAAAAGGTTAATGGGTTGGGAAAAGAACAGCACCCAAGGTCTTTTTTACACATCTCAACATCAGGAAACCTCATCCGAATACTCCTATCCGTCTTCAACAATAAACGCCCTTCGTTTTCGAAATTGCCGTTCCTTGGTCTGAGAAACCGCCGCTTTTGACGGTTTCTGCTTCTTGTTCTTTCATACCGCTCATGAGGTGTGTAGGCGTCAGGGTCCCCGAGCTCCCGGGCTTCGCATGCGTGTATGTGTGGTGTATAAGATGGGTATTCCTATCGATAAATAGGACGTTGGAAGAGAAACACGGTTGACCAGCCGCTATTAGATGGCTCACGAATGATGCGCAAAGACGCACCAGGGCCGTGTCTTGGTGAGTCGTCGGCCGTCTCAGAGCTTGACTTTTTTGCCAGTGATCTTGTACCAGAGAACGGCAATAAGGTCCTCCTTGAAGCGTTCCCACGGATTGCGGTTCAGGTAATAGCTGAGCTCGCGATAGTTGTACATCTCACCCCAGCAATCGCGACCCCATTCACAGCCAGCCATGTTGACGAGGAAGTCTCGGTCTTTCTGGTCATAGTGAATACGAGTGTCGTTTCCGTTCTCGGAACAAGCGCCCGGCGGGAAGGCGTTGATCATACGCTGAGGGAGGAAGGCCGTGTGCTTACGGATCCAGGGCTGAGTTTTGTAGAGCTGCTCCAGAGCATCCTGCTCCTTGTGTTCCCACTCCATATGCTTCTGCTCGTAGGCAACGGGGTCCCACCAGACATCGAGCATGCGATCGGCCCAGTTGCCCCTCTTTACAAAGAAAGAACCGAGGTTGAAGCCAGAGCAGTCCTGAGAGAGGATCAAGTTGACAGACTCGGCCATTCCATCGCCAATGGGGCTTCGGGACTCTTTGTCCAGGTAAGGATCGGTAAAAGGATGGCTGATGTTCAAAGGATTATACTCGTTGATGTCGCGATAGACGTGTCTGTTGATGTCGTTGAAGATATGGTTCTGTAAGGGATAAGATAACTCCATGACATAGGTATTCAAGTCAAGCCACCAGACCCTTTGTCCGACGTTAGTTCATTCATGCTTAGGATTGTGCGCTTTCACATACCATTCAGCCTTTGGATACTTGCGGAAAGCGGAGCGCACGAAGTCGACCTTCTCCCAGCTCTCACGCCATTCGTGTGCGTATCGCTTCTTGGTGCTCATATCGACAATCTCAAGGTCGTATCCCCATCGATTGGCGTACTTCTTCTTGTTTCGTACACTGTCTCGCTCAATGGCCCATTCACGGGCGCCCTTCCACTCCATGACGCCTCCTCCAATATTAGCGGCCAAGATTATGACATACTTTTGGCCACCGCCAAAGTGCCTTCGCCAGTGGTAGACTAGAGCTGCGAAATTGTCAATGGGGAAGCCCAAACTGCAGCAATAGGAGAGGCATACGGGTGTTGTAGAAGATGGTCATCGCGAGGATGAACAGGAGAAGAATCAGCAGGCGCAGCTTCATCTTCCTGCCCATGCGCGCGAAGACGCTCCGTATCCTTCCCACGAGGGGAACCTTCTGTGCCGCCCATGATCCTCGTCCCAGTTTATCCATTTCCTTGTTGGCATATGGGCTTTGGTTGTTGAACCGCGGCAGGCTGCTTGATATCCGGCGCATGTGCCGTGTGAAGAAGCCTTGGTTCTGAGTGGAAAAGGACGGGTATCCGTTCATGCCGACGGTCCTCATCTTGCTCTCCCAAGGGCTAGAGGCGCCGTTAGATGCTGAGAAACCTCTGCTCGGGCTCGATCGACCGCTGGTGTTGATGGTCAGGCCAGGGCTGGCCCAACCGCCTCCAGGTATAGGCGAGGGACTGCGCGAGAGCGACATTGTGGTGTTGGGGGTGCCTGCAGGGTTCAAAGAGCACGAGCTGTCAGCAATCGGGTTCCGTCACTCGATTGTCCAACCCGTATTCGCGTCGGTGGCATGTCGGGATGGGGGGTTGGAAGAAGTAGGCATACACGAATAGATGTGCCACCGGGCCGAACTGCGAGTTGAGGAAGGGAACGGGAGGACGATGCAGGACAAGACGTACCAGGAATTGGCGCAAGACCAGGCTGCTGGCCGTGGACTCCCAGGAATTGGGAAGAGCCACGGGCGCCTGGGCCGTCGACTTTGACTACAAGGCCGCCAGATGCAGAGGAACGGCGTCGGTGATGTGAACGTGCTGGCCTGCGGTCGCTGAAGGACGAAGAGGCGGCGAATTGCTGTGATTGATCCAGGATGAAGGATTATGGAGGGTTGTGACCAGATGGCACTTTACGAGCCGTCTGGTTACAACGCGATAGCCAAGAGGTATTCGCTAAAGGTGATGGGGAAGGGGGTCGATGTATCCGAAAAAGGGGGTCCCCTCTCTCTCTTGGGTAAAGGCGGAATGGCTTCTGGTGGTTCGTGGAATTCGGGGTGAGGCTGTACAGGTAGCCCAGCCAGGGGAAGGTGTTTTGCGGCTTGGGTAGGGCGGGTTGATGCAGGGCCTGGTGAGGTAGGTCGGTAGGTCGGTAGGTCGGTAGAGGCTAGGAGGGTTATGGACGGCAGCCAGGTAGCTGTAAAGAATTGGTGGCTCGGTTCGGCGGTGCTTATCGCGCAGCGTTGATGCGACGGGACGGGTGTAGACAGGAGAAAAGAGTTAGGGAGGAGGGCGGAGTGGAGGAGAGTCGTCTCCAGGCTGGGTCACTTTTTTTTTTCCCTTACTCTCGCGAGGGCGTTCGTTCGCAGCGCCGGTGGCTGCAGCAGGAAATCTGACAGAGGGAACCTAATTGACCGCCTACTGCCACTGGCGTGGGGGGAAAGGGAGGGGGACCACAGGGTAGCAGGGATGATTGCTGACGGTTGACAACTGAGAAGCAGCGGAGGCCGACACTGGTGACTGGAACTCCGAATCTCACAATGAAGTGGTTGGCAGAAGGGAATGTTTGATTCACAAGTTCAGAAAGGACAGTTTCCCTTTGGTGCGACTATTTGTTAATTTGCTCCTATGGCCATCTCGTATCTGCAAAAGGAATGGCTGGGCCCAAACTGGGCAAAAATAAGGGAGGGCCTTCCACCCGGTTGGCTGCCGTCCAATCTATCCCATCGCCAGTCTCTCATCTTAAAAAAAGGGCCCTTACCTTTTGCTAACCCCCCCTTCTCGCCCATAGAAGGCTAGCAGCAACATGAATCTGGTGCGTCTTATTGTTTTTTCGGATGGAACGTTTTTGCTGGGTGCCAGGGTGCAAGTGTGCAAAGTTTCAAGGTTTCTAGCAGTCCGCTGACATCAAAACATGGGCCCTGCATTGACTCAGGTAGCTTACACACGGAGGTAATGCTCATGTTGCTGCAATGGGACAGGTCGAGTGTACTTTGACGCTGGCTCTTTAAACTATCAAGATAAACTCGGACGGTCCCCAAACTCTCCCCTCTCGTCTCCCTAGATGATCGCAACTGACGTCTTAATCGTCTGAATATTGTGATAAGAACGATGTCATAATCTTGGGTGCCCGGATATGATCAGAAAGAAGGAAAAAGAAAGGAGAAAAAAGAGGAAAATACAGGGAGAAAAACCCAAACTGATAAGGATCTCTGCGCCTACTCCTATCCCTCATAAGGGCCAATTACTCAATATTGCATATCCATATAAAAAACTGATAAGTATTGATAAACCATCCTGACCTGAATTCACATGACACACCTACAGACTGAGCCAAGGGAGGCATCGACACAATCCAGGGCAATCACGAACCTGTCACAAACATTAGGGATAGGGATAGCCCGATGAGGTAAGGAGGTAATGAAAACGCTTCGTAGCCAAGACATGAACCTCGAGGCATTTCAATGCGGCCACTGGGAACATAGACACACTGACAGATCTCGCATGCACTGAACCGAGATACTAGTGGATATCGAGCGACACTGCTCAGCGTGAGGTTATGTGGTGTGGTGAGTTTGCCCTGGAGACGCGTTAGAGTAATTGACACGAAGTATCCGTACGCATAAACGATGTTGCGTCTGCTAATTAAGGTGCGCGTTGAAGCCGAAATTTCCAGCAACGAGCGGCGGTATTGCAATATCAGACAACTTGATTCTCGACATGTTTGATCCTGCCGGTTGGAGATTGCGTTCAAGATCGAGTGGAGCTTCCCCTCCTCTCTCGCTCGAGTCTGGGCCAGTTTTGAAATTAACGACGGTGTTTCGGTGACACCAGCATTGCAACAAAGACAGCAAACTTCACAGCCAGCGCCTCATCGAAATTATCCTGCCGCCGACGCAATCGCTCCAAAAGCAGGCACTACCGCATGATTATCCGTAAAGCTTCTAAAATAATTCCATCCGCCGACTGACTTGACATGCCATTAGAGAGGACAGACGAAATTTGCACCATCTGAGAACTTACTGCCCTTCTGTCGCCCTGCTGTGTAATCCGTAGAATGGTTAGTTTTGCGATTGGAAAAGCCCGAGCCACCCCCCCTCGTCCACTGCGAGGCAGCTGGGTCCACAGGTCCACAGCCACTCCATGCTCTTTCGTCCGCCTGCTCAGCACCTGAGACCGGACTTTTATGGTCCTCCTATTCCATCCCACAGCCATGACAAAAACCCAAAGCTATGGTAAATGAGGGGTGACGGCAGCTGGTGTGCAGACACGTAACTTTTGTAAGATAGGATGAGGAGTTGGCGGGAAAGCCTGTACGTCTGCTATCCAAGTATACGTCGTGGCGCCTAAAGAAGTTCCAGCCGGCGAGGCGTGATACCCGACTTCTTGACTCGATCGCTTCCGATGCTGATGTGATGCTGCATTCCAACGCGTTGCTGGCTTGCGGGGGCCTCGACAGTGCACAAACCGGGAGGGGGACCTTTGGCATCTTGTGCCATGACGTCTTGTATGAGCATTCCGACTTGATGTGACTGGAATGCAGCGCGTAATAATACCATCTGCGTCACGAAGGAAGTATACGTTGGACACGTACGAAGTCACCAAGTACACTGGCAGACCCAATTTCCCCATAGCCAGCCAGCCGCCAACTTGTCCCAAAGCCCAAGGTATCAGCTAGAGAGTGATGATTTCAACCTGGAATTGACAGAACCCCGGCCCGGGCAGCGGCATCCAACTCTGTCTCGGATCTCCACTCCTTCGGCCAAGTCACGGAAGACCGCTCGCCCTCGGTACGGCGGTCGGGTTGTGAATGTGGATCTATCGCGGGCGGGAACCTAGTCTATTAATAACCTCCCCGCGAGGAAGAGTGGCTTTGGTGCCTCCAGCCACACCTTGCACACCAGCCACAGGGGCATGGAAGTCCATGGCAGCCAACACACACGTGTGCCACAGCTCCCATCTACCCCAAACTTATTGAACCACACACATTCATCCTGCTCATTGTGGCTCACTGAATGATATGATTCGATGGCGCGAGATGAACCAACACTCTGCTCATGGGTTTCCTGCAAGCCGTACAGCCGTTTTAACCACCATGCAACCGCGGCCAAATGAATGGCCAGCGTTGCGGTTGCCTCTGCAGGCCTGAGAGCTGGCCAGCGGCACGTCGACCAATCAGAAGCTCAAGATGTCCAACTGGGCGCCTACCTCATACTTCGAACTGCATCGTCCAGCCAAACATCTCGAGGCCTGGCCGTGACCCATGAACTCCAAAGCTGCCGTGTGGTGAATCGGCCCCAGACATATAATGAAGCTACCTGCTCCTGCCGCGCCATTGCGCTTCTGCCTGTTTCGTGTTCTCAGATGTAGTTGAATGAATCTCGGTGGGTGGCTATCCGGTTTCCCTTTTGTTGTTCCTTGTGTGCCTATTCACGACTCACAGCCGAGTTTTCCATGTGTTCAAGTTTCTTGCCAATCATTGCAGCACTTTCTTTGAACTTGCCGTTCCTTACTCTTTCCTTCCTTCCCCAAAATATCCACAAGCAGCCCTTTCAAGGCCGCGCCTTTGTCACCACTTGACACACACCTCCACCACGGGAGCTTTTCAGTGATTCGGATTCATTCTTTTCATCCAACACTTCCAGAGAGGCTCGAGGTCTGCTCCTCATCCTTGTCGAATCAATTTTCATATTTCGAGCTCGACGCCTACGCAACTTTACTTGAGAATTGCGTTCTGAAGACCTGGGACTTCTTACATCAACATGTCCTCGAATGGGGCCTCGGTGCCTCAACGGCAGCCATACGATCATCGACACGATAACGAAAGAGAAGACTGGGACGAATGGGAAGATGAAGATGTGGTCACCCCAATCATGGACGATGACCAAGAGCTCATCATGGACAAGACGGCCGCTCCCAGCCCTCTGAGGCCAAATAAACCGGCTTCGACGAGATATTCGCAGCCTCGGTACTCAGTTCAGAAGATGAGGCGTCTCAAGTCCCGCCAGCGGCAAAAGGCGCAGAACGCCAAAGCAGGGATCAAGGTGGTCACGGACATGGCAACGCTGCGAGAGCAGCAACAGGCTCAACCGAACCGGGTTCCTGGTTTCCAGCAACCAAAATTCGTCGACGCAGCAGCGCTGAGGGCCCTTGAGGGGTCGCCCAACTCTGCGTCGGTCGGCAACTGGAACTGGCTGAAGATGAAGAAGTCGGATACGAACGCAAAGTCTCCTCAAAGTGCTGGCCGCAGCCCCTTAGAGCAGGACCTGTCCCCAAACGACCGCCCGATTATCATTGGCATCGCGTTGCCGTCAGAGATGGCCGACGGGGAAATCAGCCCACAAACGGTCGTCATCGAGACGCCGCATGACCTGCCACCGAAATACACCAACAAACCTACAATGACAGGCAAAACAGACACTGCCACTCCTTTGACTCCCTCACAGCAAAGATCAGTCTGGAGTCCAGACACACCAGACACCACCTCTCCTTTCCAGTCGCCGCATCGCACTTCCAGCATCTACTCCCAAGCAACTGGCCTCGGTGTTGGTGTTGCTCATGACGCTCCTCCAGTTCCCGCAGTCCCTTCCACCTACAAACAGCAGGAGAGAATAGTTAGCGTCGTCCTCAAGAACAAGGACGACGAGGATGATGATGGGGGTAGCCCGTGTACCTTGTTTGAAGAGGATGGGGCGGCCGCGAACCGACCAAAGTCGACAAAGGCCAAGGAGACATCAAAGAGCCCAGACAGCGCAGCGACACAGACTCGTGGTTGGTGGGATCACATTACGACACCCTTCTTGGAGAGGAAGAGTCCTGTCGTCCCACCCCAGAAGTCTGAATCACAACCAGTCAAAACATCAGCGCACCATGACTGGTGGAGTGAAAAGGGCACCAGGACCTCGGTTTTGGAAACAAAAGACTTGGAACCCAAGGTTTTCAAGCCAACAGAGGTTCAACAAGTTATTATTCAGAGACCAGGCCTCCCAGCATCCCCGAGACCATCACCACGCAATTTAGAGGCGCCGATCGTTAGAGTGCCCACTCCAAGAAAGACCGCATCACCACTCATGGACAGGCGGGATCCTTCGCCCGCGTCATCTTCTCGGTCAGTTACTCCGCAACTGCAGCCCCGGTCAGAGAAAGCCCCCCTTGCCGAACCCTGCCCGGCTCCCTCAGAGCAGCCGCCCCCTTACTCTCCCCCGCAACAGCAGAAGGCCGTCAGATACCGAGCTGTCTTCCCCACGGGTCATCCTTTGCAGGCACTTTATCCTCCGTCTCCGGGGCCGATCTCACCAGCCATCAACGGAACAATGAGTTCTCAGGGCGGCATCAACATGACTGATATACCCTTGACGCCAGCGCCGAGAGGTAATGGCCCAGCTCCCGGACACCAAGGTCGCCTTCCAGAAAGGCTTGCAGGCACATTTTTGCCACAGGAACATTTTCTTGCGGCACCGGGGAATGGCAATAACGTTGAACGGCAGCGTCGCCGCTACGAAAAGGAAGAAGTTGCAGCTCGCAAATTTGGGGGCTTCTGGAAAGGCCGTTGGTGTATCCCCGCGACTGGGTGCTACGGTCGCAGCGGCCGCGAAGGCCGAAAGAGAAGACGGGCGTGCCTCGGAGTATGTGGAGCCAGTCTTTTCCTCAGCATTCTCATTATCGTTCTCTGTGTTACCCTCATCCCTAGGAACAGTACATCTGCGCCAGTCGACAGTATCTTTGTCAACCTCACGAACTTCCCTCCGATGCCAACCGGAGTGCTCTCTGTTGTTGGCCCAGACAATACCGCCGCCGTCACTGGCTGCAGCAGCCCGTCGACTATTTGGAGCTGCTCACTGCCCAAGGAAGAGCAAGAATCTGTGGCCCCCAACCGTCCCAATCAGCCGACTTTCACCATGCAGATTCAGTGGGACAACAACACCCGTAACCTGTGGAATGTGCCCAACGGTGAACCCCCTCGGCCCGGATCTACCTCCGGGAAGCGGCAATTCAACCTCGGCGGTATCATATCCAGGGCCGGCGCATATATCAGGAGACAGAACCCGTCCTTCACACCCAACCCATCTCCCCCTTCCTTTGAGGAAATGTATTTTCTCGGAAACACGACAGACGGTATTGTCTCTGAGGACAAAGCCGGCGAGCCGACTCCTTTCTATCTCAGCATCCTCAAGTCCGCCAGCGAAAGCGTCGGCCCCAACGCCCTGAGTAAGCGTCAGAGCTCGGGGAACTCTTCCGACGACTTTGGTATCACCCTACCGGCACCAGACCTCGAGCCGGACGGCACCGGAGCCCCCGCCCAACTCTTCCCCCACGCCGTACAGCAGCCCGTACGATTGTACGACCGCGGCCTCCCGACTGAGCACTACGGCTTCTATACCTACTTCAAGCGCACCATCTACCTAAAGTCCGTCACCACACTCAACGGGACCGACAGCGAGAGCAACGTGCCGCTCGACAAGGACGGCGGATCTCGCAGGAGCGAGGCCAAGCTCCTCGTGACCTGGTCCCAGACGCGTTTCCTCGTTCAGATGTGGACCAGTTCGGCGAACACCACGCAGCTCCTCTCCACCCCCGGCACCATGCCCTACCCCGTCACGATCAAGACCGACACCCACGGCGGCGAGTCGGGCGAAAAGTTTGTGTGGCACTGGCCCGTGAATGACCGCCAGGGGATCGACACGAGTACACCGAAACTTCTTCCCAATGATATTGGCTTTGGGGGAACAACTGTGAATCCGCGAAAAGACAAAGACGCTTCCTTTGGCGGCTTCGACGGTGGTACCGGCGGCTGCCGCTGCGAGTGGGTCAATTTTGTTGCCAGACGGGACAGCGGTAATTGACGATGAGAAAGATTCCACATGTAATCATGATACCTAGTTGAAAGTTGGTATGGATTTGGAGACCGACTTGGATAGGGATATGAACATGAACTCGGAGTTGGAAGTGGAAAATTATTCGCATTATTAGCATTACTACATTACATGGTATACGGGAGGAAAAGGATTTCAAAAATGCATGGCAGCTAGAATCTGCCCAGTATCTTAATAAATGAACTCTTGAAAGCACTTCAATGCTTTGGGTGATCTCGATCTCTACTCGCAGCACTTAGGTAAGAAGAAAGAAAGGGGAAGGAGGGTGTCATTAGGAAGAAACTGCTGTTTTATACGCTATACCCCTAAAACATCAAACTACCAAGTCAACCCAGAAAAAAGGTCCCTTCAATACTTAGCACGAATGAAAGTCTTTGGGCCTAGGTGGTATAGTAGATCTTGTGTAGGAGTGAACTACTCCTCGTGGGATGCGTGTAAGTCGGTGAGCTCCCGGTGAAGATAACCGATAAGATTGCTTCCGATAAGATAAGAGCTTCCGAACTTACCTACCTATTCTCACGACCTCATCACCACCGTCACTCTCAGGAAACGCTTCCCATACCATGCTCGAAACTCCTCAATGCGTTCTTCCCTCACAATCCTCCCAAAATGGCGAAGCGCTCCGCTAAATCTCCTCTATCGAACCATCCACGGTAACCCGGCGCCGGCGTCTGCACCGCCGTCACACCTCCAATCCCCTCGACAACAACGCCAGCGACGCACCCTCTTGACCCTCGCAATCGAAACCTCATGCGACGACACCTGCGTCGCCCTCCTCTCCAAGGGTCCCGGTCCCCTCGGCCGCGCGACCCTCTATTTCCACCAAAAAATAACCTCCGACAGCACAGCCTACGGCGGCGTCTACCCACCCATCGCGCTGCGCTCCCACGACGCATCTCTCGCGCCACTAATCGCTGAAGCCCTCTCGTCTCTACCCTCAGCCGCTGAACAAGCTCGAAGTGACGATGAAGACAAGTCGGCGAAAGGAGGAGGAGGGGGAAGAGGAGGGAATGATCTCAAGCGCGCAGGATCAGCACCCAACAACAACACGCTCACAATCGCCGGCACCCCGCGCCAGAAACCCGATTTCGTGTCGGTGACCCGCGGCCCAGGCATGTCTGCGAATCTTGCCTGCGGGATCTCGACGGCAAAAGGCCTCGCGACGGCCTGGCAGGTTCCCCTGCTGGCCGTGAACCACATGCAAGCCCACGCCCTCACTCCGCGTCTCGTCTCCGCGCTGGCCCGCCAGGACTCGACGACGTCTCCCCTCTCCTCCACCACCGCGATAAAACCAGAGTACCCCTTCCTCACTCTCCTAGTTTCCGGCGGTCACACCCAGCTGGTCCACTCCCGCTCTCTCACATCCCACCGCATACTCGCCTCCTCGAACAACATCGCCGTCGGCGACGCCCTCGACAAGGCCGCGCGGCACATCCTCCCGCCGGATATGCTGGCATCCCACGGGGACGTCATGTATGGCGCCCTCCTCGAGCGCTTCGCCTTTCCCGACTCGTTCCCCCTGTCACCTCCTCCATCATCAAAAAATTCCCAAGGCCAGCATGACTACGACCACGACTATGACTATGAATATGCCCCACCCCTCCGCCGCGTCGAGGAAATCGCGCCGTATACCGCTCCCTCGCCCTACTCCTGGATCCTCCATCCACCCCTCTACGACTCTCGTGCCCTATCCTACGACTTTAACGGTATAGGCAGTGAGGTCCGCAAGATCACCACCTCGAAAGGCGACTCCATGTCTCTCGGAGAACGACGGACCCTCGCCCGCGCCACCATGCGCCTCCTATTCGAGCACTTGGCCACCCGTATCTTCCTCGCCCTCGCCGCCGAGCCGGAGCTGAACGACGAACTGCAAACACTTGTCGTAAGCGGCGGGGTCGCGAGCAACCGCTTCCTCATGCATGTGCTGCGGAAGATGCTTGACGTCCGCGGATTCAAGCACGTGGAGCTCACGGTGCCTCCACCAGCGCTGTGTACGGACAACGCGGCCATGATTGCCTGGACAGGTATGGAGATGTACGAAGCCGGCTGGGAAAGCTCGCTTTCCGTACATCCCGAGCGCAAGTGGTCGATTGACCCGTCCGGCGAAGAGGGTGGGATTCTGGGCGTCCCTGGATGGAGAAGGAGACAACCTTAAACGTTATGATACCCATGTGTTAGTTTGACATCGGTCACTTGTAATAACAATGTCGAAAATTCGTAATAATGAACTTGTATCATATTCTAGTGTACAAGTTACACAACACCTGCAGCCTCTCTTCAGAGTACGGGTGTCTAAAGAGACAACCTGACAAGCCATGTTCGATTCTGCGACGCGCTCGAATTGCCTGTCGTAACCGTTCTATTCATTCGTATACAAGGCAGCAAGACCGTCTTGTTCCTTTGCATGTCATAGTGATAGGTGAGATATATCGCTCTGCCGGCAAAAGCCGCACTAGAGCGATACATGGTCTGAGGCTCGCACCTGGAGACCGGCTGAACCTAGTGGTTTGGGCGGAGTCCCACGATACAGATGAATTCAGCAACACCAAATCACTGTCCTTCTCCGCCGACATCTAGTCCAAGTCGGCAGTAACGTTGGTGAATTCACCCTTCTCCAGCTTCGTCTTCCAAAAGATGGGATTCGTGTCGTTGAAGCCATGCTTGACCCAGCCCTCCTCCTTGACGTGGTACAGGTTGATGAAACCACCAGAGTAGGCGTCACGGTGTGTTGCGGCAAGGATACTTCGGCTACCGAGGTCGAGCGCTTCTTGGTCCGTCAAGTCGTAGCGGTACTCGGCATCCAGAACACCGTACGCGAAAGTCTGACCACTGCCGACGCAGAAAAGATTGCCGGGCAGGCGAGTGCCGTCCGAATCAACGTAGTACAGTGCGGGGCCCTCCTCCTTCGTGACGCCGGCACACATGGTGCCCATGCTGAGACCCATACCCTTGTATGAGTAGACTAGGTTGGCGAGAATCTTGGAGGCTGCGGCTACAGAAATACGGCGCTTGTGGCGGAGCTCGTGGAGACGGCATTGCATGCCCAACCAAGCGAGCCAGTACTGGCAGTCGGCGGCACCGCCGGCCATAGTGCCCAGAAGCACCGAGTTGATCTCAATGACCTTCTTGACCGTTTGCGAGGCAATCCAGTTTCCGGCCGTGGCACGGGAGTCGGTGGCGACAATGATGCCGCCTTGAAAGCGGAAAGCGAGGGTTGTTGTGCCGTGGGCAATCTTGATGGGACAGTCGGGGTTGGCTCGGTCGTCTGTTGCTGCGCGGAGCCAGGAGGAGGGCTGGGTTGAGGGGTTCCCACGTCAGTCTGACTGGAAATCCTAGAATCGAACGGAGGCATTATCAAGAGATAGAACTCACATGTGCGACGGGCGGCATGGCAAACTTCAATGACAGCGGCGGCGCTCCGCCTAAGAGCTCAAGGTCCTCCTGCTCATCGTCTCTGAAGGTGTTGTGTTGCTCGAACGCCGGGCGGCTGTACTTGGCCACAAGGCTGTCCATCTCGACGGTCAGCGGGCAGGGGATTTCGTCGAAATTGTTTGGTCGGTTAGTATGAGAAAGCCACAGTTCTACTTTTGGGCGGGCTCTCGTTGATGTTCGTGGAAGGGTTGGGCGCGGTGAGGATTGAAATGGGGGATGGGTTTCTTTGACGTTGACTTGGGGGGTAACTCAGGCAGCTCCATGCTCGCGTCACGGCCAGCTTCAGTAGGGAAAGTGCGTGCCGAGCTGATTGATGCCTTATTGCCTGATTTGGAATGGGCAACTGCTGCAGGTACGAGTGCACTGTAAAAGGTACCTTACGTAGCTCAGCATCTTGGTCCGTGTCCACCTCTGGCTTACATAAGACCGCCGGCGTCTTTCCTACCTCCCTCGAAAGGCAATAGCCTCTGGCGCGAGCCACCGATGGTATTGTAGTTATTTCAGTGCTCAACATCCTTGGAAACCCGTCGTTTTTACGAGGATAAACAACAATCTCCAGCATTTCATTGCACGTTGGACTTCGGCTACAAATAACAAATCAAACGGGTTAGCTCCTCAAGGTACATACCTAGGTACCTACCGATGACCAGAATGAACAGGGGTCTAAAGTGATCACGTGGCTCTGATGATAAGATAACGCGACTCAAACAGGTTCGAAAATCCACCTCAGCTAAACTAAGGAAAGCGGTTCTATCATCAACCAACACCACCACTTGCGACGGCGAGCGCCATTTCACCCATGACCAGCCTATGCCATCGACTCTTACCAATCGCCGACTTGAGAGTATCCCAATAACTTCGCGGCGATGGCCAGTATCGATCGTTACCGGCCTTCGAGAGAGGCTTACCAGCCTCCCACTCTTCCACCGGGTCCTCCACGACCAGACCGGCAATCTAGATCTCCTACACGTCGCCTCGATGTGCCGCCTGCAGTTCCATCTCCCCCAACACATTCATCGCGTACATCGCCGCCGCGGCCCCATTCTCAACGGGACACACGTTCGCCACAGCGGTCAAGAGCGCAAACTCCAGGTCCTCCGCCCAACCAGTGGTACTTCACCCCCGACGAAACCTTGAGCACACCGAGTATCCTCGATGGCATTTCACCAGCGGAGGAGCGCCTACGACGTGCTAAGGGTGTCAACTTCATATACCAGGCTGGAGTTCTCCTTGACCTGCCCCAAATCACCCTCTGGGTTGCAGGCGTCTTCTTCCACCGGTTCTACATGCGATACAGTATGGTAGAAGAGAAGGGCGGCATCCACCACTACGTGAGACATACCTCTTTTCAATTCCTTCTTTAGCGACGATCATGGTTGTGTCTTATAAGTGTCAGGCGCAACCCGCCCTTCCCAGATCCAAGCGAGGCACCCAGAAGGCCCAAGCTGAACGAATGCTGACGGAAACGGTTGAACAGAACATCGCAGCCACTGCGCTCTTTCTTGCGAACAAGACAGAGGAGAATTGTCGGAAGACAAAGGAAATCATCATCACAGTGGCAAAGGTCGCCCAAAAGAATCCCAAGCTAATGATTGACGAGATGAGCAAGGAGTACTGGCGGTGGAGAGACAGCATTCTCATGTACGAGGAGTTGATGCTGGAATACCTTACCTTCGACCTTATGGTGGAAAATCCTTACCAGCGTCTTTTCGAGCTTCTGGGTCAGCTCGACATCGTCCATAACAAGCATCTGAGGCAGTCGGCCTGGGCGTTCTGCAGCGATGCATGCCTTACCTCCATACCTCTGCTGCTCGAAGCTCGCGATGTTGCCATCAGTGCCATCTTCTTCGCCAGTATACACACACAGCAGAAGATCGAAGACGTCAATGGCGAACCGTGGTGGAGGGCACTGAAAGGAAACGAAGAGAAGTGTGCCAAGGCCATCGACATTGTGCGACAGTTTTACACTGAGAACCCGCTCCGCAAACAGAATCCGTCACTGCCATCACCCGCCTTCGACTTGGCCAATACTAGACAGCCAAGGGATCCGATGAGCCAGGATGCTCTCTCGTCCACAGCAGGCACGCCTTTTGAGCTGGATAGAGGAACACAAAGTCCAAGAGCTAGGGCTAATGGCCGTGATGACGTCACTAATACCGAGTCAGGCTCGCAGGCCACGCTGAAGGAGCCAGAGAGGGCGAATGGCAACAGTCTGGCGTCACCAGGAAAGAGGAAGGAAGCTGACTCGGATTCTGAGGGCAGGGATCAAAAACGAGCGCGACTCTCAGATGAGGATGAAGGAGAGGTTTTGGACTAGAAGCTCTCGCCTGTAACATTGTAATAACCTTACGGACCAAGGGCGTTGGAGGTCCATCACATTTCACGGCAGGTATTCGGATTAAGGGTCGACAGGCACTCGACGACTCTTGTGTACCATGTAGGTCACGCTGTCAAGGCGGCTTTAAGGGCAAGGGTCTTGGCGCGCGCAAGAATTACGGCACGCTTACAGAGACATGGCGTTATAAGGGTGGTAGTTTGGCTGAGATCATGATGCAAGCGATGCTTTGCAAAGGTGGAGAATACCTCGGTAGTGATTACAACTCATAGCGAATACATCACATTCCAAAATGGATTAATATTGTAGGTTGAGGGGAGCACGTCATGGTATAGCAATTGATGAGCTACGTCTTGACTCTCGATGAAGTCCTCCCGTCCTGCCTGTCTTGCGATTGATTAGATCATCCAAGAAGTCCATAACATCCACCATATTCTCTAGAGCGAGGAGCGCTGCCCTCTCCTGCTTGTTCAACAATGCACGCTTGTCCGGGCCCATGCCTGGTCCGCACATCTCGTGGAGGTGATGCTGCACTAGCTTCACTGGCATTGGGGCGCGTACGACATGGCGCATGAAGGATTCGACGGCGTACCACGGACAAGACTCAAAGCCAGCGTAGAGGGCAGGATTTGCGAGGATACCTCGAGCAGACATGAGGCCGGCTAGCTTGGTGCCACTGGGGGTGAAGTCCGTGTAGCCATGGTGACCATCGATCGTTCTCAGTTCCAAAGGTTCTGTGGGTACTTTGGAAACTGTTGATAGGGGCAGCGTTGCCATGGAGAAAACATCACCCGATAGGAGGATTGGGAGTGTTGCGCCGTACTTCTCCAGGAGAATGCCGAGAGATTCAGTGTTGATAGGGGTAGTGGAGGCCGTGTGACGGGTACGGGGATGGATCGTAAGGAAGTCGATGTTGCGGTCCAGGGGGTTGCCGATGACGGTGTCGATAAAGTCCATCGTCTTCCTAGGTAATGGTGCGTGTAAGTCAGCATAGGGTGTATTCTAAGAGCTTATGAGTTAGAAACTCAGGGTCATGCTTCACCAACCTTAGGTCCTTGTGCACACGGATCTTGACGCTGACGCTCCTCCCCTTTGGGCTGTCGATGTCTCGCTCCTTACCGACATGCCAGCCGTCACTAGCCAGGCGTTGGCGAGTCTCAATGACCATGTCTCGAACGAGTTCGCGCTCTTCCATGAGAGCGGCACCAAGAGTCTCTGCGCAAGCCCATGACTGGGGGCATCCGCAGTTAAGGTCGACGCCGTTGACATAAGGTGCGGCAAGAGATGATGAGCGGGCGAGCTCGAGAGGGCTGTTTGAGCCAAACTGAACTATCGTGGGGGGTTGGACCCCACGAGTGGATATCGTGAGGTCTTGAGAGGAGGGTCAGCCGCTGATTAAACAGCGAAGTGAGGTTCAAAGGGGTCACGAACCACTATCGCGGGCAAAGTTGTTGCGATTGAACTCCTTCGAAAGGATCATGGGTGTCCAGCAGAGATCGGTGCCGTATTCATGAACGGTTTGCCGAAAAGCGAGCTGCGGTACAATGAGCTCATGGTCTTCTCGTCTGAGATATCAGAGCTTGTTCACCTTGCTGTACCTCACCATAGGGGCTGAGACGTTCAGAAATCTATCCTGGCTCTTGGCGGCATCAAATATTTTTAGGGGACTGCGCAGAGTAACATGTTGTCAGTCACTGTGACACATGGTGAATGAGATACATAACTCAAAACCCACTGTGTCCTATCTGAAATAGTCCCATTATAGAGATCGGCCGCCATGGCGACAATAGGGGCACCCATGACAGAGCGGTGAAATATCCGAGTTGAGATGAGAACAATGGAACTGCGAGGTGTTGTACTCAGAGCGTTGAAGGCGCCTGCAGTGAAGAATTACAGCGGTTCTTAGTGGAGCAGGGGGGCCCTGTGGCGTCAAACCCAGATGGGCGATCCTCACCTGGGCTGTCATAGTGGGGGTGGGGCTCCTTTGCGACGATAACGGCGGGGTGGTTTTTCACCGCCTGCCCAATGAGGCAGAAACCTATAAACTTCCTGCGTCAAAACTTTGCTCTACCCCAATGAAGTGCCTGCATTGACGAGTCGTTTCTTCCTTCGGGAAACACTCTCTCCACCCTCTCTTGACCTGGGCCACCGCTTCTCTCTGCTTTGCTTGCCCTCATCTCCGCACTTGCGCCATAGCATTCTCTTCGTCGATTCTCACAATGGTCAAGAAGCCTACCATCGGCCTCCTTGGAGGCGGCCAGCTGGGCCGGATGTTGTGCGAGGCTGCGGGTCCCCTTGGCATCGACATTGCCATTCTGGACGAGGCCAACTGTCCTGCGAAGCAGGCTAACCAAAACAGCCGGCACGTAACGGGTTCCTTCAAGGACCCCGCCAAGATCAGGGAATTGGCCGCCATGTGTGATGTCCTCACCGTTGAGATTGAGCACGTCAACACTGAAGTTCTCGAGGAGATTGCAACTCGCGGTGTCATAACTGCGCCGGGCACCGTCAAGAGAGTGCCTTGTCACCCCCATTGGCAGACACTGCGTCTGATCCAGGACAAATACCTGCAAAAGGAGCATTTCGCCAAAGCCGGCCTCCCCATTGCCCCTCAGATGGCCATCGAGTCTGGCCCTGCTATGCCAGAGAGCCTCACGGCCGCTTACAGAGCATTCCAATTTCCTTTTATGCTGAAGGCGAGAAAGGGCTCGTATGATGGTCGCGGTAACTTTAAGGTTAGGGGCCCGGAGGACTACGAGGCGGCTATTCAGACGATGGGCAAGCTCTCACTTTATGCTGAGAAGTGGGTGCCTTTCGAGATGGAGCTGGCTGTCATGGTCGTGCGGACTGAAGATGAGGATGGCGAGTTGAGGAAGGTTCACACTTACCCTGCCGTCGAAACTATTCACGAGGAGAGTATCTGCACCAAGGTGTACTACCCACCCCGCCAAGTTAGTGCGGATGTGTGTGAGAAGGCACGCAAGGTGGCTGGGGATGTTATAAAGACGGTGAAGGGCAGAGGTGTCTTCGCCGTCGAGATGTTTTTGCTGAAGGATGGTCAGTCGGCTGAGACCAAAAGACTTGGACAAATACTAACCTGACCACAGGCACAATCACCGTCAACGAGGTTGCTCCTCGTCCCCACAACTCGGGCCATTGGACTATCGAGGGTGTGCCCTACATGTCGCAGTACAAGGCGCAACTCCACTCCATCCTGGACATGCTCCCGCGATCTATCAAGTTACAGCCTCGCGTCTCTGGCGCCCTGATGCTTAACATTCTCGGCGGTGCTCGTGAAGACTCCCACGAGGAGTTGGTCGACCTGACCACGTCCTTGTACGATGACAACATGGACGTTTTCCTCCATCTCTACGGCAAGTCGTCCAAGCCGGGCCGTAAGATTGGACACATTACCGTAACGACTCACTCTGCCAATTCCAGCTTGGAGAGGCTAGCAGCGCCTCTGATTAACGAAGTGAACTACATGCGCGAAGCACGGCTTGATGCTTCTTCAGATCAGCTCCGTCTTCAGGAGTCCCCTGCCAAGAAGAACAGCTCCCGCAACGCGGATAAGCCCTTGGTCGTCGTTACCATGGGTTCTGACTCCGACCTCAATGTCTTGAAGGGTGCCTTCGAGATTCTTGAGCATTTCGATGTTCCTTATGACCTTGACATCACCTCTGCTCACCGTACGCCTCACCGTATGGTTGAACTTGGCAAGACCGCCGCACAGCGCGGCATCAAGGTCTTGATCGCAGCTGGTAAGTCTACATGTGTTCATTGACCCTTGGCAACGATGCTAACATCACCAAAGCCGGCGGCGCTGCCCATCTCCCAGGCATGTTGGCATCTGAAACAACAGTGCCGGTCATCGGTGTGCCCGTCAAGGCCACTCACCTCGACGGCCACGACAGCTTGTTGAGCATCGTTCAAATGCCTCGTGGCTGTCCCGTGGCGACGGTCGGCATCAACAACTCGACCAACGCTGCCCTTCTCGCAGTCAAGATTCTCGGATCGTCCAGCCTCGAGTACCAGCAGAAAATGGCTCAGTACATGAGCAACATGTCCCGGGAAGTTGAGCACAAGGCCGCCAAGCTGCAAAGGGTAGGCTGGAAGACGTACCTCGAGAACAAATGAGGGAGGGTGAAGAGATTTTCTTAGCATGTGTGGAGCCTCATTCCACATTTGGACAGCATTGATTGATACCAGCAAAGGCGTACATAGGGGAATAAGAAAATAACAAATATGGGGTGGTCACTATAAGAACCCAAATGCTTGCTTGCCAGGATGCGTTCGCTACGGCGCTACTACATCGGCTCTTGTGAGAAGTGGCTCTATCACCAAGTAGTTTTCAGGGAGGCACATGAAGGCTTGCCGTTGGGACATGGCAAATGGAGGACGAACGGCGTGTGTTTCCGCTTGAAACAGGGGCGACTGTAATCGCGAATATTTGGCTGAGGTATTCGATAAACACCTACACATCATTCTTGCGTGAAGAAAGATCTTTACCAGGCAGACACTACCTTACTGTGGCACCGTCTAAGTCTGATAATGACCAGCCTTGACCAATGAAGGGTCTGTCCTAGCAGTCTACAGAGCTATAAACCTGGCGTAATGAGTAAGTACAACACGTCATAATCCTTGCCAGTTCTACTTTCTTATGGCCTGAATCTTGTAATGAATCCATCAATGATCGACATATCCACCCAAAACCGGACGTTTGGGATCAAACACGCCTCGTACTACGGTTCTTCTTTTCGATTCCCTCTTTCCATCATACCGATGTTGGGGGAGCGTCGAAACGCTTACCCGTAGCACAGTTCTCCACTATGACAAAATACACGTTTCTAAGGACGTTCTCGTTTCTGTCACTTTGTATTTAATTGTCATGTCCATGTAGTAGCGATACGAAAAGGTCTTGTCTAATCTAAGCATGGCGATCACTGTTTGACTCCCATCAGGGAACCTCAACATACACCGGAGCGCTAGACAGATGAAAGTGCAAAAGGTGAGGCAACAATGACGAACGACAGCATGACCAGAACCCTACGATGGCTTATGTCTCAGTACGAAGCGTGTGTGGTCCCTTTCTGCGTTCCTACCTACCTACCAACACGTTCTTGACTTGGATGACAAGAAGGGAAGGGCGATGGCTAAACCGGACTGGAAGAAAGGCTTATAAGGTTTCTGTGCACTACCACATATCAAACGAAGAAGAAATCAGCAGTCTGATCAATGTTGCTATTCATAGGCCTTGCACGCTGCAGTTATTTGTGCCTGCTTTTGCGTCCCAAGACGAACATCCCTTACACCCAAAATACCACGATGCAATACGATATCCCTTCCAACGGCTGTCTGAATTATCACTAGACCGATGCCATTCATCGCCAAATACCAAGCGGTGAGCAGGTCCTCTCACACGAATCAGTCTGGAACACGCCTGCGGTGGCATTCCTCCAACCCGTGAAAGGGGGTTGTGCCCTCTCAAAAATGTTTGTTGGTTCCACACTCTTGAGAGAATCGCACACGCACAATTGAATAGGTATCGAAGAAGGCCCTGTCGAGGATTTTAGCGAGCAACTCACGGGAAACATTCCGCCAGAGCTTTTGTATGGTCTTGTATCCGCCAAGACCCTGATTGCCACGGGGCACTTCTCTCAGCAAGCGGACCGATGCACCGCCCTGCTTCTTCTGGTCCGACAGACCGGATGCGACCTCCAAAGAGACTTGGAAATCATCGGTCCACATCCATCCGCGGAGACCGTTCGATGACAAGGTGGTCCAGATCGACGCCCTCCTGAGACAAGCGCCTTGGCAGGAACGTGACAATCCGGGGTCTTGACGGATACTGCCTTGACGGCTCGCTCCGGTACTTTTTCTGGTAGCGGGCCAATTACTAGGCATTGATATATTATCCAAATTGGTTCGGACAATGTCAAGGAGTTCACCTACCAATTCCGTGTGTAAGTTCTACCCAAGGCGACTCGGGCTCAGGTTTTGTGTAAAAGTATCTCGACAACGATCGATAAGAATGTATCTTACAACCCACAAGAAAACCGTTTTCTGTCCTATTCCATTATGTGCAAGTCGCTCTCACGCTGGAGGGTGTCATGAACAAAGGTCGTGTGTCTGTGTGACCCCCGACCCCCCGCAATCCCATCCATTCATCCCTTTGGTCCACGGGAGCGAAATCCTGCTAACCTCGTTTCGGCACTGCCGATGTAAGTGAGACTATTCGAAAACAGCCCGAAAAGTGAGACCTCGACTTGACCGTCGATCCTGGATCATCGGGAGGCCGTCCACTACCCTTCCGGCTTGCTCCTGCGGCGCACACTATTTTGGTAAAACTCTGCCGGATGCGCTCGTTGCTCCCTTCATCGCAGCCCTTGGATGATCTGCTCTTGGGTTTAGCATATCTCTTCTTCTCTTGCCGATCATCCCAAGAAGTAGGAGGTGTGCACCGATTCGAGGGTGTCGTAGAGTGGACTACCAAACAGGACTGTGTCTACTGAGGCTGAGCAGGGCGAACCAAGCTTGCCTGCGGCCGAGAAAGTCACAAACCTACACGCGCTAGTCTCCGTCTTCCCGCCTTGGTGGCTACTCTTTATGACGGAGGTCGGAGAGCTCGCCCACCCGTACAACCTCGCGGTACCCTTTGGAAGATTTATAGGAACCTTGATATCCAGCTTTCTCGAAGGCTAATATCCTGTACCACAACCATCACTCACTTGACTACTGCCCCTGAGCATCTCAGCCTACACTACACTACACTACACCACACCACACCACAAAGATCCCGATACTCTTCACCAGTCACAGTCATCACACAAGCAAAGGAGTCAAGATGCTCCCATGCAACTTCCTCACAGCATTGGCCATCGTCGGCCTCTCAGCCGCCCAGATCCAAATCCCGCCGTCCAACGCCGCCGACTGCCCACGAACCATGTGTCTCGACGGTATCAACCCGGAATGCGGTATCCGATGGGGAGGCTGCTATGACATGTGCCAGCCACGAATGAAGCCCACGATGCCGCCCTGCAAATCCACGCTGAGCAAGTCCACCATCTCGAGAACGCCGAAGCCCCCCTTCACGAGGCCCACGCGGCTAAGTCTGCCGGTCCCGACCCGCAGCCCGACAATCACTCGGGCCCCGCCCAGCTTGAGTCTCCGGCCTACGTCGAGCGACAACTGCAGCACGCGTTCGGTGTGTGTTGACTACATCAACGAGTGCGGACAGTGGTATGGCGGGTGAGTTGCTACTACTACCCCTTGGCTCCACACGTTGGTATGACAGATCAGGTCACTAACTCGCGAACTTGTAGATGCCATGCCGATTGCAAGCCCTGGCCGTCGTACTCCAAGCCCCTGTGCACATCCACACCCAGCTTGACTGTTAACCCGTCTACGTTACCGACCGATTACTAAGGACGCTCGCCGAAGTCGCCGAGATTACGAATGAGATGAAAGAATAGTAACTGATCGAGATGATGTTGACGATCCTGCATGACGACTAGAGAATTCATGTCACTGTAAATATTAGCTGTTGATCGTCGATACGGGTAATCCGTTCTCTTACATAATAATACGGCTCTCTGAGCTACCTATTATGCAACATCAAACAAACCGTGAGAGTTTTCTCTCCGCCTTGCCGTTCGTATTCAGCATCGCCCGAACAAGCATCAGAAAGAGAACGGGTGACGAAAGGGCAGTCTTTGAACAAAATGAATTTCTCCTCCTACTTTACACGTTTTTAACTCCAGGGCCAAAGCCCAAAAGCCTGCGGTGTATGCACCAGCCCTAATAGCCTGATTCCAAGGGTAAGTAAGGTAGCGGTATCCCCCACGTGGCTCACCCACGATCATTAACTAAATTCTTGTCGTGGTATTATGAATGCCTTTGATATTGCTTTCCGGTACTCTCTTCTCCTCTTCGTCTTCTTTCTTCCCTTCTCCTCGCATTTCCGAATTTCCTACCAACACCCGACACCAGTTCTATTCATAACAGGTTTAGTACACACGCTTGAAGGGAGGAACAGCCTTGCACTCGTTCTCGTCCAGAGTGTTGGCAATGACGCCACGGTAGCCGAGGTCGACCTTGCCGTGGGGGCTCTTTTGGAAGGAAAGGGTGTGCTTCATCCAGTTGACGTCGTCACGGTCGGGGAAGTCCTCGCGGGCGTGGGCACCACGAGACTCCTTGCGAGCGGCGGCGGAAGTGGCGGTTTGGGAGCTGTTGATTGGTTAGCATCGTAATGAGAAGCGGCGGTGTCTAGTAAAACTTACGCGCAGGTCAAAAGGTTGCGGAGCTCAAGTGTCTCAACCAAGTCAGAGTTCCAGATCATGCTCTTGTCCTTGATAGAAACATCAGGGAACTGTGCGTCAATCTCGGTCATCTTGCGAACACCCTCGTCCAGAGACTCCTGTGTTCTGAAAACGCTGACCTCAGTCTGCATAGCCTTCTGCATGGACAGACGAACGTCAGAAGTGGTTCTGCTACCCTCGCGCGTGCGAACGTCATCCAGAGTCTGAATAGCCTCAGCACCAGCGTCAGCAGCCAGAGGCTTGTGCTTGGTACCAGGAGTGAACTTGTCACGGATGGTGTGGGACACGGCACGGCCGAAAACGACCAAGTCGAGGAGAGAGTTGGCACCAAGACGGTTGGCACCGTGAACGGAGACACATGCGGCCTCACCACAGGCGAACAGACCGGGGACGACCTTGTCGTTGCCGGACTCGTCAACGGTGATAACCTCACCGGTGTACTTGGTAGGGATACCACCCATGTTGTAGTGGACAGTAGGCAGAACGGGAATAGGCTGGGTGCGGACGTCGACACCGGCAAAGATGCCAGCGGTCTCGGAGATACCGGGCAGACGCTCGTGAAGAACCTCAGCGGGCAGATGGCTGAGCTGCAGGAAGATGTGGTCCTTATCTTCGCCAACACCACGTCCCTCGCGGATCTCCATCGTCATGGAACGGGAGACGACGTCACGGGAGGCAAGATCCTTGGCGGTGGGGGCGTAACGCTCCATAAAGCGCTCACCCTCGGAGTTCAGCAGGTAGCCGCCCTCACCACGAGCACCCTCAGTGATCAAGCAGCCGGCGCCGTAAATACCGGTGGGGTGGAACTGAACAAACTCCAAATCCTGGTTGGGAAGACCGGCACGGGCAACCATGGCCATACCGTCACCAGTGCAGGTGTGCGCAGATGTGCAAGAAAAGTAGGCACGTCCGTATCCTCCAGTGGCCAAGACAGTGTGGTTAGCAAGGAAACGGTGCAGAGTACCGTCCTCCTGGTTGTAGGCGACGACACCGCGGCACTCGCCATCCTGCATGATCAGGTCGAGGGCGAAGAATTCGATGAAGTAATTGGTGTTGTGGCGGAGAGACTGTCCGTAGAGAGTGTGGAGAAGAGCGTGACCGGTACGATCCTCAGCAGCACAGCATCTGTAAGCCTGCCCACCCTTGCCGAACTTCTGGGACTGTCCACCAAAGGCACGCTGGTAACTGTAAACGAGCTATATCAGCGTCCGTGTAGGGCTGTGGTTATTTTGGGCTTTTTTTCACTCACATCTTGCCATCTTCGGTTCTGGAAAAGGGGCATCCGTAGTTCTCGAGCTCAACAATGGAAGCGGGCGCCTCGCGGGTCATATAGTGAATGGCATCCTGGTCACCGAGCCAATCTGAACCCTTGACGGTATCGTACATGTGCCATCTCCAATCATCCTCGTGCATGTTTCCGAGGGCGGCGTTGATGCCACCCTGAGCGGCAACAGTGTGACTTCTGGTGGGAAAAAGCTTTGAGATACAGGCAGTGTTGAAGCCAGCCTCTGCGAGACCGAAAGCGGCACGGAGACCAGCACCACCGGCACCGACAACGATGGCATCGTACTCATGGTCGACAACGGGGTACTTGCTGGAAAGGTAGGGAGAAGCCTCCTTTGCGCGGAGGTGTTGGTTCGCGAAGATCCGCGCGGCGGATCTAGTTGTAGAGAATGCGCGCGCCTGGGAGAACTGCAATCGCGAAGTATTAGATCTTGTGTTCAGACCGAGGCCATGTCTAGGTGCAGAGCCGGATCAAAGGAGCGACATACAGCGGGCTTGGCAGCAAACCTCCTCAACGCCATTGATGAGGCCATGATTGATGTGTGCACTATCTCGCAGTGTCAGTATGCGTATCCGTTGCGGTGGCGTGTTCTGTATCGAGTTGTGGGAAGCGAAGGGGGAGAGGTGGTGACGGCCGAAGATGTGTTGAAAAGCCGCTGGTATGTAGCCGGGTGGATGGATAGATAGATTGGTACTGACCGTAATCGGAAGACGGGAGAGAGAGGTTAAGCCTGGGACTGCCGGGTTAGTAAATTGGTGCCATAAGTCACTTGGTTCTTGGAATACTAACCGTCGAATTGAATTGGTCTCCAAAACGAGGTACTGTCTCTAGGTGATGGATAGACCTCCAACCAGTGTATGGAGAAAAGTACGGAACGAACTACGGCAAACCTCGCACACGTCTTCTGCAATAAGTCAGCTCGGCACCTCGGGTAATCACACCGTCGGTGATTGGCTGAGATACCTGTGGCTAGTGCATAAGCGCCACATCTAAAGACAAGCCACAGTTGGTTTCCGGGGCAGAGTTCACATGCAAAGTCCCGTCAAATTCCGAGATCGATTCTGGGGTATCATCAGTGCTACCGGATGAAAGCTTAGCCTTCGTTGATCAGCCGCTCAAAACTCAAGTTTCTATCCTTGATACACAATAAATGGCCAAAGTCAATCTCGTTCCTTGCGCTCAATTTCTGTCTCTCTCTCTCTCTTGACATATCTCCTCAATTAATTCATTGGCAACCTGTCAGTTTGCGTGCCAAGTTGCTTACGGGTGCTATTCGCCCGTTCCCGAGTGGCATTGCCGAGGTGCGGGTGGAACTGGGTCTCTTTGTCGATGGGGAGGAGAGAGTCCATGACTTCACGACGGGAATCGCCCATCGTCAGCAGTCCTGTTTTGCCACACTTTCAAGTAGCGCAGAGCCTCGGTAGTCAAACCACAGTTTCAACTAAAGGAGAACGTGACTCTATACCGACCATTGACATGCCAACTCAACAACTTCTTCCGTCTCCAACTTAGCAATGCGATTTGAACATGCGCGAATATGTGCGCCAAGATCTACGCGAATGCTACTGGAACCTTTGACTCGCAATGACTGTCGCGCCCGGTGGTTGAAATGTTGAAAATAGTTATTTAGGGTTACTCTAGGTATCTATGGTGAAGACGCCGCGTTGCAAGCAATTCTAACGTGGCAAATAATGGTATCGCGCCCCCTGCGCCCTGGTCAATTGGCTCGTTCCTAGACGTGCCGTAGCAATCTAGGACCACGGCCCTCCCTCCCATCACGTCGCTCAGGCACTTTCAGAGACACATAGCCACACTCCTATGAGTTGCTGCGGGCTGACGAAAACAAAAGAAAGCCTGAATTCAAAGTCCCCTTTTAGTGTGTCCAAGGAGTTCAAACTCCAGCCATGCTCATAAAGTACACACTACATAGTATACAGCCAATATCGCGCCGCCCAAGATTATCACTCCAAACGTAGACCCCGAAGGCTCTCTAGCTTCTTAGAAAGCCATCTGCTTCTTGATCTCGGCAATGGCCTTGCCGGGGTTCAGGCCCTTGGGGCAGGCACGTGTGCAGTTCAGAATCGTGTGGCAACGATACAAGCTCATCGAGTTGTCGAGGGCGGCCTTGCGCTCGGCCTTCTTCTGGTCGCGGGAGTCGGCAAGCCAGCGGTAGGATTGAAGGAGGATGGCGGGTCCCAGGTACTCCTCAGAGTTCCACCAGTAGGACGGGCACGAGGTTGAGCAGCACGCGCAAAGAATGCATTCGTACAGACCGCTCAACTTCTTTCGGTCGGCGACACTCTGACGGTATTCCTTGCCCTGTGGTGGAGGTTAGCTTGAGGTCCTCAACAGGGTGCTGTCTAAATCACGTACATCGGGGGCGGGAGTGTCTCTTTGAAGGTAGGGCTTGATCGAACGGTATTGCTTGTAGAACTGGGTCAAGTCGGGCACCAAATCCTTGACTACGTAGGTGTGAGGCAAAGGGTAGACCTTGACGTCTGAAGCGTTCTCAGAAGGAATGCGGCCTGCGGTGCTGGTTAGCATTTGTCTCGCCATTTGCACTATTCGCACCCTGCAAAGCCCGGAAGCTGCAGCCATGCTTCGAGAGGAAACTCACAAAGGCAAGCCAGGGTGTTCTGGCCGTTGATGTTCATGGCACAGCTACCGCAAATACCCTCTCTGCAACTTCTGCGGAAGGTAAGAGTAGGGTCCAGCTCGTTCTTGATCCGAATCAATGCATCTAGCATCATAGGTCCGGTTTTGTTCAGGTCCAGCGTGTACTCCTGCATCTTGGGCTTCTCGGTCGGCGTGTCGGGGTTCCAGCGGTAGATGGTGAACTTCTTCATCTTGGGCTCCTTTGTCGCAGGCACTTGATCGCTGGGGGTGGCCAGACCACGGCGAGGAACGGTGACGGCAGGGCGGAAGGCAGCCTTGGTGGCCGAGCCCAGGACCCGGGTGGAAGAGCGGAGAGATGCCATTATGGCTGGTTGTTTTCGACTTCGACTGTACAGAAAATGGAGATAGATCAATCGACTGTTGGCACACCAAATATGAGATGAGCGATTCCGACGAATTGGCGGGGCGCAGTGTGGGAAAACAGCGGTTCACCGTGAGATTGTCCTTGGTGGCGGTTCAGGTGAAGTGAAAGACATCATGGAAGTTTGCTTCAATCCCTCGGTTATTGTGTCGAAGCGGCCGGAGCGGAAAAGCGGGACTCTCGACCAATCAAAGCTGAGTGATTTTAAACCACATCCTCATTGCCGCTTTTGACCTGATTCCCGAGCTTCGACCTTGCGCTTCCAGGTAATTGCTCAGCAAGACATCTTGAAAATCGAGGACTCCTCAGTCAATGACATCCTCAATCTTGACTGAAGTCGACAGTGATTTTAGATTACCCTGCCTAATTTGCTATGCATCTCAGCAACAAGTCTGCACAACCGCGCTCCCGGCTGATGGCGATTTAAAGCAGCGCCCACCTCCATCCGCCGGTTTTCGCGTGGAATAAACCGGCATCCAGAACCGGCAGCAGCTGAAAGCTGACTCAGCGGAAATACTCCGGGTAGCCTTCCTGGGAAGTCTTGGGTTGGGCCTTTTTCATATGACATCAAGTAGACGTTGCATTCCCTTTCAGACGCGACTGCCTATCACAATCGTCTGTCCCTTTGCCGCTGCGAAAGTGCTCGCGTTGAAGAAGCGCTTCTAGCTCTGAATCATTTCGGATTCGCAGTGTAGCTATGTGATTCTTGTCACATTTCAAACGAGAAATTGAGACGGTTAATATGCGGACTGCGCAAGCACCGCATCTCCAGGAAACACTACACATCGCAGCACATTGGAAGCAATGGCCGCAACGGTGACAGTATTACGCCAGCCTCTGGTCCTCTTCCCTGCCACAAGGCCGTTGTTGAAGAGTATGCTTCCTTCTCTGCATTGCATCCCTCAGTCGTTTGTTGATTGATCCGTAGCATCCATCAACTTCTCGAAGTATCTTGCCCGACACCGGTCGACCCCTCCGACACACGCCTTTCAGCGATACTTTTCAAAGACCAGAAGCATGAAATCCGACTCAGCTGCGAAGCTTTCCTACCACGTCGCTGCGTCCTTTACCGCGAAAGACCACTCTTACGATCCATCAACACACATCTTCCACTTCAATCCCTATAACCGTATCCAACAGAACCGTAACAAACGCTCCAGGCCGGACAGTGGACACGATGCCTTCTTTGTTAGTCGGATTGGCGACTCGGGCGCAGTAGCCCTCGGTGTGGCTGACGGCGTCGGCGGCTGGGTGGATTCAGGCGTTGACCCGGCGGATTTTTCACACGGTTTCTGCGATTACATGGCCTCTACAGCCTACGGGCATGGTTCAATCAAGGACGACCCCACGACTAAGAGCACGGGCGAGAAGGAACCGCTACGAGCGCAAGATTTGATGCAGAAGGGATACCAGGCGATCAATGAGGACAGCACCGTCATTGCTGGTGGCAGCACAGCTTGCGTTGCTGTAGCATCTTCAGACGGCAATCTTGACATTGCCAATCTAGGCGACTCTGGCTTTATCCAGCTCCGATTGAACGCCGTACACACCTACTCCGAACCTCAAACGCACGCCTTCAATACCCCCTACCAACTCTCCATCGTGCCTCCCAGCGTAGCCGCTCGGATGGCGGCATTTGGCGGCCAGAACCTATGCGACTTCCCCAAAGACGCCGATGTCACTCGTCACAATCTCCACCACGGCGATATCATTGTCTTTGCAACTGACGGTGTCTGGGACAACCTTTTCAACCAGGATATCCTCCGCATTGTCAGTAATGTCATGACAACGACAGGCGCATGGCTCATGACGAAGAACGGCGTCCGTGTCGTCGACAATCTCAAGCCATTTACCAAACCCGCTGAAGACGCCACGGAGCGACCGTCCTCCAAGTTCCTCACCCTGCAGAGCGTGCTCGCTGCGGAGATCACGTCCGCTGCCAAGTCGGCAAGTCTCAACCGCAACGTCGACGGCCCCTTCGCCAAGGGAGTGCAAAAGTACTACCCGCAGGAGAACTGGCACGGCGGCAAGATTGACGACATTTGCGTTCTCGTCCTCATTGCGTCGGACGACTCAAAGGTCGAGCTTAAGAGTCGCCTCTGAAGCCGTCTTTTATCATAACCAACATCATCTGCGCATCTGAAGCTTTTTATTGCTTTTTCCAGTTGCGCGAAATTACCCCCATAGAAGCCCAAAAAAGGAGCGCCACCGCTGCATTTCTTCGTTGCATCGTAATTTTGGACCGTCGCCATTTTCTCCGTCGGTGACATAGCAATGATGTACAAAGGATTCCGAGCACAGTCTTTGATCCTCAAAGACAAGCAATGAAGCATTGAGCAGTCAGCAGTCAGCAGTTCAGTCATTCAGTCAGCTGTAGCAGCCTCGAAGTACCACCAATAATCGAATTCTATCCACGTTTCCACGTCGCGTCGTCGATCGCACCTAACGACCTGTCTCTCCCTGCCTGGATCCATGCTCCCCCACTGATGAGACTACACATTTCGGCTCACGCGATCGGCGGCAACGGTCGAACGAGATGAACACCAATCAATTTTCCTGTTTTCTCCTTTGTCCTTATATGAGACGGGGCAAAGCACTGGGAACTTCCCGATCGGAGCGTAGCTCTGCCTAGGGTTTGTTGCTTCTTCCTTCCACAGTGGCGGCCATGGCCACCTTTTTTTGGGTCGCTCAACTCCGCGTCAGCTCGGGAGTCTGCACCGTCTCCTTCTCCACGTGGGGCTTTATCGAACCACTGATCCGGGCCAAGAGAAGATGAAACAGCTTTATTCTCTGGAGAAGCGATGGGCTGATCCATAATAAAGGTACATGGTATTGCGAATGAGGGTAAAAAAGACCCTATGATTTATCTGTAAATGAACGACAGATCGATGACTTGTTTGTCTCCGAATTTTTTTATGACTACTCACCATACGCAGACAATATTACGTGCGCCTCTTCCAAAGGCAGCGCACGTCCGTTGCCGAAGGATGATGGCCGCAGGTCGAGTAACACCACCTCGGGGTACGGACGGAAATGTCACCACACTGAGGGCACGGTCATGCAATGCATGCAGCCTGAATAGGCAATATCATGGACGCGGGGTTGAGATGAGCCATGTCACACGATAAAAATGATCACAGGCAACGAAGTTGAGGGTTTAAAAGGCAACAATGTTTGAGTTGCTAATTGATTGTTGACAGGCCCAAGGATATTGAATTGGCCCGGACAACACGACGTTTGCTTAGTCATCCCCTGTCCTTCGAGAGCGGTTTGCTGCTCGATCCGCTTGCTTCATTTCAAATGCAACTCTTGGTCCTGTTCTTTCTTTGATCGCATTACTGAATTATAAACCTTTGCTCGCATCATGTACCAGTCATTGGGCTTAATATAGCCCGAACATCCTCACTGCGCACTAGCTTACTGGAAGTAGAGCATGGCAGCGACGGTGAGGCCGATCAGGGCAATGGGAGAGCCCATGCGAACAGCGTCACTGCCGGGTACGGTGGTGGGAGCGCTGGTGGAGGAACCGGTAGCGCTGGTGTCTGTTTATCATGTTAGTCGAATTTCTTCTGCTTCCATTGGAGTACACATACGGGTGCTAGTGCGGGTGCTGGTAGACACAGTGGAGGCCACAGTGGAGTTAGCAGTAGAAGAGGCCGAGGTGCTCTCTGCGGAGGCGGAAGAGGTGATGGTGGAGGAAGCCTCGGTCGTGTCGGTGGAGGAGGCAGAAGCGGAGGCGGTGGCGGAAGCGGAGGCGGAGGCGGAAGCAGTGACGGAGGTGGTCAGAGTGAACTGCTCAGAGTAGTTGGGAGTGCCGGAGCCATCCTCAATCTCGATGGCGTACTGGTCGGTGGGGAGGCTGGAGGAAGGAGTCCAGGTGAAGGAGGTACCACTCTGGCCAGCTGAGACGGTAGTCAGTATCAGATGGCATTTGGTTAATCAGTACCCAAACAGACTTACAGGCGATAGTGGAGACGGTCTTGAGGTCGGTGCTGGGACCGTTCTTCAGAGTAAGAGTGACGGGGCCGGAGGCATCAGACCACGTGATCACGAAAGGCTGGCCAGCCTGGATGTTGAAGTTGCTGTTGGTAAGCTGGACAGCCTGGGCCAGGGCAGCGAAGCCGGCGACGAGGACAGAGGTGAAGCTCTTCATTGTGACGGATTGGGTGGTTTCTTGCAAACTGAGCGATGAACGAGTGTAGGAGTATTAGATATCGAACTACTGTAATTTAGCAAAAAGGGTCAACAACGAATGTCGGGAATAGGCTCGTGAGGAAACAAGAGGTAGGAGAAAATAAACAATGACGGGAGAGGGGACAGCTGGGTAGAAAAAGACTTTCTCGTCTTGCGCAGGCGCGAAATTAGGCGAAGTCGAATCAGGGGTAGAGCATGGAGGGGGGGTGCGGGTTTGGCGGAGAGGCAGGCAGGCAGGCAGGCATGCGACTTACATCAACACCTAAACGGGGCTTTTCCTATTATTACTCGCACGCGTTGCTATTGCTGGGGGTGTGTGGATGGTTGGCTTTTGTGGAAGTAGCACCAGAAGATCAGCAATTTGATGGACGGTGATCGAGGATTTGTTTGTGGACCAGGCAAGTTTGTTTGGATTGAGATGGTGATGGAATGAATGGATTGTCAGGCGGGAAAAGATGGGCGCACTGGAGCTTAAGAAGCTGAAGAAAAGGGAAGAACTGTCGAGGTTGAAACAGACAGGCCAGGCGCGCGATCGAACCTTCCTCTTTTCTAGCTAAAGTACTCATGGCGACACCATAACAAGCACCCAACGCAGCAACAGCCGGGGGCGGGCAGCAACCGCGCGCACCTCGAAGCTCCTCGAAGACGCCGCGGATGGCATCACGGACGGCACCACGGCTCACACAGGGGGCGCAAGCTACCTTAAGGTAAGGTAAAGTAAGCACCGCAAGGTACTTTAGCACCTCAGGAAGTTGCAGGCAAGTCGTTGTAAATGAGAAAAGGAAGCGACGGCGACGAGTGGGGCACGGGTACATGCCCACCTCTTCCAGCCGCCCTGGCAACAGGGGTGGCACTAGCCCCAAGACTGGACTAACGTGGAAAATTCTGGGAGGGTACCCCTGTCGCAGAGAGGAACCTGGCGAACCCCAGAGGAAGCGCTAACGAAGACCAAGCTTCAGGTTCTTGTCCCATGGTTGTTTTTGGTCCTGGCTGGCCTGACTTCTTTCTGCTTCTCCCGGTGGCCTCTTGCGCCGGAAAGAGCCACGACTGCGTGCAGCTGCTTCAGCTTAGGTACTACCTTAGTGTTAGCGTTCAGATTAGCTGCGAATGTTACCTTTGCTCAACTCACCATCCATCCGCACGCTGTCGTCCAGTACCTTACACTCAAGGCAGGCAAAGTAGGCAGCAACTTTGAGATGACCGTATGGTAGATTTCCTTCAAGCTTACCATCTCCGGGGCGATATGCAGTCCCCCAACGCCGGTGACCACTGGGCAGTCCTCAATTGCAGCCGTCAAACCCCCTGGGCTGTGTCCACGGAGTCGCCCGAGATCCCTTATTGGGCCATTTTGGCCGGGGCAATGAGAGAATCACGTCCAGCTCGGGCAACAGCAGGGAACTTGGAAGAGGTCTGGGCCTCAACGGTACTCACCTGGACCCGGGCTGGCTCTTCCGACTCGCCGTCCAGGCGACAATTTGAACAATGCGCCCAGCAATGGCACAATCTTCCACATACCGTACCATCTCGCTTCCCTGCTTTCCAATTCCAGCTCACAGCAGGTGACACCCCGTTGGAACCCGCTGGAACGGCCCAAGAGACCCCAAGAATCCTCGGCCGGCCGCCGATCTGCCTCACACCAGTTACTGACTCTCACCACGCTACCAAAGTAGGTACGGGGCACAAAGTACGTATTCCTACGGATACGTGGTGGGTACCTTCGTTCTTGTCCGGCGATGGGGAAAGGTTCCTGTCGATCTGGGTCTTTGGAGGCGCAGCAAGGGAGAGGGACAGAGACTTCTCCATCGCACGCATTTCCAACGGCCGTCGTCCTCCGCAACCCCTTCGCATTGGACAAAGTCGCAGAAAACAGGATGGTCAATTGGTCAGGCAGTGCCCCTTTCGCCCCCCATGGGAATGTGCGAATGCTTCTGCGGCTGCCGCTGACGCCCGGCTCAGCCTGCAATTACGTGCGCGTCCAACAGCGTCCATCCCTCCACCCTCCCTTCCAGCTCGTGTTCCATTTCTCCACGGCAAAACTTTACTTTCCGCGGACCAGTCACGAGCCGCCTGCGATTCCATCATCGATCCGAGTTGGCCATGACATTGACAGCTCAAGGTCACCCCACCACACTATTGGAGGTGACGACGCCTACGGATGCTGTATACTCGTGATAGTGGCTTTTACGAGTGGCATGTTCGTACTCTGTACGGAGTAATCTGTGTGTTTGCATTTTCAAAATTCCAAAATAGCATCGGTATTCACACGCCTGATAACCTTGATGTGCCGGTACACTTGCAAAGCCAATCTTCCAAGATCTGTGCTTCAAATGCAGAGTACGTTCCCACCAGTGTTCTTTTTGGGCGGCACCACCGACATGACTGACGCCGGGAGCGAGACAGCAGGTCAGCTGCTGACATATCCGTATAGATAGTCAAGTTCCATTTCCTCTGTGCCACGACGAAAACCGACGCCGTTTTGGAGAATGCACCTCCTGGCACCGTTTCGCGACAAGAGTCAGACGCACATCAGTCTGGAATGGGACAATCCACTACCGACCAGGAGTAGGGACAGAATGCCCAGCGGCAGGCTACGGTGATTTGGGATCGCCTGATGAGGATCTACCGGGGGCCTCTGGGGAAAAGATTTTACTCGCGCCTTTACCCGCTTGATCCGTGCCGCAAGTTGCCAGCCCGCTCGGTCGGTCCAAAGTCTCGCGGAGCATGCACACATTGCATACAATGTATATATTACCGTCCCATTGTCGACGCGCCTTGCTGAGTCGCTGCATCCCATCATGTCATCGCGCCAAAGCGGCAACCTCGCTCTCATTCGGCAGACAGGGGCGCCTCCACAGAACGGTCAATACTATTTGTGGTAAGATGCAACGACGTCAGGCTCGCCTATGTCAATGGCGTTTCCCAGCTCCCACCAAATTCAATTTCCAATGCACATCCCGTTGGGTCCCGTTGTGGAGACCAAGATTGGTCAAATCTCCCCAGCACGCGCTACGTCACGGGTTGCACGGTACCTGCATTCTGCGCAATGGTCCTTGCTTCTGACCTCCAATCGACGGACCGGGACACTAGCAGCTCTCGCCTGCCCCAAGGCTTACTGGAACCCTGTCCATGCGCGCTCCTCCAAGAGGCTCCACGGCCGACAACGGGAAGCTTGCGGCATTGACAGGGCAGCGCCTGGCTCTGACTATGTCGTCCGAAAGCTTCAGCAAGTTTGTCAATATCCACGTCGTTTACCACGAAATACACCTCTGACAGAGCCATCGGACCAAACCATCGGATATGGCAAATCGCTCAAACTGGCGTCTTGACTCCCTTGGAATTCCACTCTGGGGTCGCTCTCCCCGTGGTGGTGGGCTTGGCTCTCTACGTTGTACATGCTTTGCATATTACCCACCCATGCCACCTACTTGGATATTTCAGTCCTCAACCAGCCGTGCGATGACACTTCCTAGACATACTACTCATGAGTCTTGGCTGAAATGGACCAAGCCTGCTGGCCAAGGGGGCGTTTCACTCTGACACCCGACTGGAATGGAAAAGCACCAGAATTGAGGACTTTTCCTCGGCTCATCTCAGATGACGTAAAGTACATCCCTCTGACGGGGATGCTGGCGTAGCAGCCATCAGTTCAATTCGTTCATGCCGTTTCAGCTCACAGCTCAGTCAAGACACGGAAACCAGACTGATGAATATTCTGCAACGCCACAGCCGCGTGCATCAATCAGAGCAAGACGTCTCGTCCGCTGAAAACGCTCACCAAGCTGTTGGTCCTGGACCACGATTGAAAACCCAACCTCCCGTGCGAATTTTCAGGCACACGTGTGTCAAATGCTCATGTCCCAGGCTGGGTTTCCATGCTCTCTCCGGTTCCAACAGACTCACAAAACCACATCGAAGTGGCAGCAACGAGTCCTGTGTTTTGGCCAAAGACAGCACTTGGCAAACTCACGGCCATTGCCCGACTCGTCCAAATATGCGCTGTTGCGCCAGGATACATGGAAGAAAGGGAGCAAATGACAGGAAATCGAAGTGGCGGTGGCGAACTCACGACAGAGGCCTCCTCTCCATCCGGTAGCTTTGACTAGCATGATGTCTGTTAACGGGGTGAATCCAGTGTGCAGCGAACGACACCTCGCCGGACGCCCTCAGCCTCCTCCCTGACTTGAACCACTGATGCTCCTTTTCCCCTAGCCTTGTCCACGAAATCATCGAGTGAACCTCCGACTCCAAAGTAAAGCCTTTTTGCTCCAACTAGCGCCTGCGACTGGCAGTTGCTGCGTTGGCTCTGTTCTCTGTTGAGGATTGCAAGGACCATCTCGTTGAAAGCGTTCAGTGCGAAAGGCGAGTAGATAGTTTCCGCTCCGATAAGAAGGGTATCGAAACTGCTGGACACGTCCAGCTTAGACTGAGTTTCGTATAGGAGATCAACAAGCTCGACTGACCAACCACCAGAAATGAAATTAAGAGAGATTTTAGAAGACGTCAGGAACTCCTTGAACAGTTGCAAAACCTCGGACGTAAGTTCGAGCTCATCTTCCATCGCGAATGCCTCCTCCAGGATGAGGTTCTGGTCTCTGCGTTCCAGAGCCCAGGCGAGTATAAAGTTAGGCAGCGTGACCAACTGCAAGACCGTCGGGTTGTAGTCGGCCAGGGTAAGCAAAAGTGGCGATCTCTGTGCTGGATTCCTCATGGTCCACTGCAGGAGAGCCAGCGATGGAAGCGCTGTGCCGCATCCCAGCTGCGCGCGGGAGTTAGCTTCGGTCGCCACTTGAGCCAACAAACACGCGTCAGGTCTCGTACCTCGATCACTCGGAGAGGCCGTTGCTTGAGCAAGTCCAAGTATTGGCCACTGGCTAGAACCTTGACGAGGTCCACACTGCTCTCCCAGCTCTTGAAACCACCCTCGTAGACGCCCGTCTTGACATCGTGGCTGCCAAGGCCTTCGGCGTCGGCACCGTCACTGGCGGTCTCATCCTCGGCCATGAGCTGCACTCGCACGTCCCAGAGCTCTCGACGAGGGATCTTGAGGAGGCTGCCGTCATCCAGGGTAATATCCAGGGTGCTGAAGGCGACCTTTGAAGGCAGCTTCGAGAGCATTTCCTGCAGGTTATGGCTGGTGGGCGGTAGCTGGGGTTTGCCGGGGACCGGAAAGGCGCTGGCTGCAGCGGACTGCGGGGTCTCGGGCTCCGGGGCGGGCGCGGAGGCCTCGGCGGCCGGGACGGAGTCGTCCTCTATGTCATCGCCGCCGAACCCGAAGGAGAATGATGCCATGTTTCTTGAGGTGGGAAATGCCGTGTGGGTTGCAGGATTTTTTACGTACCTTCCTGCAAAAGGTGAGTGAGTGAGTAGGGAAGAGACTATGGAAATGTGGGGGCGGGTTCACTCTCACACCCACAAACCACCTCAGAACGAATGACACGAAACGCATCCTCTTATTGGAAGCTTACCCAGGCAGGCTGCCGGGTGTGTTTGTCGAATCGGAAGGGCAGCGACACCAGATATCTCACGCCACCAACCAAAGGTTTTGAAACCTTGCAGATTAAGACCTTTTCCTGGCAGTGGATCGATTAAGCTTGATTCAAGCTTGCATTTCTACTCCGTAGGTACCGGTACCTGTCCGTCTTGGGGTAGCTATTAATTATAGGTTGTTGGTGGTTCGGGATGGACTAACAACCAGTTGGTTTTAAGCCCCGTTGTTACAGGCAAAGATTCGGCCGTAATTATGTCCACCTGCTGCTTACCTTACATATAGCACCTGGACAAAACAGCAAAGTTCCCAGCTACCGATTGGTTTAGTCCACGTCAAGCCAATCGTCATCGGTGGCCAAGGCTGGGGTCACTTGCTTTTGTTTGCCAGAAGCTCTTCCTATCAGTGCTTTATTGTTCGAAATGTCTTCCAATTCCGCACCAACACCAACTGCCGCCCATTGGGCACTTGCTGGGTCGCCAAGAGGCCAGTGACCGGCAACTCGCAAGAGAGACTGCACTCAGTGCGGCGTCTGGGTAGGAGGCATTACAAGTGAGCGATTGTCTCATATCTACGGAGCTTTACCCCTCGGCCTTCAGATCTCGTTACATACATCCCACCCACATGTCATGCTGGTTGCAATGGCGACGGCGAAAGCGAATCTGCAACTTTGATAGGCCGACTGACGTTCGGAGAAATCATCCGCAGCTGAACCTATTCCTTCCACGTCTCTGACTGCGTCTCTCGCGCATGCTTTGCTCTGCGCTGGCTCTACAAATAAAAGCCTCAAGCTGAGGCCCAGCGGCCGTTTATGCGCCATGAGCCCAGGACGACCTGCAAGCCGCTGCCGAGTGGTTCATGGTTCAGCTGCAGATGCCTGCCAGACACACACACACACACACACACATCTCCGCATCTAAAGACCCGGAGGATCTGGTGCATCTCGAGCTTTGTGCTCCCTCAACGAGATCTCGTGTCTCAATGGTCAGCAAACGCGCGAGGATGCCACCCCCTCCCGCCCTCCGCCATCCTACCATGCGGCGCCGAACAAACCCACGGCCGATCGACGATGGTTCCGGCACTCGCGATTCCTTCTCTGGCGATCCACTCCATCAGGCATCACATATTCCCGTTCTGTGGTCCGTTGTCAACCGCAATGTCGTCAAGGGATAATGAAGCTGAAAAAAGCCGTCGGCGGCCGAACATCCCTAACCTCGGGACCGCATCGTCTTGCTCTCAGGAGACGCAGACGTGGCCGGGGTCAGACCCCAACGGCAGCTTTCTCTTTCCTTGGCTAGATAGGACCCGGTTTGCGCTCCATATCGCCCCCCGTCCGCGGCACTCACCACGATCCCGCTCCGGCTCCAAGCCTCCATCCTCCAGTACGGCCAGAGTCATGATTCGCCACTCACCGCACTGGATCCATGCCATAAGCACCCTCAGCCCGGTCTCCCCGTTGTGGTTGGATGGTTTACGACCTGGTCCAGTCGGGACCCTTTAGCTAATCGGACCTTGCTTGGCCGCAACGAGCTAGCAGACGTGCAGACAAACCATTTTTTTTTTCCAACTCTACCCATGGACCAGCCTTGTTCCAGAGTCGTTTGGATACGTGCAGCCACACCATGTGCCGTTGCACCAGCCAAGATTGATAAACTGCCCATCGTAAATCAACCAACAGTGACGCTCGGTGCAGACCCTCCTACGACCTGAACCCCCAATTGAGAGGACCCATACCCATTGGCGCGTCTCTATCTACAAAGTCCACCGTTTTGTTTCATGTGAGCTGTCTCTTTTCATTGTGGAAGTCTATGCCTCTTGACAAGAAGCTGTGTTGCGTCAGTTCATGGCTCTTTGATTAAGGTGGTGCGGTTGTGGTGTTAGTCGCGGAGGCATGGAACAATTCATCTCGGACTTTGCCTACCATGAACAACGTCAATGTCTCTTGGAACCCGCGCCAGCGGATCACTCGTTGCTTCTTCCTCTTTGGCTCTTTCGATTGTCTCATTCCATTATTCCATGGTAGGCTGCTTTGCAGTTATTGGTTGGTCTCCGTGACAAACCGCCGCTCTACACCTGCCAAAAGTCCACAGTCACCGCCCGCATCCTCTCTTCCAACCGTACTCCCCCAAGCGAGCATTTGAAAGGCGCTTGTTCGGAAAGAGACTCCTTGCAGCCACTCGCCGGCGCCTTCCTCGGGACTCAACATCCCTTGGCAACTTCACTCAGATATAAACCGGTCCCTTCTTCCTCTTTATTCTCCACCTAGCTCCATACACAACCAGAAACCTCACAATGACACGGCAACTCCCTCACCTCTCTCGTCATGTCGACACACAGGGCAGCGGATCTAGTCAACCTACCCACAGCAATGCCGCCTACACAGTGAGAGAAGTGCCGTTCGGAACTTCGCAGCCTATTCGAATCGTCGGAATCGGGGCCGGAGCAAGCGGGATCAACCTGATCCGCACCTTGAGAAACACCCTCGGTGCCTCGACGTACGAGCTTGTCATCTACGAGAAGAACGAGAACGTCGGGGGTACCTGGTTCGAGAACCGGTACCCCGGTTGCAAGTGCGACGTGCCAAGCCACAACTACCAGTTCAGCTGGAGACCGAATCCGGCTTGGTCAAGCTTCTTTGCCCCCGCGGCAGAGATCGAGGACTATCTTTGTCGAATTTGTGACGACGAAAAGCTACGGCCCTTCATCAAGACTTCGCATCAAATTGTGGGAGCGGCTTGGTCAGAGTCCAAGGCCGTGTGGGAGCTGCAGATCAAGAACTTGGAAACAGGCGCCGTCTTTGAGGATTATGCCAACTTTCTTATTGACGCAACTGGTATCCTGAAGTATGTATCTTTTCAGTTAAGTCATGACCTGTTTCAATGTCTGACTTGTTCAGCAAATGGAGATATCCGGATGTGGAGGGCATCTCCCTTTTCGAGGGTACCCTCATTCACAGCGCAAACTGGCCCAAGGACTTTGATTATACGAACAAGACGGTAGCAATCATTGGAAATGGCGCGTCTGGTGTCCAAATCGTCCCAGCCATGAGAACATGTGGGTATTTTCCGTCCCTATCATGGTGGTACAGCCAGCTTACAGCAAGCAGACGTGAAGAAGCTTCATCACATCATCCGGACACCTACCTTGATCATCCCTCCTCGGGTTGCAACGATGAAGATGGGTCCTTCAGCTGCTCTCCTCAACCAAATTGAAATGGACGAAAATGAACAGTTCTCAACGGCGACGATCGAAAAGTTCAAAAGCGACCCGGCTTTTTACAACAAGTTTAAACAAACTCTCGAAATGGACTCCAACATCAAGTTTGCCATTTCCCTCATCGCGGGAAGTCCTCAACAGGCATGGGCGCTGGGAAAGACGAAGGAATTCATGACGGCGATGCTCAAGGGAAATGAGAAGCTCTGCAAGCAGCTCATACCCGACTTCCCCCTTGGATGCAAGCGACTTACTCCCGCCCCTGGGTATCTCGAATCGTTCCACGACCCCCGGGTCTCCCTTCATACTGATTCCATCAAGAGGTTCGTGCCTCAAGGTATAGAATTGGCCAGTGGGAAGGTTCTCGACGTTGACGTTATCGTCTGCGCCACTGGCTTCGACTCATCATTCCGTCCATCATTCCCGCTCGTCGGTCGACACGGCAACTTGCAGGACATCTGGTCTGAGCAAACGCCCAAAGCTTACATGTCTCTTGCCGTTGCCGGTCTGCCAAACTTCTTCAGTAAGTCGGCAATCCCTACGCTCACCGCTTCGACGCTAACCATGCTACTTTCTGTAGAGTTCCTCGGCCCCAACGCACCTGTTGTGCAGGGCGATGTTTTTACGCTTAGTGAGCACATTGCTACGTACATCGCCAACACGATTCTCAAATGCCAGACGGAAGGCGTCCGAACAATCGCCCCTTCAGAAGCGGCTGTGGAGGACTATTTTGAGCATATCTCGGCTATTATGCCTCGTACGGTCTTTGCAGGCGGGTGCAGATCCTGGTACAAGCAAGGAGAGGTCAACGGCCCTGTGACGGGTCTGTACCCCGGGAGCCGTATGCACTTCATCCATCTGCTGGAGCGATTCAGGGGTGAGGATTGGGAGTACACGTACGAGAATGCGAAGCAGAACCGATTCGCATACTTGGGCAACGGGTTCACCGTGCCGGAGATGATGATGCTCAAGGCTGGAGCGCCGCCTTCCTGAAGGGGGCACGGGGACAACATTGCTTTGTACATAGACAGGGATAGATGGATGGACCTTGTTTCGGTGGCATCACTTTCTGGGTGGTTTGCAGGCGTTGATTTTGGGAAAGGTCTAGTCCTTGGCATGACGGATGATGAAGTCGATTTTCCTCACGCTTCAAGCGAGTCCGGTACCAAAAGGGCATGAGACACACAAACGAGTCATCCTTGAACTTCGATACCAGTATTGCTTTTCCGAGCCGCCTCCGCCTTGCTGCCTCGAGCCGTCAAGTGAGACAGACCCTTCTCTCGGAGGAGCCGCAGCCTGTGGGAGTCGTCCAATGTCTCGGATGCTGAGCCACTGAGTGGTTGTGTCCAGGCGACTTGGCGCGGCATACCGGGTGTTGGTTACCACATTACGTTACCGCCTCGAACAGCCCTTCCGCCCCCGGTCCAGATATGCTGCCTGGTGTGCGGAGTTGCCGCGTGGAAGGCGGTGGCTCGACCGGCTGTTTGGCGATAGCGCTGTCTTGGGTTGTTGGGTCAGCAGTCTCGGTTGCTTTGGCATTGTCTCAATGCCAATGATGGCTTGCGGCCGGGTCGCATGAATGCTTGTTGGATCCTGGGTACGTATTCTAAGAGGCTGAGAGGAATAGTGCAGAGGCGAAGGAGCTCATGTTTGGCTGGGCGCAACGGAGCCTTCTCTTTGTTATGGGGAATGTTCACCATCAAACGGGCACCGAGGCGTATAGAACACCTCCATCAAATTGTCTTGCAGTAGATGCTGGCTCAATCTATTAGCGTGGTGCTGAAAGCAGTTGATAGTAAGTAGATGTCAGATTGTTGAGATACATATTGCCGGCTCTGGGCCTGGTTTCTCAAGGCGTGTTTGCGGTGTACCTTGGCAAGCGGCGATTGATGACGACCTCACATTGCAAGGCATTGGACCCCTGTTCAGCACAACTTTGTGAGCTGTGTGTTGTACATAGATTGTCGGCCATCTCCAGGCATCGTGTCTTTATTGAGTTTGTAGCCTCGCAACTACCGCAGGCTGGGTAAAGGGAGCTACCAAGAAGCGAATCTAACTTTGAGTCATTAATGATTTTAACATTCCGGGCTTCATCCTTGCTTTCCGGTCATACGTTGGCATAATCCAATAGTCCCTGTACTTGCTGGGTTCATAAATCTGCTGTCTTTATTCATAATGTCATGACCGAGCAGTGCGAGTACTGAAACTTTGCGAGTATAGCTAATACGATTTGCCTTGTTGACTTTGAGCGAAGCTGTATAAATGTGTTTAGAAATGGTAATCGATGCATGTTTTAGTGCATTCTTGGGCTAGAGACCGAATGAAGCAGGAATCCCTGATCTTCCAACGCAGAGCAGCCCGCGAGATACTCTTCTTTACGATTTCGAGAAACCGCAGCCTCAGTGAAGAGATCTTCTGGAGCCAGGTGCTGCCGCATATGCAGACATGTCTCGAGCAAGAAGGCTTTGAATGCGTCGAGTTGACCAGACGGACTGGGCAGGAAGGTATACTCGCGAGCGTGCTTGTGGCTCTGGGACTGTGGGACAAGGCTACGAAGGTCTTGGAGCAGGCCGTTGCCGCTAGGCAAGAAATCTTTGGCTATGCGGACTTTGCAACTATAGGAGCATTGTGGGATCTGGCCAAGGTCTATTGAGACTCTAGCAGCAGGTTGAGAGATTCTGAGGCTCTCTTTCTGCAGATCCTGGGTTTGGTTAAGGAATGCCCTGAGCAGGTCATGATCTTGCGCTATAGTTTTCAGATCGCCATCGACCTAGTGAATTTTTACCTCATCCAAGCGAGATACAAGCATGCTAAACACATGCTAAGTATTATCCTGGAACAAGAGGAGTACTCGGGGCGGAAATGGAGCTGATACCGCCGCGCCGTGACAACACTGGCAGCCGTCTTTCGGATGGAGGGCGATATGGAGACGGCTCTTGCCATGGAGATAGATTTTGTCCGCTATTGCCTGGAAGATGGCAGGGCTGGACGGGTTTCCCGCATGCCGGTGAGTGCATTGAGCAACATTGCCGCGCTGCAATCGGACATGGGCCTGCACGATGAAGCAGACCGAATTTGGCGGGATATCCTCGTCAATGAAGAGGTTTACAGTGGCAAAGAGAACCCAAAAACCCTGCAGTCGAAGCGAAACGTCGCAATCGGCTGCGCGAACCTGAACCGGCTTGAGGAGGCAGAGGAAATCTTGCGCGAGGTGCTGGAGGTGAGCGAGAGGGTTCTTTGGAGGGAACATCTCGATACGCTGGCAACGATGGATCAGCTGGCGGGTGTGTTGGCCCGGCGTCACAAGACGGAGGAGGCCATCCAGCTTTGGGAGGAATGCCTCGAGGGCTGGGCGGATATTCTGGACAAGCAACATCCTCTCACGATGAGGACGGTGCAGGCGTTGGCGAGAATGAGGGATGATCTTGCGGTCCTCGCGCAAAAGGATTTCCAGGCTGGTGGATTCATGTTTTCTTGGGGATGCTATTTTGTGTCTCAGTAAGAGCGGGAAACACATTTACGTATTTTGGTCTCGTGGAGAGAAAATATATCCATGTTAAAGTGAGATATGGACTGTGGCCGACTACGTCAACTAACACAGGTGTGTATCGGGATTACTCGGTACATGCAGACACAACGGCCCTTAGTCTTACTGTGTGTATCCAATACTTTAAGCACTGTATGGATCATCGCGTTGACCTCACCTCAGAAAATGGTGATTTGCTTGACGGAATACCTGAACACCAATTATCATTATCTGGAACAACCAGCGACGAGGTGATCATCATCCATTGGGCCGGAAGCACGAGAGCAGTATCGAAATTCTGTAACAACGTATCCATCGACCCCACGATTCCCTTCCCCTTCTCAGTCAAGCGTCGTAGCCTACAACCCGACATACCTCATCACCGCCAGCGCGTTCGTTACCAATGCGGTCTGCATCGGTTCTGAGGATGGCCTCGGCCTCGGCCTCAAAGGGCAACGGCCTGAGGCCCACGCCGATGGCCCTCCTGCCCCCCATCCCGCTGTACCGTCGCCTCCTGCGCGCACACCGCAAGCATCTCCCTTCCGAGATGCGTGTGCTGGGTGACGAATACATCAAGGCTGAGTTTCGTGCTCATCGCACAGTGGACAACCCGGCGCATTTGGTACGTTCTCTTCCTTTGGGTTCATTACGGAGATCCCTGTCTCTCAACTTACGGGCACCTTTTTGTGCGTTGCTGCTTGGTCATTCTAGTACTCTGGCACACTTTCGTAACCAATTCCAATTTCTTTCTTGTGCTTGCTCCTATGATGATGGGATGTTGGTAAAAAACCTAGGCGCGTTCAAGGAGCTGTAACCCGAGAGCGCGTCAGAAACCATTCGTTACAAAGACACCCACCATCTATCTCCCTTGCACTGAGGTCCAGCTAGGCTTGCAGGAGAGGGCTGACTAACAACCTCTTCGCAATGTACTAGATCGGCTTTTTGACTGAATGGCAACTATACGCGCAAAAAATCGAGGGCAATTCGTGGGAGGGCGAGAAGATTGACCCTGTCAAGGTTGCCAAGATGAGTGGTGAGTTTCTCTTTGCTGCTTTCTTCCGTGAGGTCATAATGGCTGACGAATTGGTTCCCAATTAGATGAACAAATCGGTCAGCTGTATGAGCTGATGCAAGCGATCAAAGAACGGCGTGAGTCAGGAGAAGGCGAGGATCAGTCATGATAGCTTAGCGGTATGAAGGAAAGCATCATCCAAGTCCATGATGCGAAGGGCGCGACTTATGCGCGTTTGTATTAACACATAGGTTTACATGTAGATGAGAGGAAACCTTTGGTCAATACGAAGTCTCAATAAACTCTCAAAGGCTGCCACGTTTGTGATGTTTGTGGACAAGATTCTGGTAGTCGACTTTTGCGTAGCGTCGCCGTCTTCTTTCAGTGCCCCTCAAACGCCTCAACAATCCAGTCAGCTTGGATAATGCTCACTTTCTTAGCATAGTTTTTCTGCGTGAAGACGTGCTCAAGAAACATGATGGCCTCCTTCTTCTGCCCATGCAGCACACTAGACGGGTGAATGGCCACAACGTGCTTGCCTTGCGAGGTGACGTAGCTCGCATCCGGCGCCAGTATGGCCGTCTTGGACACGAAGCCCCGGAGGAAGCACTTGAGCAGAGCCTCGGCCTGTTCGGGAGCCAGAGGAGTAAAGGGCTGAGGATCCGGCGGCGGGGCCTCCGAGAGGAGACCTTCTTTGAGGCAGAGGCTACGTAGTTGCCTGCGAATGTTGAGCGCTGTCTTCATGTTGCGAATGTTGACCTTTCTCTGCTTGCACCACTGTATACGATCGGCATTCTCAGCGGCGTATTGTTGCATTGTGGTAAGATAGGTTAGTATATCGCCTTCCCGGCGGTAGAGCTCCTTGCGGAGTTCCTCAATTTCTTCGCGTTGTTCTTCTGATTGCAGCTGGTGGAAAATGTCGTCGCCAGAAGTGATACAGGAGATGACGTCTATCGCCTCTAGGACGCAGTCAAATTCTGGCTTGGCAGAGGCAAGGAGAACCGCACCAAATGCCGCGGAGATGGGAAACCCGGCCATCTTGCGGCCTGCTTCAGTGATAGTCCCGTCGTCTGCCAACGCGCCCAGCCCATGAAGGCTGACCAGTGCTCGTTCGATGGCTTCAACATCTGGAGTGTCCATGAGGGGAAATCCAAGGATGTCGTCAATGCCTCGCGCTTTCATCGTCAGGACAGCTCCGAGGACATCGATTCTCAGAATCTCTGGCAGGTCTGTTTCTTCTAGTGTGCTGAATGTACCTTCAGTGTATAGCCGGAAGCACTTGCCAGGGCCTTCACGACCAGCACGGCCGGTTCGCTGGATGGCGGAAGACCTGGAAATAGGTTTTGCTAGTAGTGATTCCATGCCGAGGCGAGCGCGGAATTGCTTAACCTTGGCCTTGCCACCATCCACCACGTAACGTACACCAGGAACAGTGACGGACGTCTCAGCAATGTTGGTCGCCAGTACGATTTTCCGCGTGAAACCACCCTTGACAGGCTGGAAAGCTGCATGCTGACCTTCCATTGAAAGCTGACCGTATAAGGGTAGAACCTTGATCTTGGGGACGTTGGATGCCAGCGTTGCGGCGTACTCCTCGAGCAGTGATTGTGCAGATTCGATTTCCTCTTGTCCGGTCAGGAAAGCAAGAATGTCACCAGGTAGCGGCTCTTCCATGTGAATTTTGAAGATCGTCTTCAAAAGAGATTCTTGAATATCCGGCACCGGTTTGGGAGTGTGTATCGTCTTGACCGAATACTGCCGACCCTGGATCTTCAGTACTCCAACAGAGTTGATTTTGTTGCCAACCGGGTCGTCACCGCTGCTCTTTTCTTCAGGACTGTCCGTAGAGAAGAAACCTTGGATGCGCTCGACATCAGCTGTGGCACTCATGACGACAACCTTTAGTGGTATCCCGCCGCGGCCCTTCCGGTCACTTAGCAGGATTTGCTTGAGGAACCCGGACACCAGATCCACGTCGACACTTCTCTCGTGGATTTCGTCAACAACTACAGCGCTGTATTGCTTCAGATCCGGATCTCTCAGAAGCTCTTGAAGAAGCATACCCTCGGTGAGGAATTTGATCTTCGTGCCCTTGGGGACCTGGTGATCGAAACGAACCGAGTATCCAACCAGTCCGTCGCGGCTTTCGCCAAGAGGCGTCCCAGCTTCGCGGGAAACTCGATGCGCTAGAGTCGTGGCGGCGACTCTACGTGGCTGAGTTACTGCAATCACCCCACCGACACTGACTTCTCTTGCCCCTTCGATACTGACAGTTTGTCTCCTGCACCACGGCTCCCTCACCAAGAACTGAGGCACCTGAGTACTTTTTCCGGAGCCAGTTTCACCAACGAGAAGGAGTACGTCTTCTTGACGTAGCTGAGCTTGTATCTCTTCCCGGTGTGCCCAAATGGGTAGCTTTTGCCGGATCTTTAACAGAGCAGGATCTTCTCTCCATCTCGGACCTCTTTTGTCAGATCTTGACCTCTCTCTATCCTGGTACTTTTTCGATTGGTGCTTAATGAAGGACGGAGCTGTGTGATCCGAAGATTTCGGTTCTTTGGCTAATGCGTCCGACGTTGCATCACTTCCTGTACTCTGAGCTGGCCGCAGCTCTTGCGTGGAAGGTTGCTGAATTTCCTTTTCTTTCTTCTTTGCTGGGGGGTTGAGGTATCCCGCGAGAGAAATGACTTTATTGCCAACCTTGATGGTATTCTTGCCATCTAGCTTCCGCTTTTTGGGGGCGCGTTCGGCGTCCAGTGCGGACGACATGTTGAGGCTGCTGACGGAGTATGCGATATGTAGTTGGCGCTTGAGTGAGAATTGGACGGGAAGCCAGAAGAAATTTTGAGGGTCCCCTGGCTCTGGGGTCGCACCCGGTGGATTCCTGATTAGACGCCTGCCCCGTATTTCCACAGGGCACCTAAGGTCTGCCTTGTCACGATGGCCGCAACACCGTTGTTGACTCCTGCGGTGCCTCTTTCTTGCATAATTTAAGGTAGGTCGTTATCAAAATCTACCAAGTGAAGTACTGTAGCTGTTCCATCAATTGGCTGGAGCCAAACATTACCTAACAGCTCTGCCAGGCCGTCAAACTTTACCTGACTTCGCCCGCAACAATCATGCTAGTCAGAAGCCCAACCTCGAAGATCCTGTGCCAATCACAATTGCGTCACTTTCCTCACTTTCTAGCATTTCCCCTCCCTCGTACATGTCGTTTGCTTGCTCATGCTCTCTCACACGACAGGACTTGCCTTAAGACACTCCCCCGTCGTCGCTTCATCTCAACCCCAGTAATGGCGGATCGCTACAAGCTCATTTATACCGTGCCAGGTTCGGGCTCCATCATTCGTTGACCTTGAAGAAAAGCATGCTGACTGACTTCTCTTGCGTTTCAACAGCTTCTCACTTGGCCGTCACCAAGGACGCCGTCTTCCAAACAGGCGCTGGCGTATACGACCAGGGCAAGTACATCCAAGTGGCCTTCGAGCTTACCGGCCAAGGCCAATTCCGGCCCGTTGCGGCAGCCGGGGCAGACCCTCACACAGGCACAGTAGACCAGCTTGAGCGAGTTCTGGAGTATCGGGTCGAGATCCTCTGCGCTGGGAGAGACATAGCGAGAGCCGCAGTGGCAGCTCTCAAAAGGTATCAAGTTTAAGCTGTGAGATGCTTCGTCTATTTATTGATGATGTGTTTTCTATAGCGCGCATCCTTACGAGGTCCCGGCCTACGAAGTTTACAAGTTGGAGGACATCTAGTTGCCGACCCTGCTCTTCCTCGTAGGCATCTTCGCGAAGAAATTGGTCGATGGGAAGCGTGCGCTCGAGATGAACTACTCATGCAGATCTGAGATATCTCCGCAAAGTCACGGAGTGAGAATTGGAGATACACCCACTCCGCCCCAGTTAGCTGCCAACCATTTACTTGATGCGGTTCAGGCGCTCTCTGTTCATCCTGACTCCGTCGTCGACGGCATCGCTCTGTGAAGTTTGATTTAGCACCAAGACGAAACTGTAATAACAAAGGGTGATAGGCTTACCTTTTTGCCAATACTTGCGATGAGACCATTCTGATTATCGATCTCTTTCCCTAGAGCGTGGCTTACCATGTTCAAACGCCCAGTCGCGGCGGCCATCGCATCAATGCCCTCCTCAATCTGCCTCTCTGCCTCTTGTGCCTCAGCAGCGGCTTCATCATCACTTTCGTCTATCTCGAATCTGGACTTCTCTGCCTGACTTCGTTGTCCTCCCGCTCCTCTCTGAGGGCGACCAGAGAGCGTCATCTCTCTGAAGGTTTCTTCCATCCGCTGGTTGGACTTGAAAGCTTCTTGCCTGGTTGCCTCGCGAACTTCGCGCTCCTGGCGGTGTCGTTCGAGAACCGCCGCGTCTCGCTCTGCCGCTCGCGCCTTCGATGTGAATGGGTTGCCCACGTGAACTGCGAACATACTGCGGTTGAGGGTCTTCAACTCCTTGGCACGGTCTTCCGCCACCTTGTTGTGGTTTGCCGCCATGTCCATGTTCCTTTCTGTGTTGTGTAGACGCTCGCCTTGGGCACCGAGTCGAGCGAGTGACCCACCGGCCATTTCCTCCATCTGCGCTAACCTTTGGACACTTCTCTGGACGGTCTGAACAGACTCGTTTCTGACGTCCTTGATTTGTTGCTTGGTTGCGCGGTATTCCTCCGCCTCCTGCTCTTCAGCTGTGAGCTCACGAGAAGCGCCATATCCACCGTATCCCCCATCAGCGCCTGACGGAGCCGATTGGCCGTAACCTCCAGCCTGCGGTTTGTTCTGCTGATATCTGTCTTGAGCCCCGCTGAAGAGCTCGTCGCGCACAGCATCCGTGCTGTTGCTGTTGGTCCGGCCCAAACCTCCGTAACCACCTGGGCCGCGAGCTCCAGCAGCACCTGAGCGTTGATTCGCGCCATAGGCATTCTGGTTGTCGTCGTAACGATTCGCCCCGTATCCTCCTGCAGCTCCATACTTGTCATTGCCGTAGCCACCGGCAGACTGCGGCGGGGCACCGTAGCCAGCACCGGCACGAGGGCCGCCGGGAAGGCCTGCAGGGGCACCACCAACGGGGGGCGCACCAGCTCGTGCTTGTTGATAGGGCGTCATGCCGGCAAACTTGTTCGCATCCTGAGCGTAGGGATCGCCGCCGGCGGGAGCTTGGGCATAGGGGTTGTCGTTGCCGGGAGCGGGAGACTTGCTCTTGCGGCCGAAGAGGGCAGAGCGGCTGGCATCGTCGCCTTCGTCGCCGCCTTTCTTGCTGAAGCCAAACTTCTTCATGGCGGGCAGCGGTAGAATGGGGAATATAGGTTTCGTAGAGGTAAGGTGTGGAAAGTCGAGAGTGTTCTGGAAGAAAGCAAAACACAACGCGTCGATGAAGGTTAATCCGAGGGAAGGTAGGAGAAAGACTGAAAATAAGGGGAAGATTAAGGTAGGATGTACAAATGGAGGGACAGCACAGTAGCAGAGAGCGGTCGCGGATGCGGATGCAGATGCAGGTAGGAGGGACGGACAAGGGACGGGGAGCGCTAGCGGGGTTGGACCAGGGGGGGTCAAGGAGCATCTTTATGTGGCAAAATCGGGCCCGTCTTGGGTGTGTTTCGAAGGCGAACGGAAATGCCCCTCAGGCTTCAGGGTCTAAGCCATAAAACGTTCGTCAGGCCTCTACTGGTTTGGACCTGACTTGGGGAATTGGGCTTGGGCCAGCGACGACCCGAAGCACAACGAATACCTAGAATAGACAGCCGACCGACCTGGACCAGGCCCGGCAATGGAAAAGACATCGCCCTGCCAAAGTCACCATGGGCTGTACGACTTACCAACGGTGGTAATACGGACAATGGAATCATTTCATGGCGCAAGAAGTGGGCTGAACAACAGCGGTCATCATAAGCCTATGGTAATCCTCCATGCAAGGCTCAGCCTCGAGTCTAGCACTAGAAGCTTCGTGTTTCTATGGTCACTTTTCAGCTTGGTCTGGATGTCTTGTCTGGTGCCGCAATCAGACTACAATGTAGGAGGCAGACACAATGGCATACAAGTTTGGTGCCAAGGCAGTGAGTACATGAGATACCAAGGTAGCAGGCAGGAGGATGCAGACAATTTGTCTGTCTCACGGCATTGAGCTGATTTAGACGGTCGCATCTGTGCGTGCGCCTCAAGTCATGCGATGTGTCTTACCTAAGCACAAATGGTAGCGGAATGTGCAGCAGCAATTCTGCTTACCTTATGAATGGTGAACGCGGCAGGTCCGCAGTGGACACGACTACTCCTCCATAGGTAATGTAAAGGAGGAATGAAATTAGATCTGATCTTCGAAACAAATGAGTCCAGTCTCATCCGGTAGAATCGTCCTCCTAGACCATGTCTGTGCCTGGAGGCCACTGGAGGCCAAGCTGATGCAGCCATAAAAGACCCTAGGTGCGTGTGGATGCAGCAAGGTATTGATGAGGTATCCACCTCGACATCCAAGGGAGTTATCCGTAGGTACTACTACGTGCGGGTAGATAGGTAGGTATTCACGCGGGGGTCAATAATACGTGCCGCTTTTCTTAGGCCCTCTCTTCTCTCAACAGCCCACTGAACACCAAAGCACTGAATCGATTGAATAAAAAAGCACTGGAGTATACAGAACTCTCTCAAGTATTTGCGAGATATTTTAAATACGATTTATCTTGTCTTGTCGATGTGGAAGGGTCAGTTTCGTTGACAGTGCTCAGAAAACCGGCACGTAATATTGGCCCCCGCGTGGTATTGTACGTAGAACCAGAGAGAACAAAGGCACCCGGACTGTTGGGGAGACTGCCCAGGTGTTCTGCCACCCAAGTGGGTCACCGACTCTGCAACAAGCGCAGTCGGAAGACCTTCGACACACCTCACGCAAATAATTGGATTGCCTCTCGCGCATCAACTTTGCAGCAGAAATTTGACGTCGATTGAGCATCTCCAATGGCAACATTGGCCTCTAGTCCAGCCAGCCAAGCACATGATCAACCATGTCGAAGCTGGGCAAAACTCGCCAACACGTGCAGGTGAGAGGCAGGCATGAGTGAGTCTAAAAGTACGGATAGCGCAGCCAAGTTCCGAGGCCCCTCGTTACCTTGGAGTCATTCGCTCCTGGAATCGAACGCTGTGGAGTGTGGACTCGTGGAGTCATTCACCACCGACCAGCTGCCGCTATACTACCCAAGTGGGCGGTGGATTACCCGCACTTTCTCCGCACTTTGGAGTCAAGCCACTCAGTGGTGCCAGTTTCCTAGTCGCCTTGAACTTCCGGCCGACTGCGTCACGCCTTGGTCGAGACCTCTCACCGTCCTTCGAGTCATTACATACCTTACTCCAGCCTGCAACGGCGCCCAAAATTTACCATAGACTTTCTCTTCTTAAAGCCTCCAATCTTTGAGTACGCTTCCAAATTTCCATATCACCAACAAGAGAGCCAATCACCTACATATACACGACCGTCATGGCCTTCAACTAGGAGAGATTCCTCTCTATCACTCCAAAGTCAGCAACAGCGCGCCTCGAGCCCGTCGCAAACAAAACTAGTCACCTCAGCTTTCAAAATGATACCGCGCATAGCGTCTCGTTCCTCTGCCCTTTTCACTGCAATAGCTCTTCAAAACCGGCGGTTACATCCATTACGGCATTGTCTCTTCTCGACATTACGCACGTAGAAAACCGCCACGCCTTCAACAACTCACTCACCGCCCTATAGCCCACCCTTGGACATAAACAATGGCCTCCGGCTCAATATTCACCTTCGCCACGGACCCCCAACGGGTCTCGTCCCCATGGCTAGCTCCTGAAGACCCTGGGAGGAGGCACAAGTCTGACAACGGACAAGTCCAGCCTGGGCACCTCTCAGACTATGGCGTTACCAAGTTGGAAGCAGAGCCGCAAGAAGGTCCTACTGAATACAAACTTCACCTCTTATTGCGACCAAGGCGGACGTACACCATTATGAGCACCATCTCTTCGGCCCAGAACTCCAGGATCCCCGCCAGTCGCTCCAAAATTGCATCCGCAGCCCTATCGGCCTCCAGTCAGAGTCGGCAAGTCCGCCTACAGCAATTGACGACGCAATTGCTTTGGAGACTTCAGCAATCATGCGCTTACCATGCGTTAAACCCCAAGGACCTGATTATTCCAAAATTACCCAATGATACAGATGACTTGAGCGAGGCGATGACGCCTCAGAAGCCTCTCCCCGGTTTGGAAGAATCTCGTGGAGCGTTGTACGAGATTGGCGTTGCCGATGATGGCACTTTGGTAGGTCTTACCAAAGACGAAATGAACGAGAGCATCACGACATTGAAGGTTATGGCAGCTACGTTGGGCTGCCGCGTTGAGATTCTACGCCATGTGATTGTCGGCGAGTGCGAGTGGCTAGAGACGTCCGAGTTGGTGGATAGTATGGCAACTCAACCTGTTCAAATCTCCCGACGGGCAAGACTATGGGTTATGGAGGCTCTCGTCACTCCCGACTACTCAACGAATAACGCTCATGCAGGTGACTTGGGAGAGGGGCACTCCGAAGTCAAAGAGTCACCAAGGGCTACCGAGCCTGTTGTGCAGCCAAGTAGAGGGCGTTCTACCACGGACCAGCTAAGGATTACGCTCACTGGACCAACAACGTCTGGAAAGTCCACTTTGCTGGGTACTTTGTCCACGGGAACCGTCGACAACGGCCGAGGGAAAAGTCGAATCAGTCTGTTCAAACATCGGCATGAGGTCGCGTCGGGGCTCACTAGCTCAGTAGCACAGGAACTCATCGGCTACAAAGACTGCGCCATATTCAACTATTCGCAAGATCATGTCGAGTCGTGGATAGATATACATGACAGTGCCGAGAATGGTCGTCTGGTTTTCGTCTCCGATTCCGCTGGCCATCCCCGTTACCGCCGGACCATCCTTCGCGGGTTGTTCGGCTGGGCTCCACAGTGGACATTTCTATGTCTGGCGGCAGACGATGGAGATGCGAGTTCGACAAAAGATGGAGCGAGTTCCACCGCTAACGACGTCCTTGGAGTCGCAGGGGCTGGCGTTGATCTTGCCAAAGCTCATCTGGAATTATGCCTGAAATTGAAGACTCCTCTGGTCATTATCATCACAAAGCTGGACCTCGCAACCAAAGTCAGTCTGCAGCGAACCCTTGGGCAGCTCTTGACGCACATCAAAGCAGCGGGAAGAGTCCCCAAGATCCTCCAGCCAGCCCAAGGCAGCGTTCAAGAATGGTCGGCTGTTCCTCCTGCAGACCTCGACAAGGTGAAGGCTGTCACGATGGAGATGGAGCGGAATGGAGACCTCCTCAAGTTCATTCCCATAGTCCTTACTAGTGCTGTCAGCGGTGCCGGTATTGGGATGACACATGCTCTCATGGAGAACGTTCCCCTACCCCCAGTCCCTACTGCTAACGATTATGTCGGGATGGCATTGAATCCTGAACAGCCTTCGTGCTTGTTCCATATCGACGACACTTTCAGTCTTCCTGCGTCTTACGCCTCTCTTGCCGAGAATCCTAACCAGAATGACATGGGAACGGTTGTATCGGGATACCTGCGATTTGGCCAGCTATCGGTCGGAGACAGCATCGTTATTGGACCGTTTCCCTCCGGCGAGGATGACTTTAAAGGCATGACGCCAGAAGACCGGGCTTCTCCTGGCAATTACGGATTGTCAATATCCCATCCTTCGTCGGCAGAGCTTGCTAAAATTGCCATTCGCAATACAGTGGCAGCCTCTACAATTAAAGAAGAATGGCATAGAGCCAAAATTGTCAGCATACGCAATTTACGGCTGCCCGTCAACACCCTAGAAGCTGGTCAAGTCGGCACCATTGGGCTTGTCCTGGATATCCCTCAAGAGAAGTCGGCAGAGGCAGCTTTCGAAGTACCATTGGCGGCTTCTCGAATCCGGAAAGGCATGGTCCTGGCCATTCCATCCAAACATATGGCAGACACCGGCATGTCCCTCCAGGCAGCTAGTGGACTCACGGTTTCATTCCAAGATCCGAACACTGCATCGCTGGCGTACGGTTCTCTTGTCAATGTTTATGTTGGCAGTGTCCGAGCAGCGGCCCGAGTGAAGGGGGTTTCCAAACTACCCTCAAAGGATGACTTGAAGGCACTCAAACCTGACGAGACTGAAGACATCTTCGACATGAATGAACATGACGAACCAGCCCCTACCGATGGCCTGGAGTTCTCGGAGGGCGTTCAGGTGACCTTGGAGCTGCTGACTAGTCGGGAATGGGTCGAAATGGGCTCGCAAATCCTTGTGCTCGAGGGAGGTCGCAATGATAGATCCGGCTTAGAGGGGTTCGTCGGCACTGTTGTCGAGATTGTCGATTGATTCTGTTTGCGAGGGAAGTTTGTTCTGATCGGACTTTGTAGCGGCGTTATTGAGCATGGTGCCACATCCTTCAATTGTATTGTTATGCCAGCGTTACTTTCTTCATTCTCAATTACGGGTTTACCATGATTTAAACTTGCGACTAGCCTATATGTTGTTTCCTCGGCGCCTGACGCCAGAAATGCCACTTTTACTGTCCGTATCTCATCATGCCCTCACCAAACCGTAGAATAACGTCCAGGTGAGAATGAATCCAGAGAGACCTCCAAGCAGTCCACTTGTCCAGAAGTCGAACGGTCCCTTGAAGTAACGGCTCGTGCTGAGGAATGGCAGACCTGCTGATGTCGATTCGGGAGCGATGCGTAGAATGTAGAACAAGCCGGCGGTGATGAAGGAGAAGATGAGGTAGAACAGGAAGCCGTTGTATGATTCGAGACCGAGGATGCCGGCCGCGACACCGAAGAGAGATGCCGAAAGACTTTGCAAGTTTGATAGGGTCTACAAGAGACAGGAGAGGATTAGCGAACAGTCGCGTCGGCCACAGTAAGCTCAGCTTCAGGGACCCATCCCACCTTGGTGTTGTGCATCACGGATTCCTGCACAATGGGGGAAATTTGGTAGTCGCGTTCCGACGGCATCGCTGCGGTATTGCTGGTATGTGGTGCACGGGTTTCAGATCGCTGGGGGGACTCGTGTTTTATTAAGGCGACACTGGGAGATCTCAGGTCTCGCGAACGAATTGCGTCGTCGTCGATGCGCTTCGTCTTTAGAGGGTCCCCAAATCTTTGGTATTGTCAATTCGTACAGCTCCTCCGTCACAAAGCGGACTGTGGATTAGGTAATGCCAGCCTAGGCTCAACTCCTAGGTAGGTCGCCGGCCCACTATGATAACTAATCGCACGGCAAGTTGGAGATCGGTATCCGGCATCATGATGTTCCAGGCTAAGTAACTTATCTTAGCGTCCCCAGATCGGTCGGCCTCGGCTCCGCCCCGTGTCATCCCATGTACCAAATTTAAAAATATGCAAATAATAATCCCCAGGTACCTACGCAATACGCGATACACAAGCCACACCTTCGGTAGGTAAAACCTCACCGCGACACCGTTAGAACGCTCCGTTAGCTGGGGCAGATCATATGCAACCACCCCACCGAGGCTCCGACTTTGTACCCTAGCACTTTAATCGGTTACAGGGGTCCAGTTTCCTTCCCCATTCGCGAGCGGGCTGGTCACTCTCGGGTCGGCGCTTTGAGCGAACTCTCCCTTCCCCCCCTGGTGCGCCCTCCGCAATCACAATACGTATCCATTCGTACATACAATCCGTATATATCCCCCAAAGCACCGCCTACAGTCGTTTGCCATGTCTTGCGCTTCCCTTGAGTCTATTAATCGTTAGTTGACCACAATACCACACCACCTCTCGTACCGTTCACGATTCCACGACGCAGCGGCCAACGCGACAACTTGGAGCGACAGATGGCCGTGCTGCTTGCCGGTGCCTCCTTGATACTTGCCAGGTCGCTAGATGGAGCCTGTTGTGTTTGACCAGTCGCCGCTCGCAGAGTACCTTCGTGGTAAGTGCAGCTTTCTCATATGCGACCCGCTACGGCATTGACACCGCCCGCTAACCACGTGCGCGCTTGCTGTAGACGAAGGCGAAGAGGAGCAGGCAGGATGGGCGCACGACGATCCAACCTATGATGTGTCGCCTCCCTCGAGCCCTGAATTCGCGCCGACAGGTCGGCCGATGGTGAGGTCGAGGTTCCGCAACAACCCCCTCAGAGTCGACATACCTACCAAGGCGGCCTCTGACAAGTCTTACAGACTTAGCTATTCAGTACGCATCTCGAACCCCCCTATCTGTGGCACATGGAGAAATTACTGATGTGTCCTCTCCAGACCGCGGTAGCGTCCAGGATTGACCGAGCCGACAACTCCAAATTCCTCGAGCAATTTCGCTATACCATTATCGCATCCCAGCTATTGAGTGGGCACTCCATACTATCCCAGAACCATGCATCATCCCGGCCTGCCAATGTGGCCATTGACGGCAACCCGGCTGACAAGTTGCTGGGCTCAACGGGCGCGGCTGTTGTCGTTCTAGGGGCATTGGCTCTCGTCGTCTCGATCAATTGGCTCGCAGGAACAGGGCCATTGAACAAACGGCGCAGTTTCGTCATTCTGCTGGTTTTTGTGATCGCTGCAGGGATCGCCCATGTGTTCATTCGAAGACAATGGCTGAGGTACAGACGGCTCCAAGCACTGTCTGAGGTCACTACGTTTGTTTCAAATTCTCAGGAATTCGACAGCGCGACTGGCGCAGCGATTGCTCTGGTACAAGAGGTGGAACTTGTTTCCAGAGGTTACCGTCTGTAAGTTCAGTCTCTCCTCTGGGCCACTTGCTGGCGAGAAAGTCCGTGGTGCGCTGACACAAGCTTTAGGAGTGCGCCTCTTCCGCCCATCAGTCGCATAGAGGATCGCTCACAGACTCGCAAGTGCGTGCGCCTCCGCAGGGCTCTGAAGGGGTGCTTGGCGGACGTCATTCCCGCGTACGATCAGACCGTTTCGGTGGTGAAAGGGTTCTCGGAACAACTCGATCTCGAGAAGTACTACGATATCTACGACATTAGCGATTTCGACATGTCTGATGCCCAGCAGGGCTTCAAGGAGAATGAGTTTGAGGATATCGAGTCTTTGAGGACGCTCAAGATCCTCGCCGCACGGTTCCACACCATCCGTAAGGTGTTTTTGTGCGCATTGCTGGCCCTGGACGCGAGTGGTGAGAGCGACGACCTTTTGAAATGGACCACCACAGTGGAAGCGGTGCGCACTCTCAATTCGGTCACTCGGAGGGCCTTTGACAATCTGAAAAGACTTTTGAGCGATGAAGAGTGTAAGTGGGCTTTTCACCTGGCAGCGGCGCGTGTTGACTGACGTTCTCAAGCATTTCCGCCGCCACCTACTCCAAAGATGCCTTTGACACCTGGCCGGGAAAGATGGAGGTCGCAATTACGCAAACTCAACTCCTTATCCAGCGGGATCCGTGGCTTGCAGGCCAAACTGACGCTATTAAGAGAAGAGTCTGACCGAAGCCTGAATGAGTCCGACGACATATCCGAGCTCGGCTCCAACCTCATGTCACAGTACGAATCCATTGGGGCAGACTTGAAGATACTGATGCAGGCCTGGGAGGAAGGCAAAGCAGCACTCGCCTTGGGTATCGACCGGAACGAAAAGCGACTTTCTTCCATGAGCACGTTGCTCTCTCCGACCAGTTCTCTCAGCGGGCTCACGACGGTCGATGAAGGAGGCGGAGCAGCCGAAGCCCTCAAAGCCTTGAACGGAGAATCACTTTCAAGTCTAGACTTTAGCAGCACAGGAGAGCCCGACTCGGAAGAGATTTTCGAGGCGATCGCCAAGCCGTTTCGGCCTCGCAGCTTGTTGACGAGAGATGAACGCATCGTCAAGATGAGAGAAGACCGGGAGAAGCGAGAAATCGCCAAGGAAAAGGCGGATGCCAACAAAGGCATGCTTAAAGAACTTGAGACGGTCATCAACCTCCGACCCCGCCCACGAATCGGGATGAATCCGTCACGCATAGTTTCAATGTGACGAGGACATGACATTTGATGACGGACACGGCGTTTCGGTGCAGAAGACTCAACTAACTACAGTCACCCGAATCTTTGTTTTCCTTTTCTGTTCTTGATTTCTCACACATAATCTCTGAAAACATATTCACTCTCTGGATGCATATAGAAGGGGATTTTTGGGGAATACGGATGGGAGGTATCGATCACTTTCAGTTGACCCATCTGTATTGTATAATGACACTGATGTGCACCATGATATTCGGTGCAGGCTCGGAGACCGGGCCAGATAACCTGTACACATTACTTTTAGTATTCTTAACAAGAAACGAGAGAGAGAGAGGAAAAGGTCCGTCCAATGGTCCGACTGTTTACTTCCGTTTGTTTACATCTTCACCAGCGACATAAGGGAGCACTCTCTGTTTTGCGTCGTTTATTGTTATATCCAGCATGTTCCATCCGGAGTCCGCATTGAACAAAGAAACCCGGTCGTCTGGGAGAAGAAAGGGGGGTGGCCACGATTCAGGGGCTTGGAGCACCAGCGCCCACCCCTGGCGGAGCTCGGTGAGCCCGGACCAGCTATCTCAAGTGGTCAAGCTGGCAAGGTGCGCTTGCCTGCCTGTCCTTACGTACCTTACGTAGTAAATAGGTGGACGGTGCACGAGCCATCCATGACCGATCAAAGACGGAAAGTTCCTGCCCCGCGCGTTGTTGGCGTTGAGCCCTATTAAACGCTTGACGCGTTGTTCCCTCACCAGCCCACTACAACGCGCGACCGTGTTTGCCCATTAAAGTGCTTTCCGCGACAAGACCTTCTCTTCTTCACCAACCCCTCAACCACAAACTTGACGATCTCAACCTTCGCAACAGCCTACCGTCATCTCTGTGCCTTCCATTCCGTCTCTTTGCTTTCTGAAGATACCCCTCTGCTCTTTTTTTCTTTTCACACGCATCTAATCAGCCAGTATGTTGCATCAATCGCCTTTTCTAATTCTCTCGGTTATTGGTCCCGGGGCATGACGCTGATATTTAGTAGCGATGTTGGAAGCCAGACTTGACCAGGCCGATATCCTGAAGAAGGTAATACTCCCCTATCCAAACTTCACAGCCATGGCTCCCGGTTCTGTTGCTAACCTGCCCAGGTTGTCGATGCCATCAAGGACCTCGTCCAAGACTGCAACTTCGACTGCAACGACTCTGGCATCATGCTCCAGGCCATGGACAACTCCCACGTTGCACTGGTGTCCATGGCTCTTAAGGCTGAGGCCTTCTCTCCCTTCCGCTGCGACCGCAACCTCGCGCTCGGCGTCAACCTTGGCTCCCTGACCAAAGTCCTCCGTGCCGCCCAGGGTGACGACGTTCTTACGCTTAAGGCCGAGGATGCCCCCGACAGCCTGAACATTCTCTTCGAAAGCTCCGACAACGACCGTATCAGCGAGTACGACCTGAAGTTGATGGACATCGACCAGGAGCACCTGGGCATTCCCGAGACGGATTACGCCTCGACGATCACCATGCCTAGCAGCGAGTTCAGGCGCATCTGCGCGGACTTGGTTGCTATGAGCGAGTCGGGTAAGCAACGCCGTCTCCCCTCAACCTGATTCTTGGAAGAAAATCTCCTAACGCGCTGTTGTGTACAGTCACGATCGATGCGAGCAAGGATGGTGTCAAATTTGCTGCCAGCGGCGACATTGGCAATGGATCCGTAACCCTGCGAAGCCACACCAACGTGGACAAGCCCGAGCAGAACGTCGACATTGAGCTCTCGGAGCCTGTCTCCCTGACCTTCTCCCTCAAGTACCTCGTCAACTTCTGCAAGGCCGCCGCAATCTCCAAGCAAGTCAAGATCTGCCTTTCTAACGAGGTACCGCTGCTTGTTGAGTACGCTCTGGCGGGCTCGAGCTACCTGCGCTTTTACCTGGCGCCGAAGGCAAGTTTAGACTTGATGCTACACACCATCAAAAACAAAAACTAACGTGCATTCTAGATCGGCGACGAGGAGTAAATCGGCGATTAACGACGGAACGAAGTTGATACTGCTGGCGTTGCACGGGATCTGGGATGGGGCAGAGGGTCTGGCCTTTTCACTCTGGATTGAGTTTTGCATGTTCTAGAGAAGATACGCAATGTGTTGGTGAACGAAGAGCAAAAAGCACTTTTTGGGACCACTCGAGATAATGAAATTTTACTGTTTCCGCCTATGCCTGAAGCGAAATCACTTTCAAACGCCATGAGTCCTTGAATCTGCCATTAGGCTCATCGAGTCTTGAATTCTGTCAATTCGCAGAGTGCGCCAGCTGAGAGCAGCTGCTCAAGGTAAGGTAAAGACAGCCGACCTCCTATCACAGCTTTCCAATCTCGGGCTAGTGCGGGGTTCTTCGATGCACCCTTTGGCTTTGGCGGGGTCGATTTTTTTCTGGGAATGTCAGAGCCAGGGCCAGAGCCAGAGCCAGAGCCAGAGCGGGAACTGCGAAGCTAAGGTGGAAGAACCTGGAACCGCATTACATCGGCCCAGATCCTTTTCTAATGTCACTTAGTCACTCTCTAGACGAGACTAAAAGATATCTCACGACATAGTAGATAGACACCCGGGTATTTGTGCCGATAGAAGACCTACTTTGTTCAAGCTTTGATTTGCAACCATCAAATCCATTGCCTCCCTTCTGCACCTTCATACACACTGATACTACTTCTGACTATCCGGCCGACATTTGAGATCATTCCGCGCATCGGCCTCCATCCCGATAAAGCCCCCCGCCGAAACCCGACTTTTTACATCTGAGAAACCACATAAACCCCCAGCCAGCAGAGAGATCTCAAGGTCTTGCATTCTGGAAAGCGCAAAGTTTGCTCTCGAGACGCACAAGTCTCTCGCAACAGGATCATGACGGTGGAACTTCCTATCCCCGATACACGCGTCCTGGCTGTCGCCAGTCATGTAAGGCACTCTTCTGCGCTGTCGCAACCTCTAACGATCTGTGTGACTGACCGCTGGACACAGGTTGTGTCCGGGTGAGTTTGCGCCGCTCCTTCACAGGCCCCTCTGTGTGCCAGACATGTCGGCAGGGTGATGGATCGCGCGTCTGACAGCCTACCGCAGAAATGTAGGAAATAAAATCGCCGTATTCACTCTACAGTCCCTCGGCTGCGATGTCGCGGCCCTCAACACCGTCCAATTCAGTATGGATGCCCCCTCCCCCTCTTCCTGACTCACTGCTCCATTCTCAAGATGATGGGCATCCACCACCCCTCCCTCAACCTCTCACAAAACCCGAGCGCCTAGTCCGTCATTGCTGACACAGTCTCTCCACATTTAAAAGGCAATCACACAGGTTATAGACAATGGAAGGGGACAAGGGTGTCAGCGCAGGAGATCCGGGACCTCTTTGAGGGCCTCAAGCAGTCGTACTTGGACGACTTTGACATGATGCTCTCGGGCTACATCCCCGGCGCCGAGGCCGTCGTGGCCGTGGGCGATATCGCAAAAGAGCTCAAGCGGAAGCAGGCCGCTGCAGGGACGCCAGGCAGCTTCTTCTGGGTCCTGGATCCCGTCATGGGCGACAACGGGAGGCTATACGTCGCTGAAGAGGTCGTGCCCGCGTATCAGAGCCTCGTCGAGCACGCGGACTTGATTCTCCCGAATCAGTTCGAGGCCGAGTATGCTTTCCCCTTCCTTTTCTCTCTCGCACAAGGCCATTGGTTTTCTCCCCAGCATTTCATATATCGTGATGCCTCTGCTTCTACATATTTGCCCAGACACCCATGAAAGAACGTCGTCGTCCCGCTCACACAATGGCGCGAAACAGGCTCCTCTCGGGCGTCAAAATCACCGACATGCAGACCCTCCAAACCGCCATCCGCGCCCTGCACACAAAGTACAGCATCCCCCACGTCGTAATCACCTCCGTCTCCCTCGCCTCGCCCGACCACCCGCCCTCCCACCTCTCCGTGGTGGGCTCCAGCATGTCGCCCACCACCGGCGAGCCGCGCCTGTTCAAGATCGTCTTCCCGGCCATTGACGCCTACTTCTCCGGCACGGGCGACATGTTTGCCGCGCTCATGACGGTGCGCATACGCGAGGCCGTCATCGCCGCCAGCGCCACCGAAGGGCAGCAGCTAAAGGATCGCAAGTCGTGGCTTAGCGGCGACGAGGTCGACGCGCTAGACCTGCCTCTCGCCAAGGCGGCGGAAATGGTGCTGGCGAGCATGCACGAGGTGCTGACGGAGACAGCGCGGGGGATGCAGGAGGTCGTCAAGGCCGCCGGCGGTGATGCCCTGGCGGAGACGGAGGAGGGGAGGACGAGGCTGCACCTGCTCAAGAGCAAGAGCGCCGAGCTGAAGCTCGTAAGGAACCTCGCGAGCTTACGGGAGCCGACTGTGGAGTTGAGGGCGAGGAGGCTGTAGATCAGCATCGACCCTTTCTTGGAAGAGATGATGTAAAGGTTGTTGTTGTGGTGGTTTGGAGAGAGTATGCTGTTTATAGATCTGCAAGTAAGCGCACTTGGATAGCAGGACGTTCATCACCTGCATGGAGAGACGGCGTGGGTTGGGATAGAAAAAGGCACATCATGGCGGTCGTAGCATTGTCATTATTCATCCATTTCCGATTCTATAGAGAAAAAAACAGCTTTTGTTCGTTCCACGGTGATCACAGCACTGCGTCGCCCATGGCCTTCTTCTTCTAAACCAATACGCGACGCCCCCAAAAAAGGTCTACCACATGTAATCTACTGCGCAAGAGAGACGCCGGTGCTGCCGAATCCGCCCGCGCCGCGCACGCTCTCCTCGAGCTCGGTGACCTCGACGACCTCGGGCGTGAAGATGCGCTCGATGATAAGCTGGGCGATGCGGTCGCCCTCGGCAACCTCAAAGTCGGTGTCGGCGTGGTTGAAGAGCAGGACCTTGACCTGGCCGCGGTAGTCGGCATCAATGACGCCGGCGCCGGTGTCGATGAAGTTCTTGGAGGCGAGGCCGGAGCGGGGGGCGACGCGGCCGTCTGTACCACGAGCATGAGGTCAGTATCATGGGTACGACTGTAAGGATGGGCTCCGAGCTTGGAGAGAGCGATCTATGATGGAGGACTCGAACGTACAGGTGCCAGCAGGGACGGAGATGGCAATGTCTGTGTCGACCATGGCCTTGCCGCGGGCCGGAATGGTGGTGACCTTTGCGGCGTAGAGGTCGTAGCCGGCGGCGAACAAGCTGCCGCGGGTCGGCAGGCGAGCCTTATCGGAGAGCTTCTTGATCTGGAGAGGCGGGCAAGGCTCCATGGCGGCGGGGACGGGGGCGTCGTTGGAGGTAGTCTTGACTCGCTTTGCGGGAGGATCGAGTTGCTGCTGCTGCTGCTGTGCGGGGACGGATTCAGAAGAGCTCATTTTGGGTCAAGAACTTGGAATGTCTAACGAGCAGACTAGAGTTTACCTTTCGCCGTTTGGTTCTGGATGAGCAAAGTGGGGGACAAAGGCTGAGACTTTGCTTCTTTGGATTTACAAGCTGGGTGCCTGCTCTGCTGGAGCTTCCCACTGCTGCTGAGTGGGCACTCCCGGCCGTCTGCACTCTAGCGGTGTCGCGGGAGACGCGTCAGGACGCGGGAGTTCAATTGGCCAATTAGAGCAAGGGCTACAGAAGGTAGCAATCACACCTGCGGATAGGTAATATGACGAGGTCGTCATCCGACGTAGCATGCAAGGGCAAAAGCTACTTCATTGCATGGCAGAGTTCATTCATCTTGCGATGATCTCTCAAAAGAACCAGATTGCCTAAGGGTTGCCTCGCGAACACCTCCCAAAAAAACAGGCTCGACATGTCAAAAGTCTGTCCACTATCATTTCTCGCATTGATCAGGGTAGATGGAGATGCTTCAGACGCATAAGCCAAGTTCCCAACCTTGACACCAAACTTTTTCATGATCCCCTTTATTCTAGATGCGGAGGAAAGTGTAGAGTCATCGCAAACACTGTGACGCACTATTGGAAACGAGCGCGCACTGTGAGCACCGGAGCCTCAGCTGTCTTGTCAAGGCCCTGGCGAGCCTATTAGAACTGCATGTGCTGAGTCAAGAGACTCAACGCTTAACAACAGGAGCTTTTCTCTGACACTGCAAGGCCCAGGGTAGACATGCTCTCACGAAAAAAAATCAGTTTGATTGCCTGGTTCGCCAACTCCACACGGGGGATCTGCGCCGACTGCGTCGCACTCGCACGGGTGTGCGGCAGACCAAGCCCTGCTAGTCGTCCAGCTCTCTTCCGAAATCAATAAGCTTGAGCCTCGTCGCGTCCCTGGGATGGAATTGCGCGACCTTGGACCTGACGAGGAATCGCACTGCTGCTGTTTCTTTCGGGAGCTTGACATACGCTGCAGTGCTGTCGCCTCCTGCTTCTGTATGCTGGTTTAGAAGCTGCTCCGTGAGGTCGCGCATCTCGCGACCAGCAGCCGCTGCCTCGTCCGCGTTGCCTTGTTCCCGACCTACATCCTCCTGAGGTAGACCCCAAACATCCTCGAGGCGTCGTTGTCGTTTATCTTCGTCCACCTTAGCCTTGACTTTGACCGGTCGGCCCTGAGCATTGAAACCAGCGCCGAGTTGATCCGAGTCAATTTCCATCATGTCTCCCACGACCGGTCCGCCGAGGTCTTCCGCAGCAAGTTGGCCTCCAAGGTGACCGTCAATGAAGTTTCTTAAAGCTTTGAGTAACTTGGTCGTCTCCCTGTCGTAATGCTTCTTCTTTTGCCTCAGTTCGTCCAGTCTTTCCTTGGCTGCCCGTTCGGGCGTCAATTCCATCCTAGATTCGGCCTCGTCTTTGAGGGATAGAATTCGTTTCTCCAAACTCTGCTGGAGGGTTTTCTGGTCGGCCAAATTCGCCTGCTCGATTTCAAGCCGCCGTTTGGTCTGATCGAAAGCGGCTCCTTGACTGGTCAGATACGCTCGGGATTCAACAATGGTCTGATGAGTCGTTCGCAATGCCAGTAGCGCGGGTAAAACGGATTCCGAGAAAGGTACGAAGGGAGGTGTGCTAGCCATTTGCTCGAACGCGCCTCTCATGACTTCGTAAGGTTCCCTCCCTGATCCAGATATATCCTGGCTCGGATTGGCATTTCGTTGAAGCTGTTCACGTATTAGCTCAAAGCCCTCAAGACGCATAAACTGAGTGGCATACTGCTGCAAGCTCTTCCCGGTGTTGCTGGATCTTTTCTTGGAGTTCTTGCAAGCTCTGTTCGAGGCTCAAGGTATACCTATCGCCGACGGGGCGGGGTGACTCGTTCATATCGTGCTGAATTGTGGTCACTCAAAGTCAGACGCCGATGTGCGTTATTGTATGTCCTTGATTCAGGCCAAACGATCTAATATTTTGGCGACACAGGACAAATATCAGACACAATGGCGCACGCGACTTCGAGAGGGTTTTCCCGGAAGAAACGAAACAGTTCAAGCAACGGCAACACGCGCAGGTCTTCGTGCCGTCCTGAAGCACACGGCCCTTCGGAGCAATGGGCACATCCAATGGCGTCGAGCGTCTGATTCGATCCCTTTCAGAAAAAACAAGGCGTGTTCGGGCGCCAGATCGTGTCTGATTGTTTCATACGAGGTGTCACTGTGTGTCGGACGCTATCGAGATTTCCGGGCGCGCAGACGGCCAGCGACTAAGGTAGCACGGATGATTGCTCTATCTTGGCTGTCGAGTAGTCTGGCGCGCTGCCAACTTCCCGTGACGGTGACGATTCCTAATCGAGTGAGCCAGATAGCTCAGGGTTCTGTGTGCTCAAAAAAAAAAGTATTCTTCTCGTCGGCAGAGCTGCGGCTCTCCGTAAGGTCCGTAAGGATTAGACTGTTTGCGATGCGGAAAGCACTCGACGACACGCTAATATGGACGGAACGTGACGTTGTGCCGGGTTGAGTTGTAAGTGTAAAAGACGTATTGGTGCTGAACATCCCCTTGCATTGGAAACAATGCAGAGCACCGCACTGGAGGCAGGTCGCAAGGCGCAGCTCCCTCCCGTACTTTTTCTTTGGTCAATCAGTCTGCGGGAGATGTACGGAGGAAATGCGCACGAAATGGCAGACACTGTGCGGCTCGCTGCATGGATCTGCCCAATGAAACATCCCCAGCAGAGGAGGACCAGCTGGCTGCGCACGCTGCGGTACGTTGGGCACCTCCGGGGCGGGGGCCACCTTCTCCCCCATGTTGCTTAATCTGCCGGGGAGCATCATCTCTCACTGTGTGGATCTTACACTTCTGTCCTGGGGTGGGGACAAACCCAGGTAAATGAGGCAAGGGCACTGGCTACATCGGTGTGGAGACCGTGCTTGTGATTCAGGCACTGTACTGGCCCTTGCCCCCGGGCGGGCACTGATGGCTCCTGGCATTGGCGCAGCCGCGCTGGCACTTGCGCTGCTTGCTCTGAGGAGAAAGCGTGAGAATATCTTGCCTTCCCATCCCGTTTCTCAAACTTCTTCGAGACATCCGGAACCCCCTTCCATCCCATCTGTTTGTCCTGCACGGTTTCCTCTCCCCATCTCTTTTAACCCCCGACTCGCCTCTTCGTCCCCCCTCCCGTTTGTCGAAAGCTTTTGGTGGGTTGTGTTTTCCCACGGCGCAGCGCATCGGTCCCAGTTTCGCTTCCCTCTCACGTGTCGCCTCAAAGCTCTCCAGGTCTCCTCTGGCCCGACGGTCGGCGTGTCGCCATCTCCGTTTCGTTGCTTAGCAGCTTGACGAGCTCCAAGGAGACGAGAGACAGCACAGGAGGAAATATCAAAGCTCTGCTTGCCTGCTTGCAGACTTGACATCACGTCGCGATACATCGCAGCTTGGACTGTTCGTTTGACGGAAGAAAGGTTTGAGCTTCTGCATCCGAATCGCCTCCCAGATACAACCTTTGTCTACCATCAGCTCCTTCCCTCCCGCCTTCTTTACCTCTTTTTCCATCATCCATCTTCTTCCTGCCCGCCCGCTGCCTCATCGCCTCGCCTCGTCCTCCTCCCTCCGCTTGACCTGAGTATCTCTGCGATCCTCACGATTTCGGAAGTCACCTCGAACCTGATAGGATAGGAGTCATCCTGAACCCACATCCCGATCTTTCAACTTCACGAACTCTGCCCTACGACCTTCATCCTGCACGATCAAAGCCACTTCACCTGAGAGACATTCTCTGAACCCGATCCCGACTACGCCACTACACCAGCCCGTTTTCCTTTGAAAACCGTTGTGGTGTAGATAGTCGAATACAAGCTCTTCTTGAACCTAGACGGAATTGCGAAAACTTGTGTGAGACATTAACAACTAGCCCATCATGTCTACGTCGCCTCCCCAACCCGCCAACTCGGCCAAGCGCCCCCTCGAGGAGACCTCGTCCCCTTCGCGTAGCAACGACCAACCCGACGCGAAGCGACCGGCCTTGGACAAGATACTGAAGAATGATGAGGAGGTTGAGATGGCTCAGCCGCTCGAGGCCACTGCTATCCCAATCACGGATGCGAACGGCGCCGAGAAAACGAACGGCGCCGATGCAAAGTCTGACGCAGCAGACAACGAGGGCGCCGAAGGCTCCGAGACGAAGCCTATCCAGAGCTCCGTCGCCGGCTCTGTTCCTGCGACGTCTACGCCCTCGGCAAGTCATGATGAGAGAGATTGGATTCACATTCGCGCTGTCATATCCAGCCCGGAGGCCGCTACCGTCATTGGAAAAGGTGGAGAAAACGTGTCCAACATTCGCAAGATGTCGGGTGCGAAGTGCACCGTCAGCGATTACCAGAAGGGGGCTGTTGAGCGCATCTTGACCGTTAGCGGTGTTGTCGATGCTGCCGCAAAGGTTTGTGACCCAATGACTCTTGGCAAATGGTTACCCAGCTAACCCCAGTCGAATAGGCCTTCGGTCTCATCATTCGGACTCTCAACAACGAGCCTCTAGCCGAGCCATCCAGCGCGCAATCGAAGACTTACCCACTACGCTTGCTCATCCCTCACATCTTGATCGGTTCTATCATCGGAAAGGGCGGAGCTCGTATCCGCGAGATCCAGGAAGCTTCTGGGGCTCGGCTTAATGCGTCCGACTCTTGCCTGCCTCTGTCCACCGAGCGCTCTTTGGTGGTCATGGGCGTTGCTGACGCTGTTCACATCGCAACATACTACGTTGGTAGCACCCTGCTCGAGCAGCTAAACGATCGATTCGGTGGTCCCGCTGCCTCCGCATATGCGACCAGGAGCGGTGGCCCTGCTGGCGTCGTGCCCGGCGGCATGCAAGTTGTCCCGTACAGCCCGCAGCCGACCACCGGCAACTACGGTAATCGCGATAACTACAACCGCAGACACGACGCTCGCGCACAGCACCATGGTCTGCCAGCTGCTCCGTATGGCACGCAGCCGTACCCTCACCAGGCAGCCCAACCCAACCCGGCCATGCCCATTCACTACGGTGCGGCGCAGGCTGGCGGCTACGGTGCCGCTGCTCCTATCCAACCTCATGCCGGCGCTGCTATGCCTCAACCCCATGGTGCTCACCCAGCTCAGCCCGTCCACGGAGGAGGTATGCCAGGCGCGCCCTTGACCCAGCAGATCTACATCCCCAACGATATGGTTGGAGCCATCATCGGAAAGGGCGGGCAAAAGATCAATGAGATACGCCAGATCAGCGGCAGTGTGATTAAGATCAACGAGCCACAAGACAACAGTAACGAACGGCTGGTCACAATCACGGGCACAGAGGAGTGCAACAGGATGGCGCTCTACATGCTATACTCTCGTCTCGGTAAGCAGACCGAGGAGAAGCTCGGCAGGTTCGATCAAGAGTGCTAACAAGTGCAACAGAATCGGAAAAGCACCGGATTTAACGTTGACGACGTTCATGACTTTACTGACTATCAAATTTTAGTTCGGCAAACCAAAATTTCGGGCAGAATGGCACAGTTTCTTTTCTTTCGCGAAACATCATCGCCGCGTTTGGGGGATATCGGATTGGTCTCTGGCAACATTTACGCCGCGAGACCCCGGCTACATCTGGAAAGGGGGACAGGTCTCGATCAGCTTCGGCAGATCAAAGGTGCTTTAGAGGAGGTACTACTTTTAATAGTGCACTACTCTCTTTTACTTCATCAGTTCTCCAGCACCTCTTGACTCCCTGCCCACACTCTTCACCATCACCGTTGCGCGCCCCGTCGGTCGTCGCACTGCCTATCGTCCCACCATCTCCATAGCCTCACTCACACAGCCCTGACGGACATGAAAGCCTTGAGCCCTAGATTCTCGTGACCCGTTCCCCAAACATCGCCCTGATCGAATCTACTACATACATCTGTGCACTTTGCCCTACTACGTTCTCTACATCTGCCGCATGACAGGTGCGCATCTCGCGTTGTGGAGGCGGAGACTGACTTCTTTCCTTGCCCGCGCCTTGGCGGAGGAGACGAGGTTACCTCGGGCGCTGATAGTTTCCCCGCGCGAAAAAGAGATTGCTAATAGATTTCCGATAGGCAACGGACGACGCAGCAGTGGCGAGGTTTGTGGGCTAGGGGCTAGGCCGCATATATTCTCCAGAGGACCATGAGCCAGACGTAGGAGACGGTAAGTCTCGACGCTCGACTTCCACGTGCTGATGATGCGCAGCAACCTTGCCTCGGATCAGAAGCACGAAACACAAGCACGTACACAGTAGAGTGAACGATGGTCGGTGATTGCGGTACTGAACTTCATTACGCATATCGTCCCACCATAGTCCCATCAAACGGTACAATACGTCATCGTACATATCCCATTCTCGTAGCTTTCCTCCAGGAACAAACTTCCGTATAGTCGTAGCAATGTCATTTTTCTCAGATTTTCTTAAAATTTACATGGTACTATTCATTGTTAACAAGCGGTACACAAAATTGAGAGGCTCTGACGGCGTCTATAACGTACCATGGAAATATCCTTGCGGCCCGATCTCAGCAAATGAATGTTATCGGAAATAGCTGTAGAATACTGGTTAGCTTCTGGCTGGGCCTGATTCCACTCCAGGGAAGCACCTACGTCCGGCCTTGGCTTTGGCGTCAAGGTGAGCCTGCTTACTATCCCATCCCAACACAAGCGTCACGGCAGGCCCCTTCTCCCCGTCCCCGTCAGGCGCGTCCACAGCAAGGGGCGTCGAGATGTTGCCATATGCATGCCCGTGGAACCCCGCAACCTCGGCCCGCCCCTCCGTCAGACCCCTCGCAAACTCGGCCGTCTTGCCCGCAAAGGACGGCTCAACGCCGTAGGCGACAAAGACCTCGGTGCACGGGGCGCGCAGGACCGAGGCCGGATCGGAGCCCGGGTCCGCGGTGAAAGGCACCTTGTAGAAGACGGGTGAGGCGGAGACGACGGCTTTCAGGGAGGCGAACCAGGGCATGTAGGATTCCGAGGAGGCGAAAGCGGAGAAGGCTTCCGGGGAGGCCCATTCAATGACGAGGACTGTCTTGGATGGGTCCTCGAGCTGGGCGCCCGTGTAGAGGGCGTTGACGCCGGGGACTGATTTCAGGGTCGAGACCACATCAGACCAGGCTGCCGGGGGTTGGGTCGGGGATGAGGAGTGGTTTTTGAAGGTGAAGATTATGAATTCTGTCACTGGAGTCGACATTGTTGATTAGTTTAGATTGGTAGTTGACCTTGGAAATTTAGGATAACTGAAAAGCCTGACAGAGATGTAGGCATGAACCTGTCCTTGAATACGCTTTGGGTGAAAGTGCTTCCGGGGGAGGACGAGGTGGAACTTTATGTCTCTGGCAGATATGATGCTATTCACAATTTTGCCTTTCCTTCGATTGAGCAGTGGACGGGCCTCGCGTCATCACAGACTACGAGCATCTTCTACAAGGTTCTACTTTCGAGGCGGGATGTTGCACCTTCACCCCGGACGCATCGGGTTGGGTAGGTCACGTGGTGGGTGGTGCGCGTTGCCTACTCCGCACCGCAGGGCGAAGCTTCTGGAGACATAGGTTTGGGTTTGCAAATGTCGCAAGCCACATTGCGGCATGTATTCCGCCCGGTTCCTCGAGCCCGGTAAATGTCTTTGCTCTTTCTCAAGGGCGCATTCTGATTTTTGAGAAGGACTGCTTTTATCGAATTATTAGGAAAAGAACAGACGTCAAGATGACGGACGGGAAGCCATACATCGCAGCCTCCGCACCGGCAAGGGACGGACGGTCCCACTCCCGCCTACTCCCGCTCCTTAGGACCTCTGCCCAGCGACGGCGGACCGGGTCAAAGATCGGGGGCGATAGACTCCGGCGCGCGACCAATCTAGATGATCCTCAGCGTCAGTCACTCACATGCGCATTCTTTTTGCAGATGATGACATTAAAAAAAATGCGAATGGTGAATTAATAAAAAAAAAAAAAAAAAAAAAAAAACAAAACCCAACGCAGCCAAAGCCCCGACTTCATACCCCTCTCCTCTCCCACCCACCACACAAGGAGCGTACCACAACCCGCCACCCCAGCCCACGCCCCACACCCCCCCCCCCCCCGCATCCGGCTATGCCTTCGCACTAGTAATAGCGCATCTTACCATGAGCATAACATTCCAACGGTCGAGCCCCGGCTCGAGTCTTGTCTGGCCTTGAAACCGCGAAAGGGTGAAGACAGGAATGCGACGGTCCTGACGATTGCTTCTCCTCATCGGCTTTCCTCACGCAAGGGCGGGAGAAAGTACCGTGCTTGTCCAGGGCACGCCCAGGTTTGCCCGGGATGCCCTCTTTCGGGCGTCGTAAATTGGCTTAGGGCTGAAGTGCATTCAATAAAAGGCTTTTGGGGGGGTGGTTTCTTGGTGTCGCATTCGATGTGATAGCCTGCAGGAAGCTGACAAGGTTGACTCGTGTCGGCCACAATGCAACGACACCCCTTCTCACCGTCGATCGGGAGTCACTGGGTGACAGCAACGTTGTGCGAAAGACCAGCATCGTCGTGGCACCACTGCGCGCATCGGAAGCTTGCTCGCTAGCACTACCCGCATTTTCGCGAGAGAAAAGGACGGTGCCGAGTCGACGACGGGAGTAGAACATGCAAAGAGTCGGCCTCGTGACACCAGATCTCGCAGTGGGCGCCATCGCTGTGCCACCTAACGGCAGACTGCCGAAAAACCAGTGGTCCGTCCTCGGCCGTATTCGTGCTACTAGGCAAGCTGACTGCGTCGTAGAGTTGCAGAGAAAAAGCAAACTCGTCACCAGGCGACAAGCGTGCAACAACGACCACGACCCAAGATGCGTTTGCCGGTGTTGGGTGTCCCTTTGAAATGGCCTCCGTGAGATATGTCCGAGCCCACCTTTGCAGCGGCTATTATTATAGTCGCTTTTTGAATTTGCTTCCACTGGCTAATGACGTCGTCTGACTGCTGTGGCTGGTCCAGCGGTCTTCTTCCTTCAGACGTCCTAGTAGTTAATGCCTTCATAACTTGGGATTCATGATTTGCAACTTGCTGCGTAAGAGTATCGGTTGCTAGGTCGGTGGCCATACAGTGGAATGCCATTAGTCTGTATACACAGTAAAACCCGCCGTCCACAAGGCCAAGATTCAGATTCTTGTTGAGCCTTGACCGCGCCGCCCCTGGGATACACTATGCTAAAAAGCAGACTCCGGGCTTTCTTTTGATCATACTTTCTATCATTTGAATCTAAAATTCGGTAGTGTTGTGGTTGGTTAAAGTGGGATGATCAAAATGCATGCAAGAGTGTACACAGACTTATGGCATTCCACTGTAAGGAATAGAGTTTTATATTGAAACTCTGACAAGGGGTGAAAGTGATGGGGACCTTGCTAACGACCGACCCGATGCGTCGGACGAGTCGTTCCTTTGGGCCCCAAATTTGGGTTGTGGCGGTGTTGAAGGCAGAACATCGGATTGTACAGCGGCGAGGCTGAAGACTGTAAGCTGAATGAAAGTCATGACGAGGGCGGCTGAGGTGCGCGTTTGGGGCATCATATGAAGTGTTGATGAAGAGACGGTAGAAATGCAAAGCACCGAGACGGGCTGAATTCAACTTGACGGTGTGCGTCCGGCTTCTGTCCGAAGCCTTGACTGGAGCAAACCGTCCATTCCAGGGCGGAGGACGCTGTGTTGACTAGGCGCGAAGCTGAGGCACAGTCCGTTTATCCGTTTTGAACTTCTGACCCCAAGGTGCCCTAGGTCCTCGATGTCCTCACATTCCACGTACATGGGTCACGAGTGTGAGTCGTCATCGGAGCGAAAATGGACATCTCCAGGTAGCGCGAGCAGGGGTTAAAGGCAACTGCCAGCGGGGAGGCTGTCTTGTGTTCCGTGATTGCGACATAGGATACTTCGTCAAGCAATTGCTTTGGTCGGATCCGCTTCATCTGTGATATGAATGAACTTGTAAAGGCCAGTGCAGTGTGGCAACGGGTTGCCAATCGCAAGACGGGGCAGTCGGACTAATTATGGATTCAAATTTTGTCGCGGGATCGTGAGTCTGCTCTCGCTTGGAAGCTAGTGTCGCTCCTTCGTGTGGTTCTGGATGGGCCGAGGACACAAAAGATCTTTTTGTGCATGATGTATCGTTGACGCCAAGGCGACGTTGGTTCGTCGTTTAGCACTGCGGTGAAAAGGAGACGGACGAGAGATGGACTGGTGCCAGGTGGATGGCATGGGTGCGGGAATGCTGAAGGATGGAAGCTGGCGGCTGTACAGATACGGAGTAGTTGGTGCCAAGTCAGTTGGTCCCATGAACCGTTTCTTCGTTCCTTGCAGTGGCCGTGTCGCTTCTGCGCCGTGTGTGTCGGTACGTATCGACCGGTGCGGTGCAGAGAGTAGAGACTGAGCAATGCGCGGTGTCTATTTCCAGATTCCCGTCAAGGTACGTAATTAATTAGCTTGAAAGCGCTCTCTCGTCTGTGAGTAACATGCTGTAACACAACGTCGCATCATCTGGGTCTTGTGTGGGCTCATCAGAGCGAGGCACCATCAGCAATGGCTGCTGCAGATTGAATTAGAATGAGCTTTCAGATCAGCACGGCAGGTTTGTTGACCACCGGTAGGTGGCCGGGAAAATTCCCTCGAGAGGCGAGACCGCAAGAGCATTAGAGGTATGTGGGTGAGAGCCTTCCTAGGTATGGATACCTTATGAGGGTCGACTTGGCGGTTGGAATTGCTGGCCGTAACCCCGTCTTGGTTCTCCCAGTTGTTCTCACCGATATCCGTACCTTGGCTCGCACGCCATGTCCAAAACTTGGCTCTTGTTTGCGGCCTAGGCTAGGGCTGCCTTGTGCGTGAAGTGGCATTCGAGGCTGGATACGAATACTTGTTTTCAAGTTTCCGGGGCTTATTACATAGTAGGTTCCGCTCTATTCCGCCTCTTGGGGAACGCAACCCTACTATTTCGAGTCCTTGCGCGAGAGGAGAAGGAGGGGGCATTTCGTGATGGATGAACGAACTTTGAAGCAACAGCTTTGGGTGCCTCGACGTGGGTGGTATGGATGCCTTGGGGCGAACCACTACCCCAAAAGTGACCGCTTCCGAATGGGAGCACCTTCGGAGGCAAGTGGGTTGCGGGAGATCTCGACGTCTCGACACTCCCTCGAATGGCACCAGTGGGTGGCCTGGGAAGTGCTGCGCGGGCCGCCTCATTGGGTGAAATCGCGGTCCACTAAGCAGGAAGCGGAAAGCGCGTTGGCTCAGCCTTGTTCGGTTATGATCTGTTCCTTGCAGTGAGTGGAAAAGTTGCTTTGCAAAGGGTACCGCGCTGTGGTACCCAGTGGGCCCGTACATATAAGCTAGCAGGTGGGCTGCAGCTTCACAAGGTGTGCTGGAAATCAATGCACTTCGCAGTCAGATGGATGGAGATGGAAAGTACAGCTTCAACGGAGGTTGGCTGGTGCTTCCTCGGGGTGCAGGTACGTGCCTGTCTTACATGAGAAAGTTGGAGTCGGGGAAGGAGGTGTCTGCTCCAAGGTACCTGCGCCAGGGAAATTCAAAGGTCCACACCCCCCTAACTTATACCACTTCACCCAATCAGGACGAGGTAATCTCGTCTTTAATTTCCACACCCATGTCTACGATGTGGGCGGCGCAGTTGACAATTGCGACGATGGCACGTAGAAGACGGCGGGAGCATTGCGCCCAACTGCACTACGCTTCCCCCTTCTATGCCTCCCTCAGTACCTATGGCTCTCCAGGTTTTCAATCCCTCCCAATGGATGTGATGCCCATGAGGCCATCGTGTGTACCTTGCCCAATTGGGTCAGGATGGGCCTTGCCAGTCCCGACTCTGGCCCCTCTCTTTACCCGTAGGACCTCTTCGTAGTAATTCCTCTGTATGTCAATTCCAATGGAACCCCCCCCCTTGCCGCGCGCCCGGAGCACTCACCTCACGCTCACCCTCGGGGTGCTAGCAGGGGTCATGCTCACCTCACCTCTTCTTTTCCTATCCCTCCTGTCATCGTCTGTTCGTCCTCCTCTTTCCTCTTTCCCTCCTTACCATCAACCCAAGTCCCAGTCACTTACCCCGTGCCGTTGTGCGTCTCATCCTCTGGCTTCAGCCTGTCACTCTTTTTTAAATATAGTCACTCATTATCCGCAACCCGTTGCTAAACACCTCACTCTCCCTTTTTCCAAACCAACCTTGTCACTTTCTTCCAGTCGCTCTTTCCTGGACTTTTTCGCCTTTTTATTTCAAGACCTAACTTCTAATCAATACCTTCAACGCCAATAACTTCGTCAACTCTTTCAAGATGCAGTTCAAGATCACCGCCGCCGCCTTCCTGGCCTTCGCTGCCTCCGCCCTGGCCCAGAACCCCAACTTCGATCCCGTCTTCAAGCCCACCAGCAACGAGAAGATCAACGCCGGCACCGCCTACACTATCGAGTGGACCGCCCCCGATGCCTTCAAGGACGTCACCGTCTCCATCAGCCTGATCGGCGGTGCCACCCAGAACACCCAGGTTCCTCTTCAGGACATCGTCTGTAAGTACAAATCTCCTCGCCGTATGGGATGGGATGAGATGGATATATACCGCCCGCCTGCTGGCCAAATGGCGATGAGATGAGGAAAGAGAACTAACACGCTCAGCCGGCATCTCCAACTCTGCTGGAAAGTACACCTGGACCATCCCCAGCACCCTCGGCAAGGACGCCTTCTACGGCCTGGTCATCAAGTCTGAGGCCAACCCTACTGTCGACTTTCAGTACTCCAACCCCTTCCACATCGTCGCCGGCGAGGGCGCCGCCTCTGGCACCACCACTGTCGTCTCCTCTTCCAACACTGCTACCGTCACCCTGTCCGCTGCCAGCGTTTCGGTCACTCCCACTGCTTCTGCCTCTGCCTCTGCTTCCGCCTCCGTCACCAAGTCTGAGAGTGTCATTATCAACTCCACTGCCTCTCTTTCTGCCACTGCCGTCCCGACCCCCGCTACCCTGAGCGCTCCTGCCTCCACCCTCACCAGCGTCACCCGCCCTGCTGCCAACGGCACTGCTACCCAGTCTGGTATTGCCACTGTTACTGGTGTTGCTGCCGGTGCCCAGGCCACTGCTGGTGTTTTCGCTGTCCTCGGTGGTCTGGCCGTTGCTGCCCTCTTCTAAGCAACGCTCGTTGCAGCATTTACTCGGATTCACTACATCTGTTAAACTGCATTGGGCTTGGTTTTGGGTTTCAACGTGCATACTTGGTCATGACTGGATAAAAAGATGGGTGACACGGCTTCAAGGCTAATGGACTTGGAGATCCCGTGTCATTACCGCTTCGAGGGAATGGGCTCCCCGCACATGGCGTTTTCCTGTGTTTTCGATACCAGTGTCCCCGTGGACGTGGACGTGAGTGATCACGAGGGACGGGTTGATACCTTTCTAGTTGATAATGTGAGAGAGAACGATTCAGTCTGTTTCTAAGAAAAAAGAAAACAACTTTTTTGCAATTCTAAGTTTTTTGCCCATGGTTCAACTGAATTCTGTGACATGTCGATCATGTTGGGGTAGGTGAAATACTAATCATATAACCTTGCAGCTGCCATGCGACGGCCGCAGCTTGTCTGACGTGAACAGGTGGGATTTTCAGCACGCTGTTTCGGATGAGCTCTTTCTTCTACCTTTGACACAGGTGCATGGGTCTGCAACCAAAACAACGATCCTGCAGCTTGGCAACGACAAATCCATGAGTGAAGCTAGGTGATTTTTTGCTCCTTTGTTATTATTGTCCATTGAAATTGCATCTGCCCATTTAATCCCATTAACGGTATCTTTGTTTGTTCTCAATGCTCATTGTTTGGGCAATTACCAAGGCCGCCGATCATAACCCACAAAGCAAGGCCCGTCCGTCAGCGGCTGCGGTTGCCTGGGCAGGTCAGGCCTGGGGTTCAGGCAGTGGCGGTCGGGTTTGGCTCCAACGACTGTTCCGGCCAGCGTCTCTCTCGGTTATCTTCCATTATATTCAAACGTCGATACAGAGTTAAGAGAGAGAGAGAGAGAGCTGGCCCGGCAGCGCCAAGATAATTCTTGTTTTCTTTATTTTTTTAGTTTTTCCCTTTTTGGGCGGCCTTCCAGAAACCTGACACGAACTGGCTCATGACTCGGCTGATTAGATTACAACTCCAGTCTTTCTGGAGACGATGGCAAACTCTGTAGGGTCCGGCGGCCCGGGATCAGACTTCTTGAAACCTTCAGGAGTACCCCATAGCTGAGGATGATGTGTAGTTTCTTTTTTCTTGACTATGGTTGTTTCCATTGACTCACCATTCCTCAATCTATCCGGGCGGCCCTTGTTTCGGATTCTTCCCCCTCGGATATCTCTGCTCTCCTGTGGCCGGCCACCCCGGCGGTTCCGGATTTCCTCGCGCAGCCACGTCTAGATACAGTTTTCGAGTTCCCATGGAGTGTCCATGACGATGATCGGATGTGCGCCGACACAGGAGAGAGCTCGGGTAGTTCACGACTTCCATTACGATTACCGGAAAAAGCGGCGCCGATGTGGGAAACCCCCGATATGAAAAAATCAAAATCAGAAACGGCGGCTGCGTGTGCAATGTATTATACTTTCGGCTTCCTCATCTCGGGAGGCACATTGTGGGAGTATGCGCAGCATTCCGGCGCGGCAGGGCCGCAACCCATGGTGACATCCTTGCCCGGGTTCGATAATCCATCACGCAGGCCATCAACACGTCAAGGACGGGCGACCATGTCTTTCCCAGTTCCCTGGAGGGGGTGACCTTGTTAAAGTCTGCGAGCGCGGTATTGTTGTCGCATATCAAAATCACAGTCGTCAATGCCCTTGGGGCCAGTCAGTCAGGTGCGATTCCATCAGCTGAGAGTCAGGCGGGAAATTTCTCCCTGGATCCGGGGCGCTGGGTGCCGGGAGAAACGCACTGAGCGTCTGTTTCGATCATGTTCCGTCATGGTTCTGTATCCGGCCTGACTGTTTCTTCTGTTGATGGTGCAAGTCAAGGGTTGACAACAGGATCTCAACCCCGGCTGTGAGTAGGCCGTGGTTGTGGCAGGAGCAGGCTGTTATTGACAGTCACAACGTAAGGGTCACATCGGTCCAGGAGAGCGCGAATCATGACTGAGTGGTACTCGCGGCGCAGTACCTTGGACGGCTGTGCTCCTTGAAACGGAGCATATGGCTATAGGGTCCCTCTGTTCTATTGCTACGTCTGTATACTTGTAGGCGCGGCTGCTTACGTGAAGCAAGGTTCTGTCTCGATGTACGCATATCTAGCTTGGTTTCATGTGGTCGGGATATTACCTTCCTGAATCCAACATCAAAGTCGCTGCTAGGAATGCCAGCCTGGACGTCTGACTTGTCTGCTAATCTTCTTCCAGTGCTAGGGCTCCTCTGACACTCAATTCAGCCCCTTGTAGTTCATTTTTTTGTCAACAGACCCAGGTAGAGGAGTGACCAAAGTGACCAGTCGAGCTTGGTTTTCCACCTCCTCAGTGGAAAGTATCTTCCTCCACCAACTTGGCGTCTCTGACTGGGTTAAACCGATTACCTGCTCGGACAGTAGGTATGGCAGAGCCTGCCAGCTCTGTGGTAATCCCTCTCAACATCAGCCATCTCAGGGTGAGTAAAAACCACACTACCGACGGACAGATACGTTCGATGAAGACGACCGTTGGACACTTGTTCGGTGCAGGCAGTTAAGGACGGCCTTGTTTTATACTCTCGTTCAGTTGGAAGAACTGATAAAAGTAAATAGACACATACTCATGGGTATTCAGGTCTACTAAGCATCAATATACCTCTGCGGGTAAGAGTTAACTTCTGCATGGCGTGTTGAAATGAGTATTCATGAGGGAGTCTTGCAGCACCCAGCCAGTGGCCTCTGACGAAACCGCGGTGTCCGATTGCCCAAGGAGAGGGGGAAGTTCTTCGGGTCGTCTAGACTCTTGGTGTTAACTGCGATACCCAGCATCAAACCATCCTCCTCTATTTCGACACATGGCTAGGGCGATGGCTCTTAAGGCAAGCGCTAGCAGTGTAACGCCTGCAGAAAAAGCTTGTAAATATCCACGTAGGTGTTACCAGAGGCGAACTGGGCAATTCGACTGAGATCGTGAAAGCATTGAAATCCATACACCATAAGGTATATAATAGTAAGCATACTACCAGTCAGGAAATATCACAGAAGTCAGTTGACTCTGAAAATTTCTCTCCACGGTCCACGTGCTATAACCGGAACATACCCTTCCTAACCTGGATTGGCGACGTGGAAAATGGCATTGGCAAAGGATCGAACATCCCTATCACGATTACATACATTTTGTGTTCGAAGCCTCTGTCGCGTTGTCTTTGAAACCAACAGGAATCAGTTTTGTATCTCATGCCGTTGTCGCTCCCTAGATTCTTAGAAATATGCGGGACACATCAAACCAAAAACGGCAGCACGGCACCAGAACAAACGGAGAGTCAGAGGCGACCCCTGGATACAACGTATGAACAGATTTAGAATGCAAGTCAGACAAAGTGCCCGAAGGAACTCTCAGAGGACATGCAAGAGTTCCTCACCTTCCAGAAGCCCTGCCCCTGAGATGAATGGGTCAGGGGCACTGATGGATCTCCCTATTCGACAGACGTCGAGCTATCGCCAGCTAGAACGAGCCGATCGTTCTTTTTATTTTACACAAATCGAGGGTTCCCACCGATGGGTGGACTTTCTTACTTCTAGATTCCAATGTTCCACCTTACCAGAGGCAAGGCGAGTGATGCAACTCCACATTCGTGCTTTGGTGCACCGCATTGACTAAGCCATCTTTGTGCGAGCCACCAAGACCAAAGGATAAATTCGTTGAATATGACGCAAATTCTAGACGCGGTGACAGTATTTGTGGAGGACGATAAATGTTCTGGGAAGGGCCGTAGGTGACAACTTTGAGTGTCATTGACATGGGCCCACCTAATAAGCTCATGCCTTCAACCAACACATCCCAGCCTGTGATGGGGATCTACCGAAATCACCAAAGCCCTAACCACACACATGCCAAGGTGATAAATCGATTCCGGACTATGGTTGCTCCCTGTAAAGTGACCATTGCATAGGCATACAGAAGAGAACGTTGAGTGGTCCAAACGTAAGAGGTAAAAAAAGGAAAAAGGAAAAAAAGATGTGTTGCGTCAATCGCTGACGGGAATTGAGCCCGACGTGGCTGGTTCTTGTTAGTGATGTTGTCCGTATTGTGCGATAGCGAGGTGAAGCTTACGGGTCGAACCCACAACCTTGAGATTAAGAGTCTCACGCTCTACCGATTGAGCTAGCCGGGCGGATTGAATCCAGCCTGAGGAATGGTTGGTGACGGGTCAGGCGTCGTGAATGGTTATGGATGGATGGTAGACAGGGGCTCCATAGCCTTGAGCGGGCCCCTCGGAGGGATCGAAGGATGTGTACACGTGGAACACAGTCCCAAGAGACTGAGTGCCTTGAAATGATCTCTGTAGTATCACTTCCAATTCTAAAGGAGATGGTCAATTGCTAGAGCTGAGATGTGAAGAGCCGATGGAGTTCAGTTGACTGAAGACACATCAGACAAGTACATAGAGGGCATGTGGCTATACGTAGGCAGTCTATTCCATCCTGGTGTGGGGGAATGCCTTACTCGGGCAAGTAGTAGACGTGGGTGGCCGTGAAATCATCCCAATACAAGCTATGTCAGATGCTCAGACGAGTAAGGCGAGCTTGCAGGCTTTGTCTAGCCTTCAAACAGTCCAGTGTAGCCACAGCCATCTCATGTCTCAACTCGACCGCACCCAGGACTACCAGGTGATACTTCTGTGAGGCGAAGAATATTTGCCAGCTAGCTATCGGCAAATATCCGTCTGAAAACTCCCACCGTCAGACATAACTACATTTCGCTTCCTTTCACATTGCATTAGCATAGTCGAAAGAGGTTGAGAGAGCACCAGAGACTACCAGAGACTACCAGTCGAGAGACTTCCACCGATACGTCGACCAACCAGCCATATGACCCCTCCTTGGCGAATCAAGGGCCCAGGTATGGGTAGTCTTGGCTGTGCGAGGTATTCCCTTCCCAATGGGATGGTCAGGACTTGATTTTGCCTCGCTAACTGGGTCGTAGAAGTCTTCTGGGGGTGGCAGCGAGGCAGTCCAAGTTTCGATGTGAGCAATCGGCTCCCTCGCGAGATTGACACTATCAATCATCATACCTGGGTTTCCTGAAGTTGAGCAAGAGAATATTACTCTTACGCCCAGAGAGCATGGGAATTTTGCCAGTGCATTTCGTGGTCCATCGTACAATAAACTTGTGCAAAGCAGGTTCGAGGGTGAGGATCGGGAGGCAACAACTTTGCTGTGAAGCGAGATGCTCAAGTAGAACGCTACTGGCGGCAAAAAACACCATTGGGCAAACCGGGTGGCCGCTCAGCCGAACGCATGGCGTTCTCGGGGTTGTAATCGAAGTGTGTCCGGTACGTGCTGGAATAGGGTTCTCAGTGACGGTCATTTACAAACGACCGAAGGGCAGCTTACCATGATCGACCAGACAAAGGTTGGAAGTACCACAGCAGGTCAAGACACGAATCTCGCACAAGGTGTTCTGCTATCATCGGGTTTCTTGAGCCGTTGTCTCGAGCGCAAGAAGTGAAGCGGCACGATTTGGACAGCAGCGGGGGCGCAGAATGCCTAGCGTTCTATGTATTGTTCGCTGAGAACAACCTGAAAACCGAGGTTTCGGGGGGGACCCAGACACATTCGTACGATTGTCAACGGAAGCCCCGGTTCGAAGACATAGGACGAAGGCTGTATTCATTTCGTGGAATGTGACGCCGGTGGGTTGTTGCTTTGCTCGGGGGGTGTCTTTCTCATCACTCTGCTGACCTGGTCAGATGCTCATATCAGCGAAACAGAATGGTCACACAATTACGAGAAATCCCGGCTGCACGATGTGGCGTATTGCTGAACTAATGGGTAGCCCGGGGCACCATTTTCTCGGCGATTCTCGAAATATCAAGCGCATTGTGTGTGGCAAATCCTTGGCCGGCCTCGAAACGCTCCAACGGATACGGGGTGTTACTCGATTACAAAACTTGGATATGATAGCGATAGGGTTGCAGAGCCTTTTCCTGCCACATCAATTCAAGTCACTCCACCCCTGGTAGAGGCAAATGATATTAAATCGAGCTGACATAGATCATTGGTAAGTTTGTCGGGTTCCCAACCCGAGATTGGGCGCTGCTGGGTAGAGAGATATGGATATCGACGTCGACCGGAAGTGCAAAATACGCTCCACTCACTCAGGCGAGGGAGTTGTGTGCCCATTGCCGACCAATTCGTGTAGTTCCGGACCTCCAAGGTTTTTTTTCTTAGACCCCACGTTCGCTGGCGTATTATTCTTATGCATGAAAAGGCCTCAGTCGTCAATGCTGTGATCAAAGTTTGTCGTGCTCAGCTGAATGGAAGGGTGTCCTCCAAAGAAGGCCGGCCTGAAGCCGTAGCTAAGGAAACACACCCAGCAGACACGGTTGCTTCCCGCCTCCAGGTGCTGGAAATCGGGGCGTGGAGGAAAGAGCAATCATCCGTATTCCGAATGCTGGAAGCTCACAGTTCAGGGGTAAGATGGAGATACTGCTCCAGCGTTGGTCTGGTAAGAGACCGCTGGACGGAATGCTTTTGCTCAGCACTACATATGTGTCACGTTCCCCGTGCCTTGGCTATGTTACGCATGCTGAGCGCCTTCACTTAGGTCGCACCCATGATGCCTCCGTCCAATGCTATGTAAACGCCTGCCAAGAAAAGAAATCCTTGAATAAAGCTTTCATCTCCAGGCCGAGAGCACTGCAAACGTACTTACAGCAGCAGCAACAGCAGCAGCAGCAGCTTGGCGCATGGGCCTTTTGGTGTCTTGCGGGTTGGCGATTGGATGTGGTTGTGCCGTTATCTTGGATTGGACAACTCCGCGGAGGTCGACCTACACGTGCGAAGGGGTCCGCAATGCGGCGTTGAGTGGAGGCTGAAAGGGCCGTTCAAAACGCCCGCAACCCACAGCCGCTGTGCCGGATCCATACACGACAGATGCGGCAGCGTCAGTTTGTGCGATGCTTCTGGTGTCGATGTTCAGCCACAGGCCCAAAGTTGAAAGGTATCAAAGATGAAGTCGGAATCGAGCAGTAGAGTCTAGACATGCACCGTGGCGGGTGTGGAAGGCAGGGAAGCCGGCAAGCCGGGGCAAGCCGGGGCAATGCACGTCGCGACGGGGGACGGGACGAAAGAAGACCTGAACCGGGCATATGGGACCGATGCGGGTGTTGATTGGCTGACAAAGGTAACTCACGGGAACCCCTTGTCAGTAGGTGGATCTGTTGCGGCTACCTACCAGGTACCTACCTACCCTACCTTAGGTGCTTACCTTAGGTAGGGCCTTGCTTGCCCGGCCCTGTTCCAATGTCTCTTTATCTTATCTCGACTCAACCACCTCCCCTCCGTACCTACCTTATGCAGCGTTTCCGTACCTCGCAACCCAAAACTCCCGAATAAGGTGGTCATCCGTAGATTTTTCCCATCAGCACTTGTGCTCCCTCCTGCTTCTACCGTCCTACCTGGGGAGCATCACGGCCAACGAAACGGGGCGAAAGAGAGGACCAGGAAGAGCCGACGGACGTACCACGACCTTGCCCAGGTACAGGGTCTCGGACTACACCATCCCGATTATTTCTGGCTAGTCTTTGAGGAACAGCAAGCGGCACCCGGGCGCGGTCCATGATCAGGTTCAAGGTTGTGTCAAATCCACTGCGACGTCAAATAATGACACAGTATGACATTGCTGTCCCACAACGTTGGCCTCGCTTTGTGATGACCGACCGTCAGCTAGCGCAGACGGCATTATCATCGAGGAAGGCATTGTCCTGCCAATTGGCGGGCCTCGTCCATACCAAAGATCACTCAGAGTCACTAGTCTAGTTTTTCTAGGGAACCAAGCCAGTGCTTGAACTTAAATCGTCGCCGGCCGGGACTCGATCAACTCCGACCTTACAAAACGTCGCTCACTTGGTGATCTTCAATCGCCAACAACGCACAGAACCATTACAGCCTCAAAGTCAGTTGGTTCCAAATCATCGCTACGCGCTACACTACAAGCTTGACGCACATGCCATGGCCGAATGAACCCCGCGGAGATCGACGCCAACCATTAAGCATTCGCCAGTCATATACCAGAGCCAATTCCTTATCTCTTGGACGCCAGGGGTGGGGCCCGTCACAACCGCATCTCGAGCGCCTTCTCGAGCCTCCCAAAGATAAGCAATAAGCTCAGAAGCCTCCGTTTCGTCGCATTGCTCCCTCTTCCCTTTGCGCCCTGTCCAATCATTGTCCACCCGAAGCACCTTACCGAGTCTCTTGGAAAGGCAAGACACCTCCGAGATAAGACATATGAACCTAGCGCCAGAGGCCACTCTTCTTGGCTCATCATTTCATTCTGCTTCGCTACCTGTCGCACTGAAATTCGCGACTGCGCAGATGTAGGCATTTTGCTACACCTCGAGCCAGATCTCAATTGACGTAGACCATACTTCCAGCTGGTTAACGGAGAGCTGAGGGACAACTACTCCACCGTTAGCTTTCTTCCCAGCATACCTATCGACTCTGGAGGAGACTCGCCTGGGTCTGTCTCATCATAGTCGTGACTACCCCTCGCTTCACTTCGAATTGAATTTTCGAATCTACAGCTCCAAAGCTGTCACTTCTCACAGCTTCTCCTTGATTTCCGGCGGCCAAGAGGGCGCGTTGGAACGAGGATTCGAGACATAACGTGCAGCACCGGCACTTTCATTCGAGACATGTCCCTAGTGCCTCGGCCTACATACGCACTATACGCTACAGGAAAGATTGTGTCATCTCCGTCTTTCTCCCAGCTATAGATTGTTATCTGAGAGATCGACGAGCGAGCCCGCTGGTAAGCTAACCACACAGTTGGTGCGGTCCAGTCCCTGTACGTAGCCTGGCCGCCTCCCATCCCGTCAGCACGTCTCCGTCACCCTTGCGTTTGTGTTCCCCCTTCATCCTTGTATCCCCGCGGCAGGGCAAGGGAATTCTCGCGGCAGAGTCAATCTGGTTTAGCGTGTTATTGTTCCGGAGATGCATCAACCGCCTTCCATTCTCAAGAACCATATGCCTATTCGTTGCAAGCATCCATATAAGACTGTCCTTTGGGCCTCCCCGGTAGCCCCGACCAAGGACCTAGTCACTTGGAGGCTCAACGACATCAACAAGCAGATCCCTTTGACGAGGCTTGAGCTTCGGAATCCTCGCCTCCGCGGATAATTATCGGTAACTAGCACGAACTCGCGACATTGGTCAAAGCCTCACCTCAGACGAATACGAATATCACGAGCAACCGGTGCAATCACTATTACGATGCAACTTTCCATTCTCTGGAGGGCGCCCGAGGTGAACCCTATCAACCGCAAGGCTCGCAGCATCCCCGTGTTGAACATTTTCAATGTCTACGCACGAGCCTTTCACTTCTCGTGGCTTGGCTTCATGATTGCTGTGCGTATAAGTTTTGACCATCTTTCCTGTGCAGGCGTTCTGATGCCGTGACAGTTTTGGGCTTGGTACGCTTTTCCGCCTCTTTTGACGGTCACGATCAAGAAAGACCTCAAATTGACCACGGCTCAAGTCGCAAACTCGAACATTGTCTCTTTGGTCGCAACACTATTCATGCGTCTGATTGCCGGACCCGCCTGCGATCGCTTCGGTTCACGTATCGTCTTCGGCTCACTGCTTCTCATCGGCACTATCCCCGTCGGCCTCGCACCGCTGATCAAGAACGCCACGGGCTTGTACATCTCCCGCTTCTTCATCGGTATCCTTGGTGCCACTTTCGTGCCCTGCCAGGTGTGGTGCACTGGATTCTTCGACAAGAATGTCGTGGGAACCGCCAATGCCTTGGCTGGTGGCTGGGGTAACGCCGGTGGTGGAATCACCTACTTCGTCATGCCTGCTGTTTACGACTCTTTCGTTCACGCACGTGGTTACTCCCCTAGCGAAGCTTGGCGGCTTACCTTCATCGTACCCGTCATCTGCCTCTTGTGCTGCGGTCTCAGTCTCCTCCTCCTCTGCGAAGATACACCGACGGGCAAGTGGGCAGACCGCCACCTCCATGCTCAGGAGAACCTGCACTCTCATGGCGTCGATGCCGCCGTGCGATCCGATGTCGTTGATGTTCCTGGCGGTATCACTGACCGCAACACCGGCTCCATGGCATCCGACGAGGAGAAGAACAGCACCCACGGCAAGAACGGTGTTATTGCCGACCACGAAGCCGCCCTCTCCCGCACCGAAATGGTCAAGACGGCACAAGGCGATACCGTCGTCAAACCAACCTTCAAGGAGGCTATGCAGGTTGTCTTCTCCCCTCAAACAATCTTCCATGTAGCTACCTACGGCTGCTCCTTTGGCGGCGAATTGGCGATCAACGCTGTCCTCTCTTCCTACTATCTGAAGAACTTCCCTTCCCTTGGACAGACTGGTGCCAGCAACTGGGCTGCCATGTTTGGCTTCCTCAATGTCGTTACCCGCCCCGCTGGAGGTGCAGTGTCTGATCTCCTCTACCGATACGGTGGACAGAATCTCTGGCTTAAGAAGGGCTGGATCACGACTTGCGGTCTTCTTACCGGCGCTCTCTTGATTCTCATCGGTCAACTCAACCCTCACAACGAATCAACCATGTTCGGTCTCGTCTTCCTGATGGCTCTCTTCCACGAGGCAGGTAACGGCGCCAACTTCGGCCTGATTCCCCATGTCCACGGCCATGCCAACGGTATTGTGTCCGGTGTCACCGGCGCTGGTGGGAACTTTGGCGGCGTCATCTTTGCCATCATTTTCCGCTTCATGGACCAGGGCACAAACTACGCAAAAGGTTTTTGGGTCATTGGCTGCATTAACATTGCTGTCAACCTTTTGGTTTCTTGGATCCATCCACTCCCCAAGGCTCAGCGCCACTAAGCGCAGATGTTCACGAGGGTTAATGACTTTTGGTTACGATTGGTTTCTTGTCTCAGGGCTTAGTTTTGGATGGGGTTTGGGTGCGGCAGATTGGTTTCCGGGGGACTGTCTGGAGTATGGAACAGGCAGAAATGATATCCACTGTTGGCATTCTTAGCAAATGATTTCAGTTTCACGTCATCTAAGCTTCATCCACAGTTGTCTACATACACGCTCTATTGTGACTGTATGTTGATGAATGGTGCCAGGGTGACTCGGGCGCTATGAACAGTGCATTGCTCGAAGGCCAGAAATTGTAGCTCGATTGGGAAACCAGGACTGAGAAGCTGGTAATCACAGCCGAAGACTTTCTCCACAACAAAATGTTGAGTTGAAGCCAGTTGACGAACCAGTACGCCTGTCCATGCAATACGTTTCATAAGCCTAATGAACGTATAATGATGCAAGATCAAATTGCCTAGCGTCTACTGAGCCCGAGGAGGAGGCATATGTTTGCTGGTGTCGAAAACGTGGCATCCATAGAGTAAACATACCCTTCCCAGGGCACTGTCTTGCGTATGACTACATGACAACCCGTCTTATTTATTTGCGACATCTTGATCGGCACATGTCCGGGACGCCGGAGTTGCGGCCGTCCCGCCCACTCGCCATACGCCCTCCCTACCCTGCCGCACTCCCTTTCCTCCCCCACACTATCCTTCCTTTCTGCCATTGAAAGATGAGAAGGGCAATGCTTCCGCCCGGGGAAGTCTGACGAGTGCATGGCTAGCGCATCGTCCTATTGTCCTGCGCAAGCGCCATGGGAACTGTGTGTGGATTGCTACCTACTTATGTCAAGAGCAATGCATGGAAGCTGAAGAACCGAAGAGTGTAGTCATTCGCGAGTTTGCACGGCCTCGTATCTTGTACAACCACCTGAATGCTTGCTAAATACTATCTAGACAGACCACGAAGCGATTTCCGAATTAGCTCAATCAAAGATGCTTATCGTTGTACAAAACATTATGTGGACGAAATGTGAGTCTAGTTGGTTACGTGAGAAGCGTCTTCTACAAGTGGGTTCATCTTCGCTATTTCTGAGCGCCAGATCACGTGAAGACGAGTCGTGGCTTCTGAAAATGACTAAGCTAAGACGCGACAACACGCTAGCTAAAGTGGGTGGGGGTTTGCAAACGCGGTCGGCACCTCCACCGCGTAGAACCGGGCGTAAACACCGACGACCAATATTGCAACGACCACCCAAAGAGCCTCAGCTGCGCCCAGAAACGTCCCCAATGACGTTCGGAACACCCCAGGTACACTACCTGCAGTCGGATAAATGACTCGAAACAACCTTGGGGACCATCTCTCCTGGCTGCTAAGCAACGTCGCGCTATCCACGCCCACCGATCTCGCCTTTCCACCAGCCCGTGACCCCTCCGGTATCGAGTCTTCGCAGTCTCAGAGCCGTTTCGGTAGCTCAAGCTCTCAACAAGAGCTCCCGAGTCGTCCAATTCCCCAGCCAATACCTGGTCGAACGCATGCTGGACCTGCACTTCATGCCCTGGACGTGGTGGAACTGCCTCGGGATTCTAGGGTGGCCACAACGGGAAACTCCGCGTCCATGGCGAGATTGACTTCTTCCACGAGACCTAGAAAACCCTCGTTGGCGGTGAAGCAGCAGCCGCAGCAACAGTTGTTGACACCGTCTTCGACAACGAGTGGTGGCAGATTCCAGCAGGCTTACACGGCTAAGCTCCAGCAAGAGGGTGAGTACAAGTTGTTCTTGTAATCTTACACTATCTGACCTTCCGTAGATGCACTGAACGGGCGGAACCGGGCTGCGCCGTCATCGTCACAGGAAGGGAGACGCAAGCCGGCGCCAGCACCCACGCCAGACTTTCTCGACGACGACGATGACGAAATTCTCGACCTGACTGGCAACGATACTGTTCTGTCATCAGACTCAGTCGCATTTGACGATGGAGTCACTATATGGAATGAGGAACAAGCGTCAAGACCGGAGCCGTTGGTCAAACGTGGCCAAAAGCGGAAGAGCACTGAGATGAGCAAGGCGGGCGATTTGGACTCAGATTCGGACGAGTTTCCAGACATCTACAAGACGCTGGGAACGCCTGCACCAAAGGGCAGTCGCTCGGCTAAAGGACCAAGGACCATTCCCTCCAGTGTTTCTCGAGCAAATGCCAACAACGGCGTCATCGAAGAGAGGACCATCACACAAACCATCAGTCGGGTCCAGCGCACTTACAAGATGTCCGAAGATCCCAGTGGGAACAGCACCCCGCTTCGACTACCCATGGCTTCGGGAGGTCAACAGGTTCTTGGGCGGACACCGAGCAAGGCTTTGCGGATATCGTCAAGTCCAGAATCGAACACAAGCAAGCAACGCAGCAAACCTCGGGTAATACAAGATTCGGATGACGAGTTCGATGACGGAGATATTGATGAAGAGCTTCTTGCTACACCAAGCCGCCATACAGGCTCCATTATGCCGTTAGCGAATCCTCGTTCAAGGCCTGCATCAATTCCCCTTGACAACACCGAGCTATCAGACGGGCTTGTTGCTCCCGACACACCCTCTAAGCCTGAGCCCTCGGTGCTGCGACCCGAAAACCACTACGAGCCAGCTGGGACAAACTATGCGCCATCTCCATCTCGGAACCATTCCTTCAAATCTATATCCCGGCAAAGCACCTCGTCTCAGGCACAGAAGTCGGCTGTGCTCAAGTTCATTCTCAATAATCGAGACTCCCTGAAGGCCAGGGAGAAGATGATTCAAGACGAGCGCGACCAAAACCTGAAGGACTATGCCAGAGTTCTACGAGAAGGCACTAAAGAAGACCGAGCTGAACTTAAGAGCGCGAAGGAATTGTTGCTGAAGCAACAAGCTGGTTTGGAGGAAGTTTGCGAGCTTCTCAAATCACATGCGGCACTCGAAGACGAGAGAGAGTCTCTAGCAATGCAAATCGCGAACGCATATGACCAAGGTCGCGACACTGAGGAGGAAGAGAATGCTTTAGATCAACTCGCCGACAAAGTCAAAGTTTTGGAGCAGTCCATCAGTGAACTTCTTCCTGGTGTTGGTATAGTGGATGAAACATTCATCGAAGACTACCGCAGATCCAAGTCTGTTGTCATGAGCACTCAGCCTGGTCACAAGTTTTCTTCTAGGGCATCAAGGGACCTGCCGGGGCCCATAGAGATGGACAGCCAAGTTATTCATCAGACGCAATTTCCCGGGTCATCAAGGCTTACTGATCCGAGGGATCATTCGCCGCCGCCGTTCCCGCGGAGTCGACCGCCAGCTCCGAGGAGTGCGAAGCCCGTTGTACCAAGTACCAAGCCCCGCCTACGCGATGACTTTGAAGATGAATATTTCGACGACATCGAGGATGATTATGGCGCATTCAACCCCCCTCCGCCACCTGTGTCTAGGCCGACACCGAATCGCAAGAGTCCTCTCAAGAAGGCTTGCCCTCGTGCCCAGGACATGTCCAGCGACTATGGTGACGATGCAGACGCGGATATGCTTGCGCTCGCTCACGACTTCGAGCTCCGACAGTCTTCATCTGCAGAAACAACGAGAGGTCGGAGTGCACTCGCTACGACATCAGGCAATGCCGTTCAAGCTTCAAAGGCTGTTGAACCTCTAAAAAAGAGAGAACCTTCCAAAGCGAAGCTGTCGATGCCCCCGGAGCTGATGAAACACCCCTGGTCTGCAGATGTGAGGAAGGCTTTGAAAGACAGGTTCAGAATGAGAGGATTTCGATCTAATCAGCTTGAGGCCATCAATGCTACGCTTAACGGCAAAGATGCTTTCGTGCTGATGCCAACCGGAGGAGGCAAATCCCTTTGCTACCAACTTCCAGCTATTATTACTAGCGGAAAGACGAGGGGAATCACGATTGTCGTCTCTCCTCTGCTCAGTCTTATGCAAGACCAGGTGGATCACATGTCAGCTGTCAACATTCAAGCTGTTTCACTCAACGGCGAGACAAGTCCTCAGAAGCGAAGTCAGATTTTCTCTTCCTTCAAAGAGAGGAGTCCCGAGCTCTACATCCAATTACTCTACGTTACACCGGAGATGCTGAACAACAGTGACAACTTCATGAGGGCTTTGACAAGCCTTTACTCCAACAAGCGACTCGCACGGATTGTCATTGACGAGGCACACTGTGTCAGTCAATGGGGCCACGACTTCCGACCGGATTACAAGGCACTCGGCAAACTTCGACATCAATTTCCCACTGTTCCCATCATTGCACTTACGGCAACGGCAACTCAGAATGTCATTGTCGACATCAAACATAACTTAGGAATGGACAGCTGTCAGGTCTTTAGCCAGAGCTTCAATCGGCCAAATCTCACGTATGAGGTTCGACGGAAAGAGAAGGAACTGATCCACAAGATCGCCAATCTGATTATGTCGAAATATGATGGACAATGTGGAATCATCTATACTCTATCAAGAAAGACTGCAGAGCAAGTCGCCGAGAAGCTGCGTTCCCAGTATGGCGTCAAAGCAAGCCACTACCATGCGCAAATGACTCCAGAGGACAGAATTAGAGTACAGAGAGAATGGCAAGCAGACAGGATCCACGTCGTTGTAGCAACAATTGCTTTCGGTATGGGCATTGATAAGCCTGACGTTCGCTTCGTCGTCCACCACTCGATTCCGAAGAGCTTGGAAGGCTACTACCAAGAAACAGGACGTGCGGGCAGAGATGGCAATCCTTCGGATTGCATTCTCTACTTCGGTTATCAGGACGTGGCCACATTGAAGAAGATGATTTCCCAGGGTGAAGGAAGCGAGGTGCAGAAAGAACGACAAAGAATGATGCTCAACCGAGTCACTGCGTTCTGTGACAACCGGGAAGACTGTCGCCGCGTTGAGATCCTTCGCTACTTTGGCGAACAATTTAACCCTGACGAGTGTGAGAAGACTTGCGACAACTGTCGGGCAGGGGCTGTCTTTGAGCAGCAAGACTTCTCTGAGCTTGCCGTTGGGGCCATCCAGACCATTCAGCTTCACGAACGCCTGACTATAAATCAGTGCAGTGAGATTTTGATGGGGAAAAAGTACCAAAAGACAATTGACAAGCATCCCGATGATCCCCACGGCATTGCAAAGGGGATGAAGAAGCATGAACTCGAACGCATCATTGATAGGCTTACAGCTGAAGAGGCCCTCGAGGAGGAGAACGTGGTGAACAAGAGGGCCGGTATTGCGATCCAGTATCTCACTGTAAGTTACCCTACGGCTCATGCCTAGCTGTGTTCACTCATTTTAACATGCTCTTAGCCTGGTCGCAACGCCCACCTGTTCCTTAATGGCCGCCGCAAGCTATTATTATCAGTCCAGGTTTCTGATAGGAATAGGGAACCATCGGCACCGAAACCCAAAAAGCGAGCCCAAAAGAGCAAGAGAGATGAAGAACAGGATCTGGAAGAAGAACCGCCAAGAAGACGCCTGCCACCTTCGACCAATGTGTCTTCGCCGGCGCAAGCTCGAAGAACGCAAGACAAGAGGCCAAAGGGCAAGTCCATTGCCACCGTCATCGATTCTGACGAGGAAGACGAGTTGCTAAGGCAAGAGATGGAAGAGCAAAGTCTGTCACTGCACGCAAATGGCTACATCAAGGATGGCTTTGTTATGTCCGATAACGAATCCGACGATGGGTTTGAGCCACTACCTCCGCCTCGTAAACGTGGGAATGCCTCCAAGGCAGTTGGGCCCCGTATTGAGGAGGACAAACGCCTGGGGGCACTCGACGAACTGCATCAAGACGTTGTCCACAATTTCGTCCAGGAGGCCAAGCAGCTCGAGGAGTCTTTGCGAAATGCGCAGGGACTTCGGAAACCTCTCTTTTCCGAGAAGAGTTTCCAAGAAATGGCTATACGATGGACAGAAACTCTCCCTCAGATGCGTCAAATTTCGGGAATTGAGCCACAAAAAGTGGACAAGTTTGGCAACAAGTTCGTTCCCCTGATCAAACGCTTTCATAGCAATTACCAGGCAATGCTCAGCTGCGTGGACGGTGACGAAGATATGGAAGCTGAAGAGCAAAGTATTGTCGATTTGATCAGTTCCGACGAGGATGAAGCCATGGATGACGAGGAAGAGGAAGAGGAGTCTTCGAAGTATTTTGGTAGTGGACCGCCTCCCCTCGCACCTGCTGTTCAGGAGTGGAATGAGCGAATGAAGGAATTAGAGACGGCGCCTCCGACCCGAGCTTCATCGTCAACGTCGACGAGGGGCCGTGGCGGTGGTGCTCGAGGCGGTCGGAAATCAGGTGGTCGCAAGGGCTCCAACCCCTGGGCAAATAAAAAGCAAGGGGGCGGCGTCACCAAGAAGAAGGCTTCTGGTGGAGCCAACAGAAGAAGCAACGGCGGAACCACAGCTTCGAGAAACAGCTCTGTGACCAACTACTTCTCCAAGGGCGGGAGGAGAGGTGGCAGCGGCGGTGGGGGTGGCATTGGGCTGATGCCACATTGAGGATCCGATGAAAAGGGGCCATCAAATGACATGTACGTTGGTATGGAATAACACCCCGAATGGGAAACGACAGACAAGAAGGAGCATACGACACATGCTTCACTGCATCTGATACCTTGGCATTCATAAGGCGGAGGGAAAAGCGGCCGGGAGAAGGGGGGAACACCAAGTTTTACGCCATTCATTTCCACGGCGGCGGCGAAGCAAGCGATTCCGCGTGATACTGGTTTAAGGGGCGGGCGTCGACCGGTCAACGGGCATTTTCTCAGGCGCAGCATAGGCACATTTGGCATTTTAATGTTGACAATGAATGATTAAGAAATAGTCACCGGGCTATAAGATTGTTTCTTCCTCCTGGTGTTTATTGTACCCATCCATCTGGAAGGGGCCGGGTCCCGTAACGACATCGCTGAAGATGATCTACAGCGGCAATCGCGTGGTGATCAGGTCTAGGTCTCTCACCCGGTCTGTGAGAATGCGTGAAACTCGGTCTCGAAAATACGAATTATCAATTTGCGTCTTTTCGCGCAGCTAGCTATCCACTCCCCCTTCCACGCAATGTCTCCTACCCTCCGGCACATCCTACCATTCCCGTGAGATATCAGTGTCATGAGGGGTATAAAGGTCCAGCCGCAAGGTCCAATACATTCGTTGCAATGCAAGTGATGTCTTATGTTTTCATTGTTTTTGAGAGTATAGCCTCGCATTCATCGGAGGCGACCTGGGATTTCCGAGGAATTCATCGTGACGGTGATGGCTCACGATCATCTGAGACCTTCCCAAATTCGTCCGAAACCAGACTCCATGATCCCGCCCGCGTGGTATAAAACTTAAAGACCGTCAGACAGGTATCTTCCTGTCCCAGAGTGAAAACCCCAAACGCCCCTCAACGGATCCTAATCCGACGCCTCGCCATAAAGCAAATAAAGTAGGATCAATCAGTGGCACTGCCGTGAGAGAGGGTATTCGAATATGTACAAAATTCAATATCGTGTTGTGACAGTCCAGCAGAGCCAAAGCAAGTCAATGGAGACCCAAGCCTCGTCCGCCGCTTTTGCCAATGGTGCTTCGTCAAGTCCGCCAGCGGGGTTTGCCTTTCACCTCAGTGAATGCACCATCTTGCTGAGGGATTGAGGCCAAAGGGGAACTAAACAATCTCCTCTGCCTAGATAAAAGAGACTCCTAGCCCCTCCATCGAGGCTTTTGGCTGGAGGTGCTTTTACCCAGCTCTGGAAGTGTTTTGCGTGTGGTATTTCGCGACACAGATCGTGTTGGAGGGGTTTCCGTGCCACCTGTTGTACTGCTTGCTTTAAGTTGTGGCAATTGGCTAGTCCGACGTGTTGACGCTAAGGAGCTGGCAGGACGACTTGGTACAGCTCTGTCGGCAAACGAGTGTAGCTTTGGTGGCTGGAGAGACGCACGTCGGCTTGACTGAGACTCGAGGCCGGACGTAGACGCAGACGAGGACAAACGCGGCTTAGACAGTGTCTGTTGAGAATACGGACCAGGCGAGGCCAGGCGCTCTCGGAATGACAGCTTCGATGGAGCCCTCTTCGTAGGTGTGTCCTCGGGCATAGGTGACGCGGATGACTCTCGGGTAAGGGGGCTCCGAAGGGTTGGCATCCTCGTACCACCGGGCGATGAAGATCGCGGGGTCAAGGAGGATGATGGTCGAGCGGCCGGGGACGTCTTCTTGGCATAGGGACTGGGACAAGTAAGGGTCAAGGGCTTGAAGTTGTGACCAATGCCAACATCCGTGGTGTTGGTCGAGCCGTTCCACCTGGGCCGATTAGGTTGCGTCGACGCAGGTCTGGGGATAGTGCCCGTGGATGGAGTACCGAGCCTCGAGGTCATGTTCGACAGTCGAGGGACCAAGGGCTTGCGCGGCAGTTGAGAGGAAGGCGTTGGCAATGACGACTGTCGTCTACCTGATGGCTGTGGTAAGTGGCTATTGGTGCTTACAGAGCGGTTCTTTGCCATCTTGTTTCTGGGAGTGACTGGCTCTAGACCGAGACTCGACATAATGACCGAAGAAGGAGGAGAGCTGCCAGGGGTGTCGCGACCGCTGCCAATCGTGGAGCGATCATTTGACAGCATGCTGGAGATGGAATCCCTCAATTGCTGGCCGCGGGTATCCACTTGCACTTCGTCCACAACCACGTCCATCTCTCTCATCTCGTCCTTGATTGATTCCCATTTCGACTCCATCTCAGCATGCAAACGGAGAATCTCGCCATTGACAGTTAGCCGGTCCTTAACGCCCTTGTCGATGATAGCCAAAACTCGCTCGATAGCTGGGCCATAGTGCGTTTTCTTTGCGTCATAGTTCTCGATCTTCTTGATCATTGTCGGCGGGTTGCTCAAATGCATGCCGGTGTCGACGGCCTCTCTTAGCTTGACCATCGATCTCTCGACAGACTCGATCATCTTTTGGGCCTGTCGTCCTGCTCCGCGAAAAACAATGACCCAACGATCCTCGCCCAATTCCTTACGCAATGATTCAGCATCTTTTTCCAACTTTTTGTAACTGCCATCGAGACCGGTGCGTCGCATGTCCAATTCCTCGCAAGCGGTCGGGAAGGATTTTTCGGCTCGGGCAGCGAACACGGCGAGTCGCATAGGAAGGAAGTCCAGCGATGCGCGCAAAGGTTGCATCCGTGCGAAAAGGGCTAGTAGACTCGAATCATCTTGTGACAAAGTGGGCGTGGGCGTTCCTGGAGATGTCGACCCAGGACTGAGCGGAAGACCTGGTAGACTGAAGCGGTTTTGCGCCTGCATTCTTGCAACGGGAGGAGGAGTATCGTCCACAATGTTCTCAAGGTCTCCGATATCGACGCCGTCGCCGCCTGCGGCAGCCATCAGCGACTTGTGACGTCGTTCCTCCATCTCGAAGACCAGACGGCTCAGTTCATCCATTTCGCTCTGGATATCTCCCAGAACACTGTTCCACAGTTCTTCCCACTCCATCGCGATTTCGACTTGCCCTTTAACGGTGTTTAGTGCCGCTTTGATATTGGCCCACTCCTCGATAATAGACTCCATCTGGGAGACGGCGCGATGAAGATCCTCGGGCGGGACTCCGGCAATGTCTTCGCGAGCTTGCAATTCCTCAATAGCACCGACGTATACTTTAATCAGTTTCTCGAAGCGATGTATGGCGTTCTCGACTTCTTCGTATCCTTCGCGACCTCCTGCCGCTGCCCACTCCACGTCATCGTCGCTGTCCAAGCCACCAATAACCTCTGATGCCTTGTAGATCCAACTTCTGATTTGCTCTGCAGCGTTGATCAGGGCTTTTGATGCGACTTGTGCTGTTGGGATAGCAGACACCTTGCTGGACAAAGACTCCGCATCGGGAAGTTGAAGTGATGTCAGTTGAGCTAGTTGATTGGCGAAAGATGCCCGGGAAAGCGTGTAAATGGAACCGGGTCGCTGGTGGCCGGGAGTAAAGTATGACGCAAGATCGGGCGTGAACTCGACCACCGGCACCGGGGGTGTGTCTTTCGGTGGTGGAGGTGGGGGTTGATCGGAGGCAGGAAGGGCACCATTGCGTTCGAGATGCTCTCGTCGAGTCTCAAGTTGTACCTTGGTACCGTTCCCATTGGTGTGGTCAGGCAGACGATATTTTTGCGTCTCCATGTCCAAGGGTTCGGTTGTTATGATCTCGGGTAGGACGAGAGACGCGCCCAGGGCAACGTCTGGCGAGGATGTCAATATCCAAGCGCTGGTGTCTTCTCTAGAAGCAGTGGAAGATGCAGTCAGTGGTCTCGGATCGTCGGACGATGTAATGCCCTTCCAAGGGCGACCGCGGCGATTGATCTTCGATTCGACGGAACTCGCCTTATGATTTTCGTCGATTAGGCGGATCTGGTCTTCGGGCAGGCGCCCAACGCTGTCTTGTTGACCAAGAGGTTGGTCTGTAGCCTTTTTGTGCGAGGTAAAACCGAGCGCTTTCAATCGGGCAGCGAGATTTGGTGAGGGTTTGCGAGTTTGTTTTGTTTTATTCGTCGTAGAAGAGCCCGGCGGTGTGGTATTTGAGGGGTTTGAAGTTGTCGTGTTATCACGGGTTGGGTGTGAGGACGGTTTGTTTGCGGTGGTGTCGATGGTGTTGTTGTTTACAACATGGGAGTGCGGGTTTAGCTGGAAAAGTTGCGGGTTGGAGACGTCAGAGAAGCCAAGGTCCAAGTGGTCCGCTGTAGTAGCGGCTTCCTGGGCCTGTGCCTGGTCCTCCGCTTGCTGCGGGCGCTGTGGTTGGTGGCTGGAACACGGGTCTTCAGAGGGGTCACCGGCACCAGCAATTGTATTTGTCTTGTTGCAGCTGGCTTCTGCCTCTGCAGCCAATTCTTCCGTGGCCGACATTTGGTCTTGGTGTTTCGTGGGCAAACCTTCAATCGAGGTGATAGCCCTTTTCCGTTTTTCCTGTCCTTGAGCCCAACGCAACCCCGCGTGCTTCTATAGAGACAATCGCCTCTTGAGGTTTGCTGTGGTGCTGTACAGGACGTGGCCAGTCGGAGACGGGTGACAGTGATTGAGCTGGCTCGTGGGTAGGCTGGTTGGCTGGGTCCGGTGGTCCTGAGCTCGAGTGATGACTGGGTCGAGTAGACTGATCCTCGCCGGGTTCAGTTGGGTCCTCCGCAGGTCGTCGAATGAGGAGGATCGATGAGCGGTGTTGGAATGCTGGGATTGCTGGATGCCTGGGCGAACTCGTCAAGCGCACTGTTGTCAGTGCCTTAGTCGGTGGGGTTCGGCGACAAGGGTCTCTGGGGGAGCTGGCGGACGGGAATGCAATCGTTATTGGAGGCAAATGGGTGTTCACTGCAGTAATAGATACGGGACTGCAGACGCCGGTCGGTACTGGGGTGGTTCTTTGTTGGGCGACCACGCGATTGGGCTGGGATGTAGAGGGTATTCGTCGAACAAAGCGCAAAAGACCCGACTGCCGTGCCTAGCCAAGCATTGGAAAGGCAAGGAAGGGTGAGGATGTATTGGAGAGACAAACGGGTTTCGCAAGACCTCGGAAGTTTGGAGAAGAGCAGGATGTAGGGCAGAACCTGGTGGCGGAGCGCTTCGCACCCGGCGGAATGTCAGTTCGGTCTCTTGCTTAGTTGGCGTTCGCTCATTGCTCGGATCGACTGCATGCGATTATGCTGGGTTGGTCCTTGCTCCGGCGCAAGCAAAAGAAGGGCCAACGTAGGCAAAGAGTCGCAGAGAGCGATCAAGGAAGCGACGAAGCGAAGTCTTCAAAGGGTCAAGTATCGTGTCCTGTAGAAAGATGCGCAGGTGGAAGGGGTGAGTAGGGCGGGAAGGGACAAAGGGAAGAAGAAGGAGACGCGAAGGAAGGATTGGGCAGCAGGAATGCTGGAAACAGGATGCGAGAGGGAGCGACGATGAAAGTCAAAAAAGTTATCTGGAGAAGTATCCGTATTAGTCAAGATGAGTTATGGAAAGAAAGCACTGGCCAGAAATAAGGAAAGAGTGAGGCGGTGCCCACGAAGAGTTTGGGAGTAGGAAAAAAATAAAAAGGAAAGGGAAAGAAAACGAGCGCCTTCCGAAAGTGAATCTGAATTGGGGGGGGTTTTTTTTTTTTGGAACGATTTGAGATGGAATGTGACGAGGACCTGCACAAGGCGCGGCATGCTCATTTTCATATCCCTTCACCAACGGCGTCCCATAGTACTCTATTGATTTGCACCAAGCTACGCATGCTACATCAAGCTAGCCTCTACCTTATTCTGGAGCCGAATCTTCCCTCATCTCTCGAACCTTACCTCGACTCCGTGACCCATCGTCAATGCTACACGGGGAGCTCAATAGAGCTTGGAGCCATGGACTGACTGCAGCAGGACAAGACTTGAGTCAAGTAACCAGCTTCGAACCTCGTCAAAGTGTACTCTCCTCTGTTGGCATTGGGACCTTCCACCATTTCGTCACAGCGAGCTATAACTTTCAGGCGTGGTATAAATAATCTGTGTATTGCTGCCATCAACACCTACCGTCTGTCCTTGATAAAAGTGACATCGGCGCGAGCTTACCCTATCTATCTATACAGTGGTCGTCGGCGCGAGCTCCTTGGCCCCGGACGATGGAACGCCGTTCGACTCCTTACACACGTCCTTGTTGTTCTCCTTCGAAAAAGTTCGCCATCGTCACAACATCGGCTCGCATGCACACAAAGACTTGCCCGCGTCTGTCAAGGCATATCATCGTCGTCTAACACTCAGACAGCGGCTCGAACATGAATGGACCATTGGTTACTGATTCCTGGGTTGCAGTCAAATGCTCTTACACTCTCCTTCTTGTTCCGCCTGTTTGCTACTTGAACAAAGTGTCATCAGAACAACATTCGCCGGGCGGAATTGACCAACGGCCTTTCCCCCATGCCGCTCACGAACCAAGAGTTCACTGCCCCTGGAGTCTTAGCGCCCTTGCAATCCCCGGGTGGACCGCCACGTTGCCAAAGACAGCTCTTATTAAAGAGCCTTGACCATATTTCCGCAAGTTACGACGTTGCAGCGGTATCACCACTTGTTGCAGCAGCAGCTTTCTCCTCTTGGCCGACCCTGGCCGTAGAGCCAGACCTCGTTCCCGGTTCTGGACTGGTCACCCGCTAGCTGGCCGGGAGTCCTGGCTCTTCGGAAGCTCGTGGAAGATTGGATGAGCCAGGGTGACCCTGCGTTATGGACCACCGGATCGGGAGCCGTGGGCCGTAGGGCCTCGATGCTTTGCGCACAGTTCCAGAGACTCGGGCATGTCATTCTTCGCTTTCTCGGCCTGGGCCAGGGCTGTTGCATCAATCGCGGGTTGACTGGTCAACATCTCTCTAGGTACGTTTAAAGAACCAGTAGCATGAATTGTTTGGTGCGTGATATTGCTCGCCTATGCCAGCTCTGCAGGCGCTGTCGTTCAATGGCTCTTGACTCATGACAAACGTTGATGAAAGCTCACACATTCCAGAATAAGTAGTGTCGGGTTGAGCCGTGTCGCTAGCGCTGCATAGGACTCTGCATATCAAGACGTCAGGCTTATGCAAGGGACTGACATTTCCTACATCGGTAGTAGGTCGGATGAATGTTTCTCGCCCAATTTTCAGAGCAACTTGGATGCACGTCACACCTTTTGTTACTTACACAAATTTTGGGCTCATCAATCACTAACGCCTTCGCACGGCTTGTGGGCTAGAGTGAGCGCAATGCCATTGATTGTATTGGGAAAGAAGAGAGTGGAGAGGTTACGCTCGAAAATTGACATAGAGTTGTTTGCCGCGATGGCTTGCATATCACTTGCATTACCGGAATTCCCAGGGGCCAGAATAGAAAATGACAAAGATACGGACAAAGATACAAAAACGGGATTTGTTTTATTCTCGGCATTTTTGATGCTAAAGAGAAAGAGGAAGAAGAAGATGACGATGGGGGAGAGGGAGGCACCACTGCATCTGAGAGCAATTTATGCAGCATATACTGTATAAGTTATTGTACACGGTACCCGGACTTTCTGTCTCCGTAGAGCTCCAGCCTCGGAAAGCTTTCCACAGCAAATATGCAAAAGTTCTTTTCGGAACCTGCAAATCAAATATCTCAAATGTCGGCCTCCTAGGTTTTTGACGTCGAGGAGTTCATACTGTGGAACATCAAAAACCGGCTGCGCTACATCAAGACTCAATAGACACCGATGACAGTTCGGTCAGCAGACGGATATAGCTTCTGCGGGACAGGGTCAAGCATGGGGCATTGATCTAAAGGATAGCGGGAAAGGCCGGGCCGCGACACGGATAGGGCGAGAGGCAGCAGTATCTGGCCCTTGGCGCCATGTGGCTGAGGTTGCGCAATAAATAACGGCTTGCTTCGGTTCGGGTTCTCCCACATATCGTTCCTTGCTTCGAAAGGCCAGAGCAGCCATCTTTCTCGCACATTTTGGGAGAATTTTGGGAATGTTCGTCGATCAACCAGTGACTGAGCTGGCAGTGATGCGGGAGGGAGCCCGTGTCTGGGATTGACGACGAAAGAGGGGGGTTGTTGGTGACTTGGTCTGGTTCATCTCGATGTTGGGAAACACGGAGGCTTTTGGCGGAATGAGATTACCCACCCACTCGTGCTTTGTTGGCCGGACGAGCTGCTGGAGATTGTTTAAGATTTGAGCCCCTGAAAATGCCATCACCACGGGAATCCAACTCGCACCTGGGTGACGGGCGGGAATATGAGCTCAATGTCAGCTTGTAATGCAGGAGGGATGATGGTTTATAGCTACTGGCTATTGCCGTATAGGTAAGGTAGGAAGAAGTCTTGAACTGGACATTCTGAGCATCATATCGCAGCTGGGCGATTTGGCCATTTGGGCGTTGCTGAGTCGATGTGCATGAGTTCCCAATGAGGATGTCTAGTTGAGACTCGGGGGTCATTTGCTTCACTCTTAGTGCATCCTGATCATTTTTGTGGCGGAATAAGTAGACGGCGATCCCCTCTGCTCTGGTGCGGAATACCTGAAGTTGGAGAAGCTGCTCATATCAGTCGTTCATTCAGGTACCTATCATCTTAAGTACGCTAGCAACCCACCTTCAGGGCCAGTTGGGGAACCCAACTTAGGTTGTTCTATCATTTAATGTTCTTTGTATTAATACCCTACCTACACTACCTCAAGGTGCAGAAGCTTCTTTTGGCTCGGTCATTTGGTTTGACTGCCTTGTGATTCTTTTTTACCTGAACTGAAAAAGATTCGACCCACTGTTTGGCAACATCTTCCCGTCAGTTGGCAAAAGCAATCAGACACAACGGCTCCCGTTTCACGCGTTCCATCGCATCCCTCCAGCTCCAGGCAAGCAGCAAGCTTCCAGGTCCCGCGTCCCACCTTCCCCTCTCCTTTCCTTTGCACGCAGCAGCACCCCACCTTCGGAGACGACGCGACATTCAATTTAAATCGTCCCTTCCTGGCAACTCGCGCGCCACTCGGTTGGACCCCCAATTTGCCCGCTGGAGACTTTTCCTCGTCAGAGATTCGTTCTCGGCCTTCCCACATCTCTCCACTGACGCAACGGGGACGAGGATCTTGGTGCCAGAGACTGCCAGGCGACCACACACACTCCCGAAATACACACCGTACGGATACCGGACTCATTCTTTCACCTGCGCTGTGGCCAAGCCCAACACAGACCCCTGACGCCAGAGAGTCGTCTTGTTACAGCTCGCAGGCACACCTTGCCATCGACCGTTCCCAAGTTCTAACCCACGACGGCCTTGAGGACGCGAGACTTAGCTTTCTTTTGCCCTACCGTTACCAACCTACCCTGCCTAGCAGTGTTTACCGTCCGGGGTCATTAGTCCAAGAAACTTCTCCGTCCGCTTCGTCCATTCTGGGGACCGTCTGTTAATCACTACTCGCTCGCTTCATTCATTTTAGCTTTTACCTTGCCGAATAATTCGCCGTACATCTCTTGAACCCCCAGCACACGTTTCTTCGCCAGTGCCAACCTTCTTGCTCGCCGACCCTCTGGACGCTGCTGTGCACCCAGTTTCCTTCACGGCAACCTGCATTTGCAAATACTTCTCCCTGATCTGTACATAACTCGTTGCCACATTGGTCATCGCACCCCTCACGTTGCCCAGCGCATAGCTTGAGGCCACCGCCGATACCCAGCTCAGACGAGACGTCAACACACTCTGCTCGACCGCTACTGTACCTTCCACGATACCACTTCCATAACACAGAGGCGGCACCTATTACAACCCTGTTCTTGAGCTTCACAGCATTCGACTTTCTCAGCATAACCAAAATCATGGCTACAGCAAACGAAGAGACGCCGTCGTTCCGGTGCGACTCCCCATCATCAGACGCATCCCCGACTCCAGCTATCGGCGCTTGTCCCGAGCTGTCTCGCTGCGTGTCAACTGCCTCTTCCGTCTCCCACGGATCCGCCACCGAGGGTAACTCCCGCGAATCTCTGGGAAGCTTCCGAGGCAGCACATACTCCAGACAGTCCTCCGGAAACTACAGCCGCCGCTCCGACGTTAGCTTCGCATCTTCCCGACAGTCCACTTGCAGCAGCGTGGAAGTTGGCCGCTCTTCTAGTCGGCGCCGAGGATTTGTTCGACCACAGGGTACCGACTTCGCTGCGAGTGCTCGTCACAGGGAGAGCGTACTCAGCTTGGGAAGCATTGCCCACCTGCAGTATTACTTCGCTCGAACCGGTCTTCTCGATGGCAAGGGCGCTCAGCTAGCGAGAAAGAACAAGGTCAAAGGAGGACTAGACCTCTCCTCTGTTAGCAGCTCGAGCTCGTCTTCGCCAAGGATCATTGATTCGGAGGGAAACAGCCCGGAACTTGGTTCTCATCCTTTTGGCGCGGGGCCAATGGCGGAATCACCTACCGATGAACATCAGTACTACTCTGACGATTTCGAAGAGGACCCGGATGTTCTGCCTCCGACTGCGAGCACATATATCCACAGAAATAAGCCAGTGCCGAAGCCTCCGACGATAGAGGAGCTGAAGACAGACTTGACAGGATCTCTTGACAAGGCGGCTCAGGCCTTGAGACACGCCAAAAAGCATAGAGATAGTAGCCCGGTGCCGGAACTGCCGGAAATTCCCATGAGGGGCCAAAGCACGCCCACCAAGAAAACGTCTACGGGCTGGCATGAGGTTCAGGGTATGCACATCCTCGATGTCATGACACTGGCCATTCGGGCTGCCAGGAACTATTACACGGCGCATGAGATCCCCGAGCGGTTGGACGCTATCAAGTCTGAAAAGGAAATTCGCACAGAACTACTCTCCGTGATGGAGACCTTGAAGCAGATGGCAACCCGACAATGGTCTGGTGGAATGAGGGACGAGGAGCTGCGGATCCTCGAATCCTGGATCTCGGGACTTTTCAGCATGTTAAAGACTGAAGAGGAGATGATCGAAGCAGAAAAGGCCGAGCGAAGCTCTTGGACCTGGCTGCAGGGCGACTGGACTGGCAAAGAAGTGGAAAGAGAATTGGCCTTCATGTCCTCGCTCAACCCCCAGGCCGGTCCGCTGCCGGACTACACGCCCGTAGCCGACGCAAGCGAGTGTCCGACGTCTTTTCTCATCAGTTTGCAAAACGGCATTCGGCTCGTGGAGCTGCACAATGCGGCGGTAAAAAGGTCAAAACGGCGATTCGGCTTGATTACCACATTCCACACCGACACAGACAAGCCGTATCGCTCTGCAGACAACATTCGGTACTGGGCCAAAGCAGCAGAGCTGCGCTGGGAGGTGCTACTAAAAGTAGATGCCCTGGGCATCGTCTACAACAATTCTCCCGAAGTCTGGGTTAACTTCGAGAAGGCCATCATGGATTGGAGCAGAAAGGTCCGCGAGGAGATCACTCCCGAACTTCTAAGCTAAGCAAATGCTTATCTCAGGCTACCGTCTTTATGATTTACGCACCCAAATACCCGTCTTTTCTGGAGTTTGGTGGAATTTGGTTTTCATTCATCGCAATTACCCACTGGGAGGCTTGAAATCTATGCGCTGCATACAGGCACTCAACGCTTTGCGCGTTGTCTAGCAATAGCATCTACTTTGCGGGGAACAGTAGATTCAAGTATGGGAATTTGACACTCTATCAGCCAACGCGAAGTAGAGCATAGAGGCGTTGGGCGATCGTTTTCACCATTCAGAGTACATAACTTTTTACGGAGAGCAATCCCTCCTAATTGATACTGATATACCATCATTGCGCTTTTGGCACAGGCACACAATCTCTTGAGGTCCGATTGTCTCATGCTATATATGCTGGGAATAACTACATAAATTACTCATTTATTGCGAGAAAATAATTGACCGGTAGTCAAGGAACTGATCATTTCGACAATCTATACCGTATCAATACTAGCTACCTACCCTCGCTACTCGCATGGCCGGACGAGCATCTAGCTCTGAAAGCCTATGGAAAGGCTGGATTTCAACGCGGTGACAGCGCAGTAAAGATCTATCAATGAGGCTAGCCTCACTGGGGTGATACGTTGATGTTGCAGCACTTCACTCAATTTGTTTCACTCCGGCATATTCCTGGCTGAGGGTCACTCGGAACCTTGGATTTCCCGGTCCCGAGATCCAAGCCAATCAAAGCACAGCGACAGAGCTTCGGTGGCCGCAGGGATAAGGCGCTAGTCGGAGCTGAGCCGTGCTCTCCTGTGAGGCAGAAGGCTGCAGTGGGAGGTACGTCGACACCTCAACCTCCGAAAACAACGATCTGATTACCACACAAGCTATCCCCATCGACCAACCGACCTAACCTTCGACCTCTTCCCAACCCCGAACCCGAACGCGATCCCCCACTCACCCCCTTCTGAACCGCAGCCATTCCATTTCCTCGACGAGACCAAGGCAGGAGCCCTTTTCTTTTTAACTTTCCACAACCAGAGATGTCTTCCGACGACGAACGCCAGAAGGCTCTCGACTCGTACCGGGCCAAGCTGCTCGAATCCCGGGAGTGGGAGGCGAAGCTCAAGTCCCTCCGACTCGAGATCAAGGACCTGCAGAGGGAGTTTGACAGAACCGAGGACAACATTAAGGCGCTGCAGAGTGTTGGTCAGATTATCGGCGAGGTTCTGAAGCAGCTCGATGACGAAAGATGTAAGTGAAGGCATCTCCATCCTGCTTTCCGCCTTATATATTCTCCCCGCCCCGCCGCCACTGCTCACTACCAGTGCATCGCCACGACAAACACTACAGAAGCTCAATATGCTGATCGCCGTAATCATTTTGAATAGTTATCGTAAAGGCCTCCTCCGGTCCCAGATATGTCGTTGGATGCAGATCAAAGGTCGACAAGGTCAAGCTCAAGCAGGGTACGCGAGTGGCTCTCGATATGACGACACTCACCATCATGCGCATGCTTCCACGAGAAGTCGACCCCCTCGTCTACAATATGTCACTGGAAGACCCTGGACAAGTTAGCTTCGCCGGTATCGGTGGACTCAACGATCAGATTCGCGAGCTTCGTGAAGTCATTGAGCTGCCGCTCAAGAATCCCGAGCTCTTCCTGCGTGTGGGCATCAAGCCGCCCAAGGGTGTTTTGCTCTATGGACCTCCTGGTACAGGAAAGACGTTGCTCGCACGTGCCGTGGCAAGCAGTCTCGAGACCAACTTCCTTAAGGGTAGGTTCAGCCCGTGGGCGGTAGAACACGGTGGACTGGAAGGTGCTAACGGGGCGAAACAGTCGTTTCTTCAGCAATCGTTGACAAGTATATCGGAGAGTCTGCTCGCTTGATTCGCGAGATGTTCGGCTATGCCAAGGAGCATGAACCTTGCATTATCTTCATGGACGAGATCGACGCCATTGGTGGACGCAGATTCTCAGAGGGAACCAGTGCGGATCGTGAGATCCAGAGAACGTTGATGGAGTTGCTCAACCAGCTGGACGGTTTCGACTACCTCGGCAAGACCAAGATCATCATGGCGACGAACAGACCTGATACCCTCGATCCCGCCCTGCTTCGTGCCGGACGTCTCGACCGCAAGATTGAGATTGCCCTGCCGAACGAGGTCGGCCGCTTGGAGATTCTCAAGATTCATGCCCAGGGTGTGGTTACGGAGGGTGAGATCGATTTCGAGAGCGTGGTGAAGATGAGCGATGGTCTCAATGGTGCGGATTTGAGAAACGTTGTGACAGAGGCGTAAGTTATGGCGCAAGTTGGCGATACTTGTAGGACACATGCTAACTAGCAATGACCAGCGGTCTGTTCGCCATCAAGGATTACCGCGACGCAATCAACCAGGATGACTTCAACAAGGCAGTGCGCAAGGTCGCCGAGTCGAAGAAGCTGGAAGGCAAGCTTGAGTACCAGAAGCTGTAAGGAAGGGGGGAAGTGACATGACGATTCACGGGATCAGGCGTGGAGGGGCAGAAAGACATCAAAAGGGGCGGCTGGAACGAGCGTCGTCGGGTCCCGGCCGTTTAGAGGGTCTTTTAATGTGTTAAACAGTGTACAATACCCGAGTCCAGATTTGGGGTTGTTTGCAACGGGGTCATAGACACGTATGTATGGCGTGGAATAGAAGAAACTACGGGACCCCAAGCATGAGTATGCGTATGCATACACAGACATACCCATCGTTGGCCACAACATTATACGGATGTATACTGTCCCATAAGATGGACTTGCTGTCCACACGACTTGAGCCATACGAAGCGCTTTGGCGTTTGCATCATAAAGAATGTATGGCCAGGGTGAGTTCTCTTATCTCTGCGCCCTTCAAATATTACTCCGCAGGTATTTTGGAGGGATCCGAGCCTAGGGTAGCCGTAGCCGTGAGGCTCCATTTTGGAAGCTATTGATAATGCACAGCCTCGACTGAGCTGGGGGGCTGGGTACGGGACATGACCCGGCGCCACGTGCCAGAACAGCAATGTATTACTCAACGACAAGAGTGTTTTAGTGCACTACCTTACCCACTGGCATGACGCTGCCGCCGCCATCTCTGTCTACCTTAGCTATCCACCTCGGCGCACGGCGAGGATGCCGCGTTGGACCAAGGTCAAGTTCGACACGGGCCCTCCAATCTACAGCAGGCCCGGGATAAGCGTAGGGCTGGGGGGAAGGAACGGGGGGGTGTATGCTTGTGGTGCAAGCCACAGATAGCTGAGGGGGTGGGTTTAGGCGTCTGTTTTCGAGAGCGTTCTGTGTAAGCCAAGCTATTACAGCGTGCCTTTGCTCAAGTCTTACATGATCATTTTGTTCCTTCACTAGCAGCTCACACTGCAGGCAGACGACGGAGGCACATGCTTACGATCCTGTCTAACGAGAAGACAACGGGTGGGGAATGAGGTCGCACATTGTGAGCCTGGGAGGATCGAAGCTCTGGTCTGAATCTGTGTCTCGACGAGTCCGCCATGCTGTGCAAAGGAGGGCTGTTGGAGCTGCTGCAAGCGGATGGCGGGGCTGTAGCTGAGACCATCTCCAATGGGTGATCTCGCACGGCAACGAATAGAGACAAAGGTTAGCCACATGTTTTTGATGCGAGGATTGCCGTGAGACTTGAGATGAGCGACTGCAACCGGGAAATCCTCTGCAGGCGGCGTCTCGAGTACACCGGCGGCCGTCGATATGAATGCATCCACGCATTTCGGGTTTTCTGTGGGCCAGGCCTTTTTTTTTTTTTTTTTTCTCGGGACGAGCAACACTGAAGCCATGGTAAAGCAGTGCGATGCATCGTCTCCGTGTGATCCGCACCGGCCGTCTATTCGGTCCAGTCCCTGATGCCAGGAACCGTGGAACGTGACATCTAGTACGAACTTGATATCAGGAAGATTTGGGTAGCGCGCAACGAGCGACTGTATGCTCAACAGACGCGCTCGACATGGCCGAGCTTGGGTTTGAGACCGTCTGCCTCGGCTGAGTGGACACGTCGGCCGATTCGAGAAGATCTACTACGCAGGCCGTCAAGCTGGGGCGGCGAGATGGGCGGTTGCATTGAAAGATGCCAGATGGTGATTTGCAGGAAAGGCCGGTCTAGCAGGGTTGTCTCCTCGGTGCGGGCTGTTATTTTTGGCGACTCTTATACGGAGTGAACGACGTGCCGCCCCTTTTGGGGCCCGTTCTTACGATGGCCATTGAGGCTGTACCTTTTCCTAGTGCGTTAGGTTGTCTTCTCTTTTTGTTTCTTTCTCCTGTATCCGTACCCTTCTCTTCGTACCTGGACGCCCCACTCACCTCCCCTGTGTAGCCCCCCCTCCATGCTTCATGGGTGCAACCAGCAACCGACTAAGCAGCAGGAGTTGGACACCAGGGGACCCGAGCTTGGGAATTCTTGTCGCCTGGCTCACATTGCCGCCGATCCCCGCTGGATTCTTCCTAGCGCTTGACAACCAAGGGGTGTGTCCGCACCCAGATGGTTGGGGACTGGGGGCCCAGGTTATACGAAAAGAAGGGGTCAAAAAAGCGATGATGTCGGCGATGGAACCCTCGAAACAGCGTTGGAGGGTAGGACCGAGAATGAAGAACGCAGGTAGCCGTCCGCATCAATGCCCGAGGAAAGGAGATGGGTTTGAGGCGAAACTACGATAATAAGAAAAAAGAACCGACTAGACAAATCGGGCGGACCGTGACGTGGACTACTGGCCGAGTCTCAATTATGTTCTCTTATGTGCTGAAAGTATTACTTTTCAACTATGCGTGGCCTTCAATGCTGTCAGTACAACTGTGAGTCTATGATGCCCAATTACCTTAGCTTAATGAAGGGACGTTGTTGGGATAAGGCGGTGCTGGATACATAGATTGGGCTTGGTGTTGGGGGCAAAAGGTAGGTACAATATTCGTATGGGAGGAGCACTCCGAGAGGCGCATGCTCGGATAGGTACCTGCCATGTGTGAGTGCGAGAAGGGGGGCTCGGGTCAAGGCAAGTTCCCGGAGCCAAAGAAGGTGTTGACGATGCTGATGGCAAGTGAAGGCGGGTGAGGCGTTGAATGAGTTGCTGGCAGCAGCTTTCCTAACTCGGTGCCTGCTTGGTGGGGGTTTCATCACAAGCTGACCATTTCGGAAAGCTTAGCGTCGCACAAGCAGCTTGCGGACAATCGTGCCTTCTTAGCGGCTGGTTCTGGAATGGAAGCGGCGACAGCAGAATCGAGGCCAGATTGGTCCCAGATTGTCTTCCAGTGCTGGTCGTCCATAGAATTCCCGAAAGAAGCAAACCACACACATCTAGGCAAGTTAGAGTGCAGTACCAGCAAGTGCTGGGCAACTCGAACCCGTCATCCCACAGCATTTGTTGGACTGTCTACGGAGTACGTAACAGTTATTAAGATGAGGAAGCAAGTATTTTCTAAAACCCATGATGTTTGTTATTGCGGTACGTACCGAGGGCGATCTTTGGAGCTAGTGTAGCAGACGAATGGCTCAGCCAGGGAGTGGCGCCACAGTCCACGAAAGGAGGGGACCTTGAGGAGCCACCGAGCCTGGAGGAGGGATGGGATGGGATGGGATGGGAGCGGTGGGTGGCATTCCTGCACTGCGCCTGCGCCTGCGTCCGCGCCCAGGTACCGGATCGTCCATAGGATGGATGGAAAAGAAAAAGACGGGAGCGTAGTGGAAGGACCGCCTGGACCAGTCAACGATCTAGCACAGACAACATGTCAGACACTGGGCTATATTCTGCGTCTGCTCAGGCACACAACGGATTTCGCCGGTATGGGCCTTACCAACGTTCTTGAAGATGTGTGGTCAACTCAAGGTTCCAAGGAATATCGCAATGGGATTGCTGCAGGCAAGTGGTGCCAGAAACTGCAGCTCCTTTGCTGTTGCCGGTGAGGTGGGGGCCCTCCAGAAACTTGCCTGCCCCTCACTCGCTGCATTCGCGGCTCTTTCACTGGCTGGACAGGTCTGTCTTTCCCAACTTTGACCGGGTCGCCCCAGGCACTGGGACTGCAAAGAAGTCGGTCTCTGCGCAAAGAAGGTATTCCTGCTCCGTCGAAATCTAGATCCATTCTCCATTCCGTTGCCCTAGCGCCTGAGCTGTCTTCTCCGAATCCTGACGTAGGTATGCTATCCCAGCTATGAAGTGTTAGACACCTCCCAAGTCAGTCATTCGACAGCCCGCCATTGTGATTTGCAACCGGGCAAAGTACCTTCTGAACATACTCACATCGATGACTTAGCCATCCTATCCAGCAAACGCAAACGACAATGCGATGCTGCTGTATCTGTATCGCGCACTCTTACTGGGAAGACAGATGTATTATTGAATGAGCATGGCAACCCTAAGATGCAGAGCATGTCTTGCTACCCACACTCCCCCCCCTCCTTCCAAAAGCATCTGGACTCACTCACCATGTTTTCATAGACTGACATTTCGGGCATGCTGATGGGTCAAGTGACTTATACACTTCTCAAACTTGCTTGCTATCTCACGATGGAGGTATTGCCCGCCAAACGGCGTGTAAACAATCATTGAGGACAGGACAACGTCCATACCGAGCTTCAGCAACACCTTGCGCGCTTGTTTCTGCAGCCTTGTTTCCTTCCCTGGCATGGTATCCGTACAGGCAATAGCAAGTCACCATCGTCCATAATAACCTGGAAGAACGAATACCGCGTACCTGGCCCTGCCCACTCACCCCCCGTCACCTTTCGTCCTCAGTGCTCACCCTCAACCCGTGCCGCGCCGCGCCCTCTCTGTCATCCTCAATACGAGCACGCCCCTGCCACACCCCGCCCACCGCCCCCCTCCACGTCTCTGGGCGCTACTGCGTATTCTCTCCACGTACACAATACACTCCCCTCCCATTGCTCTCCAGCCGCTTGACCAGCACATAAAGCAGCTCAGCTCCCGCCTCCTGCATCTTGCTTTGGTTTGCTCATTCTCTCTTGATCCAACTATTCATCTCTCTCGCTCATCTTGATACCCTTCACCGCCGCCTCCACCACTCTCCTCGCCGCCTCTTTCTGTTAATTGGTCTTTTACGGTTCTTGTCAGGGTCTTCGATTGCGTTAAATCAACATGTGGTTTGTCTTCCCCAATTCCGCCCCCTCGTTCTCCTGAGTGCTTGCTGGCATCCTCCCCTTCCCCTCCACCCAGCTTCTGCCAGCTGGAAAAAGGGGTCGGGGCGCCTTCAGCCACAATGGCAATTGGCACCGCAGTAAGCAGTAAGCTGACGTGCGCCTCTCTCTCCCAATAGTGGCATTTTCGGCTACGTCAACTACCTTGTGGAGAAGGACCGCAAGTTCATCCTTGAGACTCTGGTGAACGGTCAGTACACCGCCTCCTCCTGAATTACCCCAATTGGAGTCACCCAGCTCCACCTTATCTCGAGAGCTGTCTTGCTGACGAGACACTGCTTCCACCAGGTCTCTCCCGTCTCGAGTACCGTGGATACGACTCTGCCGGTCTTGCTGTCGACGGCGACAAGAAGAACGAGGTTTTTGCCTTCAAGGAGGTTGGCAAGGTCGCCAAGCTCAAGGAGCTTATCGCCGAGTCCAAGGTCGATGAGACCAAGTACTTCGATTCACATGCCGGTATCGCCCACACTCGCTGGGCTACTCACGGCCCCCCGTCTCGTCTGAACTGCCACCCCCACAGGTACGTGTACACACCCGCAAAAAACAACGGCAAGCTTTCCTTTGGACGGTTTCTTGCCGTCGATGATTTGGTAGCTAAGATGATTTGTTCTTTCCTAGATCTGACCCTACCTGGGAGTTCACTGTCGTCCACAATGGAATCATCACCAATTACAAGGAGCTCAAGACACTCTTGAGCGCCAAGGGCTTCAAGTTCGAGACCGAGACCGACACCGAGTGCATTGCTAAGCTTGCCAAGTACCTCTACGACCAGCACCCCGATATTGGCTTCACCGACCTCGCTAAGGCTGTTATCAACGAGCTCGAGGGTGCCTACGGACTTTTGATCAAGTCCGTCCACTACCCTCATGAAGTCATCGCTGCCCGCAAGGGTTCTCCCCTTGTCATCGGTGTCAAGACTCAGAAGCGCATGAAGGTTGACTTCGTCGATGTTGAGTACTCCGAGGAGGGCGCCCTCTCTGCGGAGGCTGCCTCTCAGAATGTTGCCCTCAAGAAGCAGCAGAACAACTTCTTGAACCCCAGCACCTTGCTGGGCGCTCCCGACAAGTCGCTCCTGCATCGCTCGCAGTCGCGCGCTTTCATGACCGACGATGGCATGCCCATGCCCACCGAGTTCTTCCTCTCGTCTGATCCCTCTGCCATCGTCGAGCACACCAAAAAGGTCATGTACCTGGAGGATGACGACATTGCTCACATCCACGAGGGTTCGCTGAACATTCACCGTCTTAAGAAGGCGGACGGCAGCTCCAACGTGCGCACCATCCAGACCCTGGAGCTCGAGCTCCAGGAGATCATGAAGGGCAAGTTCGATCACTTCATGCAAAAGGAGATTTTCGAGCAGCCCGAGTCTGTTGTCAACACCATGAGAGGCCGTCTCGATGCTGCCAATAAGACCGTCACACTTGGTGGTCTCCGCTCTTACATTTCTACCATCCGTCGCTGCCGCAGAATCATCTTTATTGCATGCGGCACTAGTTATCACTCATGCATGGCCGTTCGCGGTGTTTTCGAGGAGCTGGCCGAGATCCCCATCGCCGTTGAGCTGGCATCCGATTTCCTGGATAGACAGGCGCCGGTTTTCCGTGACGACACCTGTGTCTTCGTTTCTCAGTCTGGTGAGACTGCTGACTCTCTCATGGCCCTCCGCTACTGCTTGGAGCGTGGTGCCCTGACCGTCGGTATCGTCAACGTCGTCGGTTCCTCCATCTCTCTGCTTACCCACTGCGGTGTTCACGTCAACGCCGGTCCCGAAATTGGTGTTGCGTCCACCAAGGCCTATACCTCCCAGTTCATCGCAATGGTCATGTTCGCCCTCTCCCTTAGTGAGGATCGTGCGTCCAAGCAGAAGCGGCGTGAGGAGATCATGGAGGGTCTCGCCAAGATTCCTGAGCAGATCAAGGATATCCTCACCCAGGATCAGTCAATCAAGGAGCTCTGCTCCAAGACCTTCCAAAACCAGAAGTCCCTTCTGCTGCTCGGTCGTGGTGCCCAGTTCTCTACTGCCCTTGAGGGTGCTTTGAAGATCAAGGAAATTTCCTACCTTCATTGCGAGGCCGTCATGTCCGGTGAGCTGAAGCATGGTGTTCTTGCCCTCGTTGACGAGAACCTGCCCATCATTATGATCCTCACCCGCGATGACCTCTTCAAGAAATCGCTCAACGCTTATCAACAAGGTAAGTCGAGGAATATCAGTCAACATCGATTGAACCCATTTGCTAACAATTTGAATAGTCATTGCTCGCAGTGGCAAGCCCATTGTCATCTGCAATCCTGGTGACGAGGAGTTCAAGACCAGCGAGGCCGAGAAGATCGAGATCCCTAAGACAGTCGACGCCCTCCAGGGTATCCTCAACGTCGTTCCTCTGCAGTTGATTGCCTACTGGCTGGCTGTCATGGAGGGACTCAACGTTGACTTCCCCCGTAACCTGGCCAAGTCAGTCACTGTCGAGTAAACTGCTCACACAGAGTGAGTGAAGTTTGGTTTGTTATCGGGTGATTCATCCCATCGGAGTTGGGTTGCCAAAAGGGAGGATAGCCCTTGATGTTTTTGATGTCACAGCGGGTTACCAACAGGCGATGGCAGCTTTGGAGCCCTCTGATGTATAACTGGGTATTGTGAAACTGAGGGAATGGTCCAGCATGGTAAATTTGGGCCGGTCAAGATAAAGAAGCGTATTTTTTGAGGTTAAATGCCGTAGTATGGCAACCTGAAGCAATGAAAACAATATTGTCTATTTCATTTGGTGTTACACTTGGTCGTTCGCACAGGCCTGAACTCATCGTGGCGTCCATAAGCCCCGGGTTGGAGGCCGGTGCTTCTCTTACTGAAGTCTCGTGAATGCATATTCCCACGCGAGGTATCGCCAGACGATATGGCGAATTACCGGTCATTGTCATTTCATGCCCATCCCCCATCTCTCTCTCTCACTCTGTCTCTCTGCCTGAGTCTCTCTGCCTGAGTCTCTATTTCCCAAAGAATTTCAAGTGTCCCCCTTTAATTCACCTGCGTGCCGTAGCCACGGATCCGTTCCGCAAATTTCCAGCTTTGTTTCTCAAGCTTCTCGCTCTCCTTTAAGTCGACTCCGTCCTTGGTCACCACTGCAATAGAGTAGGAGTCCGAGCTACGAGCGTCGCGGTAGAAGAGAACCTTCATACACTCCTTAATCACGTCAACGGCCTGCTCCTTGGAGAGCTTAGCGGCGGTCTCCTCATCGGGGGCGTAGCGACGCATGATGGGTTGGGCAAGAGCTGAGCCGAACCCGGTGGCTAGCGAGGGAGAAGTGAAGGTTGTGCCGAGGAGATCAGCGGCGGCGAGGAAGGGCTTGTTGTTATCGTCGAGGCCAGCAACGAGGAGGTGGTTCCAGAGGGGATCGAAGTCGGAGCGGCGCTTGTAGAGGAGCTTGGAGAGGTACTTGTGCAGGTTTGCAGCATTGAGCCGGGCGGGTGCGTCGTTGGTCAGGTCGTAGGACTCCTCAATATCGAGGCCTGAGAGGTGGCGGTCGAGGTATTGCATGTCGGAGACGTCACCGCCGAAGCCCACAACGGTGGAGTTGGCGAAGGTGCGGAGACGCTTCACATCGGTGAAGCGGGCGAGGGAGCCGTAGGATGCTATGAGGGAAAGGTGTCAATTTGGGTGATTCGAGGTGTATGGCAACAGCATAGGCCGAGGATGGAGGGCGAGCGAAAGGCAAAGGCAAAGGCAAATACAAAGACGAAGACATACCCAGGTTATCGGCGGCGATGACGACACCTTCGCTGAACTTGATGGCGATGACTGATGTGCCCGTGACGATGGGGGCCTGTGTCGCTTGGTTGGGACCGTTGGTGTTCATGTACGAGGCATCGTAGGCTCCGTAGACGTCGTCTCTGGGCTAAGAGGAGGGGTTCCGACTTGTTAGTCCACGATGCGAGGCTGAGGGTCCCGGGAAGGAGGGGAGGGGGGAATGGAAACTGCATACACGGCCCCAAGCTTGCGGTCTGTGATCCATGATTGCCGATTTCTGTGTGGTTTGGAGGTAGATAGAGAGATGAGAAGGCGGTCGGAATCGGGATTGGATTTGTCTTTGTTACAAGTTCGTGGGTGGGTTTGGCGATGGATTGGTATGTGAAGTTGATTGAAGCTTGCCCGGGGTGAGCTTCGCGTCCCGTGGGTGCCTCTGCAGGCCGGCTGACTGGCTGGCTGGCTGGCCAGTTGCTGCTGATGCTGCTCCCGCTGCCGCTAGAGCTGCTGCGTTAGGGCGTTGGTGCCTGACAAACGGGGCCGCGAGTTTCGGGTGGGCTTGCCAAAAATGATCAGCTTGGAGCTGTCGTGGTGGGTGATAGGACAATAAGTACTCAGTACTCTATTTCTCACGGTATAATCGCGGTTTTGGGGTATTGAGTACATCTGAGCTCCAGGGGGGCAGCTGGTCAAACAAACAAGGAGGTCGACCAAGTTCCCTTTACTCGCAGTCCCTCGTCATTCCGTCAACACCGCGGACGGCAATTGTGGTGTCGAACCCCCCCCACGACTGCCCCGACTCCCACAATTGGCCTGATCCTGATCTCAACATCGCTCGCACTCGATTCGCGCCATACTTCCCCTTCCGGACTGTCTCGTCGCAACCAACACCACTAAACATCCCCCGGCTCACGCAAATCATCAGCTCAGCCCACTCCTCATATCAAAAGTTCAACATGTTGACAGCAATCGGTCGAGCCGCCACCCAGCGCCTGCTCCTCCGCGCCGCCCCATTGTCAGTCCCGCGGACCCAACTCTTCGTCGCGCGCGCAACGGCTTGCCGCGGTTTCTCGACCTCGCAATGGGTGCGCATGCCCGCCAGCCAGGCGGCGACGACCACCAAGACGAAGAAGACTACGGGGGCTAAGAAGAAGACCGCCCTCAAGACTAAGAAGCCCGCCTCCAAGAAGCCCAAGGCGAAGAAGGTCATCGCGAAGAAGGCTGCGCCCAAGAAGCGAGTCAAGAAGCAGCTCACGCCAGAGGAGACACAGAAGCTCAAGGTGCGGCAGTGGAAGAAGACGGCGCTGCTGAACGAGCCGAAGAAGCTCCCCACGAGCGCATGGCTAGTGTACGTGACGCGGGAACATCAGACCGCGGAGTCGGGCTCATCTCTCACCGAGCGGACCAAGGCCCTGGCCGAGTCTTTCAAGAACTTGTCCTCTTATGAGGTCCAGGTAAGGCCTGACTTTCTGCCTTGACACCTTCACCCCTTGGAATCCCGGCGGAAGCCTTCACGCCGTCAACAGGTGTTAACAAGAGACTGACAATCTGGAATCAAAGCGTCTCCAAGAGACTGCCGACGCGAACAAGCTCACCAACAACGCGGCCTACAAGTCGTGGGTTGAGACGATTCAACCGACGGACGTGGCTGAGGCCAACCGCTCGCGCGCGAGGCTCCGCAATGCCAGCGGCAAGCAGGTCCCCCGCACCATCCGCGACGAGCGCCAACCCAAGAGGCCGCATAATGCCTACGCGCTCTTCGTCAAGGCGCGTTTTGCCAGCGGTGAATTCTCCGGCGAGCGTTTGGTCGACGCGATGAAGGCCATGGGTAACGAATGGAAGCAGCTCTCCCAGTCCGAGAAGCTCGCGTATGAGGATCTTGCCAAGGCGGATTTCGACCGATGGGAGCGCGAGTCCCTGAATGTGCTGGGCCACGTCGCCCGGCGCGGTAAATCCCCCGAGTAAGGAGATTGTCTCAGTCCAGGTCAACCGGTGCGATAGTTTCTTTTTCCTGGGAAATGAAATCCCCCGCGGCGTCAAGCGTCGATTGTCAAAAGTAGGATGCACCTAAGCGAGTTCAGCAGAGCGGTCAATCGTGTACGAGGGCGAGCAGGTCAGGAAGAGGGTGTTTACTTGTTGGATTTCCTTCTTCTGTACAGAGTATGGATTGTTAGAAGGATCGGTCGATGTTCCAACGCTGTATTTCGGATACCAAATGTCAGAGAGAGGTTTCGCGGCCAGAACCAATGTTCAATTTGCTCCCTATGTACAGAGTCCGCAGCTTATTTTGAAGAAGCAGTTGTTGTTTGTTTCCATGCTAACCGGGTTGTTTGCGCCATATCCCAATGTGAACCAGTACCGCCCTGCAGAACCCCTTGCCGTATGCAAACGCCTCGCTGAGCCAAGAAAACATAAAAGACAAAAAAGCTCACCGCCATATATTCTCCCAACTCACATCCCATCATCAGAACCGCCCTCCACGCTCTCCCCAGACTCGGAGTTCTCATGGCCATTGGTGATTACAATGACCTCACCCGCCCCGTCCAGCCACCTCGCCGCATCCTTTTTCAGCGCCCGCTCGCTCGCCAGGTACAGGGCGAGATAGACGTGGCCCACGACGTGTCCCCAGCAATACACGCGTATCCAGGACCAGTCCTCCGCGCGCTTGCACCAGACGCCCCATCCCGCGAAGCCCTCGAGGATGTAATCCGTGAGAAAGTGCCAAGCGCGCTCGCGAAGAGTTGGCCGCCAGCTGGTCCAGTCGAGATGCCAGTGACCTCGCTCAAAGGGACGTAGTTCCCTTTTTTGTTCGATTGGGGCAAAGCGCTTCGCTATCTTTAGTTGGTGGGCCAGCTCTTTCAGCTTGGGCGTCAGGAGATCGTCTGGCGTCAGCTCGCTGGTGCCGACTGGAGGGCCGACGGGATGGATCTCGAGACGTGCGAGGTAGCTCAAGTGCCTCTCATTAGGAGGACGTTTGGGGCGGAATAGATCGCTGTGAATAGGACCCACGTCAGAGGAGCTTCTCGTGATGACCGACCTCGACTCTGAGATGGGCGCTGACCGTTTGTGCCGTTTCGATGGCAGTGGAGGCTCAGAGCCGGCTCGGGTTGGCGATGACGGTATGGTTCTCTTCCGAGAAGGTTGACAAGGCGTCTCCTGTATCATTTGCTCGAGGGGAGAGCTCATCAGAGGTGGTCGCTTCAGGGCCACGAACGGCGTGTTCAGAATTATGGCCTCTGTTAATGTGGAAGAGGCCGAGCCCGGGGTCGCATTGCTCTTGACTGCCAGAGATTTGCTCGACGTCACGAGAACGACCTGACCGTCATCCTCATCCTCATTGCAGTCTTCTTCTATGGCTGGTATGGGCGTTGCGGATAGTATCGGAGCTTGTCGTTGGCGTGCCCCTGGGGACATTTGCTGAGAGTCCCCATCGCGTTGACTATCGAACTGTGCTGCCAGATGCTCAAGGAGTCGACTCGGGGATGAGAACTCGGCGAGACTAATATCATTCGATGGCTGAGAATCACCGATGACGCTGGGTGGAGCTACCCAACTGATCTGGGTCGGTTGAGAGTCTGCCGCGAGTTGAGACGAAGAAGGTATGTCCCTGGATGCAAGTGGCCGACCGAGGCCGGGGGAATTTCTGTTGTCCAAGACACTTCGAAAGGACAGCTTCTGGGATTCGAATGATCCAAATGACACGGGGCGGAGAGGCGACGGTGGTGGTATAAGTGGTGGTGATGAGGTTGCCGGTTGAGTCGTCTCGCTATCGAGGATTGGCGCATCTGACCAAGCAGGCAACGCTGCTGGCCCAGCCTCTGAGCTAGTAATGGCCTTGGTATCCTCTTCTTCCGAGGATTTACTTAGAATCTTGATACGGCTTGTTGGGGTAAAATCGAGATATGCCTGTGCAAGGGCCCGGTAGCGCACATCATCGATGTTCCTGCACGGTGCTGCGACGTGCACTAGGATCTCAACGTTGTCATGTGCCTCCATGACAACCTCTCTGTGACTTCAAAGAGCGCAGTCATCTCCAAGAGCAAGCGCCACGATACGTAATAATGGAAGGTGCTTTTTTATAAGGCCAAACTGTCAGGTGTATATTTCTCAGAAGGTGCTGGCCTTTTCCAAAAACAGGGTGGATTGAAGGAGAGTAAAAGGATACCCAGAAGTTTGCACCAGACGATGTCAAACTGAAAGGTGAAGTCTTTAGGAGCGTGCCCTCACCCATATTAGCCCATAGCTGTCTCAAAGTCAGTGCTCTTCAAGGTGGGGCACATTGTCGCATCCATGTAGTGGTGAATGCGGAAGACCACACAGTCACACACACACCTCTCGACGGCCCCACCACAACAGCGCCGGAGAGTTGGATGTCCTGCAAGGTATTCTGGTTCTGGCCTGTAGCCTAAATGCAATTAGCGCGCTGGAGAGCTCAAAAGTAGTTGTACCACGTCCTCAGCAACAGCGTTGCAGTATAGGGCTGTACTAGAGACTCAAGCTGTCAGTCATCAGACAACCTGAAGCTTGGCCCAGCTGGTGCTGTGCCTTACCCCAGAAATCCTCAGCTCAGGGGACCAGAGATAACAGACCACACCAATTATTCTCCTTTCCCAGAGTCTCCCCCAACTCCTCCACCTCATCCCGCGATAACCTCCCGACTACCACCCTCTCTCCCGCTCAGCACCAGTAGCGCCGAAAACATGTCTGCGAAGCCCACGACGCCCCCCAACCTGGGCAAAGTCCTCGTCGTCGGCGGCAACGGCTTCCTGGGCCACCACGTCGTCAACCAGCTCCTGGCCGGCGACCGCTGGGCCGTCGCATCCGTCGACGTGGTAGACCTCCGCTGCGCCAACAACCGTAACCCTAAAGCCAACTACCACGAGGCAGACATCACCGACGCCGACAAGATCAAGTCCCTCTTCGAAAACGTTAAACCCGATGTCGTCGTGCACACCGCCTCCCCCGCGCCACAGGGCGACAGCGCCATCGCAAAAGACCTCTTTCGCAAGGTCAACGTCGATGGCACCGCTTCCATCATCGCCGCCTGCCAGGCCGCCTCCGTAAAGGCCCTTGTCTACACATCGTCCGCGAGTATCATTAGCGACAACGCCAACGATCTCATCAATGCCGACGAGCGGTGGCCCGTCATCCGCGGCGAACTGCAGACGGAGTACTACTCCGAGACCAAGGTGCGCGCCAGCCTTACCCTATATTTCCCTTCAACGCGATGCGCCCCCATTCCTCTCTTCTTCTCCCTGAAGCCATATTGTGACCCCAGTGACTGACATGTGCTCTTTTCATAGGCCGCCGCAGAAGAATTGGTCCTCCAAGCAAACCGCCAAGACCCCTATAGCCTCCTCACATCCGCCATCCGCCCCGCTGGCATCTTCGGCGAAGGCGACACCATGGTGACGCACCAAATGGTCAAGATCTACCGCGAGGGCAAGACGGGCGTTCAGCTCGGCGACAATGACAACCTCTTCGACTTCACGTACGTTGGCAACGTCGCCCACGCCCACCTCCTCGCCGCCCGCCTCCTCCTTGCGACCGCCGCCTCCTCCATCGCACCCCTCGACCACGAAAAGATCGACGGCGAGGCCTTCCTTGTCACCAACGACAGCCCCATCTACTTCTGGGATTTTGCTCGTGCCATCTGGAGCGCCGCCGGCTCCGACAAGGGTACCGACCACGTCTGGAAGATCCCGCGCGAGATCGGCGTCGTGCTCGGCTTCTGCTCCGAGGTCTTCTTCGCCATCATCGGCAAGCCGCCAATCTTTAACCGCCAGCGCAACATCTACAGCTGCATGACACGCTATTACAACATTAGCAAGGCCAAGCGCTTGCTCGGGTATCGGCCCATCGTAGGCCTGGACGACGGCATTAAGAGGGGCGTACAGTGGTTCCTGGATCAGGAGAAGGCGGGCAAGGTGAGTGTTAAGGCATGAGTGCGCTGATGCATAGGCGACGATGGTTCATGACGGGTTGTGGTGATTTAGGGATATGAGACATCATGTTGAAAAAGTTGAAGAGTCTTTTCTTCGTATATACACATACGCCCTCACGGCTAGAGGGTTTAATACACGGCCCACAAGCGGTCGTATCATGAGCATGCATTACTTTTACCAAGTCTTCTCTGCCTTTGTTCGCATACAAGCCTAGTGCCAGTTGGCTTCGGCAGTGGGTTTGCTAAACATGTAAAGCTTGGGACCAGAAACACGTTTGCGCTTCCAAAGCCAACGAAAGCTTGGAGAAAACCCTGCAGGCGATGCCTGGCCTGTCCTACTCACATTGGTGGAGCTACCTGGCTGATCCTTTCACTCCATCCTTAGCTACTCGAAGGAAGAAAAGACAATGTTGCCCTTAAGGGTGCGGTGCAGTACAGACGGTTTTCCCCATTCCCCAACCCGTTCTCGAGATGTGCGCAAATGTGGCGCATGGTTCGGCCTCCTATCTCCCCTGGCTACAGATCATCTCACAAATGTAATCCGACATCTCCCCGTCTCAACAAAAGAAGCGAAGCTATACTAGGTCTCGAGCGCAAGCCAAGAAGAAACGAGGCCAGCTGTCCAGCTCAAGACATATCAATCAACCAGACCGGTTTCACCCATCGACAAGTCGATGGGCCTTGGGCCTTTACTCCAAACAAGCCAGGGTCAAACCAAGACCACCAATCCTCTTTCCCCCCCTTTCCAGTAGACAATGGAATCATGTTGTGCGAAAGAACACCAGCAGACCGTTAGGGTACCTCATTCCGTACCGATCCGTTGCTTCACTCTCAGAGAAGCCAAGAAGCGGAGGGTTTAGCAAAGTGTTGGAAGAGAACTTTGAAAAGAAAAAAAAATCATTCATGCCGCCTTGTCGTGAGTTGAATAGCCGAACAAAAGAAATATCTTTTGTCCTTTTGATGGAATAACGGTTGGGAACGCCGCCAACAATGCATGGATATGTGACTCTCCGAAACCCCAAATCGCAGTCCCAATAGAATGCGTAGCAAGTGATGTGAGCCTCGTGGAAAATCACTCTTTGATATGTGTGTAATGTTGCCATTGTGGTGTGGCTTGGCTGGATCATGTGTTTCCGCCTACGCCAACACCACTGTTTTGTCTTCCCCAAACCCCGCCGGATTGGCGCCATTCTCTCTTCTGGGCTTCGGTAGGGCCTTCGGTATCTGAATGCTCAAACTGGCTTCCGCCAAAGGGTGAAGGGTGGCCGTTTTCTTCATGTGGCCGCCATCTCTGGGGTGGCGTGCCGGGATTGGGTTGGTTAAAAGGAGGTATGGGCACAGGCGGTTCCTGCACGGTGCGGACACTGCTCTCTTGTTGTTGCCACAGAGCGGGGTCAGTCTCAACCCTTCGGGGAGGTGGCCGGGAAGAGTTGTCTGGTCTGTTAAAGACCTCGTTGACTTCGCCCAATCCTGGTCTCTGACCCATGCGGTCCTGGTAGCGCTTGAGGATATCCTTGGTGGTGAGATCAGCAGTGTTGCCAAATACAAACGGATCGTTGACGAGATCCATGAGCTCATCAGGAACCTGTGGGAACTAGTCAGTAACGAAGATAAACAATGATGACACGAAAATCTTACCAGGCACATTTCTTCAATAGAGGTGATCATGTCGTTCACAGCAACGATTGCGAACATAGGGTCGCTGTCCAGAGTAGGCGCTTTGTTGCTGTTGTAAAGAATATTGGGCGCGATAACAGTTGCCAAATTTTTGATGTCCATCCTGGATCCAGCTTCTTCATCCACTTGGTGGAAGGATCCAGCCCACTTTAAGAAGCAGAATAGAATCTCCAAGCAGTCTCGGTGAGCTTTGGGCAAAAGACAGCAGATGAGGTGCAAGTACGACTTGCGCTTTGCATCGTCCTGGATCTTGGCAACGGAAATCCAGAGCTTCTGGAGCTTGAAAGTCAAGAGAGGATCTGGAAGCTCCCGCAAATAGCGCTTCAACAAAGCAGCAACCTGCACAACAGGCTGGTCCATGAAGCTGATGCTGTCGCAACCTTCGCGGTCGATTCTCTCACACAGCTCAGACAGCTTTTTGATATTGCCGTTCTTTCTGAAAACACCTTCAACGGAAAGATCCATCTTTCTCATGGAGGAGATCAGGTCGTCGATGATTGCAGGAATCTTGAGCGTTCCGGGACCTACACCGTCTGTTGACTCGGCGCCATCCTTGTCGATGATGACGTCCAAGGGTACTCCGAAAATGCCCTTCTTCTTGACATTCTTCGGCCTGTCGTTCTTGAATGCCTTGCCCAAATTCTTCCAGAACGTAGGTTGCTTTCTTGACTCAATGAAGCTCAATAACTCTTCCAGAGGGAACTCGTTCTCAACGGCAGGCGCCAGTGTCAAGACTGCCAAATGACGGACTATAAAGTACTCCAATCCCGAGAGCTCCGAAAAGTACTTCCGTCCCAGGCGCTGAGGCATCGGGTCGCCCATGCGCATATCAGCCTCTCTGCCTGCCGACTGCGATCTTTGATGTCCCATGGGGTCAGTTGCGGGTGATCGGAAAAGCTCTTGACGGTCAGGCTTGTATTGCTGCTCTTTGACTTGCTCAGCAGCAACGATTCGCGGAATATCATCAAGAGTCAGAGCGTCCTGGTGGTTGAACATTTTGTCCGTTGTGCCTTCGTCGTTTGGGCCTCTCCTTTCCTCGAGGATATGGAGGTCCCCCTCGGCTCGGCCTAAGTCCTCGCCTGCCGATCCTGGGCGAACGCTACGTCCCTCGGGGCCGTCCATGATGCGCGAAGTTCTCGCCTTCCGAAAGCTAGAAGACAAATGCTTGTCGAGACGAGTGCTTCTCAATCGGCGGACATCATTCAGCGTGTTCTCGTAGGAAGACTCGCGGTTGTGCTCCCGTTGATCTCCAGCGTATGATTTCGAGCGATTGTCTGAGTTTAGGTAGGGTGCATCTCCAGGAGCCAAAGTTCGGGCACCCTCGCCTGGGCCATAACCATCCGAGTTCTGGTCATCGTTCTGCCGAGGCAAAGCG